CTAGGCAAAAAACTTTCTTTTTTTCTCCTGTCAGGCCTTTGGCTTTTAATTTTTCTGTGGCCTCTTTCGGTGAGTAGGATGTTAGTCCTGCCTTTTAAAAATAATAATAATAATAATAATAATAATAATAATAATAATTTTTATTTATATCCCGCCCTCCCCAGCCCAAGCCGGGCTCAGGGCGGCTAACAACAATCAAATAATCAAACAATCAAATAATCAAACATTCTAAAAACATTTCATTATAAAAATTAATTAAAATCAAATTAATGGCAACCGTTAAGCAAAATTCTGTGCAGGTTGCCAGAGGAGGGAGTCAGGCTGTGCCCTGACCAAAGGCCTGGTGGAACAGCTCTGTCTTGCAGGCCCTGCGGAAAGATGTCAAGTCCCGCAGGGCCCTAGTCTCTTGTGACAGAGTGTTCCACCAGATCGGAGCCACAGCCGAAAAAGCCCTGGCTCTGGTTGAGGCCAGCCTAACCTCTCTGAGGCCTGGGACCTTCAGGATGTTTTTATTTGCAGACCATAGGTTCCTCTGTGGGGCATACCAGGAGAGGCGGTCCCGTAGGTACGAGGGTCCTAGGCCGTATAGGGCTTTAAAGGTTAAAACCAGCACCTTAAACCTGATCCTGTACTCCACTGGGAGCCAGTGCAGCTGGTATAGCACCGGATGAATGTGATCTCGCAGCGAAGACCCCATAAGGAGTCTCGCCGCGGCATTCTGCACCCGCTGGAGTTTCTGGGTCAGTCTCAAGGGCAGCCCCACGTAGAGCGAGTTACAATAATCCAGTCTGGAGGTGACCGTCGCGTGGATCACAGTGGCTAGGTCAGGGCGAGAGAGATAAGGGGCCAACTGCTTAGCTTGGCGGAGATGAAAAAATGCCGCCTTTGTTATAGCTGTAATCTGTGCCTCCATAGATAGGGAGGTATCGAAGATTACACCCAAACTCTTAACGGACGGTGCTGGCACTAATTGCACCCCCGCAAGAGATGGGAGTTGCCCCCCCAATCCCATATCGTCCCGTCCCAGCCAGAGGACCTCTGTCTTCGAAGGATTTAACTTCAACCGGCTCCCATGTAACCATCCAGCCACAGCTTCCAAACATCTGGTCAGTGTGTCTGGGGCCGAGTCAGGATGGCCATCCATCAACAGATAGAGTTGGGTGTCATCGGCATACTGATGGCAACCCAGCCCAAAACTCCAGACAAGCTGGGCGAGGGGGCGCATAAAGATGTTAAAAAGCATTGGGGAGAGTATCGCACCCTGAGGCACTCCACACACCAAGGAGTGGCGCGATGACAATTCCCCCCCAAGCGCCACCCTCTGTCCCCGACCAGAGAGAAACGAGCGCAGCCATTGAAGGACTGTGCCCTGGATCCCCACGTGGGCAAGGCGGTGGTCCAGGAGTTCGTGATCAACCATGTCGAAGGCTGCTGACAGGTCTAGGAGAATCAGCAGCCCCGACCCGCCTCGATCCAGCTGCCTGCGGAGATCATCTGTTAGGGCGACCAGAGCCGTCTCGGTCCCATGAGCAGCGCGGAAGCCAGACTGGAATGGATCCAGAGCCGATGTTTCATCCAGAAACCTACCAAGCTGTTCAGCAACCGCTCTGAACGTTAGACTTTTTTCCGGTTTTGTTGCTTTTAATCTACGTGTGGCTTGGAGTTACTTTTGTATTATAATAATACATTTAATAAAATAATAGATAGATAGATAAATTTATTGTCATTGTCCGTATATACACAGTATACACAACAACGAAAATCAAACACCCACTCGAAGACCGGGTTCACATACACATTTGCACGTATCTCCAACACTCTCATCCTATTCAGACATAATCTATAAAAACATATCATACTCCAGAATGTAACATAACCTATTAAAAGCATAACATAACCTAAAAACCTGTCTCATTCCTTCCTACTCCCTGCTTGCTATTCCTTGCAACTGGCCCTGAGATCATTATTTAGTGCAATCAGAGCTCTTGGATAGAAACTATTCAGAAGGCGTGTGGTTCGTGTTTTCATTGTCCTATATCTTCTGCCCGAAGGCAACAGTTCAAAGAAGTTGTGAGCAGGATGGGTGGGATCTCTCAGGATATTGTGTGACTTCTTCAAAGTGCGAGACGTGAAGATCTCATCCAGGGTTGGTAGTTGGAGCCCAATAACATTCTGGGCAATTTTAATTATTCTCTGTAAAGCTTTTTATCCGTTTCAGAGCTGCTCCCATACCACGATAATATACTATATGTTAAGACACTCTCGATGGTACTGTGATAATAGGACAGAAGTAGGTGCTGAGATAGATTCAGTCCCCTGAGCATTCTCAGGAAATACAACCTCCCCTGCACCTTCCTCACAACCATATTAATATTTACAGTCCATGAGAGGTCCTCAGAGATGTAAGTGCCCAGGTATTTAAAACTACCAACCCTCTCCACCTCCTCGCCATTTATGTGCAATGGTAAAAATACGCTTTTCTTTCTCCTAAAGTCAATTATGAGTTCTTTGGTGTTAAGCATAAGATTGTTTTCTTTACACCATTGAATTAACCCCTGTACTTCTTTCCTATAAGCAGTCTCATCGTTCTCACTAATGAGCCCCACCACTGTTGTATCATCCGCAAATTTGATGATTGTGTTGGACTCATACAGTGGGGTGCAATCAAATGTGTACAGGGAATAGAGAAGGGACTTAGCACACATCCCTGAGGGGCTCCTGTGCTTAATACTAGAGTAGAAGAATAGTAAGGGCCCATTCTCACTGTCTGCGGCCTATCAGTCAGGAAATTCCTTACCCACAGACAGATCTTCTGATGTATACCCAAATTGGTCATTTTAAGAAATAACCTGTCTGGCAGAATTGTATTGAAGGCAGAACTGTAGTCCACAAACAACAGCCTTGCGTAGGTTCCCTGTCGTTCTAGATGACTCAGTACAGTATGGACAGCGATGGAAATAGCATCATCAGTAGATCTATTTCTTCTGTATGCAAACTGGAACGGGTCTAGAGTGGATGGAAGACCAGCCTTAATATGATCTAGCACCAATCTCTCAAAACATTTCATAACGACAGATGTTAAGGCTATTGGTCTATAGTCATTGAGAGATACCACCACTGACTGCTTGGGGACTGGCACTATAATCGATGTCTTCAGGCAGGTAGGGACAGAACCCTGCAACAGGGATAGATTAAAAATGTCCGTAAACACACCAGCTAATTCTGCAGCGCAGTCCCTAATAGCCCGTCCCATGATTCCATCCGGTCCAGCTGCCTTCCTAATGTCAATGCTCCGAAAGGCACGTTGTACGTCACAGGTCTGTAATAAAAATGGTTGTCTATCAGTAGTAGTTTCTGATGATGTGCTGGTAGCCAATGCTGTAGTGACGGTAGTTCCAGTTCCCACCTCAAAGCGACTAAAAATTGATTCAGTTGATCAGCCAGGTGCGCACTGCTGCTAGCCAGTTCGTTTTTAATATTTTGCCCTGTAATTTGTCGCAGGCCTTGCCATACTCGACGAGGGTCGGAGCTCTCAAAATGTTTTTCGATCCTCCGGCAATAATAATGACAGGAGAGAAATTAGATCCTGCTGACCAAGTTAAAAGGAAATGTTCCAAATGGCCGAAATATTGGGAAATTTTGGAACAAGATGGAGATAGACTGAAATTGCAGAGTTTTGAAAAACTAAAAAACAAAGTGCGAGACTGGCTTCATTATTATCAGATAATGGAGGCATACAATTTGGACAAGAAAATCGGCTTCCAGGTGGAAAAATCAAAATTAGAAACAGAATTGTTAGAACCCAAAACTAAGATTTTGTCAAAGATGTATAACTTGCTGTTGAAATGGAATACTCAGGATGAAACGGTGAAATCTGCTATGATTAAATGGGCACAAGACGTTGGACATAACATAATGATGGCTGACTGGGAACAGTTGTGGACCACAGGTATGAAATTTACGGCATGTAATGCCTTAAGAGAGAATATTATGAAAATGATATACAGGTGGTACATAACCCCAGTCAAGCTTGCAAAAATCTACCATTTGCCCGATAACAAATGTTGGAAATGTAAAGAAACTGAAGGTACATTCTTTCACCTTTGGTGGACGTGCCCAAGGATTAAGGTTTTCTGGGAGATGATTTATAATGAATTAAAAAAGGTATTTAAATATACCTTCTTAAAGAAACCAGAGGCCTTTCTCCTGGGCATAGTCGGCCAATCAGTGTTAAAGAAGGACAGAACTTTCTTTATGTATGCTACAACGGCAGCAAGAATACTTATCGCAAAGCACTGGAAGACACAAGACTTACCCACACTGGAGGAATGGCAGATGAAAATGATGGACTATATGGAATTGGCGGAAATGACTGGCAGAATCCGGGACCAGGGAGAAGAGTCGGTGGAAGAAGATTGGAAGAAATTTAAAGACTATTTGCAGAAATACTGTAAAATTAATGAATGTTAGAATGATGTTGGATTGAAGTTAAGTCGTTTCTAGCGGTAATAGGTACAAAAGAATATGGAAAAATTGGTTTTTAATATGTAAAAATTTAATGTTATAATATATCAAGATTAAAGATTAGGATTAAAAAGGAGGGAAAGGAATTGTTGGATTAACAAATTGAATTGGAATACAAAAGAGGGAGGTATGAGGAGGTCCGGGAAACAAGCAAACGTAAAGATAAGTGAAGAAAAGATGGAATTTTTTTTAACTGTTTTTTAATTTTTCTACTTTTTTTTTTTCCTTTTTATTGTTTTTTTTTATTAATGTGATTTTTCGTCTTTTGAAACTTTAATAAATATTATTTAAAAAAAATTAATAAAATAATAATAATGACAGGAGAGAAATTAGATCCTGCTGACCAAGTTAAACGGAAATGTTCCTGCCATTGATTATCATTGTTTGTTTATGTGATTGTGAGGAAATTGGGCAGCTGAGAGAAAAGCGAGGCGTTTGGGACGGTATCCAGGCAACGAGATAACGGCTTCCACCTTTGTTGAGGCGTGAAGCCGGACGGGGCGGAGCAGCCCTTTATTGGCCGCCATCTTGGAATCGGGCACAAAGTAGCATTTCAAGGAGGGCGTGGCTTCATAAATTTTCAAGGAGGAGGAGGGAGGACCGAAAGCGTGCCTGTACGCGTGCACGCGTGGGCGCGAGAGCAACTTTTTCCTCCTCGCCCCCCGCCTCGGATCGAGACCCAGACAACTCTCCCCTCGCGCCCACCCCACAGGGAGAGACGCCGGAGAAAAGGTGAGTGAAGGAAAGGGAACGAGCGAGCGCGGGGGATGCGCGAGCGCGTGGAAAGATCCAACTTTCAGGAAGACCGGGGGGGGGACGGCTCTCGACCAGGAGTCCCCTTTTCTCATAGCGGTTTTTAATTAATGGAAGAGACCATTTGGGGACGTAAAAAAAGGGGGAGCGAGGAGCCTAAACCCTCGTTTCCTCTCCCCCCACTCTTATAATATTTAATATATTTAAAAATATTAAAATATTAAATATTTAAATATTTAAATAGCACCACATAAGCACCACAATATAAGATATAATAATTATAATGCAATAATTATATTTTTATTTTATTACATTGTATGTACTAATTAAATTATTGCAAAGTAAGGAGGGAAGACAGACTTTCTTCCTCTTGTAAATCCGTCGTAGCTTTTTCTGCAAGCCAAAAATAAGCGGACCTGATGGCCAAACTTGGCCCGCCAGCTGTTTTGGGACTACAACTCCCATCATCCCTAGCTAACAGGACCAGTGGTCAGGGATGATGGGAATTGTAGTCCAAAAACAGCTGGAGGGCCAAGTTTGGCCATGCCTGTTATATCTCCACATAACTTTTTATAAACCCAGGTACAACTAAACTAAATGGTGAGCGTTTATAAAAGGATGCTGTGATGACTGAGAACCAGCGTGGGCTTATCAAAACAAGTCATGCCAGACAAATCTCATTTCTTCTCCGTTTTTTTGAAAGAGTTTTTTTGAAACAGGACCTGAGCTCAGCAGCAACTCAGCTCACCACATGTGGTCTCCAGCAGCTGGTAGGGTGGCGCTGTGGTCTAAACCACTGAGCCTCTTGGGCTTGCCAATTGGAAGGTCGGCGGTTCAAATCCCTGTGATGGAGCGAGCTCCCATTGCTCTGTCCCAGCTCCTCCCAACTTAGCAGTTCGAAAGCATACCGGTACCAGTGTGAGTAGATATTTTTTCTTTTTTTGGAAAGAGTTGCAAGCTTGGTAGATCAGGGGGATGCTGTGTGCTGTAGTGTATCTTGATTTCAGTAAGGCTTTTGACAGAGTCCACCCACCCACCCTCCTTCGATATTATTGTAGAGAAGTTGGTAAATTGTGGGCTGGATGAGGTTGCTGTCAGGTGGCTTTGTAGCTGGTTGGCAGACCAAACCCAAAGAGTACTCATGAATGGTTCCTTTTCATCCTGGAAAAAAAGTGACAAAGTCGGATGCCACAGAATTCTGTCCTGGGCCAGTTTTCATTCAACGTACTGTATTCATAAACCAGTTGGATGAAGGAATTGAGGGGATGCTCTTCCAGTTTGGAGATCGCACCAAACTGGGAGGGGTAGCTAATGCCGCAGAAGACAGAATCAGGACTTGGTATTAACAGATTGGAGAACTGGCCCAAAACCAACAAAACGAATTTCAATAGGGACAACTGTAAGGTTTTGCACTTAGGCAGGAAGAACTGGCTGCCCTAAGATAAGGGACGCCTGGCTTGCCACAATTTAAGGAAGGATATTGATAAGCTGGAACATGTGTAGAGGACAATGACCAAGATGATTAAAGGTCTGGAAACCAAGACTTTTGAGAAACAGTTGAGGGAGTTGGGTATATTTAGCCTGCAAAAAAAAGAAAATAAAAGAAAGGTGAGTGAGAGGGAGATATGATAGGTAAAGGTAAAGGGACCCCTGAACATGAGGTCCAGTTGTGGCCGACTCTGGGGTTGCGGCGCTCATCTTGTTTATTGGCCGAGGGAGCCGGCTTACAGCTTCCTAGTCATGTGGCCAGCATGACTAAGCCACTTCTGGCGAACCAGAGCAGCGCACAGAAACGCCATTTACCTTCCCGCCGGAGTGGTACCTATTTATCTACTTGCACCTTGACGTGCTTTCGAACTGCTAGGTGGGCAGGAGCAGGGACCAAGCAACGGGAGCACACCCCGTCTCGGGGATTCGAACCGCCAACCTTCTGATCGGCAAGTCCTAGGTTCTGTGGTTTAACCCACAGCGATAGCCACCTTCAAAAGGGCTTTTTCATAGCTGTCACAGGGAAGATGGAGCTTGTTTTCTCCTGCTCCGGAGGGTAGGACTCGAACCAGTGACAAGGAAGGAGATTCTGACTAAACATCAGGAGGAACTTTCTGACCAAGAGCTGTTCGACATTGGAACAGTCTCTCTCAGGGGGTCGTGGACTCTACTTTGTTGGAGGTTTCTAAGCAGAGGTTAAATGACCATCAGACATGGATGCTTTAGTTGAGATTCCTGCATTGCAAGGGGTTGGACTGGATAACCCTCAGGGTGCCTATGATTCTTTGAAAAGGCTTTTTTAAAAAACCCCACAAATTATTAGGAAATGTTACATGGCTGCCCAGCAAAAAAAACCCCAACCCTGTTTATACAGTATTTGTTTCTCCTCAGGAAATACCTCCATATTCTCCTCTTAATTCTCCTCTACCATATTTCTTCATCCCTCCCCCCCTTTATAATTTGCCAACTTTAAATAAACATTTTGCCCCTTCGGCCCTACCCCACAAGTTTTAAGTATCTTCCCTCATAATTGTTGCCTCTTTGGTTTATTATTTTATACATATACTTTGATCCAACATATGCAGCTCAGTTTGTTTACCTTGTGGGCTGTGCAGGAGCAACTCTCATACGTATAAATGCAGGGCTGTATGCTTTATTAGACCTACTCAGAGTAAGCCCACTGAAACTGACGGACACGACTAACTTCTGGGTGTAAATTTCATGGGTTCTGTTCTGAGTAAAACTTGATTGGTTACAACCTGTTATCTTGAAAATGCTTATGACTTTTAAACAGAGAGAGAGTCTCCAACAACCCTTGTTCTGCCTCATTATTTTCTTCATAATTTTTTATATATTCCCGTATATGGCTGGGCTGAGAGGTGGAAGCATCTTTGGGGTTGAGGGGAAGGAGCCGAACACAAATATGACTCTTGGATCCTCCTAGTTTGAGGGTAGGGGGCCATATTCTGTCAGAATGAGGCAAAGCACCATTATGAAAACTCTGCAGGGAAGGAGGTGATTTTACACTCCAGTTTTTCAGTCTGGCAAATGACTCCTGCTGTGATGCATGAAAGAGAAACTATCTTATTTATTCAAGAGATGTATGCCCTGACTTTGTTTGCATTGCTCATAGTGGCTTGCAACAATTAAATGCAATATCCCATTATTATTATTATTATTATTATTATTCATTTCTTATATTTTGCACCTCATGTTGAGCCCAGAGTGCCTAACAACTTACTGCTATTATTGAGAGCATCTGTACCCCGCTTTTCAGCCAAAAGGGCTCCCAGGGTGCCTTGCATACAGTCAGTTAAAATAAGACAGTTCCTGTTCTGAGGCTTTACAGTCTTAAAAAAACAACAACATGCAAGGGAAAAGGGACAGGGAGGGGAGAGGAAAAAATAAAACCCAGGCACTAAGCTCTTAAAAATATGGAATGGAAACAGAATGGCTAACTTCATATAAAAACACAGCAATTAACAACTCTTAAAACTGCAGCATTAAGGCATTAAACACTGACAGCAGTCCTGATAAAGACAGGATATAATTATAAAAGTTAACCAGGTGACAATAAACAGATGGAAGCAGGCTTTTTACTATGACATTTCCTAATGCAATTAAAGGGAGAGCTGCCACCCTCTCCAAAACTCTTCTTTTTATTTGGGAGTGGGATGAGACCTTTTCAGCAATGGTGCATAAGATAAATGTTGGTCACTTGGCTGCAGAATCTATGGCTCTCCAGATTTCCAGATGTTGGGTTTTTTTACTGCAGCTGCCATCATGCCTGACCATTAGCCATGCTGGCTTGGGGTTGATGGGCAACTTGAGTCTAGAGAACCGTAAATGCTCTCAGTGCTTCCTACAGTGGAAAAGCTCCCCCAACATTTCAGTGTGAAAGAGGAGCCCCTTCATTCTATAATCGGAGGAGCACATCATCTTATGGTAGCTGAAATGGGATGGACATCTCATACCCTGATTTTGTTCCTGTGGGATGCAGGGAGAAAGTTTGTGTATCCTGACCACCAGGCAATGGATGTAGGCTTTACCCTTCATGAGATTACAGCCGGAAATTCCCCTGAAATACCGTATTTTTCGCTCTATAGGACGCACCTTTTCCCCTCCAAAAATTAAGGGGAAATGTGTGTGCGTCCTATGGAGCGAATGCAGGCTCCTTGGCTTTAGCGATAGCAACGCGAAGCCTCCGAAGCGCAGAGGGAGCGCACCGACCCCTCTCGCTCTCCAGGCTCCAGGGATAGCCGCCTGAAGCCTTTGGAGCACAGCGGGAACTCGCACTGTGCTCCAAAGGCTTCGGGTTCCTTTCACTGAAGCCAGGAGAGCAAGACTCTCCTGGCTTCAGCAGAGAGGGAGAGCTGCGCAGCGCCCCTTCAGCGAAGCGGGAGGAGAAATGGAAGGGGCTCCGTTTCTCCTGACGTTTCACTGAAGGGGCACTGAGCTGAGAGGGGGAGAATATTTTTTTCTTGTTCTCCCCCTCTAAAACAAGGTGCATCCTATGGTTGGGTGCGTTGTATAGAGCGAAAAATACGGTAAATACTGGAGCTATATGAGAATTATAATTATAGTCCTTGGTGTTTCCTGTTTTGAGGAAACTTGGCACGAAATCAGCACCTAAGAAAGACCACACAGTACTTTTATTTATATATATTTATAGTCCCATCTTCCTGGCTGTAGTTGAAAACCTCAAAACAGCTTGCAGACGTAAAGAGAGCTTAAGATACAATGTATAATTCCCCCTCCCCTGATTTTAAAAAATTTAAAGCTCGAAGCAGAAGAATAGGTTAACAAATGCAACTTTGATAACCATCGCTACATACCTGACTTGTTTCTGAAGAAGCTTGTTCTGCAACTCAGCCAACAAATCTGAAAGTTACTTGGCCATTGGTCTTGCAAGCTGGGGCTTGATGAAGTAGCTGGACTCTACCTGGAGAATTGCATGTTAGCCATCCCCAAACTTCAACACCAGTAAAAACATTAGTAAATGCAGAAACTTGGTCCACCATGCATTTAAAACAATATGATAGTAGTTTAAAGAGGCATGACTTCCCCCAAAGAATTCTGGGAGCTGTAGTTTAAGGGTCCGGAGAGTTGTTACGACCTAGCACTGAGATGGCTCAAACTCTTAAAGCACCATTAAGAAACCTTAAGAAGAGAGTGTTTTTAAGGCCCATTTCAAAGACTAGTCGTACCTTGGATCCTGACCGCCTTGCGAGTCGAACGTTTTGGCGCCTGAATGCCGCAACCTCAGAAGTGAGTGTTCCGGTTTGCAAACGTTCTTTGGAACCTGAATGTCTTCTGTGGCTTCCGATTGGCTGCAGGATCTTCCTGCAGCCAATCAAAAGCCGTGCCTTGGTTTCCAAACCTTTTGGGAGTTGAATGGACTTTGGGAGTTGAATGGAATGGATTCCATCCGACTTTTGAGGTACCACTGTAGTAACTCTGGTGTTCAATTTGCCGCTTTGCTTGGGAGGGAAGTGTGGTAAGTCTTGCATACCCTCCAAGTCTGAGTGTTGGGAACAAGGGCAGCGGCAATTGGCTTCTCTTTCCACATCCTTCTTTCTCTTTTATTATACATTTTTATTGGTGGTTTTTTAACATATCATTTCCAACAATCATTTAACATAACTTCTTATCTTATACAATATTTTAGACTTCCGTCAACGACTTCTGAAGATTTCCTGTTCTTTATTACTTGTTCTGCATTTTTTAATTTCTCTATTACTTATAATTATCCTTTGAGAATTATTAGTTAAGGATAAAACCTCCTTACAGAGCTTCTTGCAGTCCTACTAGCGTAATCCGTTTATTACAATTGCTTTTCAAATAGTTCAAATATTTACTCCAGTCTTCTAAGAATCTCTGATCCCGCAGATTTCAAATCCTTCCTGTTAATTTATCTAATTCTGCATAGTCCACTTTCCACATCCTTCTCGCCAGCTTTCCAGCAGCATTTTTTGAAGCCCTGCTAAATGGAAGTTTGGTCTATCCAGCTCAGCAATACTAATGAATTAAAGCTGACCCCTCGCCCTGTTCGCTGCTTCTGTTACAATTGCAGTCCATGCATTTAGAAGCAGTTTCGGTCATGATGCCACCACCTGAAATTAGATCCGCATTTTGGGAATGAGAAACAGGATCTGGGTGTCTCCTCAGCCGAGGTGCTGCTCATATAACCCTTTCAGAGCTGGTTTCTGCTCCAGTTGTAATGGCTCTTGGCTTTTCTTGGCACCAGTACTATTTTTTTCTCCAGAGTGGCTGCCAGCTGGAGAGAGTCCCAGTCAAGGAGCCAGGATCAGGCTCCCTCCTTAGCAAACTTTGATCCGTATCAAAAAAACCAACAACCCTAACTTTGATCCATACCCACAGTGATAACTCCAGCAGGAATGCAGTCAGGCTGCTAGAGGTTAGTTGAGGTGACGGGAGCAAGTGAGTTTCTCTGTCTGTCTCTCTCTCACTTCCACACAGCAGAGGTGAAGCTCGGGTGATAAAGATGACTAAAGCAGTGAATGTGTGTCTGTGACAAAGACCTTTGTGCAGTTTGGACTCAGAAGCTGCTTACTATCATTCCCGCTGCTACGCAAATCAGTCTCTTAAGCTTAAGCCAAGAAATACTGTAGTATTCTCTATGAAATTGAATATCAATATACGTATCAAGGCTTTGAGATTAGACCACTGAAGAAGCCCGGAAAACTATCTTGGGAGTGTGCTACCTGCAAGCCCCAGTAAAAGGGCCCCATCGGGGGGGGACGGGGGACAGCGGCCTCTTGATTACTTGGACTGCCAGGGCGAAACAGGTGCAAAATGTAGGCACCCTGTCTGCAACTTCATTAACATCTGTCTACAACTCCACTAGCATCTCTCGGTATTGTGAATAACACCAAACTTACCTTTTGTTGGTATCACTTTGAGAAGTCAGGTTACAGGGAACCAGGCAGAGGGCCTTCTCAGTAGTGGCACACGCCCTGTGGAACGCCCTCCCACCAGATGTCAAAGAGAAGAACAACTACCAGACTTTAAGAAGATATCTGAAGGCAGCCCTGTTTAGGGAAGCTTTCAATGTTTAACAGACTACTGTATTTTTATACTTCGTTGGAAGCCGCTCAGGGTGCCTGGGGAGACCCAGCCAGATGGGCGGGTATAAATAAGAAATTATTATTATTATTATTATTATTATTATTATTATTATTATATTTATTTATTTATTTAGTATTTATTATTATATCTTCATGACCTTACCTAAAAAGATAGAGAAAACAAAAGACTGAGTTAAGCATTTGAAAAAGCTGTTGAAATCAGACATTGTAAGTTCATCTCAGACTGGGCTGTTCGCAAGTTTCTGTGACTTTGCGCAAGGTTTTGTATTTTTCTCAGAAGACTGATAAAGAATGTGTAATTACGGTATTTTGGTAATTATTGTGTGTATATTAGTTGCCAATGCGTTGCATAAGTCGTACTACATCCTTCCCGCTGCAGCATTTTGGTTAGCCACTGTGAGAACAGGATACTGCCCTTAGAGGGCAATCATTCTCCAGAGCCATCAGGCTCTTCTTAGGACTCCAGCCCTGGCACTGACTACATCCCTGGGTAGGACAAGTGAAAACCCAGTGTAAAATGTGCCTTGGGTCACCTCAACTGCTTTTACTGTTGGGTATTGATTTGGTAGGGGATGCTGTTGGTGCTGTGGGTTAAACCAGAGAGCCTAGGACTTGCCGATCAGAAGGTCGGCGGTTCGAATCCCCGCGACGGGGTGAGCTCCCGTTGCTCAGTCCCTGCTCCTGCCAACCTAGCAGTTCGAAAGCACGTCAAAGTGCAAGTAGATAAATAGGTACCACTCCGGCGGGAAGGTAAACGGCGTTTCCGTGCGCTGCTCTGGTTCGCCAGAAGCGGCTTAGTCATGCTGGCCACATGACCTGGAAGCTGTACGCCGGCTCCCTCGGCCAATAAAGCGAGATGAGCGCCGCAACCCCAGAGTTGGCCACGACTGCACCTAATGCTCAGGGGTCCCTTTACCTTTATTGATTTGGAAATGTTCCAGGCCTTCCAAGACCTACCTGCTTCTAAAATGAATGCCAGTGTTCTGACTTGGGGGCAGCAGCTGGCTGTGTTCCTAAGATGTGGGGCGAGTGGGAAAAAGAATCCCTAGCATCCAGCAACACGGAAGTTTTCATCCTGTGCTAAATCCTCTGCAGAACCAACTTGTTAGAATTTGCAAACATCCCCCCCCCCCCCGCTCACCTTAGATGGCTTTTGTTGCTTGGAAGAAGGTGTGAGGGTTGAGGAGGTACTTGGCAGTAAGAACCAGTTAGTTCAGCCAGCCCAGGGCATTGCTGGAAAGACCTTGAATCTTTGCTGCTCTTGTTTTTTTCGAGATTGGAGAAGGCTAATCTGCTGCCTTGGGCTACAACTCCCATCAGCCACAGCCGGGCCAGAGGCACCCCGTGTAAACTCCTTTGGAAGGCTTATGCCCAGACCCAGACAGAGGGGGCGGGCCATATGGGCCACTTGGCCCGGGCCTCCGATTCCAAAGGGGACTTCGGTCAGCATATTCACAATCGCAGGGGATGCACTGGGGCAGAGGCGCAAAGGCAGTGGCGGCGGTGGGCAGAGCAGCGCAGAAAGGGCGCCGGGTGCAATGAGTTTCAATATATTAAAACAAATTAAGTCTTTCTTTCAATCAACAATGGCTCGAGAACACCTAGCAATGATAAACATAAACCACGATAAGGCGAAGTTGCTTGATTTTTCCTGCGTAATTCAAGAATTCGCAGAAAAGAAAGCTAGGAAAGCATTTTTAAATGTAAATACCGGTACTTAAAATAATTCTTTTCCCTATGTATTTTCAAAAAGCACTATTGTATAGCTACATTTTCCATTTTGTCTTTATATGCAGATACAGTTCAAGCTTTGAAATAAAATCATTTGTCAGCATAACTTTTGTAAAAATTATGTATAGGCTTACTTATTTATAAGACTTCAGTTATCCCCAGGGTAAAAAAAAACGGGGGGACATTATCTACCTGGCCCGGGCCTCTGCAAGGCCCTGCTTATGCCATAACAAATAAGCCAGCCCAGGGATGTGTTAGCCCAAGGGGGCCGTTATTCCCATCAGGGCAACCTTCTGAGGGCCACGTGCCCGTGGTGGGTGGGGCCAGAGGTAAAAGTGGGTGGGGGAGCCAATATAAATGTTTGCTGCTAGCAACAATCGCTTTGCTCAGCCTCCACAGCTGGAGGCAGTAAGTCGTCTGCATCCCAGTTGCTGGAAACTTTAGAGAGGGCTCTCGAACTCAAGTCCTGCTTGTGAGCTTCCTATTGGGGCATCTGGGTGGCCGCTGTGAGAACAGGATGCTGGACTAGAGTAGGCCGATTTTTGCATGCTCACACGCCGCCACCCCTTTCATCCAGACAAGCAAAATGCATTACAGTGGTACCTTGAGTTACAAACACCTCAGGTTACAAACGCCACTAACCTGGAAGAGTTACCTCGGGTTGCGAACTTTGCCCTAGGATGAGAATGGAAATTGTGCGCCGGTGGCGCGGCTGCGGCAAGAGGCCCCATTAGCAAAAGCACACCTCTAGTTAAGAATAGTATTTATTTATTTATTTATACATACCCCGCCCATCTGGCTGAGTTTCCCCAGCCACTCCGGGTGGCTTCCAGTCAAGTGTTAAAAACTATACAGCATTAAATATTAAAAACAGGGCTGCCTTCAGATGTCTTTTAAAGATAAGATAGCTACTTATTTCCTTCACATCTGAAGGGAGGGCGTTCCACAGGGTGGGCGCCACTACCAAGAAGGCCCTCTGCCTGGTTCCCTGTAACCTCACTTCTTGCAATGAGGGAACTGCCAGAAGGCCTTCGGACGCTCCTTCAGGTATACAGGACCGAGGCCGTTTAGGGCTTTCAAGGTCAGCACCAACACTTTGAATTGTGCTCAGAAACGTACTGGGAGCCAATGCAGATCTCTCAGGACCGGTGTTATGTGGTCCCGGCGGTCACTCCCAGTCACCAGTCTAGCTGCTGCATTCTGGATTAGTTGTAGTTTCCGGGTCACCTTCAAAGGTAGCCCCACATACAGCGCATTGCAGTAGTCCAAGCGGGAGATAACTGGCAAGACAGTCTGCGGACAGGTAGGGTCTCAGCCTGCGTACCAGATGGAGCTGGTAGACAGCCGCCTGGACACAGAACTGACCTGCGCCTCCATGGACAGCTGTGAGTCCAAAATGACTCCCAGGCTGCGCACCTGGTCCTTCAGGGGCACAGTTACCCCATTCAGGACCAGGAAGTCCCCCACACCCGCCCGCCCCCTGTCCCCCCAAAACAGTACTTCTGTCTTGTCAGGATTCAACCTCAAGAACAGTTTCAGGTTAAGAACAATCCTCCGGAACGAATTAAGTTCATAACTAGAGGTACAACTGTATTGGGGTTCAAATAAAACATTCCAGCCCGGTCAAGAAAAAAAAGGTGTGTGGAGAAGCAAGGCCAGTGATGGGTGTGTTCTGCAGAGAATTTGAGGGCCAGGCGGAGAGGTGCAGGGGCCACATTTGTTCTCTGGGAGCCTGAGGTTCCCCACCCCAAGTTAGCCTTTTGGGTGCCACAAAGTTCCTTGCCGGTTTTGTGGCTGTGTGATTGTTTCCTTCCTTCCTTCCTCCTTCCCTCCCTCCCCTTCCTTTTTTATTAAAAATGCCATAAAATGGCTACATACAAATTCAATAAAACCAAGAATACAGCACAAAGTGATACATAGCTTAGCAATTTCAGTTCCAGAGCCACAATGTGTTGATTAAAACCTGAGAAAATAAAATAGTTTTCTGACCACCTGCCTATATTATATGAAGCAGGTGCCAGGCAAATGTCGTTTTACATGGTCTTCAAACAGTCCGTATAGGTTCTCCACGGACGGGTTTGTCAGGCTGGCAGGATAACTTTCCTCTTCTCTTAAGTATGAAAAGAAGGGAGACACTGTGCGGTTCTTACGCATAACAAAAGTACCTTTTCGGTGGTGGTGTCTTTACTGTAAAAAGGAGGAGGGCCCCTAATTTTGATTCCTTTTGAGGGGGTCAGCAGGGAATATATGGCTCTGCTCTCGGAACTGAAAACGTTTTGCAAAAGAGAGCACAGTGCACAACGGCTCTTCTACAAACAACAGAGCATTCAGACCAGACAATCAAAGGGAGCGTTTATGCTTGACAAACAGAAGGGTGTCTCTAGAGGGCTGGATCTCCACTGCCCATTGGAGCAGCGGGCAGAGAACCCTGCCCCTCTGATTGGAGGGAGGCCTGCGATTGGCAAGCCAGGTCTGGCATCCGCAGGTCTGGGCTGGGCTCTGGTTGGAGCAGGAGGGCGCCTTTGAATGCACACCTTAGTTGGCTTTGTATGTGCAGTTACTGAGAGCCCAAGCGGCATCTCTGTTTGCATAGCTGTAGAGCGGAGGCTCAGAGGCTGCTGTTGTTGCTGGCGGGAGTCCATTTTGGAGAGTGGCTGTGCACTTGATCCAAGCAAGGTCAGTGAGCCTGTGTATCTCACTGTGTGTGCACGTGGACAGCCGCAGGAAATAACCTGGAGCGGAGCAAAAAGCCTGTCCAGCTGGAGAAACACTCCAAGCTGCAGTGGACAATTGCATGGAAGGATCACTCCACCAGGCAAGTGTTGCGATGGGTCTTGCAGGTTTGTGCTGTTGTCCCTTCTCCCCACCCCCCTGCTTGCCCAGCCCCAATCTCCCCCTTGGAAATATCCTTTATTGTAAATGACCTCCTGTTCCAACTCCCTTTGCTCAGAGTGGGAGCCTGGAAAAGTCTCACCTGGAAAAGGCAAGCGATTTCTTAACCCTTCTTCCCTTGCAGAACCCCTGAATGTTTAATGTGTGATTTGTGGCGGCCATGGAAAGGGAAGAGTCTTAGTTCGGTGGTGGAGGAAATCTTGCTTTGTGTCCCGGGTTCAGATCCTCAGTGGCATCTCCTGGTAGGGCTGGAAATGTTTCGTGCCTGAAGCCCTGGAGAGCTGCTGCCAGCCAGTGTTGACAGTCCTGGGACTGATGGGCTGAGTCAGCCTAGGGCACCTTGCTATGAGGGTCCTGGTCTTGAGGACTGCTTGGCTGATGCCTGTGGGGAAAACGAGGCAAAGTGGCTCTGCAATGTATGTTTTTATTAGAAGTAAGGTTGTCAGCAACTATGTCTGACTCAGAGTAGACCCACTGAACTTGGCCATGTCCGTTAATGTCAACGGATCTGCGCAGCTCATAACGTTTGTCTAGCTAACAGCTGAACAACTTTCCCTGAGGAAAGGATTGCATATGGAATTACTCATTTAATAACAATTGCACCTTATCAACCTTGCATCTTATCTGCTGTAAATATGTGCCCTGTTTTTCTTTCTTTCCGGGATGTGTGTGAGATAGTTAATTGCAATTAAACCTGTTAATTAGGCAAGTGTTTGTGTAGCTCTTGGATGTGAATTCTCCTCTCAGCTGAGCAATTACCAGGCATTTTCATGTCACTCGTCAGTCAAAAAAGGCTTACAAATGTCGCTGAGAACACAATCCCCTCCCTCACAATCTAAGGTCACATCCAAACCAGACATGATTTAAATCCCATTTCCCTCCTCCAAAGGATCATGGGAACTGCACTTTAGTTAAGGGTGCTGAGAACTGTGAGGGGTGAACTACAGTTCCCAGAATCCTTTGAAGGAAGCAACATGCTTTTAAATATATGGGTGTGGGTGTGGCCTATGAGACATGACACACAAGGAAAGGGGAGTGGGAGGGAAGAGGAGGTGAAAGCAGGTCCAGGCTCTCATTCTTCGTTACAGTCATTGCTTTTTCTGGGTGGGTGGGGGGATATTCAAGGGTACGCAGTACCGGCACCTTTTTGCCTAGGCTGGAAGAAAAGCACTGGTTACTTGCCGCAGCCAGAATGTCAATGGTTGCAGTGAATAAAAAATCTGAGGGAGAGGAGCATAAAATTGCTGGTCTTTCTAGCCATATTAATAGAGCAACCCTCTAGTTTCAACTCTCTTCCTTTGCCTGATGGAATGGCTGCTGAGCTGACTGCTCCTGTTGTCCCTGACCATTGGCCGTGCTGGCTGGAGCTGATGGGAGTTGTTGATAAAAACGGGTGAAAAGGTAAAGGACCCCTGGACAGTTAAGTCCAGTCAAAGGTGACTATGGGGTTGCAGCATTCATCTTGCTTTTCAGGCCGAAGGTGCCGGCGTTTGCATGGCGAGTTCCCGCCTCCCACCAGTAGGAATAAAGACACATGACACCATTATTTTAGGTTAATGGGCTAAAATTGGCCACAACTTTATTGGTTACAGGTAAAAAAAATGGCTTAGCCATTGGTCCTATCTGACTATCTGGCTTCAGCCTGTTTGCTTGAAGACCCGGAAGGGTTAACACCAGCAGGGGGAGCCCTGCTGATGCACATCAACTAGGCACTCCCCCAGGGTCGCCGCTCGGGGGCGCGCTTTAGGCCCTGGCCTCCATAGGCTTCGGACAAGGCCACGCCCCCGGAATCCTTTACCGGACTACCCTTCAATATTTGGGGAAGGTGATGGTGCTCCTCCCCCCCAACACATCTACATAACAATACCCCTACCAATGCCTAACCGCCAAAACCAAAGGAGTTGTGACAATTTGCTATGAGGTAGGCGAAAAACCAAATGGCCGGTGCCAATTTGCCAAGTGGAAAAAATTCCTACCAGGCCCCTTAAAGGCGACCAACCGAGGTCCATAGCAAGGTCAGAAGGGGAACCTTAAAGGGTGGATGGGTGGGTGGGAAAACCTCAACAGCTGAGCGGAACCAAAGAGGGAGATCCCGGGGCTGCGTTTGCCTTAAATGAGGCAAGCCACACACCCTGAGCCAGCCGATGACGCGGCCCGAGGATTCCCCTGATCGCGCAGGGGCTGGAAGCCAGCCTCCGTGCATGTGTTGGGGGGCATGAAGCCCGCAACACCATCTCCTCCCGAGGTTGGAAGGGGCTTTGTCCACAGACAGCTTTCCAGATAATGTGGCCAGCATGACTAAACTGCTTCTGGCGCAACGGGACACCGTGACTGAAACCAGAGCAAACAGAAATGCCGTTTACCTTCCTGCCGCAGTGGTACCTATTTATCTACTTGCATTGGTGTGCTTTTGAACTGCTAGGTTGGCAGGAGCAGGGACAGAGCAGCTGGAGCTCACCCTGTTGCGGGGATTCGAACCACCAACCTTCCAATCAGAAAGCCGAAGTTGTTGATAAGCAGCTTCCAGTGGGGGCACCTCAGGCTAGCACAAGTGGCCTCCTGTTTGCTTAACCTTTCTCCCCACTTCCTGCTTCCCAGGTCTCTCGCCATGGTGAACGAGTCCTTTGGTGCCGGCAATGGGGTGGCCGTCCTTGGCAACGGGGCGGCCGTCGTGAGGTCTGATGGCAGCAGTGGCAGCGACAGCTCCAAGGAAAGTTCGCGATGCTCCACCCCTGTCCTCGACACCGAGCGGCACGACCGCCTGTGGGAGAAGATGCGGAGGCGGCAGGAGTCCGGGGACAAGTGGTTCTCCCTGGAGTTCTTTCCTCCGAGGACATCCAACGGGGCCGTCAACCTGATTTCCAGGTGAGGGGGGTGCTCCGGGGCAGGCTGTTGAAATTCGAGCGTTGTGTAGAAGCCGCCAATGGGAGAGGGATGGTGGGTTGTTTAGTCGTTTAGTCGTGTCCAACTCTTCGAGACCCCCTGGACCAGAGCACGCCAGGCCCTCCTGTCTTCCACTGCCTCCCGCAGTTTGGTCAGACTCATGTTCGTAGCTTTGAGAACACTATCCAACCATCTCATCCTCTGTCGTCCCCTTCTCCTTGTGCCTCCATCTTTCCCAACATCAGGGTCTTTTCCAGGGAGTCTTCTCTACTCATGAGGTGGCCAAAGTATTGGAGCCTCAGCTTCAGGATCTGTCCTTCCAGTGAGCACTCAGGGCTGATTTCCTTAAGAATGGATAGGTTTGATCTTCTTGCAGTCCATGTTGAGCTTCAGACCATATTTTGTGCTCTCCTCTTTCACCCTCAATAAAAGCTTCTTTAATTCTTCCTCACTTTCTGCCATCAAGGTTGTGTCATCTGCATATCTGAGGTTGTTGATATTTCTTCTGCCAATCTTAATTCCGGCTAGGGATTTATCCAGCCCAGCCTTTCGCATGATGAATTCTGCATATGGTGGGAGATGAATTCTGCATATGGTGGGATTGTGGGAGTGCGGGGTTATACTATGGAACTCGCTAGAAACACCATAACCAGACACTGGAGAGACCTGTCAGGAGTAAGCATGGACCAGTGGTACCAAATAGTATGGGAAACAGCCCTACTAGAAAAATTAACCCATAAACTGACATGGGGACAAACAGAAGAAGACGCCTTCACCCCGGTATGGCTCCCCTTTATCACATACACAGCCCAACAAGACAATGACAATAATCCACCAACAGCATACAAATCAATATGGCTAACCTGATCCAAAACACCCACCCACCCCACTTACACACAAAATCAAAGATCACCACAGCCAATCACAAACAAACAACCACACCCTAGGCCAACCCCAACCTCTCTCACCACCAAAGAAACACAAATGAACAGCACGAGCAACGCTGACACCAAACCCTACATACATTAAGCAAAACAGAAACATCGCCACCCCACCCCACCCCCACGAGAGACATTACACATACTTCTGTAAAACAAGAAAATCTTTAATAATAATAATAATAAAAAGCTTAGGTCTTTAAAAAAAACACCAAAAAACCAACAACTATGGAACTCACTGCCACAAGAATGTATGGTGGCCTTGTGAGAGCTTAAGAATCAGACCTGTTGACCCATCTAGTGCAGCATCCTCATCTCAATGGGAAGCCCAGAAACAGGACCTGAGCTCAGCAGCAACTCAGCTCACCACATGTGGTCTCCAGCAGCTGGTAGGGTGGCGCTGTGGTCTAAACCACTGAGCCTCTTGGGCTTGCCGATTGGAAGGTCGGCGGTTCAAATCCCTGTGATGGAGTGAGCTCCCATTGCTCTGTCCCAGCTCCTCCCAACTTAGCAGTTCAAAAGCATACCGGTTCCAGTGTGAGTAGGTATTTTTTCTTTTTTTGGAAAGAGTTGCAAGCTTGGTAGATCAGGGGGATGCTGTGTGCTGTAGTGTATCTTGATTTCAGTAAGGCTTTTGACAAAGCCCCCCCCCCCCGATATTATTGTAGAGAAGCTGGTAAATTGTGGGCTGGATGAGGTTATTGCGCAGGTGACGCTGAGCCTCTTGGGCTTACGGATCGGAAGGTTGGTGGTTTGAATCCCCGCGACGGGGTGAGCTCCCATTGCTCTGTCCCAGCTCCTGCCAAACTAGCAGTTTGAAAACACGCCAGTGCAAGTAGATACCGTATTTTTCACTCCGTATTTTTCGCTCCATAAGACGCACTTTTTTCCTCTTCAAAAGTAAGGGGAAATGTCTGTGTGTCTTATGGAGTGAATGCGTGGTCCCTGGAGCTGAATTGCCCAGGGGCGAAAAGCAGGTCATGCTTTATTTTATTTTTTTAGAAAGAGGGAAGCGGGTGTTGAAACAAAGCCACTACTCTGCAAGCAATGGGGGAGGGAGAGATAAGGGAGGCTAGCGATAAAGGAGGCTGCCTGGGAAGTAAAAGCCCATGTATCCTCAGGATTTTTGCATTGGGTCACCCCAAATTCACCATCAGATCACATAGCATGTCCATGGCTACAGCCTGTGAGGAGAATCAGAACTTACAGGGTTAAACAGTTCTGTGTGACGTCTCACATTCTGAGGCGTGGTTATGTTCACATACGGGAATCTTTCTTTGTGTGTGAGTTTCCTTTTGCTTTTGGCTGAGAGACAAAAGAATGCCTGCTCTCTCGCCGGGACTGATTTATGATGTTTTCCTTCTCATTAAAGGCTGTTAGAGATTAGCAAGAAGCCTGCGTTCAGTCTGATTTATTATCCACACACAAGGCAACATTTTCTGCCGCTGCAGATCTCTGCTAAGAGCTGCAAAGAGAGCTCAAGTTTTTTCTATCGGCACAGGCGTCCATCGGCACAGGGGAAGTGTGCCGGGCGCCATCTTATCTCAGCACAGCCTGCACCAAAAAAACACATGCATCCACTGTTTCGTGGGGCCCCAATTGCACAAAAACGTGGTTGCAAAGCACGGATCCACATGGATTCTCAGGATTTTTGCATTGAGCTACCCCAAACTCACCGTCAAATCACATATAATGACTGTGGCCACAGCATGAACCACAAAAATCATACATCCACTGTTTCGTTCAGAATATTTTTTTTTCTTGTTTTCCTCCTCTAAAAACTAGGTGTGTCCTATTGTCAGGTGCGTCTTATGGAGTGAAAAATTTTGTAAATAGGTACTGCTACTAGCTACTACTGATACCTAGTAGAAAAGCCTCTGGCTTTCCCCCAACCTTTAAACATTTTTTTTCGACTCGTTGTAAATCATTCCCCAGAATGCTTTTCTTATCTTGCACGTCCACCACAAACTTTTTTATTTGTTTCTGTTCGGTGGCAATCTGCAGGCTTGACCGCATGGGTGCAGGCGGCCCGCTCTTCATCGATGTGACCTGGCACCCGGCTGGCGACCCAGGCTCCGACAAGGAAACCTCCTCCATGATGATGGCAAGCACAGCACTCAACTTCTGTGGCCTGGACACCGTCCTCCACATGACCTGCTGCAATCAGACCAAGGAGATGATCACGGCACACTTGCAGAAGGCCAAGCGGCTAGGTCTCAAGAACATCATGGCACTGCGTGGAGGTGAGTTGCCTCACAGCCTGCTTGTAGTAAATCGAGGAAAGATGGTAGCTAGATAATGGAGCAGCTGCTGTTTCCTCAGGCCTGAGAGAGATGGGGTTGTGGGGTCTCTCCGTTGGCTCTCTTCAACCTCTTTTCTGCTGGTCGTTCCGCAAGTGAGGAGGAATGCCCGCATTTTCTATTTTTCCTCTTCCCTCCTCATCCTTCTTCCTTTTGTGTCGCGTCTGTTTTAGACATAACAAAGAACAAGTGCTCAATTTGACTTTCCGCCCTCCTCCATCCCCATCTTTCATCTTTGGTTCAGATTGTAATAATTATTTTAACGGAGAACGAATTTGTCCCCCTCCTCCCAGTTCCTCTTCGTGTTGCGTCTCTCTTTAGATTGTAAATCTGGGAGCAGCCTTATTGTTGGATCTGCTTATACTGCTCTGGGAGCCTAATTTGCTTTATTTGTTTTGGCTGAAGGAAGAGGTAGTGATAACAGGACTAAAGTCAGGCCCGTCAGGAGCAGACATTGATTTCCATCTGGAATGGAAGTTTTCAATCCACTGAGCCTCTGCTGTCTGTCAAAGGGACCAGAAAAGCAGTAGGCAGAAGTTCCTTCTTTGTTGATCCGTATCAGGAGTAGGCAAACTAAGGCCCGGGGGCTGGCTGCGGCCCAATCGCCTTCTCAATCCAGCCCGCCGATGGTCCAGGAATCAGTGTGTTTTTACATGAGTAGAATGTGTCCTTTTATTTAAAATGCATCTCTGGGGTATTGGTGGGGCATAGGAATTCATTCATTCCCCCCCCCAAATATAGTCCTGCCCCCCACATGGTCTGAGGGACAGTGGACCGGCCCCCTTCTGAAAAAGTTTGCTGACCCCTGATCCCATATTGAAGGAGGAGGCCTAATTTTTAATACACATCCATGTTCACTGGATGTCTTGTCCAGGGCTTGTTTAACCATTAAGGAAAATAAGTACAGTGGTACCTCAGGTTAAGTACTTAATTCGTTCTGGAGGTCCATTCTTAACCTGAAACTGTTCTTAACCTGAAGCACCACTTTAGATAATTGGGCCTCCTGCTGCTGCTGTGCCGCCGGAGCACGATTTCTGTTCTCATCCTGAAGCAAAGTTCTTACCCCGAGGTACTATTTCTGCGTTAGCAGAGTCTGTAACCTGAAGCGTATGTAACCTGAGGTACCACTGTACATGCTTAGAGCATCAAGGGACAGGGGGCATTACAGAAAATTTTTGTTGTCAGATTTACCATGGACCATATGGTGCAGCTGAACCAGGTTCCACAAAAAAAGACACTCTCTCACATACACACAAAATGAGCTGAGCGTTCATTTTCTCAGTTGAGGTATATTAAAAATCCCAGCTGAGCAACTATGTAATGAGGCAGGCTGGACGCCTTATCTCTACTAAGTACAGAAGCAGGTGTGTTACGTAAGATTAATTTTGAGGATCTGATCCAAGACTTTGCAAAAGCAGGAGAAAATTCTTTTCATCTATAAATAAAGTGGAAGTATACAAAAATGAACATAATTTTCCATCTTACAGTAGGTTTCCTTTCATTTCGAAAAACAAAATTTTGTTTTATGGTTTATGGTTTGTATTTTGATTTTTTTTAAAAAAAAATATATTCAAAATTATAACAAGACATATTATCCAAAAACATATCATCCTTGTTCCCCCCACCATTTTTCCTCCCCCCTCCCAAACCCACCCCCACCCAACTTCCCTCAGTTCCAGTCTTTGGTTTCTCTGAGACCGCTGTTTTCTGCATGTTACAAAGTTGTATAGATCCTCAAACTATTTAGCTGATTATTATCAATAAAAAGTTTGTGAATGTTCATTCAAAACCTGCCAAGGAGTCCAGTTCACTTTGTTGCATCTTCAGATACTTTGTAAAGGGTTTCCATTCATCCTTAAAGTCACAGTTATCCTTGTCCCGTAGCTTATATGTCAGTTTTGCCAGTTCTGCATAGTCCATCAATTTTTCTTGCCATGATTCTTTAGTTGGGGTTTCTTCAGTCTTCCATCCTTGTGCTACCAGAACTCTCGCGGCTGTTGTCGCATATATGAAGATGTTTTTCAACTTTTTGGGCAGGTCTTTCCCTACAATCCAATTTTGAATTAGATATACCGAATTGGCCTGAATATAAGCCTCTCTCTCTCTATTTTTTTTTTTATTTTTTTTTTTGTAAATTCGGACCGTGGAACGTTAAAGTGTGGTTTAAATTCGCAACCTTGCCAAAATTGGCTTTTCCGATATCACTGCTGAAGCAGACATATGGTCAAACGGAACAAGTGTGAGTGCCTGCGGAATTTTAAGGGAACGGCTTATATTTGGGTATTCTCTCCGCCCCCCCTTTAATTTTAAAGGTTCAGCTTATATTCAGGTGCAGCTTATATCCGGGCCAATACGGGGTGTGTGTGTATAAGTATGTACAATGGTACCTCAGGTTAAGTACTTAATTCGTTCCGGAGGTCCGTTCTTAACCTGAAACTGTTCTTAACCTGAAGCACCACTTTAGCTAATGGGGCCTCCTCCTGCTGCTGCGCCGCCGGAGCATGATTTCTGTTCTCATCCTGAAGCAAAGTTCTTAACCCGAGGTACTATTTCTGGGTTGGCGGAGTCTGTAACCTGAAGCGTCTGTAACCTGAAGCATATGTAACCCGAGGTACCACTGTGTGTGTGTGTGTGTGTGTGTGTATGGAACACCCCCCAGAAAAAACCTTAAAAGTGCTTAGGGCTTCTAAAGGGTTTAATCTGGCTGTGAGTCTTGTCCAGGAGAGAGAGGGAGAGGGAGAGAAAGAGAGAGAGAGAGAGAGAGAAAGGTAAAATGAAGTAAAAGCTGGTACTGTGGGGAGTGTGTGTATTTACAAAAGTGTTGACCGGGCACTTCCTGTCTCTCCCCACAGACCCCATTGGGGAAGAGTGGCAAGAGGAGGTCGAGGGTTTCAACTACGCTGTTGACTTGGTGAAGCACATCCGCTCTGAGTTTGAGGATTACTTTGACATCTGTGTGGCAGGTAAGAGAGAGAGAGAGAGAGACTGGCGGTGTCTGTGCACACATGCCAGTTCTGCAAGGATTACTAAAGGAATGTGAGAATCTGAGCTGGATAGAGATCCGCTCTGTGAACCAACTTTAACTCTGGTCTGGGTACATAAGAAAAACCTGCCGGATCAGTCCAAAGGCCCAGCTAGTCCTGTTCTCAGATCGCTGTGGGGAAACGGCCAAGCAGGATTCGAACACAAGAGCAGCAGTATTTGCCTTTCATGCACGTGCCACAACTTTGCACAGCTGGGTGTTGTTGTTGTTTAGTCGTGTCCGACTCTTCGTGACCCCATGGACCAAAGAACGCCAGGCAGTCCTGTCTTCCACTGCCTCCTGCAGTTTGGTCAACCTCATGCTGGTAGCTTCGAGAACACTGTCCAACCATCTCGTCCTCTGTCGTCCCCTTCTCCTTGTGCCCTCCATCTTCCCCAACATCAGGGTCTTTTCCAGGGAGTCTTCTCTTCTCATGAGGTGGCCAAAGTCTTGGAGCCTCAGCTTCAGGATCTGTCCTTCCAGTGAGCACTCAGAGCTGGTTTCCTTAAGAATGGATAGGTTTGATCTTCTTGCAGTCCACGGGACTCTCAAGAGTCTCCTCCAGCACCATAATTCAAAAGCATCAATTATTCGGCCATCAGCCTTCTTTATGGTCCAGCTCTCACTTCCATACATCACTACTGGGAAAACCATAGTTTTAACTAACCGGACCTTTGTTGGCAAGGTGATGTCTCTGCTTTTTAAGATGCTGTCTAGGTTTGTCATTGCTTTTCTCCCAAGAAGCAGGTGTCTTTTAATTTCGTGGCTGCTGTCACCATCTGCCGTGATCATGGAGCCCAAGAAAGTAAAATCTCTTACTGCCTGCACAGCTGGGTAGCATTCGAATAATATGTAACCTTTGGAAAACAAAAAAACCCCAACCTCTACCCCTGAATTCCCCTGTCTTTCTCGTTGGCCCTGAAGGTTACCCCAAGGGACACCCAGAAGCAGAGAGTTACGAGGAAGACTTGAGGCACCTGAAGGAGAAAGTGTCCGCAGGAGCCGACTTCGTCATAACGCAGCTGTTCTTTAGGTCGGAGACCTTCCTCAAGTTCTTGAAGGACTGCCAGGCTATTGGTATCACCTGCCCTGTCGTGCCCGGGATATTCCCCATACAGGTGAGTTGTGTTTGGGTTCTGCTTATGGGATTCTCCCATCAGGGCATCTGGTTGGCCGCTCTGACAACAGGATTCTGGACTAGATGGGCCGTTGGCCTGATTCAGCAGGGCTCTTATATTTGTTTTTTAAAATATATACTGTATTTTTCGCTCCATAAGACGCACTTTGTTCCTCTTAAAATCTAAGGGGAAATATCTGTGCATCTTATGGAGCGAATGTGTGGTCTCTGGGGCTGGGGTGGGGGAACCCGGGCTTCCCCCCACCGCCAGCCCCACAAGCTCGGGGAGCAGTGGGAAGGTTGCTCCTTTCGCTGAAGTGTTTCCTTTCGCCTCTCCTGGTTTCAGTGAACTCTCCTGGCTTCAGCGAAAGGAACCTGAAGCCTCCGGAGCACAGTGGGAACTCCTGCTGCGCTCCGGAGGCTTCGGGTTGCCTTCACTGAAGGCGAAGGCAATGTGGGAGAGGGAGAGCTCCGTTTCTCCTCCCGCTTCACTGAAGGGGCACTACGCAGAGAGGGGAGATTTTTTTTTTCTTGTTCTCCCCCTCTAAAACAAGGTGCATCCTATAGAGCGAAAAATACGGTATATATACAGTGGAACCTTGGTTCTCAAACTTAATCCGTTCCAAGAGTCCGTTCGACTTCCAAAACTATTCGAAAACCAAGGCGCGGCTTCAAGTAGAAGCCGCGGCGGACATTTGGCTTCCGAAAAACGTTCGAAAACCAGAACACTTCCGTGTTTTTGGCATTCGGGAGCCAAAACGTACGAGTATCAAGGCACGATTCTGTGTGTGTGTTGCAGTTTTTTTGTGCTTTTAACTTTTTGCTTTTTTTCCACTGCCTTGAGACTTGAAACAATTGTATAGAGGGTGATTAATAAATTGATGATCATGATGATCTGAGTAGGGCTGGGCGATATACAGTGGTACCTCGGGTTACAGATGCTTTGAGTTACAAACTCCGCTAACCGGGAAGTGGTTGCTCCAGGTTAAGAACTTTGCCCCAGGATAAGAACGGAAATCGCGTGCCAGCAGCAGCAGGAGGCCCCATTAGCGAAAGTACGCCTCAGGTTAAGAACCGTTTCTGGCTAAGAACGGACCTCTGGAACGAACTAAGTTCTTAACCCGAGGTACCACTGTATCAACACATCATCCAAAGCCGGTAAGAAGTCCATATTGTGATATCGATTTCATAGCTTTTGACCTGGCAATATATCGCGAATCATGATGCGTGTTAGGGCTAGCCAATACGTTGTCCAAAACCGGTTTCAAAGCATGATACCAGTTTCATCATTTTTGACCAGGCATATATTGCAAATCATGGGGTGTGGGGATGTGCTATGCAAAAAATGGCAACGCAAGAAAAACCATGAAGCTGGCCAATGCCTCTACATAGTTCCATTTTTATTTCAGACATTGTGATATATCAGTATATTGCGATGTTCAGATGGGGATGTATTGCAATGTTGAAAACCACATGTCAGAAGCAGAAGTCCCAGCACAGGAAGAATGGATACAAAACCTTATGGAATATGCAGAAATGGCGAAACTTACTGGCAGAATAGGAAATCAAGATAACATTTTTAAAAATAATGGAAATGGTTTATTGAATATTTACGGATAAATTATAAACAGACTGGCAGAGTTATTGTAATAACCTGCAGTTTTATAGGAGTATATATTTAAAGAAGATGAATAAATGAGCAAATTTAGTTGATTTGGATATGCAGAAGATGTTAAAAATAAATTTAAGGAGCCACAGAAAGAGGGGGGGAAGGAAATCAAGTTCTGAACTTTCAAAATGATTGTAAAATCAGTGAAATGTATAAAATTTGTGAAATGTATAAATTTGAAAAGAATGGATGGATGGATGAATAAATAAATAAATACCAAGCATTGTCCAGCCCCAACTGAGAACAGGGCTACCATTCGATCCAACCCATAATTTCTCTCTCCCCCCCCCCCCGCCTTCTCTGCCGTAGGGCTATCATTCCTTGCGCCAGCTTGTGAAGCTTTCGAAGCTGGAGGTGCCGCAGGAGATCAAGGACGTCATAGAGCCCATCAAGGACAACGACGCGGCAATCCGGAACTACGGCATTGAGCTGGCCGTCACCATGTGCCGGGAGCTGCTGGACAGCGGCCTGGTCCACGGCCTGCACTTCTACACCCTGAACCGGGAAGTGGCCACCATGGAAGTCCTCAAGCACCTGGGTCTCTGGAAGGAGGACCCTAGGTGAGCACCTCCATTTTTTCTCCTATTACTAAGAGAGCCAATCTTCGTAAAGCAGGTTACAAAAGTTAACTACCGTATTTTTTGCTCCATAAGATGCACCTGACCATAAGACGCACCTAGTTTTTAGAGGGGGAATGCAAGGGAAAAAATATTCTTTAAAGGGAGCACTGAGCAGAGCCTGTACGCATCCCAGGCTCTGCTCAGCGCTCCCTTTCACAAGCCGCGTGGAGCAAGCGTGCAGCGTTTGCAGGCTTTTCCCCAAGGAGGGCTGCCCCTCTCTCTCCTCGGGGAAAAGCCCCCAAGAGCCGCACACACGCTCCGCGCGGCTCTTTAAAGGGAGTGCGGCTCTTGCGGGCTTTTCCAGGAGGTGGGGGAAAGGACAGACCGTGACTAAGCCAGAAGCTAGAACAGCGAGAGGGAGCGCTGCACAGCGATCCCTCTGGCTGTTCTGGCTTCTGGGATAGCTACGCAGCCTGCATTCGCTCCATAAGACGCACAAACATTTCCCCTTACTTTTTAGGAGGGAAAAGGTGCGTCTTATAGAGCGAAAAATACGGTAGCTCGCAACATCTTTTTTTTAAAAAAGTAGAACCAACTTATTTAATTGTGTTGACACTGTGGGTTAAACCACAGAGCCTAGGACTTGCTGATCAGAAGGTCGGTGGTTCGAATCCCCGCAACGGGGTGAGCTCCCGTTGCTCGGTCCCTGCTCCTGCCAACCTAGCAGTTCGAAAGTATGAAGTGCAAGTAGATAAATAGGTACCGCTCCGGCGGGAAGGTAAACGCCGTTTCCGTGCACTGCTCTGGTTCGCCAGAAGTGGCTTAGTCCTGCTGGCCACATGACCCGGAAGCTGTACGCCGGCTCCCTCGGCCAATGAAGCGAGATGAGCGCCGCAACCCCAGAGTCGGCCACGACTGGCCCTAATGCTCAGGGGTCCCTTTACCTTTAAACAATGCAAGTGCAGGAATGGAAACAAACAAGATTCCGGTCAATAATTGCACAGTTTTGCAAAGATGCATCGAGTTATGACAGAGGTTTAACGAACAATTGCTGTCACAATCTGAAACAGAGTATATGCAAATGGGAAATAAAAAAGTAAAGGAGAGGGAGGGAGAAAAGGGGGGCGAGGAAAGAAGCCAGCAAAGTAATAAGGAAAGGTATCGAGTGGAATCAGAGAACTGTACAGTTCGAAGAGACCCTGAGCATAATCTAGTCCAGGGGTCAGCAAACTTTTTCAGCTGTGGCCTGTCCACCATCCCTCAGACCATGTGGTGGGCCAGACTATATTTTCTGGGGGGGAAATGAACGAATTCCTATGCCCCACAAATAACCCAGAGATGCGTTTTAAATAAAAGCACACATTCTACTCATGTAAAAACACGCTGATTCGCAGACTGTCCACGGGCTGGATTTAGAAGGCGATTGGGCCGCATCCAAACCCCTGCAATGCAGGAATATTCAGCTGTCCCATATGGGGATCATACTTGCAACCTTGACATTATCAGCACCACTATCTACCCAACTGAGCTATTTAGTGGGTGGACCCTTTTTATTTATATATTTATGATCTTTAAGAACAATATTCATACACTCTCAACAGAATTTCAAAAGGATTATATCTAACCCCCCCCCGTCTGTCTGACCTGCCAGAATTCTTTAAACATTGCCCATCCTTGGTAGAATCTGTTTATCATCTTGTTGAACCCAAAGGAATCCATCTTGCCATATTCTTGACTAGCTTGTGGGAATTGTTTCCATGCTGGCTGCCGGGTAAGGGAAATTCCATCCTCTGCAGCCTTCATGGATGTGAAGGCTAGAAATATCTTTTTAAAAAATTGGCCTTCTAGCCAGCAGACTGGCAGAAGAGGAGCAGAGAGGGTGATTCTCTACCACCAGTTGCTTGGTGGCCCAGGCAAGGGTAGGCCAGAAATTCCTGGTTGGACAGGCAACAGCACCTTGGAGAGCAGTCTAAGGTTTGGGTTAAGGACCACGGACAGCTCTCCTGCAAGTGGGGCCAGGCATACAAGTTGTCTCAGCGAGATATTGCTTTGACCAGCAGACTCCACTGGCCTCCTCCAGTCAGCCTGTGCTAGGAATGTGTAATTCTCTGGAGCGTTCAGTCTCTCCCAACACAAAGACAGAACAGGCAATCTCCATGGATGGGAGGTTAATTCTGCTGTCTCTGTGCCTGCCACTGTTCTCTCCTGAGCTTAGCTTCTCCCAGTTATGAGGCGTGCTCAAAACAGTCATACATCACCAGAGACGGAGAACTTTAAAGTGTTAAGATCAGAAGGCGGAAAACATGAAAAGAATGAGAAGGAATGAAGATTTGAAGATATGCTTCAGAGGTCCAGACTATGGGGAGCCTGGAAAAATTAATAATTACAATTTGGTCGTTTTTTTATTGTAGTTTATTGTTTTTAATCAGATTATGATGCGTATATGTTGATTGGCTGTTTTTATTGGAAAATCAATAAAAATGATTTTAAAAAAACAACAGTCATACATCAGGGTGCAATTGATTCTATCTTACTTACATGCTGTAAAAGTAAACCTCATTTATTCACTTGTGTATATATCCCACTTTTTGCACACGATTCCCCCCCCACACACATTTAATCCTTACAACAATCTTGCGAGGTAGGCTAGGCTGAGAGACAGTGACCAGCCCAAGGTCCCCGTGTGAACTTCAGGGTTCAAGTGGGGATTTGAAACTTGGCCTACCAAATGCCAGTCCAACCACTACAACCACACTGACTCACTTGCTGGGTATAAAAATGAGCCATCCCTTCAGCTTTTAATTCAGGGGGAACAAAACACGTTTAAGCTACCGTGAAGTGTTGAAAAAGATGCAGCACGCAAGTATACGTGCAAATATTATGTTTTAATTTTCACTCCCTCCTTCTCCCTCCCCTGCAAGGCGTTCCCTGCCCTGGGCAGTCAGTGCTAACCCCAAACGGCGAGTTGAAGATGTCCGACCAATTTTCTGGGCCTCCAGGCCGAAGAGTTACATCTACCGAACTCAGGAATGGGATGAGTTTCCTAATGGCCGCTGGTGAGTGTGGCGGGGGGGGGGCAGGTGGATGTATCCCTCTGGAAAGATCTGGTTGAACTGGGAAGTGATGGGAGATGTATCTGAATTAAAACAGAAGATGCCAGAAAGATGCAATGGTTATAGACCCGTTGAGGTAGTTATATATAATTTTTATTAAATTTTACATTTCAAAATATTCTTTTAAACAACCTTAAATCCGTGACATCCCTTCTTCTCTTTCCGTGGTTCATTTTGCATACCATACATCCCTGCATATTTTGCATTAATTAAACCATTCAGTAATCCACTGTTACATCCATCGAAACTTACTTACACTGCTGAATTCATCTTAATGCTGTCCGCACTTTTAAATGAACACAATTTTCACCCAAATATTCAGTAAACATTTTCCAGTCTTCTCTAAACATATGTTCTTCTTGTTCTCTTATGTTAAATCTGCAAGTTGTGCACATTTCATCAGTTTAAGTTGCCATTCTTCTTTGGTTGGGACCTCGCTCGTTTTCCATTTTTGGGCTAACAAGACATGGGCTGCAGAAGTAGCCTACATAAATAGCCTTTTTTGACACCTGGGAATTTCCCTCTAATAGACTAACTGATAGGTTAATGGAATGACTTATCTCTTGGGCCTATTAATTTCAGCGGGGCTACCCTGTGTAAAACCTAGTTGACTGAAACCCATAGGGTTGTCTCCTCCCAAGTCCAGAAAAGACCCTATACTTTCTGGGCAGATTTCCTTGTTTCGTTCCCTTGTTTGATTCATTATTTCATGAAATGGATACACCACTTAAGTATTAAAAAAAGCAAACGAGCCTCAAAGCGGCTTACGAAAATGACAAAACAATAAAATTTATCAGTAAGAAAAATGTAACAGCAATAATGTAAGACTTTCAAGAGCTCAAGTTCACAACTGGTTAAATCAGATGGAAATATGCATCAGTTTTCTAAACATCTGGGCTTCACGAATGTTTCTAGCACAGAGTACAGCGATGGCAGCTGCCTGATGTCAATAGGTAGGGAGTTCCACAGTTTGGAACTGTGGAACACTAAAAGATGGACTTCTTATAACAGGGATTACCGTATTTTTCACTCTATAAGGCGCACCAGACTATAAGACGCACCTAGTTTTTGGAGGAGGAAAACAAGAAAAAAAATATTCTGAATCTCAGAAGCCAGAACAGCAAGAGGGATTGCTGCGCAGTGAAAGCAGCAATCCCTCTTGCTGTTTTGGCTTCTGGGATAGCTGCGCAGCCTGCATTCGCTCCATAAGACGCACACACATTTCCCCTTACTTTTTAGGAGGGAAAAAGTTAGTCTTATAGAGCAAAAAATATGGTATGTGGTCCCTGCAACAGTTCTGCTGATCGAAGCAGTCAAGTGGGTGAATTGGGGGGGGGGCATCTTGCCCGTAAGGGAGCTTGTTCCTGCCCCGCCCTAACACGCCTTCTCTCCCGCAACCCTCAGGGGTAACTCATCCTCCCCAGCCTTTGGGGAGCTGAAGGATTATTACCTCTTCTACCTGAAGAGCAAATCTCCGAGGGACGAGCTGCTGAAGATGTGGGGCGAGGAGCTGACCAGCGAGGAAAGCGTCTTCGAGGTGTTCAGGTGTTACATCGCCGGAGAACCCAACAAGGATGGACACAAGGTGAGAGATTCAGGGAGGACCCTGGCCCATGAACCTCCACATAGGGGGTGAACAAGTGTTGGCGTCCGGTCTCTGGAGTCCTGGCACAAGTCTCACATACCCTCCAATATTTCTCCAATGAAAATGGGGGTGTCCTATTCCGTTGTTGTTGTTGTTATACCCCACCCATCTGGGCGTCTTCCAACATAAATATATATAGTGGTACCTCAGGTTACATACGCTTCAGGTTACAAACTCCGCTAACCCAGAAATAGTGCTTCAGCTTAAGAACTTTGCTTCAGGATGAGAACAGAAATCGTGCTTCGGCGGCGCGGCAGCAGCGGGAGGCCCCATTAGCTAAAGTGGTGCTTCAGGTTAAGAACAGTTTCAGGTTAAGTACGGACCTCCGGAACGAATTAAGTACTTAACCTGAGGTACCACTGTACAAATAAATTATTGTTGTGGTTAACACATGTGTGTGTCTGCTTGAGGTATAACGGGGAAGGAATTTTAAAATTTAAGGGGATTTGGAATTATGGGAGAAAGCTGCCCTCTCCCCTTTCCAAAATAATGATAGTTTTTCTCCCCCCCCTCCCATAGGTGACCTGCCTGCCTTGGAACGATGACCCTCTGGCGCCCGAGACCAACCTTATGAAAGAAGAGCTGGCCAAGGTGAACAGGAGAGGGATCCTGACCATCAATTCCCAGCCGAATATCAATGGCAAGCCCTCCAGCGACCCGATTGTGGGCTGGGGTCCCGACGGAGGCTACGTCTTCCAGAAGGTAAGATGCCTGGGGACATTATGCTCTTCTCCCCTTCCCTTCCCTCCCATCTCCCAGTCCAAGCAGTTCCGTCCTCTTGCGTAGATCGTATGTGTTAACTTCAAGCTTGCGTTTTTGTGTGAAAGGAAGAACCACACTGCCTTTCGTGGCAAAGCTTTAGGCACTTCCGGGGGTCAGGCTGGATGACCCCTGGGGTCCCTTCCACTCCACAGTTCTGTGATTCCAAGTCGTGTGCTATGGCAAATTAGGAACGTAGATTTGTTTGACATGTGTATAGGCTGCTGTTCAGGGTCCGGTTTCAGGAAATGGTATACATCTCTCAGTAGGGATAGGAACACAGGAAGTTAGTTGTCTTTTAACATGAAGTCATATACAGTGGTACCTTGGTTCTCAAACGCCGAAAACCTGGAAGTAAGTGTTCAGGCGGCTAGTCCTAGTCTTTATACCTTCTTCCAGAAGGTGGAAGCTGAAAGAGATCATTTCCGGGGTGGACACTATCCTGCACTATCTCTGCTGCGTTCTTGTGGCACCTGGCAGCATAGATTTGATCCAAGGTGGGAAGAGTGCAGCCAGTTATTCTCTCCACAGTCTTTACAACCCTGGACAGCATTGTTTTTCCCCTGTTTTTCCCAAACCACACACACAGACCATAATGCACTCTCCAAAGTGCAATGGTAAAATGCCATCAACAGGTCCTTTCAACCCTTCTCTTTAGACACTGGAACATAGGAAACTGTGTTCTGTATAAAACACAGTTCTGAATAACTGTGTTATTCAGGCCGTTGCTCTGTCCAGCTCAGTCGCATCTATATGGACTGGTAGCAGCTCTCTGACGTTTCAGACCAGACTCTCTCCCAGGCAGACCTGGAGATGCCGAGGGTTCAACCTGGTTCCCGAGGCCTTCTGCATGCCAGGCAGGTGTTCTGCCACTGGGCTGTGGCTCCTCCCCTCATCCTTTAGCTTGAAAGGTTGATCTGTAGCTGTAACTTGGCCCAAGCAATTCTCAAGCTGCAAGACGTAGCCAAGGCCCGCTAAATCAAAGAAGTCTGGCCACTCGGTGCCAGCAGGTGTCAGAAGCAGTAGAGGGAAAGAAAGATTCCCCACCTCAGAAATATTGAAGTGTGGGGACAGGGCGGGGTGTGTGACAAGCCCCTTACAATGAGCGAGTCAATTGTGGAGGGAGCTGTGATCCTCAGCGCCAGCTGGCTACAAAGCAAGCGGTGGGGTGATTAAGCAATGCTAGCAGGGGGCTAGCAGATCTGTGTTTGCGAGACAAAAGGCTGCAGGGATGCGGATTTCAAAAGCTCTCATTATGAGCCCATGGGGCGCTGTGTCACCGGCCCCCATTAAATGGGGACCCCCGCTGCGAAATTGCTCCCCTCCCAGTGAGCCACCAGAGTGCTTTCGAAAGCAGCCTCTTGATCTTCACCACACACCCCTTCCCCCTTTTTTAAAACTCTGACCACAATGAGAAATCCAGTCTATCCAGTTTACCTTTCCGATGAAACAAAAAAAGCATTCCTAATAATATCCAGGTTTTGGATCAACTTTTTCAATTATTATTATTTTTTGGTACCGTCTCCCTTCTCTCTTAATCCAAATAAGATTAAGGTCAAGTGAGACTTTTGCTCAGTGCCCCAAAGCTAATCCCAATGTGAACTGGGGGGTGGGGTGGGAAGGAGGGTCTTTTTCTTCAGAGAGGCAACCGGCGTTGCTGTTTCTACGCTGCTCTGCTCCACATGGTAGCAGAAACACTGAAGTAGAGCAAAATTGATTTAACACAATCACAGACCAATAAAGGGACAGCCAAGCAGTACTATTGTAATAGTAAAATTTAAGGTCTCATATATATATAATAAATGTTCATAAATGTACCAACCAAGCACGTACATAGATCAGCACAGGAAGACTGTCCTGAAACCATTTTGACTCCCAAACTGACCAAATGTTTTTTTTGCAAGGAGGGAAAGCAGGGAGCCTTCCCATTGTCTCAGGAATTGGGAAATCACCACCTCAAAGGAATGGCCAGACTACCAGGAAGGCAATCAGATAAGGCATTATCAGATAACCTGGCAGACAGGAAAAACAACAGCATTCAAATTTCTGTTGTAGACCACCTTTTCTGTGTTGTATGTATGATGTATGGAGGGGTGGTCTTGAGTGACAGGGCAGGGAATTTAAAATGTCTATATAAGGCCTTGCACGCCATTGTTCTGGGTTCCCTATTAGGGACTTTGTCTTCTTTCCATCTCTGGGCCAGTAACAACCGGGTGGCTGTCGTCGCATACATAAAAAGTATTTCCTGCTCCCTTGGAATATCGGCACCTACAATTCCTAATAGAAAAACCTCTGCTCCCACCCCCCCCAAAGTTAATTTAAACATTTAAATTGTGCCATTGCTGGGATTCTTTGGTGTCAACACCTCCTCTCTCGACTCCTTCCAGGCTTACCTGGAGTTCTTCACCTCCAGCGAGAACGTCAGAGCCCTCCAAACTGTGTTGAAGAACTACGGCCAGCGAGTGAATTACCACATTGTCAACGTCAAGGTGCGTCCTTCCTCAGTGCCAGATTACCAAATAGACAGACTGGGCACTGGCCTATGAGCCTAGGGGCCCCTCAACATCGGATCAAAATAATATTGATTTGATCTTGGGGGGAAAATAGGGGATCATTTGTGAGGGGCCCTGCGAGATTCTGACTGCCTAGGAGACTCCACTGGGTTTAATCCGCCACTGGTCCTTCCTCTGGTAGGCTGGCAGTGAAAACGTTTCTGTGGAAACTTGGGGTGCTTGGACTGAGAGCGGATGTGGGGAGCAAACCCTCTGCTTGTGATCTCTGGAGAATATTATGAGAATTGTTCAGCCTCTGCTAGGACAATTGGTTTTGGGTTTATGGCCCCTCCTTGTGGCCCAGCTTCAGTGCCTACTGTTTAGCCAGAGAATCTGATCAGCTGCGAATATCATTCCCTGGAGCTTTCTGGTTTACTTCACCCAGCTGGATGCAGGGAGGAATGATGATGATGATGATGATGATGATAATAATAATAATAATAATATATTATTTATACCCCACCCATCTGGCTGGGTTTCCCCAGCCACTCCTGGCGGCTTCCAACAGAACACTAAAATACAACAACCTATTAAACATTAAAAGCTTCCCTAAACAGGGCTGCCTTCAGATGCCTTCTAAAAGTTTGGTAGTTATTTTTCTCTTTGACATCTGGTGGGAGGGTGTTCCACAGGGCAGGTGCCACTACCAAGAAGGCCCTCTGCCTGGTTCCCTGTAGCTTTGCTTCTCGCAATGAGGGAACCGCCAGAAGGCCCTCGGCGCTGGACCTCAGCGTCCGGGCAGAACGATGGGGGTGGAGACGCTCCTTCAGGTATACTGGGCCAAGGCCTGTTCAGTTGGGCCTGGGATCTGTAAAAAAGAAAAAGAAAAAAAGTAAAGTACCTCTGGACGGTTAAGTCCAGTCAAAGGCGACTATGGGGTTGCGGAGCTCATCTCGCTTTCAGGCCGAGGGAGCCGGTATTTGTCCGCAGACAGCTTTCCGGGTCATGTGGCCAGCAGGACTAAACTGCTTCTGGTGCAATGGGACACCGTGACGGAAACCAGAGCGCATGGAAACGCTGTTTACCTTCCTGCCGCAGCAGTACCTATTTATCTACTTGCACTGGTGTGCTTTCGAACCGCTAGGTTGGCAGGAGCTGGGACAGAGCAACGGGAGCTCACCCCGTGGTGGGGATTCGAACTGTCAACCTTCCGATCGGCAAGCCCAAGAGGCTCAATGGTTTAGACCACAGCGTCACCCGCATCTTGAGATCTGTACAGGCCTGGCAGCAAGTTAACAGGTGTATGCAAAACCGTGATGCAGCTGTTTCCAGGCTGCATGCGCCCCATTTCTTTCTCTTCCTTCTAAACACCTTCCTGTTTCTAAACACCTTCCTGTTTCCCGTCGGTAGGGTGAGAACATCACCAACGCGCATGAAATGCAACCCAACGCCGTAACGTGGGGCATTTTCCCCGGCAGAGAGATCATTCAGCCGACGGTTGTAGACCCGGTTAGCTTCATGTACTGGAAGGTAAGAGGGTTATTGTCCCCTGCCCTGCCCCAAACACCCGGGAACCTCTTAGCCTGTTGGTACAGATCTGGGGCTTTGGTAAATTTCCGTGGAAAATGTATGTGAGCAGAAGTACAAGGTGCCAATTACTATTCCCTAGAACTTGTACCGGGGTACCTCTGCTCCTCTAATAACAAGTTGGGGGTACAACCCCCACTTTTGCCTGCACAGGTTCAGTGAACTCATAGGTCTGTATCAAGTCATAAGAACATAAGAACCCGCTGGATCAGAGCAGTGGCCCATCGATTATGATGGGTAGGCAAACTAAGGCCCGGGGGCCGGATCCGGCCCAATTGCCTTCTAAATCCGGCCCATGGACGGTCCAGGAATCAGCGTGTTTTTACATGAGTAGAATGTGTGCTTTTATTTAAAATGCATCTGGGTTATTTGTGGGGCATAGGAATTCGTTCATTCCCCCCCCCCCCAAAAAAAATATATAATCCAGCCCCCCTGATGATGATGATGATTGATTGATTGAGTTTATATACTGCCCTATACCCGGAAGTTTCAGGGTGGTTCACAGACAAATATAATCAGAATAAAAACAACCACCCAATAACACCCTACTCAGAAAAGAGCCACATTTTAAAAGGGTATAGGATAAGTTTACCAGACGTCCCCGTTTCCTGGAGACAGTCCCTGGATTTAAAATCTGTCCTCTGACAAAATCCTATCATTCCTATTGAAATTGAAAAGAGTCCCCGAATTCATTGGAAAAAACCTGGTAACCTTAGTATAGGATGTCAAACAGATCAGCTAAAGGCCTGGTTAAAAAGGAACATTTTTGCCTGGCGCTGAAAGGTGTATAGTGAAGGCGCCAGGCGAACTTCCCTGGGGAGAGCATTCCAGACAGGGAGCCACTGCAGAGAAGGCCCCGTTCTCATGTTGCCACCCTCTGGACCTCTCAAGGAGGAGGCACACAAAGGAGGGCCTAAGAGGATGATCTCAGGGTCCGGGTGGGTTCATATGGTCACATCTAGTCACATTGGCTAAGCAGGTGCCTCCAAGGGAAGCCTGCAGGTCCTTTTCTGAATGCTAAGGGCCATAGCTCAGGGGTAGAGCATATGCTTTGGATGGAGGAGGGCCTCAGGTTCATTTCTCAGCACCTCCAGGTAGAGCTGGGAAATGTCCCTGTTTATGCAACACCAGAGAGCCACTGCCAGTTAGTATAGGCAGTGCTGAGCTTGACGGACTGAATAGTCTGGCTCTGTCTAAGGCAGCTTCCGCCTGTAGCTCAGCGCAAGGGTATCTGCTTTGCACACAGAATGCCCCGAGTTCAGTCTCTGGCATCTCCGGGTAGAACCCAGCCTGAAACCCTGGAGAGCCACTGCTGGCCATAGCAGGCAACACGGAGCGAGTTGCGCCGATAAGTCTGAGTCTGCATAATGCAGCCTCCTCCATACGCTCATTCCCTGAGATCATCCTCTGAGGCCCTCCTTCGTGTGCCTCCTTCTCGAGTTGTCCGGAGGGTTGCAACACGAGAACGGGGCCTTTTCTGCAGTGGCTCCCCGTCTGTGGAATGCTCTCCCCAGGGAAGTTCGCTTGGTGTTTTCATTATACACCTTTAGGCGCCAAGCAGAAACGTTCCTTTTTAGTGCAGGCCTTCGGTTGATCTGATTGACATCCTATGCCCTTTTAATAAAAAAAAAATTAATTATTATATATTTTGTGGTTTTATATATTGATTTTATTCTGTGAACCACCCTGAGACCCCCGGGTATAGGGCTGCACAGTGGTACCTTGGGTTACATATGCTTCAGGTTACACACTCCGCTAACCCAGAAATAGTGCTTCAGGTTAAGAACTTGGCTTCAGGATAAGAACAGAAATCGGGCTCCAGCGGCACGGCGGCAGCAGGAAGCCCCATTAAGTACTTAACCCGAGGTACCACTGTATATAAATTCAATAAATAATAATAATTCGTTTCCCATAGTTCCTCTTGCTCTCCCACCCCCACCCTGAGTTGTTTTTAAGTGTGACCCACTTCTCTCTCTCTGCCCCCCTCGGACAGGATGAGGCCTTTGCCCTGTGGATCGAGCAGTGGGCCAAGCTGTACGAAGAGGAGTCCCCCTCTCGCATGATCCTCCAGTACATGCACGACAACTATTACCTGGTCAACTTGGTGGACAACGACTTCCCCCTGGACAGCTGCCTCTGGCAGGTCTTGGAAGACATGCACACGCTCTTGAACTGTCCGGCAGAACCGTGAACGGGAGAAAAGGCACGCAACCTCCCAGATTTGGCTGGCAGCATGGTCAAAAACCTTAGGGATGCGAGGTTGGAACCACAGTGGCCCAGACACTCCTCTAGGGGGCGCCGTTGGCTGAATTTTCCCCCCATTGCCTTCAAAGCGGGAGGCCGGTTAAGACAGGCACATCTCCCTTCTGATCCAAAAGACTCTGAGGATGTTTTCGAGCCCTTCTTGGGTTATTACAATCCCTTTCCCCCTTATACTAATGGCAGCTAGAAATCCTTATCCCCTCCACCCCAAATCTCTGTCTGGCCCACCCCCCTTGTTTCTGGGTTGCACTCTAAAAAAGAAAGCTTTCAGCTGCTGCTTCAGTGCACACCCTCTGATCGATGGGACTGATGGCTTCACAAGCCTCTAGTTCAGAACTGGAGTTGCAGAAAATCAGGATGAGCACAACCCCCTGCGACGCAACTGCCCTCCTCTGGGGAGCCGCAATGTGTGGCCGGCTATTTATTTTGTTTTTATTTTATTATAAAGGCGCAGGATCGTGGTCTTCTTCCTGCGTCTTCTCGTTTTCTCTTGCAGGGGAGGGGGAAGTATTTAAAATGCTTGTAAAGGGAAGGAGAGAAGTGAAATCGAAATGAAATAAAATGTAGTTGATGCCTATGTGACTTGCCTTTTTAAAAATGTGTCGAACAAGAGGAAGAGCTCAGGACTTACTAGGGAATCACGTTGTAGCAGTGTGGTTGGGCACATCGCGGTGAATACAGGGAGTTATGGTAACGTGGTCCCTCCCCCCCCCCCCAAACACCCATGGCAGGTGTCCATTGGGACTTGTGGGGCAGAAACATATGGGTACGGGCGCCATTTTGAATCAAGATGGCGGAACGAAACATGACGCTGGCATGACTGCCCATTTGGGGGCATACTTTCTTGTGATATTGTTGCCAAACTCTACATTAGGGGCTCCTGGGGTAGGGGTGGGAGCACACTTTTTTAAGCTGTTGGAATGCCGGGCACCATTTTGCAACAAGATGGTGGACAGAAGAATCACTTTTGCATGGCTTAGGCCTGTTCAGGGGCCACAGGTTCAGCTGCATCTTGAGATAATGCAAGAGTTCCTGAGGATTGACGTCAATGTTTGGGTGCCTTTTTGAACCAACATGCCAAACGGAAACGTAACTTCAGCACACCTTTGCCTGATTTTTGGTGTGGCTGGTCCAAACTCACAAATGACACTATCCATTTATAAAAACATCTCTTTTCATTTTTAAAAAAATTTCCAAGCACTTTGTGCTAGTCTGTAATAATCCGTTTTGAGGCTTAGGGTATATAAACTTCATGAAATATAAATAAAATAAGAAGGGCTATGAACTTTTTCTTTCTCTCTCTTAATGTTTTATTTTCAGTTTTTAAACATTATTATACATTCACATAATTTTCAATTTCTACACTTCTGGGATCGCTTAGATCCCTTGGACTCTGCCCCTCCCCCATCTAATTACATTTTTCTAATCCATTTTATCTCCTTTTTTTACCTTAAAAAAAAAAAAAGGTAAAGGACCCTTGACAGTTACCGTATTTTTCGCACCATAGGGCGCACCGGACCATAGGGCGCACCCAGTTTTTAGGGGGGAAAATCAAGGAAAAAAATATTTTTCCCCCCCAGCCCCAAAGAGCAGCGTACAGGCTGCACACAACCTCTCCCTGCCAGAGGGTTGTGCGCAGCTATGGAAGAAGGCAAGGCAGCGGCGGGATGGATCCCGCTCGCTGTTTTGCCTTCCCTTTAACCCGTGCAGCCTCTCCTTGCCGGGAGAGGCTGCGTGGAGCTAGAAGCCATAGCCCCGTGCAGCCTCTCCTTGCGGAGGGGTTGCGCGCAGCTATGGAAGAAGGCAAGGCAGCGAGCGGGATGGATCCCGCTCGCTGTTTTGCCTTCCCCTTTAACCCCGTGCAGCCTCTCCTTGCAGGGAGACGCTGCGTGGGGCTAAAGAAGCCATAGCCCCGTGCAGCCTCTCCCTGCCGGAGGGGTTGCGCGCAGCTATGGAAGCAGGCAAGGCAGCGAGCGGGATCCATCCCGCTCGCTGTTTTGGCTTCCCCTTTAGCCCCGTGCAGCCTCTCCTTGCCGGGAGACGCTGCGCAGGGCTAAAGAAGCCATAGCCCCGTGCAGCCTCTCCCTGCCGGAGGGGTTGCGCGCGGCTATGGCACAAGCCTGCATTCGCTCTATAGGACGCACACACATTTCCTCTCAATTTTTGGAGAGGAAAAACTGCGTCCAATAGAGCGAAAAATACGGTAAGTCCAGTCGCAGACGACTCTGGTGTTGTGGTGCTCATCTCGTTTTACTGGCCAAGGGAGCCGACGTTTGTCCGCAGAGTTTTTCTGGGTCATGTGGCCAGCATGACTAAGCCGCTTCTGGCGAAACCAGAGCAGCACACAGAAATGCCGTTTACCTTCCTGACCTATTTATCTACTTGCACTTTTTGGTGTGCTTTCGAACCGCTAGGTTGGAAGGAGCAGGGACCGAGCAACGGGAGCTCACCCCGTCGCGGGGATTCAAACCACCGACCTTCTAATCGGCAAGCCCAAGAGGCTCAGTGCTTTAGATCACAGCACCACCCGCCTTAGCTTGGCTAGAAACTTTTCCTTTCAACCTGAACGTAAGCCGAAAGTCTCGGTGCCCTCAAAATACGTGATGTCTGTTACATTGCATTCTTGAGTATTAAGCCAAATTTTGCACAATCCTTTGTCTTCCAGGTGCAATCTCCCTCAGTCCCCTATTTTAAGGTCCTTTTGGGATTTGTAGGTGCTTATCCACCTTTCTGGTCCAGATAACAGAGCAAGCATGAATTTATCTGGTACTTTTTCTTTCTCCTTCTGCTCAGTATCTCCCCCTCTCAACCCTAGAGTCCAGGAGCAAACGGCTGATGGCACAAGTTAATCCCAACCCGATCGATTACAGGTGGGAGCTAATGAGACGAGAAGCATGTCCCTGAAGACGTAGAAGGAAGCTTCACTTTTTGGGGGTGGCGAAGGCTCAGCTGTTCCCAGCAGGCTCCTTCATCATCAGCCTAATCAGCGGAAAAAGGAACCCAGGGGTGTGAGGAAGAGGAGGCGGAAAGGTCGCCTGCCTATCCAAGCATTTAATGAAGAGGTGATGGATGTCACAAAGAGAAGGGAGTTGGGGGTGAGGATTTCCAGCTGGGAGGCCGGCCCTGCAAAAAATACACACATACACCCATCATCTCCCTTTGTGCTTGCTGCAGGCAAGTATTCTACTAAATACAGAAAAGCAGCAAGCAGGTCTTAAGCGGGAGGTTGGTGCATGTGTGAGAGAGATAAAGTCTCGTTTCGTTCTTTTCCAAGGCTGTGTGGGGACGCGGGTGGCGCTGTGGTCTAAACCACTGAGCCTAGGGCTTGCCGATCAGAAGGTTGGCGGTTCGAATCCCCGCGATGGGGTGAGCTCCCGTTGCTCAGTCCCTGCTCCTGCCAACCTAGCAGTTCGAAAGCATGTCAAAGTGCAAGTAGATAAATAGGTACCGCTGCGGCGGGAAGGTAAACGGCGTTTCCGTGCGCTGCTCTGGTTCGCCAGAAGCGGCTTAGTCATGCTGGCTACATGACCCGGAAGCTGTACGCCGGCTCCCTCGGCCAGTAAAGTGAGATGAGCGCCGCAACCCCAGAGTCGGCCACGACTGGACCTAATGGTAAGGGGTCCCTTTACCTTTAAACAATGCAAGTGCAGGAATGGAAATAAACAAGATTCCGGTCAATAATTGCACAGTTTTGCAAAAATGCATGGCGGAGCTTTAATGAACAATTGCTGTCACAATCCAAAATAGAGTATGTGCAAACGGGAAATAAAGTGAATCCCTGTGACGGGGTGAGCTCCCATTGCTCTGTCCCAGCTCCTGCCAACCTAGCAGTTCAAAAGCACACCAGTGCAAGTAGATAAATAGGTACCGCTGCGACAAGAAGGTAAACAGCATTTCCATGCGCTCTGGTTTCTGTCACGGTGTCCGCCAGAAGCGGTTTAGTCCTGCTGTCCACATGACCTGGGAAGCTGTCTGTGGACAAGCGCCGGCTCCCTTGGCCTGAAAGCGAGAGGAGTGCTACAACCCCATAGTCGCCTTTGACTGGACTTAACCGTCCAGGGGTCCTTTACCTTTTATACCTACCAAGGCTGCATAAGAACCTAAGAGCAGCCCTGATGGATCAGGTCATTGGGGCATGAAATAATTGAAATACTTTATTGTCACTTGTACAACTTGTATACAGTGAGATTACACGAGCACCCCCCACTCAGCTCTCTAAGTCTTAATTCCCCACAAACCCTAAAGTCAGTTGCCTTGTTGTTATCTTTTCATTCAGGAGCCCAACAGCTCACGGATAGAAGCTGTTCTTTACCCTGTTGGTGCGACTAATCCTGCTTCTGTATCTTCTGCCTGAGGGCAGGAGATCACAAAAGTGCCGGCCAGGGTGTGAATCATCCCTGAGAATTTTCCTCACTCTCCTGAGGCAACGTTCTTCTGCCGTTTCATCCAGCGGATTCACGGGACAGCCCATAATATCTTGTGCTGTGTTCACCACCCTCTGTAGGCACCTCCTATCAGTTGATGTCAAACCAGTGTACTACACCGTGTTGCAGTATGAAAGGACAATCAAATGTTGATTGGCATCGTTCTTTCGCAATACTCTGAGGAGATGGAGTCTCTGTTGGGCCTTCTTAACCACCTGGGTGTATTGATTTTCCAAGAAAGGTCTTCTCTGAGATAAACTCCTAGGAATTTAAAGGAAGAGACTCTCTCCATACAGCCCTCCCTGATGTACAGCAGGGCTAGTTCTCCTCTCTTCCTCCGAAAGTCCAACACCATCTCTTTTGTCTTGCTTAAGCCCACAAATAAGACCAGGGCACAAGAGCACTTCCTTCCTGTAGTTCCCAGCGACCGGCATTGAGAAGCACAACTGCCTTTGACTGTAGAGGCAAAGCATTGCCAGAATGGTGGTTAAGTCATCAATAGCTTTCTCCTCCATGTATCTGTCTGGTCCTCTCTTAAAGCCATCCAAGTTGGTGGCCGTCACTGTCTCCTGTGGCAGTGAGTTCCATAGTTTAATGGTTCCATAGCTGTGTGAAAAAGCAGTTCTTTTTCTCTGCCCTGACTCTTCCCACATTCAGCTTCGCTGGATGACCATGATGTTGTGAGAGGAGGAGAAAAACTTCTCTCTTTCCACCTCCTCCGAACTGTGCATCGTTTTATAAGCTTCTATCAATGTGGCCTCTCTTCCTCACTTTTCCTCTGAACAAAAAAGTCCCAAAAGCTACCCCAAAGGAATCCCAAAAACAGAAGTTTACCCCTCACGCAACTATAATTCCTAGCACCCTTAAACTACTGTTCCCAGAATTTTTTTGGTGAAGCCCATGCTTTAAATGTAGGCTGCCATCACAGCCATGGGTTAAGCATTTAGGTGTATGGGCAACAGCAAACAATATAAATTTGTTTAAAGATAATTATTTGAAAACCTGGGAAGATATTGTTGTTGTTTAGTCGTGTCTGACTCTTCGTGACCCCATGGACCAGAGCACGCCAGGCACTCCTGTCTTCCACTGCCTCCCGCAGTTTGGCCAAACTCATGCTGGTACCTTCGAGAACACTGTCCCACCATCTCGTCCTCTGTCGTCCCCTTCTCCTTGTGCCCTCAATCTTTCCCAACATCAGGGTCTTTTCGGGAAGATATTAAATTTGCAAATTTGGAGCAGAATGGATCTTTCACTACTAGGTAGAGTGTCGACTATAAAGATAACTGTATTGCCAAGAATGTTATTCTGTTTCAATTGATTCCAGTGATTGGCTAGACAGATTGTTTCAACACATGGCTAAAAGGTATTTCTAAATATATTTGGCAAGGGAAAAAACCGAGAATAAAATATAAAAGATTGATAGATGCAAAAGAAAGAGGTTTTTCCCTGCCAGATATGAGACTATACTATGAGGCATCCTGTCATTGTTGGTTGAAGGAATGGATGACATTAGAGAATTCACATTCTAGACTTAGAAGGTCATGACAATATTTTTGATTGGCATGATTATTTATGGTATGAAAAGGTGAAAGTTCATAAAGGATTTACAAAGGCCTGACAAAGTAGGGATGCACGGGGTGGCTCTGGGCATCATGTCCTCGGTTTGCTACCTATAAAATGGGCACAGGAGTGCAGGGGACACAAACAGCATTGAATTCCAGCCATCGAGAGAGGGGAATGCGCTTTAATGTATAGCAGCCTATGACTCAGTTGCCCAGCTGTGATTTGAAGGCAAGCCGATTGGCACTGTTCCTTTGCAAGGAAGGAAGAAAAAAAAGACATTGAGGCTGCTAGTGTTTATTGAGCAATAAAAAATTGACGAGTGCTCGTTCCACCAGAGAGAGAAGAGATTTGTGATGGGAAGCTCATGCTTCCTATAAAGGTTCTGGGCTTTTCCAAGTGGTAATCTTTTAGGCTGGAGAATTTTCAGTTGCCAAGGCTTTTGCAGGCAAAATGGGGGTGGAAAGCTGCCGTTTCCTTTTGCCTGCAGACTCACTCGCTGCCCCAGAAATCTTAAAAAAACATGTTTAGGCCTGTTAGAAGTCACCTCTGCCCTCTGAACGGGAGGCTGTCAGCTGCCGCCACCTTCCAAAAGCCTGAGGGGGGGAAAGGATGGAAAGGGTCAGAGATAGCAGGTACTCTCACTGCGGAGTTTGGGGGAAGCAGCTGACTGTGACCTCAAGGGGCCAACATTCCAAGCCCTATTGTCAAATATGCTCCCCTGAGACACAAACAGATGATCCTTTTCTTTCCTCTTGGCCAGCTAGATGGGACAAAATAGCCTGACCTCGTGGAATAAGTTTTTCTTAACATTTCTGTTAACACTTCCCTGCTTTGGTATCTAGAAACTGAAACACTAAAATTGCCCCAGCTTGGATAATGGGGTCTTTCTCTGCGTCCGATTTACTTATTTCATAACATTTATATTCTGCCTGATTGTTTAGCTGTGATTAATAGCAATATTTATACCCTGCCCATGTTGGCTGGGTCCCTTCCAACTCTAGGATGCTAGGATTTTGAGATTCAAAGCGGTTTACAAAAAGAATACAACAAGGGAATTTTCAAACAATTCTTTGCAACGGTCAAAAAATAAACGATAAGCTAAACCAGGGTTTCCCAAACTTTGGTTTTCAACTATTTTTGGACTACAACTCCCATCGTCCCTAGCTAGCAGGACCAGTGGCCATGGATGATGGGAATGGTAGTCCAACAACAGCTGAAAACACAAATTTGGGAAACCCAGAGCTAAACGGATTAAAACACACATCAACATTTTGCATATCTGGGTAGGCCTGCCTAAGCAAAAATGTCAATAGGCAGGGAGTTCCATAGTATATGTACCGGTATACAAAGCTGAAAAAGAACTGTGCTTCTGTCCAAGTCACCGAATGGCAAGAGTCTGGGCCCAGAACAGTGACTCACTACAGAGCTGCAACAGCCAACCTCCAGGGGGAATTGCTTTGGGAGCTCTCAAGACTCCTTGGCAGAGGCAGGAAGAGCATCAGCCAAACCACAGCGGGACGCAATGTTGGAGGAGCGTCGCGAAGCATGCAGAGGCACAGCGGGCAACCTCTTCTAAGGGAAGTTGTGCTATAGGTGCCTGGGAGGGAAGCTTTTGCTTGCTGGACTCCTGTCCCGCAGCACACCACCAGTGGTTTTTGGGTGAAACCCTAGCACTCCCCCAGCGCCCAGTTTGGGAAATCGCTCGCCCTTACCTGCTCAAGAAGCTGCCTCTCTTCGCCCGCCAGGAAACGCTCCGCCACCCAGCTCTGCAGGCAGCGCCGCCTCCAGACTGCCCAGCTCCACTGCGCCAGTCTCTGCCTCACCTGCGGGGAGAATTCAGAAGGGGCTTGGACTCCACAGCAATGGGGCCTTGGAGTCCAAGGCATCTTGCAGCCTGCCTCCCCAAGATGGATCCCAATCTTTCTTCTTCCCAGCTCCTCTTGCTCAAAAAATCTTTTCTCCTGCAACCTCAAACACACAGCCCATCTTGGCAGCATCTGTCAAAAGGATTCCTCTGGGATGGCCCCATCAACTCCTTTTGTTGTATTAACAAGATTCACTCTTTGTTAGGCCAGCCAGGGTTTTTTGCCTAAGCTAGCCTAGGGATGCGGGTGGCGCTGTGGGTTAAACCACAGAGCCCAGGACTTGCTGATCAGAAGGTCAGCGGTTTGAATCCCCGCAACGGGGTGAGCTCCCGTTGCTCAGTCCCTGCTCCTGCCAACCCAGCAGTTCGAAAGCACGTGCAAGTGCAAGTAGATAAATAGGTACCGCTCCGGCGGGAAGGTCAATGGCGTTTCTGTGCGCTGCTCTTGTTTGCCAGAAGCGGCTTAGTCATGCTGGCCACATGACCCGGAAGCTGTACACAGGCTCCCTCGGCCAATAAAGCGAGATGAGCGCTGCAAACCCAGAGTCGGCCACAACTGGACCTAATGGTCAGGGGTCCCTTTACCTTTACCTAGCCTAGGGATTCCCTGTCCAGCACAGCTCTGCAGTTTGTACTTTCATCATCCACATCCCAATTAAATCAAAACCCTACCATTTATCAATTTCTAGAGTTTGGGCTCCATGATCACTGCAGATGGTGACAGCAACCACGAAATTAAAAGATGCCTGCTTCTTGGGAGAAAAGCAATGACAAACCTAGACAGCATCTTAAAAACTAGAGACATCACCTTGCCAACAAAGGTCCGTATAGTAAAAGCTATGGTTTTCCCAGTAGTATGGAAGTGAAAGCTGGACTATAAAGAAGGCTGATCGCCGAAGAATTGATGCTTTTGAATTCTGGTGCTGGAGGAGACTCTTGAGAGTCCCATGGACTGCAAGAAGATCAAACCTATCCATTCTGAAGGAAATCAGCCCTGAGTGCTCACTGGAAGGACAGGTCGTGAAGCTGAGGCTCCAAATACTTTGGCCACCTCATGAGAAGAGAAGACTCCCCGGAAAAAGACCCTGATGTTGGGAAAGATGGAGGGCACAAGGAGAAGGGGACGACAGAGGACGAGATGGTTGGATAGTGTCTTCGAAGCTACAAACATGAGTCTGACCAAACTGTGGGAGGCAGTGGAAGACAGAAGTGCCTAGCGTGGTCTGGTCCATGGGGTCACGAAGAGTCGGACACGACTAAACGACTAAACAACAACAACATCAGGTTCCTGTTTACTACATTTGCAGAGATGCTCTGATTCTGGGAGAGCTGAATATCTTCCTCTCACTATCATCGAGGGAAACATATTAAATCTGGCTGTAAACAGTGATCGAGATTTGCCAGGGGCATTTTGCAATCGAGTGAAGGTGCCTGAGTGCCAGGATAGTGCCTGATGTCGCCTCCATCTGGAGGCGTATGCCTAGGGGTCCCCAAATCTTGCCTGTTTTCACACACCAGCAACACATCCTGTAGAATTCTATCTGCGATATTTTATCCGAACAAATTTCAGGAACCAAAAAAAAGCACTGAATAACACAACTTTCGAGCTGCCTGCTCAAAAAAGGCTACTGGGCATTCCGTTTCGGCGACTAACCCTGGTTTAAGGAGCCTATCTTATATATCTGAGTTTCTAACTCTGTTGCAGACTCCCAGCACATAAGCTGCAATGACTGCTCAGCGGACAGCAGATGTTGTATAACCTTCCCACGAAAAGAATAATCTTCCCATCTGAACGCAACCCTGGGCCTAAAAAAATAATAGTGCTAATTACTTTTCCACCGTAAGAAAGAGGCTGCAGGTGCTTATAAACACCTCACCTGCATCGTCCCAGCAAGTATTGACAACAACAAAGGCAAACCAGTATTACCTGCGCCCATTCTACAGATGGAAACCTGGAGAAAGGCAGTGGGGGGGATGATTTGCTGTGCAGTGGGGGGGGGGGGAGGCAGAGATTTGGACTGGGAGACAGCAGCCCAGCTCGTTATCCTGACCGCTGCACCACCCATGATTTATCAAGCTTCTTATATCCCTTATGGACTAGAAACTTAAAAACAGTGGGGTTTTTTAAAAAACAACAACACACCACTGAGCTTCCTTTTACTGCAGATCGCTTCCCAGGAACAGATGGAGGTTGAACAAAAGCGACAGGGTTATTCACTTCATCCCGCCTTGAGTTTCTCATACACACTCACCAAAGCTTGCACTGCCAGCTCTGTCTGGCAGCTATCCTTCCAAACCACCCATGCCCTTGCCAGGCGCCGCTTCTCCTTTCTGTGCTGGAACCGGCGCAGGAGGACGTGGTGTCTCCACCGTGCCAAATACTTCCTCCTGCAGCAGAGAGGGAAACAGCTTATTCTCAACATTTATAACTGCGTATTATTATTCCATAACCTATATTTTCTATCAATCCGTATTATCCATGGTTACATTACAAGTGAGATTAAAATCCTGCTAATGTTTCCATCTGCTTGCAGGCGGTCTCCTAAATAACATACATTTTTCCCATTCTTTTTTTAAAGTTTTTGTCCTCTTGGTTCCTGAGTTTTCCAGTCAGTTTTGCCATCTCAGCGTAGTCCATCAGCTTAGCTTGCCGTTCCTCTCTGGTAGGGACTTTGTCTTCTTTCCATCTCTAGGCTAGTATCATCTGAGCAGCTGTTGTCACATACATAAAAAAGTATTTTCTAATCTTTTAGGATGTCGGGACCTATAATTCCTAATAAAAAGGCTTCTATTTTTTTAACAAAGGTAATAAGTTTTTTCCCCATTTCATTATATATCATCTCCCAGAAAGCTTTTATTACCTTACACATCCCCCACATATGATAAAAGACACCTTCTTTTCCTTTACATTTCCAGCAGGTATTTGTACCTGTTCTAAACATTTCTGCTTACTAGGAGTCAAACACCACCAGTACATCATTTTCATATAATTTTCTTTCAGCGTACAACATGCCGTGAATTTCAGGGTGCCAGAATTCATATATCAACCCAGTCTTGCAGATTTAAATGTCCATTTCCTCCAGTCTCTCACCAGCGGGAGGCTAGCAGCCTGCGTTTCCATGATCCTAGTCCTCATGGTTCTGAACCAAGGGCCGGTCCATCTGGCCCAGTACTGTGTACACTAGCTGGCAGCAGCTCTTAAGAATTTCAGATTGGGAGATGCCAGGGATCAAACCTGTGACCTTCGGTATGCAAGGCAGGCGATTTTCCACTTTGCTAGAGTTCTTTCTCCACTGAGGCCAGCACAGAAACGAAAGCTATTACCCTCGTAGAAGGCATGTTTCCACACTAGACTTCTACCAAGTAGCGACAGAGGAGTGGCGAGACATTCTGTTCCCCACCTACATTGGCTCCCAGTACGTTTCCGAGCACAATTCAAAGTATTGGTGCTGACCTTTAAAGCCCTAAATAGCCTCGGCCCAGTATACCTGAAGGAGCGTCTCCACTCCCATCGTTCTGCCCGGGCATTGAGGTCCAGCCCTGAGGGCCTTCTGGCGGTTCCCTCACTACGAGAAGTGAGGTTACAGGGAACCAGGCAGAGGGACTTCTCGGTGGCGGCGCCCGCCTTGTGGAATGCCCTCCCGTCAGTTGTCAAGGAAATAAACAACTATCTGACTTTTAGAAGACATCTGAAGGCCCTGTTTAGGGAAGTTTTTAATGTTTGATGTTTTATTGTATTTTTAATATTTTGTTGGAAGCTGCCCAGAGTGGCTGGGGAAACCCAGCCAGACAGGCAGGGTATAAATATTATTGTTGTTGTTGTTGTTGTTGTTTAGTCGTGTCCGACTCTTCGTGACCCCATGGACCAGAGCACGCCAGGCACTACTGTCTTCCACTGCTTCCCGCAGTTTGGTCAAACTCATGCTGGTAGTTTCGAGAACACTACCCAATTAATTATTATTATTATTATTATTATTATTATTATTATTCAGATCAGATGGAAACCAAAGGAGCTGGTGGGGGAGGAGCGGCAAAATCCCTTCCTCCTCCCCCCCCCCCCTGCTTACTCGCCTGCACAGAAATTCCTGATCGCCTCTGGCAACCAGGCAAGATTTCAAATGCGAGGCTACATTGACCCAGCTGAGGGTCTCTCTCTCTCTCTACTGCCTTTGTGCACACTACAGACTTGACGGCTCACAGCCTTACCCAAGCCACCTCCTGCCCACTGCGGATGGGGTCGTTTCGGGCCTCGTCTCCTGGTTCCACCCATGTCTGCTGCCTTGTCCTGCTGCCTCCAGATGCATGGGGGCCCGCTGTGGCCCCAGGGTTTTGCTTTGGCATCTGTAGAGCGTCAGCCAGACGCGGAAAGAGCTGGAGATCAGCCTGGAATGGATGGCTAAGCCTGGCTGAGGAGCCTCTTCGCTCGTCCGCCTGCGCCCTTAAAAGAGGAGAAACCAGGTTAATGCACAATGGATGAGCCGGGTTCAGCCGGTGAAAGGGTGGCAGAAACAGAGGGGCAGGGGGAGAGGATGCCCCACCCACTTTCTGCCCCTTCTCATTGCTGACATAAATTCCAAGTGCTGGTTTTGAGCGATAAAGCCTTAAACGGCTCAGGACCGCAATACCTCAAGGTACCGCCTCTTTCCATATGAACCTGCCCAGACCCTGAGATCATCTTCTGAGGCCCTTCTTTGTGTGCCTCCTCCTCGAGAGGTCCGGAGGGTCGCAACACAAGAACGGGGCCTTCTCTGCAGTGGCTCCCCATCTGTGGAAGTTCGCCTGGCGAACTGTTTCCTGTTCTGGCTCCTTAATAAAACTACTAACTGAAAGCTAGCTGGTGTAGCCCTGACTCTCTCCCTCTGATCTGCGCCGAACTGTGCTACATGTCAGTACTCCCAGGGGGTCACATTTCCTTTTGCCCCCCCCCCCGCCTTTTATTGCAAATAAGTTTTTATTATTTTTCTAAAATCCCAATAATAGCCAACTTATAGCAATATCAATTATTATATTGCAAATAAGTTATAATTATTTTTCCAAAATTCCCCAAATAATAGCCAATTTATAACAATATCAATTATTAATTTGCAAATAAGTTTTTATTATTTTTCCAAAATTCCCCCAATAGTCAAATTCTAACAATATCAATTGTCATCATGATGATTTTACAAATAAGCTTTTATTTTCCCCAAATTCCCCCAATAACAGCCAAATTATGACAATATCTATTATTGTTAATAATATGCAAACAAGTCCCCTCCCCCCAAAAAATTCCCAAATTATAGCCAAATTATAACAATATTATTAATTTGGGGAGGGGGGGGGGTCCCATTTCCTGCCCACGGTTGCTTGGATGAGCAGCAAAAGCAGGCAGAGCAGGAAATCCCAATTTTTAATTTTCCACGCCATGCTAGTTTCCACAGAGACTCGCGTGCTCTCCTTTCCCTGTTCTCCATCCGGGCAGGTAGGAGGCATGCCCAAAATTTAAAGACCCATTTCCGGGCGAGCAAAAAAACCTCAAGGAAGGGCGCAAAGGGGGGTAGGCTGGAAAAGTCTGAGAGAGGCCCAAAGGGGATTGCCCCGGCAACAAAAAAACTTTCTGTGCACCTGCAAATTCCCCAAGAAAACAACAGACAGGGGGAGTTCCTTACTGCTTGGCCAAAGAAGGGGCGATTTCAGGAATTTCCGGGCTCCGATGAAGCCGCTCTGCCGCCGGACGCACTGGCGGAAGGTGGCCGCTCTCGTCCAGTAGTTGCTGGCCTGGAAAGAAGGAAGGGATAAAGTCAAATTTGATCTCCTTACAAGAAAACAGGGTTAGGATCAGGGTGGATTTGATTTACCATATTTTTCGCTCTATAAGACGCACCAGACCACAAGACGCACCTAGTTTTTGGAGGAGGAAAACAAGAAAAAAAATATTCTGAATCTCAGAAGCCAGAACAGCAAGAGGGATCGCTGCGCAGTGAAAGCAGCAATCCCTCTTGCTGTTCTGGCTTCTGGGATAGCTGCGCAGCCTGCATTCGCTCCATAAGATGCGCACACATTTCCCCTTACTTTTTAGGAGGGGAAAAGTGAGTCTTATAGAGCAAAAAGTATGGTAAATCGTATCAATTTAAATCACGATTTAAATCACTAGTCAGTAAGACTTGATTTAAATCACTAGTCAGTAAGACTTGATTTAAATCATTTTTTTACAGAAAGACTCATTCTTGCTGGTATAATCATAATATTTACAACCAGATGAAGGTTTCATTTTTGGAAGAATAAATTTTCAGAGTAGCTTTTAAAGTTATATCAAAAATTACTGATTTGGTTACACTATTAGAAATACATAGACAGATAATTATGAAATTCTTGTAAGGTTTAATAAGTTACGGTAATATTTGGACAACTTTTCTGCTGTACTGTGCTGGAAGGAGAAAAACAACCATTTCCTTAATAACAATTTAAACAATTTATTTAACTAAAACAATAACATTATAGCATATGTATCCATGTTTGTTAACTGAAGTGGTTAAACGGTTTCTTTAAATAAAAAAACTCCAACTGAGTTGTAGCACACATGAAAATCTTTAATGTAACTTAAATAGAAAACTATCTTTAGAAAGATTTTTCCTCCAAAAGTATTTTATTTTAAAAATCAGATTTAAATTTTAAAAACTCTGATTTTTTTGATTAATTTATTTTTTTTAAATTGTTGATTTTTATCCACCCTGGTTAGGATCCATCCAGGGGTCAAGAGGTCATGACAGGATTTGCACAGGGAGCCAAATCGGCAGAGGCTCTCTGGGATTTTGGGCACGGGGTCTTCCCCATCCCTGTCACAAGATGCTGCAGGAGATGGAACCCAGAACCTTCTGCATGCCAAGCAGGGTCCCTGCCCCTGAGCTTCCTAGTGGATAAACTCTCTATCGGAAGAATCGTTGCCTCCAGCTGTGGCTCTGCTCTCCTTCCACAGCTGGAAACTGATAGCGGGGAGAGCGCTTTTGTGCTCAGATCCCGCTTGACTACTACAACGAGCTCTACGTGGGGCTACCTTTGAAAGTGACCCGAAAACTACAACTACAGTGGTGTCTCGCAAGACGAAAAGAATCCGTTCCGCGAGTTGATAAGCTGATAAGCGGCTTAAGGATCAGCTGATAAGCGGCTTAGCGATCAGCTGTTAAGCGGCTTAGCCGATCAGCTGATAAGCGGCTTAGCGATCAGCTGTTAAGCGGCTTAAGGATCAGCTGATAAGCGGCTTAACGATCAGCTGATAAGCGGCTTAGGGATCAGCTGTTAAGCGGCTTAGCCGATCAGCTGATAAGCGGTTTAGCGGCTTGGGAAAAAGGGGGGGAAAGGGGAAAAACCCCACAGGAACTCGCAAGACATTTTCGTCTTGCGAAGCAAGCACATAGGAAATTCGTTTTGCGAAGCACCTCCAAAACGGAAAACCCTTTCGTCTAGCGGGTTTTCCGTCTTGCGAGGCATTCGTCTTGCGGGGCACCACTGTACAGTGGTACCTCGGGTTACATATGCTTCAGGTTACAGACTCCGCTAACCCAGAAATAGTACCTCGGGTTAACAACTTTGCTTCAGGATGAGGACAGAAATCGTGCTCCGGCGGCAGCGGGAGGCCCCATTAGCTAAAGTAGTGCTTCAGGTTAAGAACAGCTTCAGGTTAAGAACGGACCTCTGGAACGAATTACGTACTTAACCTGAGGTACAACTGTAATCCAGAATGCGGCGGCTAGACTGGTGACTGGGAGCGGCCGCCAAGAGCATATAATACAGGTCTTGAAAGACCTACATTGTGGTGGTCACATGGGATTGCTATGAGGAATTATGGAAAATGAAGCACGCCATGCTGTCAGTGATATAATAAAAATAAAAATAAAAATAAAAATAATAGCAAGAGAAATGGGCAGTAGAGAAAATGGGGCAGAGATGCAGAGGCTTGCGGGATTTAATCAGAAATTATTGTCAATGACTCAAGCCCAGTCAAGCAATGCTTTCATCTCTCACTTGGACTACTGCAATGCGCTCTGCGTGGGGCTACCTTTGAAGGTGACCCAGAAACTACAACTAATCCAGAATGCAGCAGCTAGACTGATGACTGGGAGCGGCCGCCGAGACCATATAACACCGGTCTTGAAAGACCTACATTGGCTCCCAGTACGTTTCCGAGCACAATTCAAAGTGTTGGTGCTGACCTTGAAAGCCCTAAACGGCCTCGGCCCAGTATACCTGAAGGAGCGTCTCCACCTCCATCGTTCAGCCCGGATACTGAGGTCCAGCGCTGAGGGCCTTCTGGCAGTTCCCTCCCTGTGAGAAGCGAGGTTACAGGGAACCAGGCAGAGGGCCTTCTCAGTAGTGGTGCCTGCCCTGTAGAACACCCTCCCATCAGATGTGTAGTGTACACAACTAGCTGACTTTTAGAAGACATCTGAAGGCAGCCCTATTTAGGGAAGTTTTTAATGTCTGATCTTTTATTGCGTTTTTAGTATTCTGTTGGGAGCCTCACAGAGTGGCTTGGGAAACCCAGTCAGATGGGTGGGGTATAAATAATATATTACAGTGGTACCTCAGGTTAAGAACTTAATTCGTTCCGGAGGTCCGTTCTTAACCTGAAACCATTCTTAACCTGAAGCACCACTTTAGCTAATGGGGCCTCCCGCTGCTGCCGCGCAATTTCTGTTCTCATCCTGAAGCAAAGTTCTTAACCCAAGGTACTACAGTGGTACCTCGAGTTACAGATGCTTCAGGTTACAGATGCTTCAGGTTACAGACTCGGCTAACCCAGAAATAGTACCTCGGGTTCAGAACTTTGCTTCAGGATGAGAACAGAAATCGCGCAGCGGCGGCGCAGCAGCAGCAGGAGGCCCCATTAGCTAAAGTGGTGCTTCAGGTTAAGGTTAAGACCGGACCTCTGGAATGAATTACCGGTAAGTACTTAACCCAAGGTACCATTGTATAAGCTAAACAAGCTATAGCTTAGGGCCCTACTCTCTTGCCCCCCCCCCCAAAAAAGGGGAAAAAACTGGATGTACATTTCGAAAATATAAGATAAAAAACAGATAAAATAAAACCTACATCCAGCAACAGTGTTTTGTTTTGTGTTGTGTAAGCTCCTATGATATAAGTAATGGGCCCCGCCTGCTAGCCTGCTCCCTAAAATATCACTCGTTTGTTCATTTCTATATATAGGGTGCCTAAATTCTGCATGGACTGGTTGCATGGCAACATGTAGCATGCCTATATTATTATTTACTAGTACAGTTACCTGTTACCCCCACTTGCTACTATAATAATATATATAAGTATTATAATTACCGTATATTATTTTTTTTACTTACTTATAAAGGACCCCATTACCTTCAGTAGCTTAGGGCCTCATCAAACCCAAATCCAGCCCTGGATGCAAAGGGGCCTCTCTGAGCATGTACGGAGAGCTTCCTCCAAGTTAGGATTTCAGGGCTGAAGCGTATGTAACCCGAGGTACCTGAAGCGTATGTAACCCGAGGTACCACTGTACTATTATTATTATTATTATTATTATTATTATTATTACCATAAGGGGCATCTGGTCATCCACTGCGGGAACAGGATGTTGAGCGAGATGGGCCTCATCCAGCTGGCTCCTCTTACGTTCTTGTTGAAGCTCTGGAACCCCAGATACCATCCGCCTGTGGAACCCCCCCACTCCACCCCCAGCTCACCTGGCTGACGGAGCTAAAACGCAGAGCCCGGGACCCCCTGATGGCTTTCCTCCATCGCCACATCGCCCCGTACCCCGCCAGTCTCCGCCGTGGGCGTCCGTCTTTCCGTCGCCGGTCAGCTCTCAGGAACTCCGCCTTCCACCTCCCGAAGCAGGACGCCAGAAGACGCTGCCCCCTGGCACTCTCCAAGCACGCTAGAGTCGTGCGCCATGTAGAAAAATGGGCGGCTGCTGCAGACCAGGAAGTGAAGGCCCTGGTGAATTTCATATAGAGAAAGGGATGAAAGAGCCTATCCATTTCCATTCTCCGTCTTCCCAATCTTAACTATCCACATCTGTAATTTAAACAGGCCATCAACAACCGAGTGTAAATTTCTCCTTACAAGTGCATTTTTTGCAATTTTGCCCATTTTTTGATACAAAGCAATGTTCCCTAATGTTGTTGGAAGTTTAGATGCAACTCAGGGGTTTGCATGGGGCTTAAGCAGATAGAGTAAGAGACCTCCAGATTCTCAGACTATCCCTTTACCTTCAACCTCTATGCTGACTACTCTCTATTCCTTTGAAGTTTTGACTGATACATTTTACGTCGCTCCCTGTTTAAATTTCTTCCTCCCCTCTCACCCTTCCTCCGGACCTCAATGTACTTCTGGGTGGTTTCTTGGTTTCTCCAACTAGACAGCTAGGACTACAGAACTTTCCCCCGTCAACAATGTACAGTGGTATCTCGGAAGTCGAACAGAATCCGTTCCGGAAGTCCGTTCAACTTCCAAAACGTTCAGAAACCAAGGCGCGGCTTCTAATTGGCTGCAGGAAGCTCCTGCAGCCAATCAGAAGCCCCGTCAGACATTTGGCTTCCAAAGAACGTCCACAAACCGGAACACTCACTTTTGGGTTTGTGGCATTCGGGAGCCAAAATGTTTGACTCGCAAGGCGTTCGGGATCCAAGGTACGACTGTACTTCCCTAAGCAAACACAAATTTCTGTATTTTATACCGAGTCTCAGCCTGAGTGCCTTCCAATAAACGGAATTCCTGCTTGCTCAAAGCAAGGATTCAGCTCACTAAAGGTGATTTCTGCGGTTACATGCAGAATCTATACATTAACAAATATAATACATCTTTGGATGCCTTTTTTTTTTAACTAATAAATGCATTTTAATGCGTTTCTCTAACCCGGCATTTGCATTTCTTTTACTTGGCAGGAGAACTGCATTGCAAAATTCGGAGAAAGGCAAATGTCAAAGGAAGGCTGAATTTTGGTCCCCGTATCATTGGAAAAATTGTGAATTAGGTAGATTCGCCTTCGAAGACAAACTGCATAAGATTTTGCCCCCATCCTTCATTGTCCAAGACCAGGGGTCAGCAAGGTTTACCTTGCCTGGGCCAGTCCACTCCAGCGGAGATTCCTCCCTGGGCCAGATCGTGCACGCACATGTGATTTCCGGTGTCTGCACAGACGTGATTTCCGGTGCCGCGGAAGCGAGTCCCTGCGTCGCGCTGCTTTAGTGCAGCGTGTGGGGACTCACCAAGCCGGCGGCTCAGTTCAGGGACCAGTTAAACGACCCCCATAGACCGCTTGTGGCCCATGGGCCTTAGGTTGCTGACCCCTGCCCAAGACTCTTACCTGGAGAGGAGAGCCCGCTTGCGGTGTTGCTCTGCCTTCAGGTTCTGCACAGTCCTGGCCGACCAAAACGCAAAACATTTTGCCAGCAGCTGCCTCCGATTCTGGGTGTGGCAGAGATCTGCGGCAGCGAGATCTTGCGACTCACTGGGGAAATGGCTGGGAGATGGGGAGCCGTGAGGAGGAAGGCGCCCCGAGTCTTCAATCGTCAACGACGAGGAGATGCTGGCCTGGCTACCGTCCTCCGAGCTGCCTTCCTATTCCCAGTCATGAAATGACAGAAGTATTAATTTTGTGCTTCTAAATGCTTGTTTATTTAAGATTATATACAGAGAGAGTGAGTCTCTACTGCTAGTCCTACCTGGAAGAGACCCACTGAATAATAATAATAATAATAATAATAATAATAATAATTTATTATTTATACCCCGCCCATCTGGCTGAGTTTCCCCAGCCACTCTGGGCAGCTCCCAATCAAGTGTTGAAAACAGTACAGCGTTAAATATTAAAAACTTCCCTGAACAGGGCTGCCTTCAGATGTCTTTTAAAGATAGGATAGCTGCTTATTTCCTTCACATCTGAAGGGAGGGCTTTCCACAGGGCGGGCGCCACTACCAAGAAGGCCCTCTGTCTGGTTCCCTGTAACCTAACTTCTCGCAATGAGGGAACCGCCAGAAGGCCCTTGGAGCTGGACCTCAGTGTCCGGGCTGAACGATGGGGGTGGAGACGCTCCTTCAGGTATACAGGACCGAGGTTGTTTAGGGCTTTAAAGGTCAACACCAGCACTTTGAATGAACTGAAGTTAATGGACATGACTAACATAGGTTCAGTCGTGTCAATCGGTCTACACTATAGTAGATATGGAGCGGGGAAAACTGATCCTAGGTCCCACCCAAAGATGTAATGGTATAGTTTCAGTAAAATATGCAGGGATTTATTATATGAAAAGGGACGTGGGTGGCGCTGTGGTCTAAACCGCAGAGCCTAGGACTTGCCGATCGGAAGGTCGGCGGTTCGAATCCCCGCGACGGGGTGAGCTCCCGTTGCTCGGTCCCTGCTCCTGCCCACCTAGCAGTTCAAAAGCACGCCAAAGTGCAAGTAGATAAATAGGTACCGCTCCGGCGGGAAGGTAAACGGCGTTTCCGTGCACTGCTCTGGTTCGCCAGAAGTGGCTTAGTCATGCTGGCCACATGACGCAGAAGCTGTACGCTGGTTTGACACACACAATTGCATCTCAAGAAAGACGGATGCCAAGAACTATATATATATACGTAAGTAGATACCACAATACCTCAAGTACCACCTCTTCCCATATGAACCTACCCGGACCCTGAGATCATCTTTTGAGGCCCTCCTTCATGTGCCTCCTCCTCGAGAGCAACACAAGGTGGCAACACAAGAACGGGGCCTTCTCTGCAGTGGCTCCCCGTCTGTGGAATGCTCTCCCCAGGGAAGTTCACCTGGCGCCTTCGTTACACAACTTTAGACGCCAGGCAAAAACGTTCCTTTTTAACCAGGTCGTTGGTCGACCTGATTGACATCCTATACCCTTTTTAAATGTGGCTCTTTTTTGGGGGGGGTGTTATTGTTAGAATTCCTGCTTCATGATTGAAGTCATGGGATTGTTGTCTATATGTTTTGACTCCACAAAGTGGGAAGTGATTGAGACAGGATGTTTGTGTTACTGTGTTCCGTGAAGTGGGACTCTTGTCCTCTCTCTTTGCTGTCTGATGCTAGAGAGAGAGGGAGCCATGTTGCAGTGCTCCATGTGTGTTTATATGTAAATAAAGTCGATTAGCCAAAATGCTGAGTTGCTGAGGCCTGTCACGCATGATGCGCAAACTCTGCGGATCCCTAAGTGTGCCGATGTCTGTTGGCATCAGTCGCTGTGATGTTCGGGCAGAAGAAAGCTTTTGAAGCTCCCGAACGAACGACCAGGAGGGAGGGAACATGCCAGTCGAGTATGTGTCTTTACCAGGGTCCTACTCGAGTGTAGGCAAAGCTCCTGACAGTTATTGGGTTATTGTTATTGTTTTTATTTTATATGTTGTCATCTTTTCTGTGAACTGCTCTGAGACCTCCGGATTTAGTGCGGTATATAAATTCAATCAATCAACCAATCAACCAATCATCAATCAATCAATCAATCAATCAATCAATCATCAATCAATCAATCAATCAATCGTGTGTGGGTAGATGTGTGTATATCTATCTATCTATCTATCTATCTATCTATCTATCTGCTGCCCCTGCTTGTTCCTCTCCCACCTATGCACCAAAGCATTGGCCCCAGGGTCAGAGGGAAGCCTGTCAGCGAGTTGTCCTCACCTTGTCCAGCGAACCGCTAGAGAGAGGCGGGGCAGGCACGTTGCTATGGAAACCAGAGGACAGGGAAGACTCCTCGGAATCCGGCGATGCAAGGAGAAGGTCCTCAGTGAGGTCCCCGGGGCCGAGTCCAAGAGGATGCGGGCAGAGGGTCTTCAGGCGCCAGAGCCCAAGAGCTTCTCTCAGCTGCTGCCTTTCCGAGACTCGGCGGAAAGCGCTGTAAGGGAAAGACCTTTGTGAGCTTTCGGAGAAAAGTACAGTGGTACCTCGGGTTAAGTACTTAATTCGTTCCGGAGGTCCTTTCTTAACCTGAAACTGTTCTTAACCTGAAGCACCACTTTAGTTAATGGGGCCTCCTGCTGCCGCTGTGCCGCCGGAGCACAATATGTCCCCAAAATAACTGGTATGGGAAGGAGGAAGATCCTGCCAGGGCCTTTTGCCTGCTCCAGAAAGAAAAAGTAAACACAAAATTTCTGCAGCCAGAATCCTGCAACTTCCCATACGGCTAGACGTGGGAGGGGGAAACCAGTCCCTTGGAAACTGGATTCAGCCACTTCCCTCTGGCTTCCGAAATTTCGCCCTCTATCTATGAGGACTCGAAGCTTGCTTTTTCAAAACAACGACGAAACATGAAAGCTGCAGTTTGGATACAGAAAGACCTCTCTGTGCCTGCTAGCCCCGATTTCTTTGCTCTTAGGTCAGGGTCTGAGCGCTTACGTCGCCCGCTGGGATTCCCGCCACCTCAGTTCCCAAGTCCGGAACGCCTGCTGCAACGTCAATGCGCGGTAGAAGTCGTCCAGCGCATCGGCGCCACTCTTTTGGGACCACCTCGCTTGGGCTGCAGGAACCTTTTCAGCTGCATCCATGTTCCCTCCTTATTTAAGTGCGGAAGGGAGAGGGAGAGAAAAAAAATAAACATTTAGAAGGAATTTCGAGTACAGTGGACGCTCGGGTTGTGAACGCGATCTGTGCGGGAGGCACGTTCGCAACCCGCAGCACCGCATCTGCGCACGCGTGGGTTGCGCTTCTGCGCATGCGCAAAATGCGATTTAGTGCTTCTGCGCATGCGCCAAAACCCGGAAGTAACCCGTTCCAGTATTCCGGGGTTTGGCGCGGTGCACAACCCGAAAACGCGCAACCTGAAGCATCTGTAACCCGAGGTATGACTGTACACTCTACCTCTACAGTGGTGCCCCGCAAGACGAATGCCTCGCAAGACGGAAAACCCGCTAGACGAAAGGGTTTTCCATTTTGGAGGTGCTTCGCAAAACCAATTTCCTATGGGCTTGCTTCGCAAGACGAAAATGTCTTGCGAGTTCCAGCGGGGGTTTTTTCCTTCCCCCCCCCTTTTTCCCAAGCCGCTAAGCCGCTTATCAGCTGATCGGCTAAGCCGCTTAACAGCTGATCGCTAAGCCGCTTAACAGCTGATCCGTTAAGCCACTAAGCCGCTTATCAGCTGATCTGCTAAGCCGCTTATCAGCTGATCCGCTAAACCCGCTAAGCCGCTAATAGCGCTAATCCGCTAAACCGCTAATGGGCTTGCTTCGCAAGATGAAAAAACCGCAAGACGAAGAGATTCGCGGAACGGATTCTTTTCGTCTTGCAAGGCACCACTGTACCTCTCTTTTAAATCAGAACCAGTGAAGGCGGTGAAGGTCCTATGTGAGTGCCTGGAGGGGGTTGGAGGATGGATGGCGGCTAACAGATTGAAGTTGAATCCTGACAAGGTAACTGTGCCCCTGAAGGACCAGGTGCGCAGCCTGGGAGTCATTTTGGACTCACAGCTGTCCATGGAGGCGCAGGTTAATTCTGCGTCCAGGGCGGCTGTCTACCAGCTCCATCTGGTACGCAGGCTGAGATCCTACCTGCCTGCAGACTGTCTCACCAGAGTGGTGAATGCTCTAGTTATCTCCCGCGTGGACTACTGCAATGCGCTCTACGTGGGGCTACCTTTGAAGGTGACCCGGAAACTGCAATTAATCCAGAATGTGGCAGCTAGACTGGTGACTGGGAGTGGCCGCCAGGACCACATAACACCGGTCCTGAGAGATCTGCATTGGCTCCCAGTATGTTTCCGAGCACATTTCAAAGTGTTGGTGCTGACCTTTAAAGCCCTAAATGGCCTCGGTCCTGTATACCTGAAGAAGCGTCTCCACCCCCATCGTTCAGCCCGGACACTGAGGTCCAGCTCCGAGGGCCTTCTGGCGGTTCCCTCATTGCGAGAAGTGAGGTTACAGGGAACCAGACAGAGGGCCTTCTCGGTAGTGGCGCCCGCCCTGTGGAACGCCCTCCCTTCAGATGTGAAGGAAATAAGCAGCTATCCTATCTTTAAAAGACATCTGAAGGCAGCCCTGTTTAGGGAAGTTTTTAATATTTAATGCTGTATTGTTTTTAATACTTGATTGGGAGCTACCCAGAGTGGCTGGGGAAACTCAGCCAGATGGGCGGGGTATAAATAATAAATTATTATTATTATTATTACACAAATGATAAGGCTCACTGGGAGCAGCTCAGTGGTAGAGCACCTGCTTTGCATGCAGAAGGTTGCAGGTTCAAATCCTGACATCTCCAGGGAAATCTGGAAACCCTGGGGAGCTGCTGCCAGCCAGTGTGGACAACACTCGGCTAGATGGAACAAGGACCTTTCCTTGTAGCTTTCCTAATGAAAGCCAGCCCTTTATTCAAAACCATGAGGACTAGAATCTCAGTTCATTTTTTAGGGGGAGGCAGCGGCTCAGGAAGAGAGGCGTCTCTCTGAAACCCCAAAGAGATGCTGCCAGTCAGTGCAGGCAACCTCAAGCAAGTTGGACCCAATGCCCTGACTTTGATATGGTTCTCACCGTGGGCTCTCCTCCGCTTCAAGTCCCACAGCTCCAGCAGAGTCTTCCTGGCCTTTTCCCGGACTTGCAACATCAGGGCCCATTGATGGAAATGCACCCTCAAGGTTTCGAGTCTCAGGCGTTCCCTGCTGTGCCTGCACAGCACCTCCCGGTCAGTGACAGACTTCCAGGCCTGGAAACAGCTTGAGGGGGGTGGGGAAAGGAACAGAACGGCTTAGGAAGAGCCTGGCAGCAGGATCAGGCCGTCAAGGCCCAGCCTCCTGCTGCCCACAGCGGCAACTCTGCCCACTTGCGATTCTTCCCACTGACCTGCTTCCGACAGGGGAGGTGGGCGAAGGGGAATTCAAAGGCAAGTGGCCTTCTGGGACAGCCACCGCTCTGCAGGCTTGTTGTGAAGGTCGCAGAGCACCATCGTGGGATGCCAATAGGGACCCACCTTGGCTCCCAGTACGTTTCTGAGCACAATTCAAAGTGTCGGTGCTGATCTTTAGAGCCCTAAACGGCCTCGGTCCAGTATATCTGAAGGAGCGTCTCCACCCCCATCGTTCTACCTGGACACTGAGGTCCAGCGCCGAGGGTCTTCTGGCGGTTCCCTCACTGCGAGAAGCCAAGTTACAGGGAACCAGGCACAGGGCCTTCTTGGTAGTGGCACCCGCCCTGTGGAACGCCCTCCCATCAGATGTCAAAGAGAACAACAACTACCAGACTTTTAGAAGACATCTAAAGGCAGCCCTGTTAAGGGAAGCTTTTAATGTTTGATGAATTACGGTATTTTAATATTTTGTTGGAAGCCACGCAGAGTGGCTGAGGAGGCCCAGATAGATGGGCGGGGTATAAATAATAAATTATTATTAATTATTATTATTATTAATTATTATCATCATCATCGTTGTTGTGAAAACTGCAGAGCAGCAAACACTGGCCTCCCTTGTGAAGAACGCAGAGCACCCTTTTGCAAACTAATCATGCAAAGACGTAGAGGAACATTGCATGATGCTAATGCAATGTTTCGGAAACTTGGGTCTCCAGTTGTTTTGTGACTACAATTCCTGCTAGCTAGGGATGATGGGAGTTGTAGTCCAAAAACAGCCAGAGACCTAAGACTAGAGAAATGGAAAAATTGGTTCAAATAGGTAAAATTTAATGTCATAATATATTAAGATTTAGGACTGGAATAAATAGGAGGGTAAGAAATTGCTGGGTTTACAAACTGAATTGGAATACAAAAGAGGGAGGTATGAGGAAGTCCGGGAAACAAGTAAATTTAAAAGAGGTTATGAAAGGACGGAACTATTTTTAACTGTTTTTTCTTTTTTTACTTTTTTCTATTTTGTACTTTCCATTTTGTATGGTGTATTTTTCTCTGTTTTTGTTAAAATTTTTGTGTTTATTAATGTGATTTTATTCTTTCTGAAACTTTAATAAATATTAATCAAAAACAGCCAGAGACCTGAGGTTGGGAAACACTGTGCTAATGCAAACCTATCCCAGAAAGTTGTCGCAAAGAGGTAAAGAACGTAATCTGATCTTAGAGTGGGAAATAAAGGATGACTTGTTTAAAGCATCCATGATTAAATGAGTGCAAGATATTGAGAAAAATATTATGTTTGAACAATGGGAAAAATTGTGGAAAGAAGATATGAAATTCACTATGTGTTATATATTGAAAGAAAATTACCTTAAAATACAACATAGATGGTATTTAACACCGGAAAGAATAGCAAAAATGAATAAAAATGGTAGCGATGTCTGCTGGCGATGCAACACTGGAAAAGGTACTATGATACATATATGGCGGAACTGTTTAAACATCAAACAATTTTGGGAAACAATATATAACAAAATGAAAAAAAATGTTTAGATATTCATTTAGGAAAACACCAGAAGGTTTTCTATTGGGAATAGTACCAGGAAGTCTAAAGGAAGAAGACAAGACATTATATTTATACGCAACAGTAGCCGCAAGGCTATTGATTGCGAAAAATTGGAAAAGTGGTATTATACCGACAAAAATAGAGTGGCTTGCCAAATTATTGGAGTACTACAATATATCCAAAACAATGGGAGAAATTGGAAGGATCTCAAAGAGAAGATAGACAGGGATTGGAAGGTGTATAAAGGATACTTGCAAAACCATATTGAAAAATCAGAACTCCTATTAGAATAAACAAGTTCCGTTTTAAATACTGAATTACTAAATAAGATGGGTAACAATGTGTAATAGAAAAAGAAGCATGAAATTAGGTTAAAGGTGTGTGAAAGAAAGTAATAGAAGTGGAAAGAAATTGCAATTGAGTAGATTGGAAGTCTAACACCAAGGTGGGGTGAGGGGTGGTGGATGGTGATGGGAAAAGGAATTATCTGTGGGACTGAATGTAGGTATGTTTGAATATTTTTAAGGATTGTATGAAATGTATGTTTGTATGCTTGTATATTCGCAATATGTGTGTATTAATGCTGAATTATTTTAACAATAAAAACTTTTTTTAAAGAAGAAAAAGAACGTAAGGCGCGACCAAGAAGCCCACATATAAAAATTATCATCATTGTGCTTAGCTCACCGGCTTAGCAGCCCTCTTTGCACCTGAGTCACCAGCGGCAGGATCCGCCGGGCTGCCCTGTAGCGGGAACGCCAGGCCTCAAACGCGCTCACCAGCCTCTTTTTCTCCAGGAGGGCGAGAGCTTCCTGGGCGCGAATCTCCTCTTTCTCCAGACGCTCCTTCTGAAGGCGCCACAATCTGAAAGCTGCTGCGTTGCAGGGGAAAAGAGGGGGGGAGACACTGGAGGTGAGGAGAGCGCCAGGTGGGTAGATTTTTGTGTCCAAGCACAATTCAAAGTGTTGTTGCTGACCTTTAAAGCCCTAAACGGCCTCGGTCCAGGATACCTGAAGGAGCATCTCCACCCCCATCGTTCCACCCGGACACTGAGATCCAGCACCGAGGGCCTTCTGGCGGTTCCCTCGCTGCGAGAAGCGACGTTACAGGGAACCAGGCATAGGGCCTTCTCGGTAGTGGCACCTGCCCTGTGGAACGCCCTCCCACCAGATGTCAAAGAGATAAAGAACTACCTGACTTTTAGAAGACATCTGAAGGCAGCCCTCTTTAGGGAAGCTTTTAATGTTTAATATTTTGTTGGAAGCCGCCCAGAGTGGCTGGGGAAACCCAGCCAGATGGGGGGGGGGGTATAAATTATTATTATTATTATTATTACGTATTTTTCAAAGCTTGGGGCAAATACTCTGTGTGCTGTAAGAATGCCTAAGAAAACCTCTTGCGGCCCCATGAGTGGGGAGCGCTTTTTCAGCTCAGGGGCTGCATTCCTTTCCGAGGGCCAAGGCACAAGTGGGTGGAGCAATGGAGGTAGCAATTCTTGAATTGCAGCGGGTTGGACTGGATGACCTTTGGGGGTCCCTTCCAAAGGGACAGAGGGTGTCCCTGCTGCAAGCTTCCTAACTGAAGTGAAGGACATGAGGCAGGAGTTGGTAATGCAGGTGAGCTGTGCATAAGCAAGCTGCCAGCTAGCTCTGCCGAGGCTCTTTTTATTAGCACAATATGCAAAACCAGTCAGATACATTTTGGACTGTGCCCTTTACACATCTTCCAATCACCCAATTGTGGTGTGGTACAAAGTTATTTTGGCACCTGTTTCCACCGCGTCACTTTCCCCTTGCACAATGTTTAATCAAAAGAGACAGGGCACGGCAGACTACTAAGAGAGCAAAAGGTTAGATAGAGGGCATGATGTTCAGACAGGTGTGGCTTGTCTGCGGGTGGAAGTGTTCTCTCTTCCTTCTCTCCCTCTCTCTCTCTCTAAGGAAGGGGGAGGGAGAGAGGGAGAGAAGAAAGAGGGAGAGAGATAGAGAGAAGGGAGAGAGAGAGAGAGAAGGAAGAAAGAGAGAGGGAGAGAAGGAAGGGATAGAGTGATATGGAAGGGAGAGAGAGAGAGAAGGAAGAGAGAGAGAGAAAGAGAGAGAAGGGGAGAGAGAGAGAAAGAAGAGAGAGAGAGAGAAGGAAGGAAGGAAGGAAGGGATAGAGTGATATGGAAGAGAGAGAGAGAGACAGAGAAGGAAGGGGAGAGAGAGAGAAAGAAGAGAGAGAGAAGGAAGGAAGGGATAGAGTGATATGGAAGAGAGAGAGAGAGAGAGAGAGAAGGAAGAAAGGGATAGAGTGATATGGAAGGGAGAGAGAGAGAGAAGGAAGAGAGAGAGAGAAAGAGAGAGATAGAGAGAAGGAAGGGGAGAGAGAAAGAAGAGAGAGAGAGAGAAGGAAGGGGGGAGAGAGAGAAAGAAGAGAGAGAGAGAGAAGGAAGGAAGGGATAGAGTGATATGGAAGAGAGAGAGAGAGAGAGAGAGAGAAAGATGAGAGAGAGAGAGAGAGAGAGAGAGAGAGAAGGAAGGGGAGAGAGAGAAAGAAGAGAGAGAGAGAAGGAAGGATGGAAGGAAGGAAGGAAGGAAGGAAGGAAGGAAGGGATAGAGTGATATGGAAGGGAGAGAGAGAGAAAGATGAGAGAGAGAAGAAAGGGAGAGATAAGAGAGAGAGAGAGAGAGAGAGAGAGAGAGAGAGAGACGAAAGGGGGGGGAGAGAGAGAGAAGGAAGGGAGAGAGAGAGAGAAGGGAGAGAGAGGCTTGCCTGCTGGTGGAAATGTGCTCCACACCTGACAGTCATTCCTTCCCAACTTATCGCGAGCCACTATATAAGCAGCTGCTCAGGGCAACAGCCTTACCAGCCAAGCGCCTCACATCCCGTAGAGCCGCGGCCTTTCTGCAGGTCTCGCCCCCTCCCTGCTGGTGACGAAGCTGCGTCCAGAGATTTCCCTCCGCCCTGAAAAAAAGTCGAGGTTGAAAGAAGGTAAAAGTCCCTACCAGAGAAAAATGGCAGATCAAATTGATGGATTATGCCGAAATGGCCAAAATGACCGGAAGAATCAGAAATCAGGAAGACCTAAATTTTAATAGGGAATGGGGAAAATTTATACCTTATCTTAAAAACCATTGTAAACAGTTAAAATCATTAGTAGGACTGGGATATCACTTGTAGTTTAAGGGTGAATTTTGGACAGAATGGAGAGGTAAAAGATTTTGGATGATCATAAAAGTTGCAGTAGGAAATGATTAACAATAGGACTCACAAAGGGGAGGAGGGAAGTCCAGGAGATTCTATGGAATCTTGTTTTTATGTTGTATGTTGGATAAAAGGTAAAGGGATCCCTGACCATTAGGTCCAGTCGTGGACGACTCTGGGGTTGCGGCGCTCATTTCGCTTTATTGGCCGAGGGAGCCGGCGTACAGCTTCCTGGTCTTGTGGCCAGCATGACTAAGCTGCTTCTGGCGAACCAGAGTAATGCACGGAAACGCCGTTTACCTTCCCGCCGGAGCGGTACCTATTTATCTACTTGCACTTTGACGTGCTTTCGAACTGCTAGGTTGGCAGGAGCAGGGACCAAGCAATGGGAGCTCACCCCGTCGCAGGGATTTGAACCGCCGACCTTCTGATCGGCAAGTCCTAAGCTCTGTGGTTTAACCCACAGAGCCACCTGCGTCCCTCTGTATGTTGGATATGTGACTGTAAAACTTTAATCTGAAAAACCAAATAAATAAATTTAAAAAAGAAAAAAAGGCACGGTGGTTCTGTTTATCCTCCCAAAGTGCGTGTCTGTGTGCAGCAGCCAGTTTCAGACTGAGGAGTCCGGGATACAGATTCCCGCTCACCTACAGAGATTAGATTGGCGCCATCTCTCAGAAGCAACCTACCTCGCAGGGGTGTTGCGATCTATTTAATGCTACAATCCCGAGCAAACTATCCAAACTGGGATTCCTGTCCTTCTCCTCTTTTACGCACCTGCTGTATCGGGCGGCATCTTCCAGGTATTCCGCAGGTAGGTGGCATGGGTTGGGGGACATCCTTACTCCCCCTCCTCCTGGGGTTGTCGGCGGGCCTCTGCTGGGGCTCGCTGCCTCCTGTTGCAGGGAAGGTTGTGCCTTCCGCTGCTTCACCAAAGCATCCTGCCACTAAGAAAGAACCAGGCTTGGAATAATTAATCAATAACGACAACAACAAATTATTTTTTATACCCTACCCATCTGGCTGGGTTTCCCCAGCCACTCTGGGCGGCTCCCAACAGAATATTAAAACCACATTAAAACGTCAGTCATTAAATGACTTTCAGATGTCTTCTGAAAGTCAGATATTTGTTTATTTCCTTGACATCTGACGGGAGGGCGTTCCACAGGGCAGGCGCCACCACCGAGAAGGCCCTCTGCCTGGTTCCCTGTAACCTCGCTTCTCACAGGGAGGGAACCACCAGAAGGCCCTCAGAGCTGGACCTCAGTGTCCAGGCAGAATGATGGGGCTGGAGGCACTCCTTCAGGTATACAGGAGCAAAGCCGTTTAGGGCTTTAAAGGTCAGCACCGACACTTTGAACTGTGCACAGAAACGTACTGGGAGCAAATGTAGGTCTTTCAGGACTGGTGTTATGTGGTCTTGGTGGCCACTCCCAGTCACCAGTCTAGCTGCCGCATTCTGGATTACAGTAGTTACATTTTCCGGGTCCCCTGCAAAGAGCGCATTGCAGTAGTCCAAGCAGGAGATAACCAAAGCATGCACCACTCTGGCGAGACAGTCTGTGGGCAGGTAGGGTCTCAGCTTGCGTACCAGATGGAGTTGATAAACAGCTGCCCTGGACACAGAATTAACCTGCGCCTCCCTGGACAGCTGTGAGTCCAAAATGACTCCTAGGCTGCACACCTGGTCCTTCAGGGGCACAGTTACCCCATTCAGGACCAGGGAGTCCTCCACACCTGCCTGCCTCCTGTCCCCCAAAAACATTACTTCTGTCTTGTCAGGATTTAATCTCAATCTGTTAGCTGCCATCCACCCTCCAACCGCCTCCAGACATACAATCATAGAATTACAGAGTTGAAAAGGACCCCAGGGGTCATCTAGTCCAACACCCCCCCCCCCCGCAATGCAGGAATCGCAGCTTCAATTTCACGCTTCATAATTTTTTCACATAGTGCTACCCTTCAATAAAAAAATATACCTGAAAAAAATAACCCTACATCACCCAGAAAGGACTGAGGTGTGGTTCATTCTAAAACAGGAGCAGGGAAGCAAATGAGTAAATGTCAACTAAGGGATTGGTTCATCTGGATAAAACCCACAAGAGACCTGCAACTAATTAGGAACACTCAATTTTCCCCTTGGTATTCTCTCTTGAAACACAAATTTTGGACCATAAAGAAGGCTGATCGCCGAAGAATTGATGCTTTTGAATTATGGTGCTGGAGGAGACTCTTGAGAGTCCCATGGACTGCAAGAAGATCAAACCTCTCCATTCTGAAGGAAATCAGCCCTGAGTGCTCACTGGAAGGACAGATCCTGAAGCTGAGGCTCCAGTACTTTGGCCACCTCATGAGAAGAGAAGACTCCCTGAATAAGACCCTGATGTTGGGAAAGATGGAGGACACAAGGAGAAGGGGACGGCAGAGGACGAGATGGTTGGACAGTGTTCTCGAAGCTACCAGCATGAGTCTGACCAAACTGCAGGAGGCAGTGGAAGACAGGAGTGCCTGGCATGCTCTGGTCCATGGGGTCACGAAGAGTCGGACACGACTTCACGACTAAACAACAACAACAAATCTGACCAATCTCTTGCCAGCTTCCTTACAAAATGCCTGAATTGAGCTGAATTTCCAGATGAAGCTCACTGCAGTCTTGGGTGGCTGCTACAAGAATATTCAGGTACGTAGACAGACTTTTGTATTTGTGGTCAACCTCAGGTGGAAGACATCACTCATTACCTGCTAGCCTGCCTCTTATACAGAGACCCAAGAGATCGCTTTCTGAAGCCTTTGTTCACACAAGCAAGTAGGCACACCCCAGCAGAAACGGTTCAGCTTCTTTAAGCGACAACAATAGCTTTGTAAAACACGGAGTGTCCCTCTATGCACTGGCTTGTGTGTGGGGGGGTGGAAATCCTGAAAAATGAGTTAATTAAAATCGCTATAAAATTGTTGCGGTGATTCGGTGGTTTCATCTGAAAGCAAGTTGGGTTTGAGTTTGTAGGTGTCTCTGGTTATCTTCTCTCTCTTTCAGAATGGATGTTGGCAAACTGGATTTTAAAATGATGTTATAATTGGAGCTGTCAGAGATGAACAAGGGACACTGTGTTCAAATGCTCAGGAACTTGGCAAACTCTGCATTCATAGTATGCATTTTTATATTAAGGATCTATGTTCTGTATTATTTTATTAATGCCACTGCCTTCTTCTTTTTCTTTGGCAATCACTCATAACTGAGTAAGATTGTCTTCCATAAACACGGTTTTAGCTGTGGGTCTGTAAGTGACTGTGGAGGCTAATTCTGGATCCACACGTCCTTCCACAGTGGGGACGTAGGTTTCCGGGCGGGAGTTGATCACGGTGAGGGTTTGCCAAGCATGCCTTCCTCTTAGCACGTTTCTCCCTTGCGTCCTGAGTTCGAGTGTCTTCAAAGCCCATGACACCTTTGGTAAAGGCTGTTCTCCAACTGGAGCGCTCGTGGGCCAGTTTTCCCCAGTTGTCACTGTTTATACTACATTTTAAAATATTTGTCTTGAGAGTCTTTAAACCTCTTTTATTGACCACCAGCATTACGCTTTCCATTTTTAAGTTCAGAATAGAGTAGTTGCTTTGGAATACAATACAGTGGTACCTTGGGTTACAGACGGTTACATACAATTCAGGTTACAGACTCAGCTAACCCAGAAATAGTACCTCAGGTTAAGAACTTTGTTTCAGGATGGGAAGAGAAATCGCACAGCAGCGGCGCGGCAGCAGCAGGAGGCCCCATTAGCTAAAGTGGTGCTTCAGGTTAAGAACAGTTTCCGGTTAAGAATGGACCTCCAGAATGAATTAAGTTCTTAACCCGAGGTACCAATGTAATCAGGCATCCGCACAACATGACCAGTCCAATGAAATTGATGTTGCTTCGAATCATTGCTTCAACACTGGTGATCTTTGCTTCTTCCAGTACACTGGCATAAGTTTGTCTGTCTTCCCAAGTGATGTGTAAATTTTTTTGGAGACACCATTGATGGAATCTTTCAAGGAGTTGGAGATGGTGTTTATAAGTGGTCCATATTTCACAAGCTATTGCCTTAATGGGACACGGGTGGCGCTGTGGGTTCCATGCGCTGCTCTGGTTCGCCAGAAGCGGCTTAGTCCTGCTGGCCACATGACCCGGAAGCTGTACGCCGGCTTCCCTCAGCCAATAAAGCGAGATGAGCGCCGCAACCCCAGAGTCGGCCACAACTGGACCTAATGGTCAGGGGTCCCTTTACCTTATTGCCTTAATACATGTCTGACATGGCCTTTGGCTAGAACAAAAAACTGGCGAACTTGGAAACTTGAGGAACTTCCCATCTGCAGACTGGCATATTCGTGCATCTAACTCATGATCGCTCACTCTGACTGGAGGCTGCTCTCTAAATTTAATTATTTTTCAAAAAACCAGAGAGGGCGTGTGTTCTACCAGTGAGGCGTAGCTGGACCCAGAAGCTGGGCCCGTCTTGGCTGCACCCTGCTCTCTTAACGCACCCCCAAGCCCTCTTACCTTGCGGAAGCTGGCAGCCAGCACCACCAGAATGTGGTTCCTCTGGGCAATGCCTGCTTGAACCTTCCTTAACTGCACAGCCCACCGCAGGGCAGCAAGCCCCTTGCGCAACAGCTGGTGCTCATACAGAGCCCGGGCAGCGGCCGTCTTCCCAGAGACGTTGTTGCGCCAGGCCACAAAGCATTTCTCCAGCTGGGGGTCCACCCTCTTGGGCAAAGGCCTGGGAGAGAGGGGAAGAAAGGAAACAAGAGCTAGCGTTCCGTTTAACCCATTAACCCCCGCAAATTTAAGTTGATTAAGTGATCAGCTCGAGTTGATTAATCTAATCTGATCTCTTTAAGGGAACAGGCGATACTTCTAAAGAGAAAACAGGTTTTGGAGACAATGCACACATCGCTTGGGATGGACAGGCATTCACTCCACCTACAGCTTTTTAAAATACATGCTGCTATTAAAAAATATTTATTTACTACAGCGGTACCTTGGTTCTCAAACGCCTTGGTTCTCAAGCGACTTGGTTCCCAAATGCCAAAAACCTGGAAGTAAGTGTTCCGGTTTTTGAACATTTTTCAGAAGCCAAAGGTCCGATATGGCTGTCTGCTATTGTTTCTGGGGCGCCTGCACCAATCAGAAGCTGCGCCTTGGTTTTCAAACATTTCAGAAGTCAAACAGACTTCCGGAACGGATTAAGTTTGGGGCTTTTGCTTTTGCTATTTGTTTTGTGTTTTTGAGGCTTTTTCAGTTCATTTGTTTTTGTGACTGTGTGGAACCCAGTTCAGCTACTAATTGATTGATTGATTGATTTAATGATTGAGTGACTGCAGAAATGGATAAAAGCCCCCCATCTAAACAATGACTATCATCAGTGCAGGCAAGAAAAAAAATAATTTTAATTTTTAATCATCTACAATACTGTCTTATTTATTTTATAGTACAGTACATGGATTATTGCTTTCATTTTATGGCTCAATGGTCTCGTTAGATAGTAAAATTCAAGTTGAATGGGGTTGTTTTTAAAAGTCTGGAGCGGAAGAATCCATTTTGCATTACTTTCTATGGAAAAGCGCGGTTTTGGAACGGACTTCCGGAACGGATTAAGTTTAAGAACCAAGGTACCACTGTATTTGAGTTAAATGGGGGAGGAGTGTCTTTAAAAAAATGTAAACAAAGTTTGTAACATTTACAGCACCAAGAGCGTTTAAAGACGGGCAAAAGAATTACCTGTTTCTCTTCTTCTCCATCGATTCCAGGTCCTGTAAGTAAAGAAAGAAAAATCAAGACAATATGTTGGAATAAGCTCATCCCGCCTCTTATGGAATCGCTGGGCAGCAAGGCTTGGAACATTCCACACCCACCAGATTCTAAATTCTGTGCCATGGTAACCTGAATTGGGCTGAAAAAGCTCAAGGAAAGCAGAGATCTACCACCTGAATCCACAACGCAGATCGAAATAAAATAATATACACACCCTGGTATACATCAGCTTATCTCACACAATTTAGTTTTGCTTCCAACTAACTTGTGGAACTCACTGCCACAAGCTGGGAGAGAAGGCCACGAGACACAAAACTCAATGTACATCCAACATGCCACTCTGTTAGCTGGTAAGCTGTATCAATTTGGCTGTATCAATTTGGCTGTATCAATTTGGACTTCAGGTGGTTGGCAGCAGCGGGAGAAGGGGGGGATCTCTACGTTTAGGCCATTGCTCCTGAATCCAATTATTATTATTATTATTATTATTTATACCCCGCCCATCTGGATGGGTTTCCCCAGCCACTCTGGGCGGCTTCCAACAAAACACTAAAATACAATAACCTATTAATCCAAACTTTATTTTTTTAAAAACTAAGATTTTATTAAGACTTTTCATAATACTTGACAATAAAAAATGAAGTAATCTGGACAAAAAGAAAAAAAAACAGAAAAAGAAAGAAAAAGAAGAATACAAAGTCTTCTCTCACTGGTAAATCTTAACTCTTATACCACTCAGAAAGAGGTGGATTCTCCCAGTTCTCACCTTACCCCAGAGGACAAAACAAAGACGAAAGAAGTCAAACAGGAAAAGAAAAACAGAGGGAAACAAAGCAAGGAATGAAACAAAAAAATCCAAACTTTAGTTTCAGGCATGGGCAAACTTTGGCCCTCCAGAGGTTTTGGAACTACAATTCCCATCATCCCTAGCTAACAGGACCAGTGGTCAGGGATGATGGGAATTGTAGTCTCAAAACATCTGGAGGGCCGGAGTTTGCCTATGCCTGCTTTAGTTAGCAACAGACAGACTGAGCTCACCTCCTTATCATCCATCCGGTTGTTGCTCTCCTCGTCGTACAACGCTGTGGTCCTTTTCCCGGTCTGTTCTGTTGAAGGCCCTCCTCCCTGACCATTTTCCGCATCAGGCCAACAGTCGTCGGGCACAGAATTTGGGGAGCCGTTGCCACTTCTCCCAACAACGGCCGCACCTATACTATCAGCAGCCTGCCAATGTTCTCCAAAGCGGCTGAGCTTCCAGTGGGGCAGATCCGCAGCGTGCTCCCCTGCAGAGAGCGTGGGGCCCCCGCCATCCTCTCCTAGCTCGCCCCCAGCTTCACAGACGTCAGAATCCTGGGCGCCGTTCCTAAACCAGCACGCAGGAGAATGCACCGCCAGGCTGACGCACACAGGAGACCCCAGGTTTGCCGGAGAATCGGCGCACAACGTCTTCAAGGAGACCTCCAAGCTGTCGAAGGAAAGGAGACTCAAGGCATGGTCTGAGAGACTCAACTCCGAGCGACGCAATGCTCCTGAGGCGAGCTCTTCCGGATCAGCTGCCTTTCGGTGGCAGCGGGTTTTGGAACAGTCGCAGGCACCCGTTCTTTCCGGAGTCCGCCATCCGCCGCCCAAGCAACATTCGAGGTAGCGAATGGAGGTTTTCGAACAGAGGTCTTCACCCCGAAGGGCCAGCGAGGCCAGATCAACGCCACCATGGAAACCTGACTGGTCCAAGGCCTCCATTGGGCATGTCTGCAATCCAGCGTTGTCGCACCTGTAGACAATGGAGGTGGGCTTGCCCACGGTGGAAGTGCCGCCCCAGTCCCTGGGAAAAGGGGCTCGCCATTTGACGCTGGCCTGCCTGGCGTAGCTCTCTCCCGCCGCGAGATGCTCCACAGAACTCAGCACGGTCGAGGCGGAGACCTGAGGACTGCGGAGCGGCTGGCAAGGGAAAAGAGGACGTTTGGATTCCCAGGGGGAGGAGCCCAACGCCCCCATTGAGGTGGCTTCTCGCTTGAGCTGCCGGATGGAGCGGTGCAGGTCAGCAGACGTCTGGGAAGACTTCAAGAGGGTCTGGAGCGCTACAGAAGACCGAGCGCTCTCCACCAAAGTCGAAGAGTTCAAATGGTCCAAGGTAAGGCCTGGCCCACGATGGAAAGAGTCGTCGCTTCTGCTGAGGCTCGTAGGAGGACACCGGCAGGAAACGGAGCCAGGAGCCGATGTCACAGGCAATTCGGCCGGAGAGAAGTACCCTCCGCAGTCCCCGAGATGCCCGCAGATTCTTCTCGACGCACAAACGTGACTCGGTTTTGACCCATACCGGTCCTCGCTTCCCATCCTGTTCTTTGAGAGGGTGCCGCAGTCATGAGAGACATGGCGGCTTCTACTTGAGAGGTGGCTGGGAGGGTTGCCCTTTAAACCGAGCTGCTCTGAGCATGAGCAGAGAGAGGGGCAGGAAATCAGTGCATCTCTGGTAAACTCTGAGTCTCCAGATGCACCCCTCTGCAGTTTCGACGCAAGGTTGCTTTGCTGTTTAGGTAAAGAGCCACCGGTGGCATCCTGGAAAGGCCAATAAGGGCAAGAGAGGTTGGTCTGAACCGCCCGGTGTTGCTGCAGGTCATTGCTTCCCTTTCCCGCAAACGCAGCCCGCTTTTCCCCCTGGGCACTCGCTCCTCTGCAGTCTGACCTGCAGACAACGGAGTCGGCTGCTACATTCCTTTCCGTGGACAGGTACAGATTGATGTTGATGTTTCTCTGGACGTTTGTTTGCTCTGCAGAGGGGAAGAATAAAGCCGTTTATGTTAGGACTCAGCATGCATGTCAAATACCTTTCCATTCCTTCCCGCGGCTGACGTTTAACAGTGACCCCACATCAGATCCTTCAACTTTGCAAGTTGGGATGTGCGTGAACATTCTGTGACTTCACAAAAGCAAACAAAGATTACGGACGTGCCGCGATGTCTAAAAACAGGGAATCTGAGCAGAAGGAGGAAGAACGTGTGGAAAAGTGACATACATTTACTGAATGCCACATCCGTACTGTACATTTAAATCGCATGGCTTCTTCCAAAGAATCCTGGGCTCTGTCACTTCTCCCTCACAGAGCCACAATTCCCAGCACCTTTAACAAACTACAGTTCCCAAGATTCCTGCGGGCAGCCACGTGCTTTAAATGTGTGGTGCAGGTGAAAAAAAGACAAAAACTAAATACTATTACAAATTTAGAAGTGGAAGGAAAGAATATACATAACCCAACTGAGATTAGAAATTGTTTCCAGAGGTATTTTAAACAACTATATACACAAGGGCCACAGAAGGAAATGGATATAGACCGATTTCTGAAGACAAATGGACTCCACAAAATAACCCAAGAAAGTAAATTAATGCTGAATTACAAAATATCTGAGCAGGAAGTAGAAGGTGCCATTCAAAACATGCAATTAGGCAAATCTCCAGGACCGGATGGGCTGACTTCTAGATATTATAGATCTTTGAAAGAGTGGCTATTACAACCTTTAAAGGAAGTCTGCAATGAAATATTGGAAGGGAAAAGGGCACCAGAGTCTTGGAAAGAGGCGTACATTACACTTATACCGAAGACAGAGACTGAAAAGACTCAGCTTAAGAACTACCGCCCCATATCATTACTCAATGTGGATTACAAAATTTTTGCAGACATTTTGGCCAAGAGATTGAAAAAAGTATTGATGGAAGAGATTCATAAAGATCAAGCGGGCTTTCTCCCGGGAAGACACTTGTCCAATAATTTGAGGAATATAATTGATATTTTGGAAAAACTAGAAGTGAACATAAATACCAAAGCTGTTTTGATATTTGTGGACGCGGAGAAAGCTTTTGATAATATCTCTTGGAGTTTTATGAAGAAGAACCTACAGGGGATGGGGGTAGGCCAAGGTTTTGAAAACGGTATAAGTGCAATTTATTCAGAACAAAAGGCTAAACTAATTGTAAATAATGTGGTGACGGAAGAATTTAAGATAGAAAAAGGGACAAGACAAGGTTGCCCAATTTCCCCATTGCTTTTTATATCGGTCCTGGAGGTTCTGCTGAACATGATTAGAAGGGACCGGTTGGTTAAAGGTATACAGGTCGGAGCCAAACAGTACAAACTGAGAGCATTTGCAGATGACTTAGTATTGACGTTACAGGAGCCAGAATCTAGTACCAAAAGAGTTTTAGAACTGATTCAAGAATTTGGTCAAGTTGCAGGATTTAAGTTGAATAAGTTAAAGACCAAGGTTTTAGAGAAAAATTTAACACCAATGGAGAGAGAGAGGTTTCAGAATGAGACAGGTTTAACAGTGGTTAAGAAAGTTAAATATTTGGGGATTAACATGACAGCAAAAAAATGGGAACTTATTTAAAGACAACTATGAAAAATGCTGGGCTGAAGTGAAAAAAGATTTGGAAATTTGGTCAAATTTGAAGCTTTCACTGCTGGGCCGTATTGCTGCGGTAAAAATGAATGTATTGCCTAGAATGTTGTTTTTGTTTCAAACATTGCAAATTGTGGACAAAATGGATTGTTTCAAGAGGTGGCAGAGAGATATTTCTAAATTTGTCTGGCAGGGCAAGAAGCCTAGGATAAAATTTAAAATATTAACAGATGCAAAGGAAAGAGGTGGATTTGCCCTGCCAGACTTTAAACTTTACTATGAATCAGCAGCTTTCTGCTGGTTGAAAGAATGGTTGCTTCTTGAAAACACTGACATTTTGGATTTAGAAGGTTTTAACAATGTATTTGGATGGCATGCATATCTGTGGTATGATAAGGTCAAAGCACACAAAGCATTTAAAAATCACATCGTCAGGAAAGCATTGTTTAATGTCTGGATAAGATACAAGGACTTATTGGAAAATAAAACTCCAAGGTGGCTGTCACCGATGGAAGCAAAAGCTCTGAAAAAGCTCAATATGGAGGCCAAATGGCCGAAATATTGGGAAATTTTGGAACAAGATGGAGATAGACTGAAATTGCAGAGTTTTGAGAAATTAAAAAACAAAGTGCGAGACTGGCTTCATTATTATCAGATAATGGAGGCATACAATTTGGATAAGAAAATTGGTTTCCAGGTGGAAAAATCAAAATTAGAAACAGAACTATTAGAACCCAAAACTAAGATCTTGTCAAAGATGTATAACTTGCTGTTGAAATGGAATACTCAGGATGAAACGGTGAAATCTGTTATGATTAAATGGGCACAAGATGTTGGTCATAACATAATGATGGCCGACTGGGAACAGTTATGGACCACAGGTATGAGGTTTACGGCATGTAATGCCTTAAGAGAGAATATTATGAAAATGATCTACAGGTGGTACATGACCCCAGTCAAGCTTGCAAAAATCTATCATTTGCCCGATAACAAATGTTGGAAATGTAAAGAAACTGAAGGTACATTCTTTCACCTTTGGTGGACGTGCCCAAGGATTAAGGCTTTCTGGGAAATGATATATAATGAACTGAAAAAGATATTTAAATATACCTTCGTGAAGAAACCAGAGGCCTTTCTCCTGGGCATAGTCGGCCAATTGGTGTCAAAGAAGGATAGAACCTTTTTTATGTACGCCACAACAGCAGCAAGAATACTCATCACAAAGTATTGGAAGACACAAGATCTACCCACTCTGGAAGAATGGCAGATGAAGCTGATGGACTATATGGAACTGGCAGAAATGACTGGCAGAATCCGAGACCAGGGAAAAGAGTCGGTGGAAGAAGATTGGAAGAAGTTCAAAGATTATCTACAGAAATATTGTAAAATTAATGAATGTTAGAATGATGTTGGATAGAAATTAAGTGGTTTCTAGCTGTAATGCTTTAAGGGAATATGAAAAGGGGTTATTAAGAGGTAAAAATTTAATGTTATTATTTTAAGACCAAAGATTAGGATAAATAAAGAGGGTAAGGATTTGCTGAACCAACAAATTGAACTGGAATACAAAAAAGGGAGGTATGAGGAGGTCCGGGAAACAAGCTAAAGAAAAATAAGCAATGGAAAATCTGAGTGTTTTTAATCATTTTTATTTTGTATGTTTTTCTTTTTTCATTTTTTATTGTAATATTTTAAAAAATCCTAATAAATATCTTATAAATAAATAAATAAATAAATGTGTGGTGCAGGTACATTGTGGGAAAGCAAAGCACACTGTTACAGTCGTACTTTGGAAGCTGATCGTAATCCATTCCGGAAGTCAGTTTGACTTCCAAAACGTTTGGAAATCAAAGCACGGCTTCTGGTTGGCTGCAGGAAGTTCCTGCAGCCAATCGGAAGCCCTGTCGGACATTTGGCTTCCAAAAATCGTTCGAAAACCGGAACATTTAAGTTTCTAAAAACGGTGAGAAAGTGAAACATTTCAGAGGTTTGTAAAATTACGCTGTGTTTGCAGAAAGCGAAAAAGGTTTCCTCCTTCTCCCATAGTAAAGGTAAGGTAAAGGGACCCCTGACCATTAGGTCCAGTTGTGACCGACTCTGGGGTTGCGGTGCTCATCTCACTTTATTGGCTGAGGAAGCTGGCGTACAGCTTCCGGGTGATGTGGCCAGCAGGACTAAGCCACTTCTGGCGAACCAGAACAGCACACGGAAACGCCGTTTACCTTCCTGCCAGAGGGGTACCTATTTATCTACTTGCACTTTGAGGTGCTTTCGAATTGCTAGGTTGGCAGAAGCAGGGACCGAGCAACGGGAACTCACCCCTTCGCAAGGATTCAAACCACCGACCTTCTGATCAGCAAGTCCTAGGCTCTGTGGTTTAACCCACAGTGCCACCCGCGCCCCTTCTCCCATAGTACTGGAATCTAACAGGGCCATTTAAGGAAGCTGAAACCTGCAAGATTCTGGGCAGACATTAGGAAGGACTTATTCACGCCGTCAATCCCTGGGTTTCAAATGCACGCCACGATTCTGTAGGTGTTGCACGGGGCTGACTCTGTCCTAGAACAGTCCGTCCCTGGATTTCAGATTAGTGAGCGATACACAGCCACTCCCCAGAGAGGCTGTGACCAACCCACTCCTTCTCACAGGCTCCGCCACAAATAAGAGTTTTCGACTTCCCTTTAATAGCAAACTCAGGTGCTCGGTGCCAACCGAAACGGAGCAAAAGGAGCAGGAAACTCCCCAAATATAGGTCGATAGAAAGATGGGAAAGATATATACAGTGGTACCTCGGGTTACATATGCTTCAGGTTACATAACTCAGATAACCCAGAAATAGTACCTCGAGTTAAGAACTTTGCTTCAGGATGAGAACAGAAATCGTGTTCCGGCAGTGCGGCGGCAGCAGCGGGAGGCCCCATTAGCTAAAGTGGTACCTCAGGTTAAGAACAATTTCAGGTTAAGAATGGACCTCTGGAACGAATTAAGTACTTAACCCAAGGCACCACTGTACGCGGGTGGTGCTGTGGATTAAACCACAGAGCCTAGGACTTGCCGATCAGAAGGTCGGCGGTTCAAATCCCTGCGACGGGGTGAGCTCCCGTTGCTCGGTCCCTGCTCCTGCCAACCTAGCAGTTCGAAAGCACGTCAAAGTGCAAGCAGATAAATAGGTACCACTCCGGCGGGAAGGTAAACGGCGTTTCTGTGCGCTGCTCTGGTTCGCCAGAAGCGGCTTAGTGATGCTGGCCACATGACCCGGAAGCTGTACGCCGGCTCCCTCGGCCAGTAAAGAGAGATGAGCACCGCAACCCCAGAGTCGGCCACGACTGGACCTAATGGTCAGGGGTCCCTTTACCGTTACCACTGTACAATGGTACCTCAAGTTAAGTACTTAATTCGTTCTGGAGGTCCGTTCTTAGCCTGAAGCACCACTTTAGCTAATGGGGCCTCCTGCTGCCGCTGGAGCACAATTTCTGTTCTCATACTGAAGCAAAGTTCTTAACCTGAAGCATTATTTCTGGGTTAGCGGAGTCTGTAACCTGAAGCGTATGTAACCTGAAATACCACTGTATATTCATTGAGAACAAGGCAACCTCAGTAGCTGTAGGAATTTGATGGCTGGCTAGGACACCAAGATACTCTGCCACATTTTGCTGCAGTTACCACCTGTCTCGTCCCTCTGCAAGGATGTTAAACTGAGCAGAGGGTGCCCACCTGCCCAGCCAAACGCTATTTGCCTGTGCCTGCGCTAAGCTGCCGAATGTCTCTCTCAGCACATCGTAAGCGTGCGGCTTTACGACGCACCTCCTGCAGCAAAACCGCCTCTCTTCCCGCAGCGGCCTTACTCACTCCGATCGGCACCGTGGGACATGCTCCCGGCTCCGTCCACATCTGTGGGGTAGGGTGTGGGGCAGAAGCAGGTGCCCCTTTGTGTTCGCTTCTCTGACCTTGATGGGTTGGGGCGGAGGAACAACAACACCCCCCCACCGTGCTGGGTTCTCCCCGGCAGCTGACGGCACGCTTAATGCTTGAAAGCCGAAGTGTGCTAGCCAGCTGAGTCGCTCTAAGCAGCTTAGAGCCCACGATTTAAGATCCCAGTTAGTCATTGTGGAACCAGATGTCCAGCATGCAGAGCGGTGGAAAAGAGGAGCAAGGAGGCTTTGATCCACTTCTAATTAGAGCTCCGTCCTCAAGACGAGCTGGGCAAATTAGCTCCAGAACAACCCAGTCTGTTTGGCCGGCAGCGGCAGCAGAAACGCATGCTGATGTCTTGCCCGTAGTAAAATATCTTCTGTGAATTATTTCAAGCAATTCTCAAATGCCCGCAATAATCATCGCTCAAGAGTAAAGACATACGACTTCAGGGATCCGCACCCTGCCTCTTTAGCCAAACATGGCTCCCACCAGAGTGACTTAGGAAAATCAACGCTAAGAGGGTCCCTGCCCTCAAGTTTTACAGTCTAAAAGGACATAACGTACAAGGAAAAAGGGAGGAGGAGGGAGGAGGGGAAGCGAGCTCAGGTGACACCCTTACACAAATATTTTTTCTGATTCTAAGACAATGCACTCCTCAGGACACACCATAATCGTGCATCTTACCCCATGTCAAGACGTAGAAAGACAAATAATGCATTTAATTTCTAATTCTCATTACTTCCTCAATATTTTTAAAAACCTCCATCCAAGTATCAACAGCTGCTTGCCTACTATACTATGCCAATCCTGAAACTACTCAGCCACCTGTCTTCCACAGACCCCTCCTTCCTTAAACTTGATAAACGATGTGACTATAAACCTTTCGAACCAATTCCTAATAATTTAACCTCCCCTTTCGCAAACATGAGCACATCTTTATCCTACCTGAGTTGCCAATGACTTTGCTCCCAATACAATTTCATTTATTTATTTACCGTACTTATTCAATCAATCTTTGTCTGAAGATCCCAGCATAAAAACGCAAGATATATATTTACATATGCAAATACACATACACACACATATGTAAAACAGGAACAAAAACAAAACAATGGGCCCCCCTCCCCTGTATCTCTTACTCTATCTCTTTCCTTTTTTATACTTTTTATTAAATTTTCTGTTATACAATTTAAAGTACTCATTTTTACATCCTTAAAATATCAGGGACTATCCTTCTCTTTCCATGGTTCATTTTACATATCATAAATCCCTGCATATTTTCCAAGAACTATACCAATCGGTTTTCCATTATTGCACCCATCAAAACTTATTTACACTGTTGAATTTATCTTAACGCGGCCAGCCTTTTCAGCTGTACACAATTATTTCCCATATATTCAATAAACATTATCCAATCTTCTCTAAATGTATGTTCTTCTTGTTCTCTTTTTCTATATGTTAAGTCTGCGAGTTGTTCATATTCTGCTAACTGAAGTTGCCATTCTTCTTTGTTTGGGACCTCGCTCGTTTTCCATTTTGGGGCTAACAAAACAAGGGCATACATAAATAACCTTTTTTGACACCTGGGAATTTCAGTCTGAATTATCCCCAACAGAAAAGACTTTGGGTTTTTTGGGAAAGTACTTTAAAACATTTTTTTTCCCAATTCATTATGGATCATTTCCCACTATCTCTTTCCTAACCCTTTCTGAAAACATAATAAAAAAATTTAATAGGATCACTTGAGCTTTATTGACACACCAGCTACAGTCCAGGGGGGCAGTGGTTGGCTGGTACCCATTGGCACCGGTGGAGGCCAACAGCAGGGGGCGCCAGAGCCAATGGCAGGTGGAGACAACTTATTCCAGATTTGCCTCCACCTCCTGCCTGCTGGGCTCTACAAGGGGCAACCATGAGACTAAACAAGGAGGGAGCCGACAGTCAAGGCCACCCCACCCTAGTGGACTCCAGGGAAGCCTCAGCTTACCAGACGCCACATAGCCGCTCAGAAAAGGAGGGATGTTTTCTTTCTTCTTGCCTCTCGGCATCCTGTCCAGGTCCTCCACACCTGTGTCGTCCCTTTAAACCCGAGGCCAATCCTGCAACAGGAAACCCCGGGCGACGCCACAGCACCAACTGCCTGGAAGAGCAAAGCAACAGGAGGTAAACAAAGCGATCTTCTTCGCTGCTATTCGTGCATCGCAGTGGGGTTGGACTAGATGACCGCACTGGGTCCCTTCCAACTCTACGCTGCTATGATTCTAAGGCAAGTAACGACTCTGAAAGTCAGTATGGGCTACTGAGTGGCCATACATTTAAAGCACACCCTCCCCCCAAAGAATCTTGGGAGCTGTAGTGCTTACTGTTAAGTTGTGGGTGAACATATCAGACAACACAGCGATTCTTCAAACAGCTCTTGTTTATTCACAGGCCAGAACAGAACTGAACTGAAGGGTTCAGCCAGCCTGCTTATATAGAGCTCCAGTACAACACAACTGTAACAACTTTCTGTAACTATCCAATCACTGAACATCACTTTCAATCCCTTATTTGCATATGTGGACCTGAGTGAAAACTATCCCCCTGCTGGCCCAGGGTGAGAACTTCAGTACATAACACTTACAATCTGCAATCCCCAGCTCCCCTTAGCAAACTACAGTTCCCAGCATTCTTTGGGAGAAGCAATTACCTGTTTTTGGAAACCACAGGAGTTGAGCTGCTTGGGGGCTTCCCACTGTGAAAATAGGATGTTGGACTAGATGGGCCTCATCCAGGCCACTTTATGTCCTTAAGCTGTCTTCTTAAACTGCCGCTGGGGATGAATTTATGACAAAGTTTGGACTAGAATCTTGGGTTATTGACTAGAATCGGTACTCTGGAATCTTGGGATATCAAATAAGGACTAGAACATGGGTAGGCAAACTAAGACCCGGGGGCCGGATCCAGCCCAATCGCCTTCTAAATCTGGCCCACGGACGGTCCGGGAATCTGCGTGTTTTTACATGAGTAGAATGTCTCCTTTTATTTAAAATGCATCTCTGGGTTGTTTGTGGGGCCTGCCTGGTGTTTTTACAGGAGTAGAATGTGTGCTTTTATTTAAAATGCATCTCTGGGTTATTTGTTCATTTTTTTTTTCTTCAAAATATAGTCTGGCCCCCCACAAGGTCTGAGGGACAGTGGACGGGCCCACAGCTGAAAAAGTTTGCTGACCCCTGGACTAGAATCTTGCATACTCCTAATCACATTCCTTTTTAACCAAGCCTTTGGTTGATCTGATTTGCATCCTATGCCCTTTTTAAGTGGGCTTTTTTGGGGGGGGTATTGGGTTTTTGTTTTTATTATGTATTTTGTGGTTTTATATCTTGATTTTATTCTGTGAACTGCCTTGAGACCCCCAGGTATAGGGTGATATATAAATTTAATTAATAATAATAATAATCATCAGCACCAATCTGTTTGGGGCTTAGTGGCCCCAATCCTGCATACTGCATTTGTCTTAAGGGGGTTTATTATTACCCCTTCTGATTTGCATGGTGCGAGTGGTTTTCTGGTGGTCCTAGGCCATTGCATTCTGGCCTGCTCTCCACCCCTTCTACATAAGAAGAGGCCCGCAGGAGCAAATCGGGATTGCCTCTCCATCTAACCCGGCATCCTGTTCCCGACGGCGAGCAGCCGCTTCCCTTGCCCCATGGAGGGATGGGGGGAGAAGAGAATTGCTAAGGGAGAGGCACGGAGTGCGGGTGGGGAGATCTCACCTGTGTCCCTGCCAAAGAAATAACTCGGGAGAGAGAAAACCGAGCCAAGCGACTGTCCCCTAGTGAGGACGGAGGACAGGGGAGAAGCCCCCGAGACGAGGCGGAGGAAGAGACTCCCTTTCCGTTGCAAACCAAGCTCCCGCGCCTTCCTTTAAACCGACGGAAATGCAACGGGGGGAAGCCAAGGGGGGCTCGGACAGCCCACAGCTGCCGTGCCGGCTCCGCAGCCTCTACGATGGGGCCGCGGCAGGGATCTCGAGAGGGGCGCGCAAGGACCGGAAAGGCGCCGCTTTGCTGCGCATTTCGCGGGGCTGACTTGCCCCATATTTATTCACTTACTACTTCAGGACATCCCCTAATGCAAACACGTTCGTTTGTTGGTATGCCTCTGTGTCTCCCATCGCTAGGAAAATTAGAGCAAATTATATAGCCAAGATAGCCCCCAACTGTAAAGGCGATGAATTTATTTGACCCTATCTAAATCTCTATGTGGGACAAGAAGCTACAGTTAGAACTGGATATGGAACAACTGATTGGTTCAAAATTGGGAAAGGAGTACTGTACGACAAGGCTGTATATTGTCTCCCTGCTTATTTAACTTATATGCAGAATTCATCATGCGAAAGGCTGGGCTGAATGAATCCCAAGCCGGAATTAAGATCGCTGGAAGAAATATCAACAACCTCAGATATGCAGATGACACAACCTTGATGGCAGAAAGTGAGGAGGAATTAAAGAACCTTTTAATGAGGGTGAAAGAGGAGAGCGCAAAATATGGTTTGAAGCTCAACATCAAAAAAACGAAGATCATGGCCACTGGTCCCATCACCTCCTGGCAAACAGAAGGGGAAGAAATGGAGGCAGTGAGAGATTTTACTTACCTGGGCTCCATGATCACTGCAGATGGTGACAGCAGCCACGAAATTAAAAGACAGCCTGCTTCTTGGGAGAAAAGCGATGGCAAACCTAGACAGCATCTTAAAAAGCAGAGACATCACCTTGCCAACAAAGGTCCATATAGTTAAAGCTATGGTTTTCCCAGTGTTTTCTAAACTACCAGCATGAGTGTGACCAAACTGCGGGAGGCAGTGGAAGACAGGAGTGCCTGGCGTGCTCTGGTCCAGGGGGTCACGAAGAGTGGGACACGACTAAACAACAACACTTACTACATCCCCTAATGCAAACACGTTCGTTTGTTGGTATGCCTCTGTGTCTCCCATCACTAGGAAAATTAGAGCAAATTATATAGCCAAGATAGCCCCCAACTGTAAAGGAGATGAATTTATTTGACCCTATCTACGTCAAGCTATATTCTATCTTTATCACCAAACTCCGAATATAATTGCACATTGTATTAATTAACATTATTTTTTAATATATTAGTGGCCATGAGGTGAGTTTAGCCTATACATTTTATTATTTAATATCTTAACCTGTATATTAAGATACTTTTATAGCTCTGTTTAGAGTAGGTAATGTCTTGATAATATAAATGTTTTAAGTTTTTTGTACTGTATTAATCCAGCATATTTTCTTTTAATTGTTGAATGATCCTATGTACATTGCAGCAGTCTTTGGCTATGTGCAATAAAACTGACTGTTCACTTACTGAATTTATATATCAGGATTATTTTTGGCGGGGGAAGAACTGAGTTATCTGTGAAGCAATTGGTCAATTAGTTATTTTTATTGACTTACTTGATTTGGGGGAGGGGGGCAGCTGCCCACACCCCAGCTGTGCCCATGGCCCCATAGCACAAATACTCTAGGAAACCAGAGTGGTGTAGTGGTTAAGAGTGTCGGACCTGGACCTGGGAGATCAGAGTTCAAATCTCCCCACTCAGTCATGTAGCTCACCTGGGTGACCTTGAGCCAGCCACCTAACCTACTTCACAGGGTTGCTGTATGGATTAGCTGAAAACTGGGGTGAACCACATGGAAAGAACGGTGGGATATAATCGCAGCAAATGAACTCTTCGGCTTACCTGCCGGCCGGATGTCATTCGGGAACCTGGCACCTACAAAGTTGCAACTGGAACTGTGCCAGTCGCAAAAAGGTGCCTGGCAAATTTCTGACACTGGAGAGAGCAGAAGGAGATATCCCCCCCGCCCCGCGATCTCATAGTGCTTAAGCTCAGGGGCATCCAATGAAACTGAATGCGATTCAACACAGACGAAAGGAAGTCATTTATTGATTTATCGGCTACTTTAAAATGAGGCTGCATTTTAAATTGCATTTTAATCTGTATTTTAAATTGGTTCCCCCCCTCCCTTTCCCCCCTATTATGTTTTTACTGTGATTTTATTGGTGTTAGCCGCCCTGAGCCCGGCTCTGGCCGGGGAGGGCGGGGTATAAATAAAATTTATTTATTTATTTATTTATCTTCTTCTTCTTCTTCTTGCAGTGCGCAAACTATGGAACTCACTCCTGCAGGAGGCAGGGATGGTCAACTTGGATGGCTTTAAAAGAGGACTGGACAAATTCATGCGGAGCAACTAGTTATTATGGTTTATTATTACGGGGTGAGTGCTTTGGAGCTTGAGTCCTGCTTGTGGGTTTTTCCTTGCAGCATCTGATTTGCAACCAGGGGATGCTGGACTAGATGGGCCTTTGAGCAGCTCAGTTGGTTAAAGCATGGTGATGATAATGCCAAGGTTGCAGGTTCAATCCCCGTATGGGACAACTGCGTATTCCTGCGTTGCAGGGGGTTGGACTAGATGATCCCCAGGGTCCCTTCCACCTCTATGATTCTTCTATGACTTCTGTTTCCCCCCCCCCATCCCTCCCTATTTAGCAACCACCCAGCTTCGTTCACCTGTTACAGCTCAAACCAACAAGCGAGCCTAGCAGAAAGAAGCCAGTGCCATTATCAAACTCAAGACTGGAATGTTTTATTAAAAAGGTTCTTTAATTTTCTTCAGGAAAACAATCATACAAACAAAGATCACGGGAAGAAAGGATGGTTGTGTGTTTTCTCTAAGGCACAAAAGTGTTTTTGAGAGAGAAAAACGATCAGCACACCTACAGCAGTCATCAGAAGGTGCGTTCCTGCAGCAAATCATTGGCAGAAAAATGGCACAGTTGCAACAATGGGCGAGGGCATGGATTGCTCTTTGGAAATAATCAGTCAGCTGGCTCCTGTAAGCAGACAAATCCTCCAGGTAAGAACTCTCTTGCTGAGTCTCTTAGTGAGGGGGGGACTATTTTATGGGGGGGGGCTACTCTTCCCAGGGTACCCTGAGAGGCTCAATCGATCAGCATCAATGTGGCTGGAAAAAAATACAGAGAACTTTGCTATCGCAGAAGAAAATTGCAAAGGGTTGTACATATGACATTTCTGGGATCGGGGGAAAGACTTTAAAACATCGTTGTCCAAGGTGTGCTCTGGATTTGCGGCAGAAACGATGAGAAAACCCTCAAGTCGTTCGGGAGGAACGAGCAGCCACAGGTTGCTTTGTCGCCAAAGTTTTTTCCCTCCCCTCCTTGACTGGTGTTTAGAAACCACGCTTCCTCTGGTGGGGAGGAAGAAGTGGGGTTGGGGGTAAGTGGCAAAGACAGTTTTGTTCCCCAGCGCAGCAAAGAAAGGGCCCAGTGTTCTTCGGACGGTTCAGGGGACGCCTCAATAAGGGGGAGGTGGGGAGGCCTTGGTAGCCACGTCTGGGTAGGGGCGCGGCGGCTCCGGGTGGTCGATGGGCTGGTACGAGCTGCGGTCCTGCCCAACGTTGAGGACACCTGCACAGAAGGAAAGGGGAAAGCAACAGCTTTTAGCCTTCGGATGCAGCACCCAGGGTTCAAGGTGTTCCCAGCAAGAATCTAAGTGCTGGGATGAGCTGCAACTGGAGAGCTAGCTGTAAGTTTCCGAGCCATGAATTAGACTATCACTTGCCTTTACAGCCCCCTATACCTTGCATCAATGGGACGCGGGTGGCGCTGCGGGTTAAACCACAGAGCCTCAGAAGGTTGGTGGTTTGAATCCCCGTGACGGGGCGAGCTCCCATTGGTCAGTCCCTGCTCCTGCCAACCTAGCAGTTCAAAAGCACCTCAAAGTGCAAGTAGATAAATAGGTAAACGGCGTTTCCGTGTGCTGCTCTGGTTCGCCAGAAGCGGCTTAGTCATGCTGGCCACATGACCTGGAAGCTGTACGCCCAATAAAGCGAGATGAGCGCCGCAACCCCAGAGTCGGTCACGACTGGACCTAATGGTCAGGGGTCCCTTTACCTTTTATACCTTGCATCACAGCTCTGGCCGTTGACCATGTTGGCTGGAGGGCTACTGTTCCTCCATCTCTGAACCTAGACTATCTCTTGTCTTCACTGCCCCTAGGGACCACTGACCATGGCAGCTGCAGCTGATGGGAAGTGGAACCTCATCTCAAATGCTGCAGGTTCCCCATCAATGAACCAGACCATCACTTGCCTTTACTGCCCCTGCTTCCTTCTCAGTTCCGCCTTTTTTTTTTTTTTTAAATGCATGGCCAGGCAGCCTGGTTGATGGACAACAAATCCCATCCTTGTCCCTATTGGCCATGCTGGCTGATGGGAGTTGGCAGTCCAACCATGTTTGCAGAGTCACAAGTTCCCTTAGCCATTGCACTCCGTTGTCCATTGCTAGTGATCAATTTCCAAAATGAGGGATAGGTGCTTTGTGTCCAGGAAACCTTGCCTCTCAGGTGGCACTATTGGTTGCTGTGAGCGACTAGGTGGGGAAGCACTCTGCACATACTCTACGGTACCTTCTTTATGCAAACACCCTAGATTCCATTGGCCCAGTCTTTGCTGACTTTAAAAATAGTTTGGTAAACTGCGGGAGCTTGGGTCTATCTATGGAAAGGTAAAAGATCAAGGCCCCCATGATGGTTAAGTCCAGTCAAAGGCGACTATGGGGTGAGGTGCTCATCTTGCTTTCAGGCCGAGGGAGCCGGCATTTGTCCACAGACAGCTTTTCGGGTCATGTGGCCAGCATGACTAAACCGGACAGGACACCGTGACGGAAACCAGAGTGCACGGAAATGCCGTTTACCTTCCTGCCACAGCAGCACCTACCGTATTTTTCGCTCTATAAGACGCACCCAACCATAAGACGCACCCAGTTTTCAGAGGAGGAAAACAAGAAACAAGAAAGCAATGCAAAGCCTCTTGAGCGAAGAACGCTCCCACTGCGCTCAAGAGGCTTTGCGTGGCTATCCCTGAAGCCAGAAGAGCAAGAGGGATCGCTGCACACCGATCCCTCTTGCTCTTCTGGCTTCAGCGATAGCATTCGCTCCATAAGATGAAGACACATTTCCCCATACTTTTTAGGAGGGGAAAAGTGTGTCTTATAGAGCAAAACATATGGTATTTCTCTACTTGCACTGGCATGCTTTCGAACTGCTAGGTTGGCAGGAGCTGGGACAGAGCAACGGGAGCTCACCCCACCATGGGGATTCAAACCACTGACCTTCTGACTGGCAAGCCCTAAAGGCTCAATGGCTGAGACCACAGCACCACCCTCGTCCCTAGGGTCTATATATGATGGAGCTGTTGACCACCAAAGCTAAACTGAGCCTCCCAAACCAGAGACAGTCTACCTCTAAAGGTCATCTTTTAGAACAGGGGCAGGCACCTGTGACCTTCTGAATGTTGCTGAACTTCCAACTCCCATCAGCAAGAATGATGCTGGAATCCAGCAAAATCTAGAGGGATGCAGGTTTCTCATCCATTAAAAGAGAGCAGAGTTGTGATGGAGGCAGCCTGGGCCAATAAAGGCACATGGCAGTAATAGAGTTACAACAGAGGCAGCTAGGGGGAAGTAAAGGCAAGTGATGGTCTTTGGGCCTGAGGAAGAATCTGTAGCCCTCCAGCCTCCATTAACCCCCAGGCAGGGATGATGGGAGTTGTAGTTCATGTGTAGTCCAGCAACCATGAGGGGCAGGTGTTCACCACCCCTCAAATGGGGGGGGGGGGGAGAGACGCCATTACAGACATATGCCCCACTTGTGTGATTTCTAGTCGTTGATAGCAACAGGACACTGGATTAGGTAGGCCTTTAATAAGATTTCTGTTTTTGTTAGGTTTCAATTCAAGTGTTGCTTTGTTTAAATGTGTCAAATATCAGTGTTTCTTAGGACTTAAATCATTCCAAAGAAAATTAAGTTATTCTGGTCAATGAAAGTTGGGCCTCCATGTTCAGAGGCAATCTATCCCTGGATATCAGGTGCTGTTGACAAACAAAATGGCATTGAATGCAGCCCCCCCCCCAAACCCCCATCTGGTTTAGTGTTGGGGAAAGGATTCATCCCACGATAGTGACTTGGTCCAAACCCGTCAGAACTCACTTCACATTAAATTAAAATCTCTCAGAAGCACACTTTGGAGATTCACTATTATTATTATTATTATTATCATTATTATTATTATTATTATTACTAAAGAGTTGCATGGCAAGAGATGGAGGAGTCTGAACTCAGCAATTCAGTGGGAGTAGGGTCCACTGAACACAAAGGAACTGGTTTGTGAGTAGACAAATTGCCAGCCCATGCATTTTGCTCAGAAGTAAGCACCACTGAGTTCAGCTTACATTCAGGTAAATGTACATAGGATCACCGAGCCTTCCTCAGGAGATATATAGAGAAAGCATGCTGTCCAAATACAAGAACTCATTTTTACATGAGATGGGTTGCGGCCAAGAATTCAACTTAGGCCCATTAATATGAATTTGTGTCGTCTTAGTAGAACTAAGTAGAGATCCGCACCAGATATTCAAAGCACATGACTTCCACCCAAAGAATCCTGGGAACTGTAGTTTAAGGGTGCTGGAAACTATAGTTCTGTGAGGGGGAAAACTACAGTTCCCAGGATTCTCTGGGGAGATTTGTGTGCTTATTTCATTGCATTTATATGCCACATTTACCTAAGAGGAAGTCAAGGTGCCACACATGGTTCACCTCCCCACCCTCATTTAATCGTTAAACTCATTATTTTCTTAAAAAACAGTAGTTTTTATTAAAGATTTTCATAATACAATAACCACTGCACTACACTGGCTCTCACCAGTGTGCGATGGATGTGTTTAGAATTTGTGGTGTACCTCTGACTTTAGTTTGATATTATATATGTGTGTATGATTATTTCAGGCGGTCTTTGTGGTTAAGACTTGTGTTTCCTCCTAATACACCCACTGACCTCATTCCCTGCAGTTTGCAAAACAGGCCCAGAAGCAGAAGGGTTCAAATATGTCTCAGAAAGGACACGGATATCACCAAAATGATGGTTGAAAAGGATGAATTGGCACTAATAAGCTGCCATCAACACTCCTTGCTTCTTTGAAGAGACAATGTGCTCTGGTCTATAGGACCAACACCTTTATTTGAGTCCCAAAAGGCCCCCCCATTAAAAAAAAACCAAAACCCCAAAAAACACAACAGAGAAATTCCACCATAAAAGGTGAACCAGTCCTTACAGATCCCCAAAATGTTCTTACAAATCAGGAGCAGGAAACCAAAGAGCTAAAGGTACCCCACATCTGTTTTAAATAAATTCCTCTTTTTTGCAGAATACAGATATGGAGGGCACCTTTCTGAAAAGGAGGGTGTCACGGATTTGCACCAGGGGACAAGGACATAAATAAAAAGGCTGCACAGAGCAAGTTGACAGGATTTTATTCCCTTCTCCGCTGAATACTGTGATCATTGAAGCTTAATTCTCTCATCGCAGCTGGTGGATACCTGAATCCAACCAGTGCAAGTAAAAACAGCCATTGTTGCAAGAACCTCGGCCCTAAGCTGATTCTGGAGAGATATATGGCTTCCCTCTTGGAATCGTAGCTTGCTAAAGGGAATCAAAGAAGTCTAAAAAAAAATTAAGAACCTCAAAAGCCATGACAGTTTCTACACTAGGAGTAGCTGACAGGTGATGTCGGGACTCCCAAATCCCATCAGCCCCAGCCAGCATGGCCAGAGGTCAAGGGATGATGGGAGTTGTAGTCCAACATCTAGAAAACACCACATGGGCTTACACTTCTGTTGCCAAGGCTACACACCCTCATATCAAAGGGCCTATTTTACAGAGCAATTCTTCCTACCAACAGACCTCTAGTGCCTTAAGGGCGGCCATCTTGCTCTCAGAGCTATTCTTCCTATCAAAAGGCCTCTACTGCCTTAAGGGCAGCCATCTTGCTCTCAGACAAATTCTTCATGTCAAAAGGCCTCTACTGTCTTATGGGCGGCCATCTTGCTCTCCAAGACATTCATGTCAAAAGGCCTCTACTGCCTTAAGGGCAGCCATCTTGCTCTCAAAGCTACTCTTCTTATCAAAAGGCCTCTACTGCCTTATGGGCGGCAATTTTGCTCTCCAAGATATTCTTCATGTCAAAAGGCCTCTATTGCCTTAACGGCGGCCATCTTGCTCTCAGACAAATTCCTCATGTCAAAAGGCCTCTATTGCCTCAAGGGCGGCCATCTTGCTCTCAGAGACCTTCTCTCCTCACATTTGTTGACCTTCATTAAAAAGTGTTTTTAAAAGCTTCCGAGAGGAAAATGGAGGCTAATGCTTATCTCCAAATGAGCAGAGATGCATACAAAGGCATGAAAAACTTGATAAACAAAAGAGAAAGACATTTCAGTAATGGCAAATGAGGGATAAAGCAGTGGAGTCAATACCATCCTGGGCAGAATATCGCTCCGATGAAGCCTCCCAGTCTGCAAGGGAAAAGAAATCAAACAGAGGGAGAAAAGGATGCACGACTTAAGAAGGAAGATGAACGGGAAGCTGACAAGAGAGAAAAAAGAAGGGGCGGAAGTTTGGCTAAGATCGGCAGGGCCAAAGAACATGGTGGGCCACATGGGAGAGAACATGACGGCCGGGACCGTCCACAGAGGACCAAAACCAGGCCGCCAACTGAGCGATGGCCGCCTACCTAGGTTGAAGGCATACTCTCCTCCACGTTCCCGGTACATCTGGTAGGCAAAGAAGCAAGACAAGGGCTTGAGGAGGAGGCTGAAGATGGCCATGCCGGCGCTGAAGCGGGTGGTGTCAGGCAGCGAAGACGACTGAGGGTAATACAGGCTGAAGTGGATTATGTCCGTCAGGATCGTCAGCAGAAGTCCAGTGAGGAACTGGAAGGAGAGAAAGGGGTACAAGACACCGCTCATCCTTCTCTGCATTCAACTATAGCCTATAAAGCCAAGGACGGGGATCGTCTGTGGCCTCTCCGGTTGCGATGGAGGCAGATGGGGGCAGTGAAGGCAAGCAACTCCCATCAATCCCAGCCAGCATGGCCGACCGTCAGGGATGATGGGAAGCATGAGTTCAACCATGGACAGAGACCACAGGTTGCCCAACTCTCCATGAACAAAGATGGAGGTCACAGGGGGCAGTGAAGGCAAACAAGGGTTGCCTTTCTGTACTACCAGTCCCAGCCAGCACGGCCAACTGTCCGGGATGATGGGAAGCAGAGTTCAGCCACAGAGAGGGGGCCACAGGTTGCCCAGCTCTCCATGAACAAAAGGCATTCTTGTGATGGAGGTCGCCGGGGGTAGTAAAGGCAAGTAAGGGTCTATTTCAGGGACGGGGGACCAACTGATATAGCCTATAAGCCAGGGAACCTGCAGTTCTCCAGATGTCCTTTGACTCTCATCAGCCCCAGCTGACATGGTTCAACAGCCAGGGATAGTGGCGGTTTGTGGTTCAACAACAACTAGAGGACAACCGGCTTCCCATCTCCGGTATACAGTGGACGCTCGGGTTGTGAACGTGATCCGTGTGGGATGCATGTTCGCAACCCGCAGTGGCACGTCTGCGCACGTGCAGGTTGCGATTTGGCGCTTCTGCAACTGCCAAAACCCGGAAGTAACCCGTTCCGGTACTTCCAGGTTTTGGAGGGTGCGTAACACAAAAAAAGGCGACCTGAAGCGGCTGTAACCCAAGGTATGACTGTATACTGATAGCGGGCTCATTCTCTTGAGTGCCAAAAAACAATCGTGCATGCACAAGAAGGCCATCAGCAGGCATGGAGATGTTCAACGATTTGCAGAAGCACAATCCGTGTATCAAAATCCCCTTGTGCAACATTTCCAAGCACTGCAAAGCCAGGGCACTTGGGAACAGGCCGCACCTCCAGAGCCCTTTTGCTGTAAAGGGGGGGGGGTATTATTCCTGATTCACCCCTTCTGATGGGAGATGTGAAACTGGAAGGAGCGGAATGGAGTCTCCTGAAACGAGGGTACAGCGGACTGGCAGGCAGCCTGAATAAAAAGATTACAGGCAGCAAGGCTTTTTTACAGGTCCTAATTGTACCATGGTGACCAGCCCATCTCTCATAGGCATGTTAAAACTAGGGACAACCACCTTGTAATCAACAAATCCACCAAAATCCTTTTTCATCAGGCAAATGTATTCGTAACACGGTGATTCGGGTGTGGTTTTTTAAACAACAACAACAACTTACCATGAGGATTGCATCAATAGAATCCCTTTGGGCCACTGCCCAGACGCCCAGGGCAAGAATGGTGAAGTTACCCCACGGGTAGGAAATTGGCAACCAATTTGCCATGCAGCCCCTGTCCAGGGCAGAAAAAGATGAAGAGCAAAAGAAAGAAAATAAAAGAATGTAAGAAGAGCCTGCTGGATCCGGCCAATGGCCCATCTAATCCAGCATCCTGTTTACACAATGGCCAACCGGATGCCTCAACGGGAAACCCAGAATCAGGATTCGAACACAAGAGCGGCTCCTGCCTCCTGCCCTTTCCAGCAACTGGTATTCAGAAGCATTGCTACCCTCCAACTGTGGAGGCAGAGCAAAGCCACCCTGGCTAGGAGCCATTGACAGCATGATTGAATCATTCCAAAAGCACGTAAAAACAACAGTATTCTCCAGCCAGCAAAGGAGCATTTTCAAATTCTTCCTGAAAATTAATAGGGACGGAGACAGGCACCCCTCACTAGCGAGGGTGTGCCACAAATGAATTAATCAACAGATTATCGTAATTAAACGCAGTATTACTAACTTACCATGTCGTCAGCAGCCAGTGTACCAGGATGATAGCCTGCAAGTGGAAAGGAGAAAATAATGTAGCCTGATTATTAATCTCCCAAAATATGTAGATAGCGCTGTGCCATAGGAATTTATCCCAACAGTTTACAGCAGTATAAAATAAAACCATAAAAAGTTAAAAACAAGTTAAGAGCAAAAGAGTTAAAAGCTGAAATCAGTAGAACATTGTGGGGGAAGCACTCAATTGCCTACATCAGCTTGGCAGAACAGAAAGGTTTTCAGCAGGCGATGGAAAGCTGGCACAGAAAGCGCACCTGGCTGAATCTCCAGTGGCAGAGAGTTCCACAGGGCTGGGCCAATGGTACTAAAGGCTCGGTTACTCATTGTTGAGAAATGAGCCTCACCAACTTGCGGAATGACAGCGACGCTCCCGCAGACGATCTTAGTGACCAAGCCAGCATATGAGGGTTCAGGCAATCTTTGAGTTATTGTGGACCTAAGTTGTTCAGAGCTTTGCAAATTACTGGAAGAATCTTGAACCTGGCTTGGTAGTAGATGGGCAGCCAGTGCTTTAACAAAGGCATCCCAAACTCTCAACGAAAAGCTCCTGTCAGCAATCTCGAAGCAGTGTTGTGAACCAGACCCAAGGGCAGCCCCACACAGAGCGCATTGTAGTAATCTAGCCCCAAAGTCACCAGTGCACAGACGACAGTGGTCAGGCTATGTTTGCCAACCGAGTTTGCGCAGCGACTGGGGCGATGGAATAAAAACTTGCCTGAAATATCTTTGCTTATCTTTTATTTTTAAACAATAATCAAACAGCTGCAACTCACCACTCTACACCAGCCAGCACCATACGAAGCATTTGGTCAGCTTAAATACAGTTTTCAAAATAATCAATTACCCTATCACATCGCTGCATTCGGTGCAGCAGGTAAACTCCCTCTGCTAATTAGTTAAATTGTTAAGATACCTCAGGTGTGCTGTATTGTCAAGAGCTCACAGGTGTGCTGCCATGCAGGTTATATATATATATGTATATATTAATGATATTTATTAAGGTTTCCAATAAAAAGAACACATCAATAAAAAATTAAAAATAAAAAAGAAATACACAATTCAAAAATACACAATACATAATCCAAAAAACAACAACAACAACATAAGACAAAAAAGAAAACAATTAAAAACAATACCACCTTTTCATCTCCATTTTTAAATTTACTTATTTTCTGGACCTCCTCATACCTCCCTCTTTTGTATTCCAGTTCAAATTGTTTGTCCAGCAATTTCTTTCCCTCTTTTTAATCCCAATCTTTAATCTTAATATAATATAACATTAAATTTTACCTTTTAAAAACCAAATTTCCATTTCCTTTAACTTTTTAATCCTAATCCTTAATCTTGATCTATATATAACTTTAAATCCTGTACAGCTGGAAGCCACTTATTTTCAATCCAACATCACTCTAACATTCTTTAATTTTGCAATGTTTCTGCAGATAGTCTTTGAATTTCTTCCAATCTTCCTCCACCGACTCTTCTCCCTGATCACGGATTCTTGCCATGCAGGTTATAAAACACCATCGCTTACAACAAAATCTAAGCCATGCTGAAAGGAGGGCCTTAGACAATCTCAGGAACAACCCAGACATTATAATTTAAGAGGCAGACAAGGGTGGAGCTGTTGTCATCATGAACAAAACTGATTACATCCAGGAGGCTCACAGGCAACTCTCCAGTACCACCTTTTACAAAAACACTGGACTCAGACCTCACACAGGAATACAAAAAAGAACTGAATAAGATTGTTAAAGAGCTACCCTACCCCCCACATCCAAGAACACATCCTCTCAAACACACCGACAGACCCTCGACCAGGGGCCTTCTATCTTCTATCCAAAATACACAAACCAGGAAATCCAGGATGCTCCATCATCTCAGGTATTGGCACTATCACAGTAGGTGTTTCTGGGTATAATTACAAACACACACCTCTGAGTAGCACCATTGACCACCTCAGTATTAAGAAAACCCAACAGGCTGTCCCATCTAGGAACAGCTGTAGTTGGTGAACCAGATGAAGCTGGTAAAAGGCAACTTAGCCACACACTTGGGCCTTTAGTGGCAGTGATGTATTCAGGAGTACCCTCAGGCTATGCACCTGCTCCTTCAGAGGGAATACAACCCCATCCAGAACAGGTAACTTGCCAATTTCCTAAACATGGGAAGCTACACCCCAAAAGGCGCCTCCGCCTTCCCAGGGTTCAAAGGCAGATAAGGGATCACAATGGGAATTTCAGCAGTGGCTGGGAAGTGGGGGTGAAGAGAGAAAAAAGAGCTACCGGAAGGTAATAAAGGGAAGGATTTGAGGAAATGCAGGTAGGTGACCTCCTCTGGTTGGGTTTCATCTGAGGCAACACCTGCAGAGCCACAGATGCCCCACCACAGCTTTAAGGAACTACAGTCATACCTTGGAAGTCGAACGGAATCCGTTCCAAAGTCCGACTTCCAAAACATTCGGAAACCAAAGCGCGGCTTCTGATTGGCTGCAGGGAGGTCCTGCAGCCAATCGGAAGCCGAGGAGCCCAGTCGGACGTTCAGCTTCCAAAAAGAGTTCGCAAACCGGAACAGTCACTTCCAGGTTTGCGGTGTTCAGGAGCCAAAACATTTGAGAAATAAGCTGTTTGAAAACCAGCCGCTCTGAGAGCCACAGCTGAAGAGCAGCTACCATACACTTTAATAAACTAATTGTATTTCATTTGGGGCTCTATGCAAGTTCTAAACAAGACCTGTTTTCTCAGTGATTTTGCAATGTTTGAAAGCAGCGCCGAATGCACTCATAACCCATTTCCTTCTTCCTGGTATGAAGCAGCATTAAATAAAATTGCTAAGAAATAATTGAGAAACCGGAAGCAGAAAACGTACAAGGGTGTTTGTGTTTTAGGAGCAATGTGTCCTTTCTGACCTGCGATGACAAGAGAATGTAGATTTGTTGTTACTGACACAATTGGGCAAACATCCCAGTCCAGAAATTTGCGCCAAGTATCCGTTTTCCACAGCTTCCTTCCTATAGGATTCAGCCTAGGGTTTAAGACAATCCTGGGGGAAAGCCCCTGTGGTGCAAAAGCAACACAAAAGTACCCCCAAGCTGATTAAACCAGCTTGAATGGCTTTCTAAAATTTGTTTTATGGGGGACAGATGGAGAGACCCAGGGTTGGTGTAGTGGTTAAGAGTTCTGGACTAGGACCTGGGAGACTGGGGTTCAAATCCCCCACTTGGCCATAGGACGTTCACTGAGTGATCCTGGGCAGCTTGCTGCCTGTCATAGCATAACCAACCTCACATGGTTGTTGTGAGCTTTATAAAATAAGGAGGGGAGCAGGTGGAGAAAACCACACATGCCTTTCCTGAGCTCCTTGCAGGAACAGTGGGATAGAAATTCATTCAATTTGTTTCTTTCATTGAACAAAATTTATATACGGCACTTGATGGCGCAGCAAAACCTCTAAGCAGGTTACAAAGACATATTAAAACCATCAATAAAGAAACAGGTAAAGACAATGAAAAGCAGCTACAAATAATTGAAAAGGATTGAAACATGTCAGCATCTATGTGTCTGGATGCAATAACATTTAACATGTTTTAACGGACACATAAATAAAATGTAATAATAGATAAACAAATCTTTCACCAGCTATGAGCCCAACAAAACCTCCATTGACAGGTGCAGTATACCTCTGAATGCCAGATGTTATGGGCATAGGCCCTTCCCCCCCCCATTTGTGAGCTCTTCAGAGGCATTTGGTTAGCTGCAGTCACAAAACAGGATGCTGGATTTTTGGTGCGGTCCAGCAAAATAATCCTTAATATTCTTAGAAGTGCCTCTGAGCATGTGAGAAGGACCCGTCCCTCCCTACCAAGCCTCTACCACAACATGCTTAAGATATTCAGCTGTCTCCCACGTTAGTCTTACTTAGGTTGATTAACTTCAATGGGTCTACTTTTGAGTAGAGCTTAGTTATATCCACCTAAATTGGATACAGCCCAATGTCTTGGCATATTAAAATAATGTACATGCAAATAATAAAATCCTTGAAAGTTTCTGGTCCAGTGTAAGATTCGGCGAGAGCCAATCTTGATTGAAAAGTGGAGTAAAACATCATCTGTCAAAGTAATGGAAAAACAACAACAGACCACATATATAAGATATATACAAAGGCCAGTGAAATGCCACTGGAGATTTGTCAATTTCCTGAACCAGTAACATGTCGCAATGCCATTATCACTACGGTAATTCTCTTTAAGAAGCCCTAAGCAAATAGGGAAAATATAATTTTGTATATTAATCATTGAAGCCGACAGCGTTTAATATATTCAATATCTAAGCTGACAGCTTTTTAAAAAATGTCCAATTATATTAAGCAGCAACGCTTCTGGGGACGGGGGTGTTTAGCCAATATGCAACAATCATTAAAAAAGACTTGGCTAATTAAAAATCTGCCCCCCCCTCCCGCAGCCATCCACTCAATATGCAACATTCATTAAAAAGAACCTCAGCTAATTAAAAAAATTTGCTCCTCCCCAAGCTCTGGAAATGCCCTCGAGACCACCACACGAATTAACACCGAGACCCTCTGCAAACACAGCTGGACTTTTGACAAAATTAATTGCCCCCTTATGGCTTACAGAATGAAAAGCTGGAAGGGAGTGGTGGTCTCTGCCCGCAGGAACCTGGTAAACATTTTATAACCTTTGATGCATAATTGCTTGCGGGTCTGGGGGGTGTTTTTTGGTGCGAGGAGAGGGAAAGAAACTCTCACAAAAGCCAACGATTCATTACAAGGTATTAAGACTGGTTCGCAAGGAGTCAGGAATAGCTGGGAGTTTTAGAATTCCTCAAGGCCTTCTTGATTTTTTCCCCTCCCAAGAAACTCACAGAGTAGGATTTTGACAGCCTATTTGCAAATTGATCCATAAGCACACAGTGCCCCACACAACCTCTCCCTCAAGGCTGCGAGGGGGGACCCACAGATGAGATGCCGAAAAATGGAGATCAGCTTTCAAGACCACCACAAAGGCCTCTGTTTTATTCATTATTGGATGCAGACCAAAGAAAACAGACCCATAAAAACCTTCAGAACGAAGACTCTTATGATCTCCCAGGAGCTGCCTTGTCTCTCTCTGACATCACAGCAGCTAAGCCAATAGCAGCTAGCTAGGGCACATCCTCACTTTTGACTTTCAGGTGTCTCTTGAAACATTTTTTTTTAATGACAACAGCCCTGTGAAATTTTATTTTTTAAAAACAGTGAGTAGCTAGTCATTTTAATGGTTGTTTTGTGCTGCTCGTAATGCTTTAAAAACACACACTGATATTGCTGCAAGCTGTTCTAATATTTTGTTAGAGGGTGGTACAGAAATACTTTTGTAAATAAATAAACACCTGCTTGCCACTTCTCACCCTAGTGAGACCAGCAAACGAAGCTGACCAGTAGAACTTCAGGACCTTGATAGAGCACCATGAATCTAAAAGAACAGGTATTTCACACTGCACGCAAGGAACAATAAAATAAAACAAAAACCAGCGTTTGAGGAAAGTTACTACTTCCATGAATTATGCATCAGGAGATATGTTTTGCATTCTTTAAGGGAGCTCTTAAAAAGGCAGGTTTGCAAAGCAATCTGGATTTAGTTTCATTTTTAAGAAAACCCCAGAATGACAAGACCAGTGATTGGTCATGATTGGGCACAATCTGTGGAGCACAAAGACATCAGAGAGGACACACAGAGAGAAGTGAATGAATGATGTTTTCTTCCCAGCTCAGGAAATAGTGAAGTAATCACTGGTCATCATGTAAAAGGAATCCAACCTGAAACATCTGTTCTCTTTTTGGTTCTCTGTTTGCTCAGTTGTTGCCATTTCCTTGTTCTCTTTTGCCTAGGTGATTGTTGTGAAATTCAAGAAAGGACACCACCACTAACTCTCAAAAATGTGCCAAGTGGTCAGGACAAGGATAGCCTAACTTCTGTTGTCTATGCTCTGGTAACCTCTAAATTAGATTACTGTAACATGTTATATGTGAGGCGGCCTCTGAAGATGGTTTGGAAGTATCAGCTGGTGCAGAATTCAGCAGCCAAGTTGCTCACCGGGGCAAGACTGTTTGAGCACATAATGCCAATCGTGGCCTGACTGCACTGGCTGCCAATAAGTTTCTGGGTCCAGTTCAAAGTGTTTTGACTTATAAAGCCTTAAACAGCTCAGGACCACAATACCTCAAGGGCCGCCTCTCTCCATATAAACTGACCTGGACCCTGTGATCATCATCTGAGCCCCTTCTTCCTCTGTGAGAGGTCCAGAGGGTGGCAACAAGAGAACGGGGCCTTTTCTGCAGTGGCTCCCCATTTGTGGAATGCTCTCCCCAGGGAGGCTCACCTGGTGCCTTCATTACATCTCTTTAGGTGCCAGGCGAAAATGTTTCTCTGGCCTTTTCTATGTGTCTATGGGAGGGGAGTTATTGATTTTAATTTTGTTTATTATGTATTCTGTGCTTTCATTTTGTATTTTTATATTGGGAACTGTCCTGGGATCTTTGGATGAAGGGCAGTATACAAATGTAATAAATAAGAACAAAATAAGAACAACTATTTATTAAGTGCCCAAGTTTGATTTTCTCCTCTTCCCTCCCTATCCCTGTTTCCTCTTATGCCGTTTGTTTGTTTATTTATTTCTATATGTAGATTGAAAGCCTGTCTTGTCTTGACTGATTGTATGCAAGTCACGCTGGAAGCCTTTCTGACTGGAAATGCTGTAAATAAGCAAATGTGAGGATAATGACATGTTAAAGGAAAACTTGGTTCCCTCTCATAATACTAGAACTTGGGACCATCTGCTAAAGCTGAATGTTGGAAGACTCAGGGCAGATAACAGAAAGGCCTTATGGAACTCACTCCCACAGGAGGCAGTGACAGCTTTAAAAGGACTGTTTTAAAAGAGGATTGGACAAATTCATGGTAAAGGTAAAAAAGGTAAAGGACCCCTGGATGATTACATCCAGTCAAAGGCAACCATCTCGCTTTCAGGCTGAGGGAGCCGGCGTTTGTCCACAGACAGCTTTCCAGGTCATGTGGCCAGAGGACTAAACCACTTCTGGCGCAACGGGAAACCGTGACAGAAGCCAGAGCGCATGGGAACGCCACTTACCTTCCTGCCACAGTGGTACCTATTTATCTACTTGCACCGGTGTGCTTTCGAACTGCTAGGTTGGCAGAAGCTGAGACAGAGCACCCTGTCACGGGGATTCGAACCACCGACCTTCCATTCGGCAAGCCCAGGAGACGGCTATTGATGGCTACTGGTCCTGATGTTTACTCTCTGCCTCCTAGGGCTGCCACCTTTGGTCAGGCAAAATACAGCATGGGTCAGAGGGTGGGGATTGGGGGGCACACACACACTCATAATACCAAATGCTCCACCTTCCCGCCTCCCTCGCCACCCTGGCCCCACTTTTCCCCTTGACTCACGAGGATGGGCAGGGGCAGAGGTAGACGGCTGGTGCCCACGGGCGACTTGAGCTCCAGCTCCAGCCTCTTGCCCATGCTGGCATCGGAAGAGACTCGACCACAGAGGGTGGAGACGGCCAAGCAGTGGCAGACTTTTGTCCCAAAACAGGGCGACCCCGTCTTTCTAGGGACAGGTGGCAACCTTAGCCTCCAACGTTGGTACTGTAAATCTTCTGAAATTTCTGAATACCAATTGCTGGAGAACAGGATGCTGGACTAGGTGGGCCACTGGTCTGATCCAGCAGGACTCTCAGTCTTTTGTTATCAGTAAGTCCTTGCTTAGGGGTCAGCAAGGTTTATCTTGCCTGGGTCGGATCGGTCTCACGGAGATCCCTCCGTGGGCCAGATCGAGAGAGAGAGAGCACGCCCACGATTTTCAGCGTCTGCACAGATATGATTTTCGGCACCGCGAAAACAAGTCCCCATGCCGCGCTGCGGCAGTTTAGCGCAGCGCCAGACTGGGCAACTTGGTTTGAGGGTGGCTCCTGGGCCGGTTAAATGACCTCTGTGGGCTGCTTCCGGTCCATGGGCCTTAGGTTGCTGACCCCTGTCCTTGCTTATTTAACATTGGACACACACACACACACACAGAGAGAGAGAGAGAGAGAGAGAGAGAGAGAGAGAGAGACTTCCCCAAAGAAAATATACGGTAACCCATTTTATCTAGCCTTGAGACAGAAAAAAATCAGCTGCTTGGGAGTTTGCTGGCAGCCCTAGAAGAATGTAGGGGGCAGGCATGAATTTACGTAAAAGATAAGTTAAGAATTCCCTTGTTGGACCGAGCCAAAAAGCCCTATAGACCAGCTTCCAGTTGTCAGCCAGAAATCATAAACGGGGCACAGAGATAAAAGCTCCTGTGTTGCTTTTTTTTTCTGTAGCAACTGAAGAAGGAGACTCCATCAGTTCAGCTTTGTTTCCTGGAGACAGGGGCACAACGCTAGCAAGAACGTCTGCAAACACTTGTCCACTTTGCTCATTGTCAGTCCCACCGACTCATCAGGGGAAAATACTTTAATCTGCAGTTTAAAGCTGCAGTTGTACACAGCACTCACTTATCTGGGAGCAAGCCCCACTGAATTTACTTCTGAGTACATATTACAGGGCTACTGCACCTTTAATGGCAGCAGAAAAAAACTACGAAGGGTGCACGAGCTCCATCTCTGGCGTACCTCAACATCCTAGTTTCAATCATGCAAAAAGGGTTGCCTCTTCAGGAGCAGACTTTAGATCTCAGGAAGCTTCTGGCACAGCTTTCCTTGCTTCTCTCAAAATCTCCTAAAAAGAATGCTGCAGGGATTTTAGGATTCACCATGTAAGAAAATCACACCAACCCCACTCTCTTGGGGATCCCCCCCCATAAAAGGGGGAGATATATAAGCAAACTCTGCTTAGACATGTGTGTGAGAGAGGGGTTGGGGTTGGGAGAGAGGGAAAGAAAACATGTTTTTAGTAGCACTTACGTTTTAATAATTAACCAAACTGATCACAGCACAGAACCTTTGATTTGCAAGGCTGCCGAAAAACAAAGCAGTTTTAAATTCCGTCTCACAATGCCCTCCCCAAAACTTCCATATAAAGTTAAGAGCTACGCTCTCGCTCTCTAAATTTCAACGGGCCTATCCACTTAGAAACTTTATCTGCACGTTTGTGAGTTGACACAGAGAAACAAAGCCCACTCTCCCTGCAGCTAGAAAGCTAACACATCAAGGAAGAGGACCCGTGCTCAGAAATCATCCTGATGAGCTAGGTTTCTACATATAGAGTACTCTACGGAAGTGGGGGACATTTAATAAAGGACATTCCCATTATGTGCATTTTGCTAACCAGATAAATCAGCTCAGCAGGCAGGCACGCTGAGAGGCCTAGGGACGCATCTTATATTGGTGCTATGTAATAAGATCACCTTCAGCATGACCCTGCAAGGTAGGCCACCGTCACCTCCATTTGGCAGAAAGGAAAAGCCAGGCTCAAAAGCTACTCAAAACCAAATATCAAGTCTGCAGCAAATTAAGACGGCATTCAAACTCATGCCTGACAACTTCAGCTTCTTATATCACACCAAACTACGGTTTGGAAATTTAAATGATGGTACAGCGCACATGTCAGCAACACAGACCTGGCATGTGGCCCTCGGGGGGGTTTCAGAGCAGCCCAAGTGGTACTTTCCATGTGCCTCTTGCAATCACCAGCCGCAGCCTCCAGACACTGCCCCTGGCATGCGGCCCCCAACTGCCCATCCATCATTGCAAGTGGCCCTCGAGGGAGGTTGCCCGCCCCCAATATAGGAAAATGTACCAACTGCTCAACCCAAGCCTACAATTAACTGTTAAACCAGAACAACCACCTGTGGTCTGAAGTTGGTTTTGCAAACCATAGTTCATGCTAACTGTGGTTTGCTGCAACCCAATCGTGTGCAGGGGGGGTACTTTTTGCAGCCGCTGCTCTTCCTCGTAAGGCTACCGCACCTTAGAACTGGCAGAGCCTAGCAGACAGAAGACGAGAGCTAACTAGTGCCTGTAAACGATGGTTTGTTTATAATATAATAATAATAATAATAATAATAATAATAATAATAATAATAATTATTATTATTTATTATTTATACCCTGCCCATCTGGCTGGGTTTCCCCAACCACTCTGGGTAGCTTCCAACAAAATATTAAAAATACAATAAAACATCAGACATTAAAAACTTCCTTAAACAGGGCTGCCTTCAGATGTCTTCTAAAAGTCAGGTAGTTGTTTATTTCCTTGACATCTGATGGGAGGGCATTCCACAGGGCAGGCGCCACCACCAAGAAGGCCCTCTGCCTGGTTCCCTGTAAGCTCACTTCTCGCAGGAAGGGAACTGCCAAAAGGCCCTCGGCGCTGGACCTCAGTGTCCAGGCTGAACGATGGGGGTGGAGACGCTCCTTCAGGTATACAGGACCAAGGCCATTTAGGGCTTTCAAGGTCAGCACCAACACTTTGAATTGTACTTGGAAACGTATTGGGAGTCTTTCAGGACCGGTGTTATATGGTCTCGGCAGCCACTCCCAGTCACCAGCCTGGCTGCCGCATTCTGGATTAGTTGTAGTTTCCAGGTCCCCTTCAAAGGTAGCCTCACGTAGAGCGCACTGCAGTAGTCCAAGCGAGAGATAACCAGAGCATGCACCAAGACACTCTTGTTTGTATCTCTGGAAGTGCAAAGCACGATGGGGTGGGGTTTATCGTTCCAGTCTACCGTTAGATAGATACCATTTTAGATACCAGATATCATTTGAGATACCAGGCAAAAGGACAGAAGCAGGATGATTTTTGATATTGAATGTGAATGAAAATATGAATGCGAATGGAATTGGAGGATGTGCTGCTTTCACTAGAAAGATTTTTACCTCGTTATTTTGAGGATGTACTCAGTATCTAAAAAAACCCAGGGACATAAAACAAAAACAAGGCAGCAGTAGAATCTCCCACCTGCCCTGTGAGACCAGGCCCTTGACTGACTCCAGCTACAAAAACTGAGGCTGCTGAACAGACTCTTGGGCTGGGGTATTGTTTAGGGGCAGTTTGTTGCTGTTATTTACATTATTTTTTGTCTCTTTGTTTTAGATCTTGTTATGATTTATGTGGAAATCGTTCGATTTCGTTGTGTATTTTTTACGTTTATTGTTTATGGCTACTATTGTTATGTCTGTAATAATGTATTTTTTCATGCTGTAAGCCGCCTTGAGCATGGTTTGAACTAGGGAAAGGCGGCATACAAATAAAACGATGTATGTATGTATGTGATCAGATCGTCATGTGATGACCTCCAAACTTAACCACAAGCACCGCAGGTTTTGGTTTCCGCTAGAGCTGACAATCTAGGCCAGAGACAGCAATAAAAACTGCCACTAACAGGAATTTTGTGGGTCATGGCCGAGTGTGAATTTCGACATACTGGAAGACAGTGTTTTGCATCACATGGGGTGTCGGGGTGGGGACGAGTTCTTTGGGGAAGGCTAAAATATCTGTACGGTTGTCACATGGACGATGGAGCAAGCTCGTTTTTGCTGCTCCAGAGGCTAGGACATGAACCGATGGATTCACATGGCAAGAAAGTCGATCCCAACTAAATATTTGGAAGAACTTTCTGGTGGTGAGAGCTGTTTCACAGTGGAAGAGACTCCCTCGGAAGGTGGTAGTAGACTCTCCTTCCTTGGAGGTTTTTAAGCAGAGGTTGGATGGCCTTCTGTCAGGGATTCTTCAGCTATGATTCCTGCATTGCAGGGGGGTTGGACTAGATGGCCCTTGGGGTTCCCTTCGCACTCTACCATTCTTTGATGCTATAAAGCCGTCTGAGTACATGAACCCGGGTGTAGGGGCAGAAAAAAATTCAAAGGGGAACAAGAGTCATGGAGCTGCCCAGAGCGGCTGAAGCAACCCAGTCAGATGGGCAGGGTAAAGGTAAAGGGACCCCTGACCGTTAGGTCCAGTCGTGACCAACTCTGGGGTTGCGGCGCTCATCTCGCTTTATTGGCCGAGGGAGCCGGCGTACAGCTTCCGGGTCATGTGGCCAGCATGACTAAGCCGCTTCTGGTGAACCAGAGCAGTGCACAGAAACACCGTTTACCTTCCCACCGGAGTGGTACCTATTTATCTACTTGCACTTTGACGTGCTTTTGAACTGCTAGGTTGGCAGGAGCAGGGACCGAGCAACGGGAGCTCACCCCGTCGCGGGGATTTGAACCGCCGACCTTCTGGTCGGCAAGTCCTAGGCTCTGTCGTTTAACCCACAGCACCACCATGGGCAGGGTACAAATAGATTATTATTATTATTATTATTATTATTATGGAGTGCATGTTTAGAGAGCCAGTGCACAAACGTTGCACATGGATGGACATTCAGTACCCAAAACCCGGATGCAATGGAAAAGCAGGGAACGATCCCTGCTCTCAATCCCAGGCACACCCTCCCCCTCTCAGAAATTCACCATCCATTCCTCGCTTACTTATCTTTCACAAGGAATAGAAGAAAGAGGTTCAATGCGTGTTTTACAAACCATTGCCCGTAACAAAGAATATGCGTCCTAAGCATCAACTCCTCTAGGAAACTTCCCAGGCTGCCAAATATACAAGTTGCCCCGGGTGTTTCTCCTCACTAGCGTTGCCAACCGTGTTCCCGGGCACACACGCCCGGTCCGCGGGGCAGCGTGGTGCAGGAGTTAGAATGTCGGTCTCAGTCCAGGGTTCGAATGACAACTTGGCCATGAAGCTCACTGGGTGACGTTGAGCCAGTCACTTACTCTCAACCTAGGGAAATAATAGTGCCACTGTATTCTGCTCTGGTCAGACCTCACCTGGAGTACTGTGTCCAGTTCTGGGCACCACAGTTCAAGAAGGACACTGACAAACTGGAACGTGTCCAGAGCAGGGCAACCAAAATGGTCAAAGGCCTGGAAACGATGCCTTATGAGGAACGGCTAAGGGAGCTGGGCATGTTTAGCCTGGAGAAGAGGAGGTTAAGGGGTGATATGATAGCCATGTTCAAATATATAAAAGGATGTCACAGAGAGGAGGGAGAAAGGTTGTTTTCTGCTGCTCCAGAGAAGCGGACACGGAGCAATGGATCCAAACTACAAGAAAGAAGATTCCACCTAAACATTAGGAAGAACTTCCTGACAGTAAGAGCTGTTTGACAGTGGAATCTGCTGCCAAGGAGTGTGGTGGAGTCTCCTTCTTTGGAGGTCTTTAAGCAGAGGCTTGACAACCATATGTCAGGAGTGCTCTGATGGTGTTTCCTGCTTGGCAGGGGGTTGGACTCGATGGCCCTTGTGGTCTCTTCCAACTCTATAATTCTATGATTCTAGGCCTACCTCGCAGGCTTGTTGTGGGGATGAACTGAGAAGACATGCCAACCACCTTGCACTCTATGGCTCAAAAGGTGGGATAGAAATGCAAGCAAGCAGTGCATCCCCCAGCCTCGTACCTGGACACCAGCCCATCTTTGACACACCCACTGCCTCCCACCCAGCCCCCCAGTCCTTTCTCTTGCACCCCCAGACACACCTGCCTCCTACTCAGTTGCCAACTGCACCCAGGTACCAGGCCTTGCGCCCTCCTTTGCGCACGAGCCCCTCTCCCAAGGAAAAGCCCCTTGCGCCATCGCGCCTCGCGCCTCCTCCTACCCCGCTCGCTTTCCTCTCCTGCGCCTACCTTCAGGTTCACCGCCGGCACTTCCATGACGCCCCGCCAGCCGCCCCAGCGCAGCGTTCGCGCCGCGCCGCTTCTGGCTCCCAAATTCGACTTGGCATCACTTCCTCGCCTTCCGTTTTTCCCTTCCCGGCCGGGCTCCGCCCCGTCCAGCCCTGCCGAGGACCCGTGACTCCCTCCAGGCGGAGAAGGAGGGAGGGAGAGGCTCCTCCTTCGGCAACAGGGCAGCGCCAAAGCCCGGCCAGCTCCAGGAACCGGACCGCTCCGGAGTGGCGCCCCTTTTGGCCATCGCCGCTTTCTGGCTCAGAGCAAAGCCACCTCGTGGTATGCGACAGTGCCGGATTTAGTACAGTGGTACCTTGCCAACAAGGAGTACGACAAGGCTGTATATTGTCTCCATGCTTATTTAACTTATATGCAGAATTCATCATGCGAAAGGCTAGGCTGGATGAATCTCAAGCCGGAATTAAGATTGCCGGAAGAAATATCAACAACCTCAGATATGCAGATGACACAACCTTGATGGCAGAAAGTGAGGAGGAATTAAAGAACCTTTTAATGAGGGTGAAAGAGGAGAGCGCAAAATATGGGTTGAAGCTCAACATCAAAAAAACGAAGCTCATGGCCACTGGTCCCATCACCTCCTGGCAAATAGAAGGGGAAGAAATGGAGGCAGTGAGAGATTTTACTTTTTTGGGCTCCATGATCACTGCAGATGGTGACAGCAGCCGCGAATTTAAAAGACGCCTGCTTCTTGGGAGAAAAGCAATGACAAACCGAGACAGCATCTTAAAAAGCAGAGACATCACACTGCCAACAAAGGTCCATATAGTTATGGTTTTCCCAGTAGTGATGTATGGAAGTGAAAGCTGGACCATAAAGAAGGCTGATCGCCGAAGATTTGATGCTTTTGAATTATGGTGCTGGAGGAGACTCTTGAGAGTCCCATGGACTGCAAGAAGATCAAACCTCTCCATTCTGAAGGAAATCAGCCCTGAGTGCTCACTGGAAGGACAGATCCTGAAGCTGAGGCTCCAATACTTTGGCCACCTCATGAGAAGAGAAGACTCCCTGGAAAAGACCCTGATGTTGGGAAAGATGGAGGGCAGAAGGAGAAGGGGATGACAGAGGACGAGATGGTTGGACAGTGTTCTCAAAGCTACCAGCATGAGTTTGACCAAACTGTGGGAGGCTGTGGAAGACAGGAGTGCCTGGCGTGCTCTGGTCCATGGGGTCACGAAGAGTCGGACACGACTAACCGACTAAACAACAACAACAACTTCGGGTTAAGAACTTAATTCGTTCTGGAGGTCCGTTCTTAACCTGAAACTGTTCTTAACCTGAAGCACCACTTTAGCTAATGGGGCCTCCCGCTGCCACCTCCACGTGATTTCTGTTCTCATCCTGAAGCAAAGTTCTTAACCCAAGGTACTACAGTGGTACCTCGAGTTACAGATGCTTCAGGTTACAGATGCTTCAGGTTACAGACTCGGCTAACCCAGAAATAGTACCTCGGGTTCAGAACTTTGCTTCAGGATGAGAACAGAAATCGCGCAGCGGCGGCGCAGCAGCAGCAGGAGGCCCCATTAGCTAAAGTGGTGCTTCAGGTTAAGAATAGTTTCAGGTTAAGACCGGACCTCTGGAATGAATTACCGGTAAGTACTTAACCCAAGGTACCACTGTATAAGCTAAACAAGCTATAGCTTAGGGCCCTACTCTCTTGCCCCCCCCAAAAAGGGAAAAAAACTGGATGTACATTTCGAAAATATAAGATAAAAAACAGATAAAATAAAACCTACATCCAGCAACAGTGTTTTGTTTTGTGTTGTGTAAGCTCCTATGATAGAAGTAATGGGCCCCGCCTGCTAGCCTGCTCCCTAAAATATCACTTGTTTGTTCATTTCTATATATAGGGTGCCTAAATTCTGCATGGACTGGTTGCATGGCAACATGTAGCATGCCTATATTATTATTTACTAGTCCAGTTACCTGTTACCCACACTTGCTACTATAATACTATATATAAATATTATAATTACCGTATATTATTTTTTTTACTTACTTATAAAGGACCCCATTACCTTCAGTAGCTTAGGGCCTCATCAAACCCAAATCCAGCCCTGGATGCAAAGGGGCCTCTCTGAGCATGTACGGAGAGCGTTTCCTGCTTCCTCCAAGTTAGGATTTCAGGGCTGGCGCCCTGAGAAACACACACAAAAACCGCAGTTTTAAAACCAAACTGTCGAACCTGAATTATTTTCTGCCTTTGCGAAGGCGGAGTGATGTATCCATAGAATTAATTGATGTTGTCTCCTTCTGCCACCCAAAAGAATGCAACAATTTTTGGTGCCGCTAGCTGTGAGGTTTCTCTGACCATGGGCAGAGCGCCATCCCACCTACGCCTTGAACAAAAGGCTTTTTTGACCTTTTAGAAGACTTTTAAGGTCTGTGTTCCACTGAGCACATGCAGAGTAACGCCCCTCCCCCAGGGACTAAAACCCAAAGGGGTTTAAGGTAAAGGTAAAGGGACCCCTGATCAATAGGTCCAGTTGTGGCCAACTCTGGAGTTGCGCGCTCATCTCGCTTTATTGGCCGAGGGAGCCGCTGTACAGCTTCCGGGTCATGTGGCCAGCATGACAAAGCCGCTTCTGGCGAACCAGAGCAGCACATGGAAACGCCGTTTACCTTCCAGCTGGAGTGGTACCTATTTATCTACTTGCACTTTGACATGCTTTTGAACTGCTAGGTGGGCAGGAGCAGGGACCGAGCAACGGGAGCTCACCCCGTCGCAGGGATTCGAACCACCAACCTTCTGATCGGCAAGTCCTAGGCTCTGGTTTAACCCACAGCGCCACCCGCGTCCCTCCAAAGGGGTTTATGGGGGGAAATAGAGCGTGTACAGAGAACCTCAGCTGTGGCTCATCCTAACACCCACTCAAAACCCCACTTGCCGAGGCTAGCAAAATTCCCCCCTCCTCCTCCAAAGCCACCGAAGCAATGTAGCGATTTTAATCTGTTTGTGCCCTGAGTATCATTTCTTTGCGGCCTTGCAGTTTTCGCACCCAGTTTTCTTCTGCAGGAGTGATAAAGCAGGACAGCGAGAATCCCTGCAGGAAAGATAAGGGGCAGAGAGTTACAAAAAGGGGTTTGCACTAGGAGTCCTTTGCGAAAGGAGAGGTCGCCAGTCCGTGGCAGAGCATCTCCTTTGCCCGCCCAGGCTCCCAGCTTCATTCCCCAGTATCTCCAGCAAGGATTGGCCGTGTCCCCTGCCTGAAACCCTGGAGAGCTGCTGCCAGTCAGTGCAGGCTCTACTAAGCTCTTTCCTGTTACAAAGCAGCTTCCTAGGAGCGGTAGAGTGTCTGTTTTTCATGAAGATGGTCCTGAGTTCAGGAATGGCTGGGAGAGACTCTTGCCTGAAATCCCAGAGTGCCCTTGCTGCCTGCCTGCCTGCCTGCCTGCCTGTCATCATCACCATCATTTATTACTTCTACCCCACCCATCTGGCTGGGTTTCCCCAGCCACTCTGGGCTGCTCCTAACAGAATATGAAAAATACAATAAAACATCAGACACTAAAAACTTCCCTAAACAGGGCTGCCTTCAGATGTCTTCAACCACTTGTGGTCTGAAGTTGGTTTTGCAAACCATAGTTCATGCTAACTGTGGTTTGCTGCAACCCAATTGTGTGCAGGGGGAGTAATTTTTGCAGCCACTGCTCTGCTTCGTAAGGCCACTGCACCTTAGAACTGGCAGAGCCAAACGGACAGAAGACAAGAGTTCAACTAGTGCCTGTAAACGATGGTTTGTTTATAATATAATAAAAATTTATTATTTATACCCTGCCCATCTGGATGGGTTTCCCCAACCACTCTGGGTGACTTCCAACAAAATATTAAAAATATAATAAAACATCAGACATTAAAAACTTCCCTAAACAGGGCTGCCTTCAGATGTCTTCTAAAAGTCAGGTAGTTGTTTCTTTCCTTGACATCTGACGGGAGAGCGTTCCACAGGGCGGGTGCCACTACCGAGAAGGCCCTCTGCCTGGTTCCCTATAACCTCACTTCTCACAGGGAGGGAACCACCAGAAGGCCCTCGGTGCTGGACCTCAGTGTCCAGGCTGAACGATGGGGGTGGAGACGCTCCTTCAGGTATACTGGGCTGAGGCCATTTAGGGCTTTCAAGGTCAGCACCAAAACTTTGAATTGTGCTCGGAAATGTTCTGGGAGCCAATGTAGGTCTTTCAGGACTGGTGTTACATGGTCTTGGCAGCCGCTCCCAGTCATCAGTCTAGCTGCTGCATTCTGGATTAATTGTAGTTTCTGGGTCCCCTTCAAAGGTAGCCCCACGTAGAGCTCATTGAAGTAGTCCAAGCGGGAGATAACTAGAGCAGTCTGTGTACGCAATACTAAACCAGCTAAAGCAATGGTCTGATTCTGCATAAGGCATCGTCTTATGTTCCTATTTAAATCAACCCATGTGTTCAAAGCCACGAGGACTAGAATCTTGCTTTATTTATTGGGAAAGGGGCTAAGTTCCTTTGGGGTAGGGAAACCCTCTGAAACCCCAGAGACTGCCAGACAGTGCAGACAGGTCTGAGCTAGATGGACTGATGATTTAACACAAAAACAAAACCCTGGCCATCTGTTGGCTCAGCATGCAATGATCTTGGATGCTGTTATGGACTGAGTTGAATAGGATCCAAAAGGCAGCAGTCTGATTGGTCCTAGAACAATACGATTCAGAATGCAGCAGTCTGATTGGTCCTAGAACAATGCAGCAGTATGATTGGTCCGCAGGAGCCACCCAATCCAGCTCCAGATGGAAGTGAATCCACAACCTGATTGGCCTACAGGAGAATCCTGGAATTAGCCAATCACGTGCAGCCCATTGTGTAAATAATGTATAGAAAGCAGATACTGTGGGGGAACTTCCATTCCTCCTCACCACTATGAGCTGAATAAAGAGCATGAAATCCACTCTCGACTCCGAGTATATTTCAGGTGCTCTGCTGGCACAGGGAGGGAGAAAGGACTGGTCACAGAATGTTGAAGGGCAGCGCAGGTTCCGAAAGCAAAGTGCGAGGTCAGTTTGGCTGGGTGGGAGAGGGTGGCAGGAGGGCACTTGTGAGGCAGCCCAGTTCTTAGGGTGGGGGGGTGAGTTTGCTTGTAGCCAGCTCATCTGATTGTTCAAAGAAAAAGGAGCCCGGATGCGGTTATGTGAAGGATAACTATCTCTTTATTTACATCTCATCAAAATAGGAACATGCAAGCACATCACGGCATTGACTAAAGGGATAACAGGAGGCGATCCACTCCCTGCAACCAGAAACGTTCTTATGCTCTTCACATGGCAAATATCCCCCCCTTCCCCCACCAAAGGACCCCCCCCCAACTCCTCCTAAAATAATGATAAATAACTGAGATTGGAGGGTGCTAACCAAATGAATTAGACGCTGAAAGCCGGCAGGGAATGATTCATTGATTTTAAAAAAGAGACAATGTCCTGGATGAGAAGGAGGGAGGAAGTTAAGAACCAGGTGCTCATAAGCCATGCCATGGCTGCTGGGATTCAAGTTTCTAGACCTGATGGAGGTAAGCTTGGCAATGAACAGGAACCTCTGGGTGAAGAGATGGGGCAGGACTTTGCAGACCTTCTCCCAAATGACAGGAAGCAGAAGCAAATTGATGTGTGCAGACGAATGGATAATAAGCAAAAGTACTAGGAATTGGCTTGATCAAACGCACGGGGTGTGAAATTCGGATTCTCGTGGTGCATCGTTTGAGTGATGTCTGTGTCCTTCTGAATTTGGGGTCCTTTGCACAGATTGGTGCAGTTATAACCGTGCCTGGCTTGGATTGGGTCCCTGCACATGTATATGAGGTGTCTCTTTGTTCTGGTACATACACCCCAGTCAGTACGCCCAACTGTATACAAGCCAAAGTCTCAAAGCAGCAGACCTGCAGCAGACAGCTCAGGCTGCAGGATTTACTCCTTGCTCCAGACTTCCCAGTTGACACGAGAGGGGTGCAACCCTTGCTGATTCCTTGCTCTAGCTTCCAACAAAAGTTTATCGTTCTGCCCCATGGCTCACTGAGTGTGTATGTGTGTGTGCTTATAGTATTCAATCGGTCCCGATACAGACACTCCCAGAGGAGTCTGCCTCCAATAAAGAGGGGTCTCTCCGCCAGGAACAGCGACTCAGAAAGAGCAGCAACAGGCATACTCCAGCAAGCTACTCTTGGGAGTGTTTAATTCTTAATTTTAGCAGACCAAATCTGCTAAATCCTTTGGGGAGATGTAGAATTGTGCCTCCAGATTTCATAGCAGCGTAGAATCGATGAGTTGGAAGGGTTAGGGTGGGCATCTCTTTAGGCTCCCGTAGGGATTTTTTGAAACTGGATTCTATCCAAACGAGATTCCTTAGAGCCATCCTCAGGATTCCCCCCTCGGTAGCGGGTGCGGTTATGAGATTAGAGGTCGGCTGGCAAGCTCTACGGTATGTGGCCTTGAAGACGAAGCTCTGGCTATGGCTCAAGCTTTGTTTTAAACCAGTGGGTATTGCCCCCTTGATATTGAGGATGATTTCCAATCATCGTGGGAAAGGAGGCCATTAATGAGGTTCAATCCTGCGGATTGTCTCACCTCTACTTTGAGTCTATGACGTACAATCAAGCTAGAGCTGTGATCTCCCGGAGACTGAGTGACATTGCCAGACAAGAGGACATAGCCCAGGTAAAACCAGGGATGTTCCTAGGGGACCAGATTTATCGGACCATACCAGCCCCCTACCTTGCAGAAATCCATTATGTGGAATACCGTAGACTTCTTACAGCGGCTAGATTAAATGTCCTTGACTCTGCGATATTGTGGGGAAGGTACGGGGGTACCATACGCCCAGAGAACCGGTCATTGTGCCATGGGTGTGGTTGAGTCCACTGAACATATTCTCTTGACTTGCCCTTCTTATGCAGAGCTTAGACAAAATTTTATAGACCCACTCCTATGCCAATTCAGCTTCCTTCCCGGAGAAATCCAGGTTTTACACTTGCTGAATAATGCCACTAGAGCTATACCTTCCTTGGTGGCCAAATTTCTCTTTTTAGCTTTTAAGCGTCGCAAGACTATAATTGACTGTATTGATATGGGGCTATCTGTTTAGCCCATTTTAGTGTTGGCTAAGTTTTAAAATCTTCCTGGATGTTTTAACTGTGTATTGATAAAATGTACTTTTTTCTGACTGACAGTCGAATAAAAAGGGTAAAAAGGAAAAGAAAAAAAAAAGAGTTGGAAGGGCTGTGTGCCCCAGCCCCCTGCAACTGAATTTTGAAAATCTACCCCGTTACGCACTTGTCTCAATCCCAGCTTAGCCTACAGCGTCTGAGTCATTTGGTCCGTGTCCCTCCCGGGTGGCACTAGTTATAAATTAATTCCTCCTGCTTCCAGGCCCAGAGAAAGCACCCTGGTACCCTTCTAGACATTAATAAAGGATCCTTGATCTCCATCAGCAGACTCCGGTTCCACGCAGCGTCCTTTTCGCCGGGTCACCCTGCGGTTGCGGTGAAATTTGGCGTAGCAGCGTAGGCCTAAATTGGGAGAGAGGGGGAGGCCTTGAGTGAGGAGAACGGCAAATTTGTGATGAGAAAAATTCAACGTTCCCTCACCCCAAGGAGAAATCAACTTTCTCCCGAGGAAAACAAAAACAGATTTATACCCCTGATATTGAATATTTAAAAGGTCTAACTGGATATCTAATTTCCAGTCAATAAATCAAAAGCATCGTTCCCTCCCCTCCACACATTTTTTATCTTCACAACCACCCTGCAAGGTAGGCCAGTCTGAAAGTGAGGCTGACACCCCTAAGCAGGTGCCTCTGTGGCTGCGCTGGCCCTGCCTCGCTCTCGGTGTCTGATGGCAACTCCTCACTCATCTGAGCACCCCATAGGAGAGGCTTGCTCCCCAGTGCTTCCCCCCTCCTTTCTCCCCTTTTATTGTTATGATTATTTTATTTTGACAAAGTAATAATCATAAATAAATAAGAATAAAAATGTGCGCCCCACCACTGAGACCATTCCATTGTAACTAGCCAACCTCCCAAAATTTCAACACCTCTTGCGATGGTTTGACCCCTTTCCGTTTTAACAGTACACATTCGACAAACACCTTCCACATCTCCTCAAAATCATTTCTCCTGCATACTCCCTGTCTTACCTTAATGGCACATGTTAATTTATCATTCATAGCTATATCCCACACCTCTTTATACAGTGGAACCTCGGGTTGTGGATGTAATCCGTGATGGAGGCACGTCCGCAACCCCGGTGCGATTTGGCGCTTTTGCGCATGCGTGAATGGCAAAACCCAGAAGTAACCCGTTCCTGTACTTCCGGGTTTCCCGCGGTCCGCAACCCGAAAACACATAACCTGAAGCGTCCGTAACATGAGGTATGACTGTACCATCATTCCATTTTATATTCTGCTTGCCCCTTCCGCTTCCTAGCTATCATAATGCGTGCAGCTGTCAATAAATTTGTGAGCAAGTCCTTCATAGCCTGCAAACCTTCCATGCCATCGTAAATTGATAATAATGCTACCTCTAGACCAGGCAAAGGCAAACTCGGCCCTCTAGATGTTTTGGGACTACAATTCCCATCATCCCTGACCACTGGTCCTGTTAGCTAGGGATGATGGGAGTCGTAGTCCTAAAAGATCTGGAGGGCCGAGTTTGCCTATGCCTGCTCTAGAACCCAGTGATTTCTGTTATCTCCTTAAACACCCTATGCCAGAAAAATTGTACATATTTACACCCCCACCACACATAAACATAATTCCCGGTTTCCTGGCGCTCCCCAGTGCTGTGTCACTGGGGAGGGGGACAGCTTCAACCCTCTCCCACCAGGCAAGCGTCAGCCCTCACCTTCTGTGCACATACAGTCATCGTAGCATTTGTTGTTAAGGCCGCGGTTGTGAGGTTTGCAAAGGTGCTCCCGTAGATCACAGCAACATCCTGCCAATTCAAGGAGGGAAGAAGTTAAGAAGCATCCAAACTCTCTTCTCTAGCTGCGTACGGACCACAGTGTTATGGGGGTTTTTTGGGGGGGCGGTCAGTCTGGATGACCTCTGAGGATCCCTGCCAAAGGGATCTCTGGCCTCAACCAGAGCCAGGGCTTTTTCAGCTGTGGCCCCGATCTGGTGGAACGCTCTGGCACAAGAGACCAGGGCCCTGCGGGGCATGACATCTTGCCACAGGGCCTGCAAGACAGAGCTGTTCCGCCAGGCCTTTGGCCAAGGTGATCCTCGTAGAACTCTGGCCCAGTGGTTGCCATTTGATTTTGAATTGATTTTAGAATATCGATTTTAGAATGCTGTGTTACTTTTATTGTTGTTAGCTGCTCTGAGCCCGGCTTCGGCTGGGGAGGGTGGGATATAAATACTATTATTATTATTATTATTATTATTATTATTATTATTAAAGTTGTGATCCTGCGTATGGGAGACTACAATCTACAGGAGAATTGGTCCAGGTCCGGTCAAGATAATGAATAGCTTTAGCAGCTCAGCTAAGTACCCACCACTTTCATCTCAAAAGAGTGGGCTCTGTTGCCATGGAGACAAATAGCTGGGCCTTTTCCTACCTCACCTGGATGGAAGCCACTGTATCCTAAGATGGAGAACAACAGGCCAAGGGGGACTGTGATTTGCGTGAGAGTTTTTTTGGCCGGTGCTGGAAGCTGGAGACACACAAATGTCTTGCTCCATGCCGGACTTGGGGTGCTCCCCTGGAAACCTAACGGGGAAGCAAGAATCTTTTGGGCTTGTTAATGCCATTAGCTCTTCCATCCCACGCTCAGGTTGCAGGTGTAAATAAAACCATATATCTAAAGACACCACAGTCTCCGTCAACCAGGAACCCCCTCAATGCCTGAAGATTGGGATCGCCCACACTGATAGAGTCACAGACTCCTGGGTACTATAGTTTGTTAAGAGTGCTGGGAGCCTCTATGAGGGGTAAACTACGGTTCCCAGCGTGCTTTGGGGGGAGTTATGTGCTTGAAATGAGCCGTGGTGTGGATGTCTTTGCTCTTCTGGATTGGTTGAGGAGGGGCAGGAGGCAGGGCCTGCTCTGCTCAAGACACCACATACAATTCTGCTTGCCTCCACCGGCGCTAGTCCTCATGAAAGCTGCTGCTCACCTGGGAGGCAGTCGAGGTGATGGTCGCAGGACTCTCCCTCGGCGGGGGTGGTTTCGTTGCCCCCATTCTTACCACGCTGTTTGTCTAGCGGGGGAGAAAGCAAGAAAGGATGAGAAAGGGGGGGTAAAGGTAAAGGTAAAGGGACCCCTGACCTTTGGGTCCAGTCATGACCGACTCTGGGGTTGCGGTGCTCATCTCGCTTTACTGGCCGAGGGAGCCAGCGTACAGCTTCTGGGTCATGTGGCCAGCATGACTAAGCTGCTTCTGACGAACCAGAGCAGCGGATTGAAACACCGTTTACCTTCCCGCTGGAGCGGTACCTATTTATCTACTTGCACTTTGACGTGCTTTCGAACTGCTAGGTTGGCAGGAGCAGGGACCGATCAACGGGAGCTCACCCCGTCGCAGGGATTCGAACCGCCGACCTTCTGATCGGCAAGTCCTAGGCTCTGTGGTTTAACCCACAGCGCCACCCGCGTCCCAAGGGGGGGATAGTGGAGTATAAAGACCTGCGTTTTACATGGGTAGGATTCCCATCCATTGCCCCACCCACTTTTGCCTCTTGCCACACCCACTTTTCATTCTGGCCCCACCCACTGCCGGGAAATGAGCCCAGGAAGGTTGTTCACACACGTATGAGACCCTCAGGCCTGGTTGCAATTCCGCAAGAAACTAATCTTTTAGCATCGATAGTATACTTTGGAACTCCCTGCCTATTGATGTTAGGCAGGTGCCTCCACTGTACGTCTGGCCAGCTGGTGTGTGTTTTAATCCGGTTTTTAGCTTATTGTCGAGTTTAATTATTTTCGGGAAGGTTTCCCATAGTTGTTTTTGAGTACAGTGGTACCTTGGTTCTCAAACGCCTTGGTTCTCAAATGCCTTGGTTCCCAAACGCCAAAAACCTGAAAGTAAGTGTTCCGGTTTTCGAACGTTTTTCGGAAACCAAATGTCCGATGCGGTTGTCAGCTATTGTTTTTTGGGCTCCTGCACCAATCAGAAGCCATGTCTTGGTTTTCAAACATATTGGAAGTCAAACGGACTTCCAGAACGGATTAAGTTTGAGAACCAAGGTACCATTGTATTTGGCACTTTTGTTTTTGCTATTTATTTTGCTTTTTTTTTAAAGGCTTTTTCAGTTCATTTGTTTTCGTGACTGTGTGGAACCCAGTTCAGCTACTGATTGATTGATTGATTGATTGACTGACTGACTGCGGAAATGGATAAAAGCCCCCCATCCGAACAATGACTATCATCGGTGCAGGTAAGAAAAAAAATTTTTTTAATTTTTATCACCTACAATACTGTCTTATTTATTTTATAGTACATTGATTATTGCTTTCATTTTATGGATCAATGGTCTCATTAGATAGTAAAATTCATGTTAAAACTGCTGTTTTAGGGGTTGTTTTTAAAAGTCTGGAAAAGATTAATCTGTTTTGCCTTACTTTCTATGGGAAAGCACGCCTTGGTTTTGGAACGGACTTCCGGAACGGATTAAGTTTGAAAACCAAGGTACCACCGTATGGGTGTTTATTGTTTTATTCTTTCCGTAAACCGCTTCGAGGGTGTTTTTGGTGGTTTTTTTAAAAGCAATCAAGCGGCATAACTTTTTTGTGAAATAAATAACCTGGAGTCCCCTAGGGATCGGGACCTTCTGAGCTACACCCCCACCCACCCCGCAAAAAGGAGATGATAAAACAGGACACACCTTTCTTCCGGATCGAAGGCCACATATCCGGCCGGAGATCTTCGTAGTCAGTCCAGTCAAAGAGCGTCATGTCCAGGGTGGGCATAACGTCGCCTTCCTGCCTGACTCGCACCCGAGGCCGGGCGGACGTTGCGTGGAGGGCAGGGGGCTCCTCAGTGGATGCCTTTACCGTGGGGCCCAGGAAGGAGGTGGGAGGCAAGCCGGCCGAAGACCCTTCCCCGCCGTGAAGGGTCTGAAGCTGCTCCTCAAAGCTTTCGGGTTTCTTGTACAGGGCGCTTGGACCCGGGTCAGAAGCTTTTCCTGCAGGAGGTGGAGAGTGCGAAATCAGAGCGAAAAGAACAAATGGACGCAGAAAAGTTTATTTTCCCTCTCTCATAGTGCAAGAACCCGATGGCATCCCATTATTCTTTTTATTACTTGATAAATTTCTATTCCACCCTCCATCCGAGCATCACGGGGCAGTTTACAATATAAAAGCACAAAAATACATAATGTCGTAATGAGAGAAAATAATAACGCCCTTCCTGCGTTGAAGTTGAATGTTGGAAGGTTCAGGACAGGAGGGGGGAAAATACTTTTCCAGTTAAACTGTGGAACTCCCTCCTGCAGGAGGCAGCAATGGCCATCCGCTTGGATGGCTTTAAAATAATAATAATAACAATAACAATAATAATAATAATAATAATTGTATCTCGCCCTCCCCGGCCAAAGCCGAGAACAGCTAACATCATATTAGAAGAGTCTGTAACCTGAAGCGTATGTAACCTGAAGCGTATGTAACCCGAGGTACCACTGTACAGCATTAAATATTAAAAACTTCCCTGAACAGGCAACCCTCCATCCCCCCTCAAAGAATACCTCTGTGCTGCCTCAACCTGTCTCTCCGGCTGTGTCGCCTGTGGTCACGGTTCTGCTTCTTCACCCGTTCAGACCCAGGGGCATGGTTTTCCTGCTCAGGATATGGAAACTCAAAGCCCAGGAAAACGTCCTTTTGCCGGAGGCCCGCCGGCCGGTCCGTCCGCCCTGGGTCGTCGACCGATGCTGGCCGGCTCAGCACCCGCAGGCCCGGCCCCTCCCTGCCCCCTCTGGGCGCCGGCATGCCATAATGGGCCCGGTCGTGTTTGCCCAGGCCACCGTGCCCGCGGTGGTGCGCCGTGGTCCGTATCATCGGGTGCGGCCAGGCCTCCCGGCTTGGGAAGCTGTTGCCGACCTCAGGGAGGCTGGGAGGTGCGGCGGGCCCAGGGTCGAGGGAGTCCGTGGGGCAGATGGTCAGGAGGCAGAAGGCAAAGATGGTGGAGGCAGAGGAGGAGGCGGTGCAGGCCATGTTTCCAGGTGCCTCACCTGTAACGGAAGAAGCAGGGTGTCAATTTGCGGTTCCCCAATTGCATTTATTTCCCACCGGTACACCTGTTCAACATCAACTTCATTGGACTGGTCATGTTGTGCGGATGCCTGATGATCGTCTTCCAAAGCAACTGCTCCATTCCGAATTTCAAATGGAAAGCATAATGCCAGTAGAAGAAACAGACGCAGGTAGAGCAAGAGAAGATCAGAAAATATTCCTCTATGCTACAGGACCGGCAAGGATCCTAACTGCTAAAAACTGGAAAAAAGAAACTGTGCCAACAAAAAAGGAATGGCAAGACAAACTGTTAGAGTATATTGAACTGGCTAGATTAACAGAGGCAATTAGAGATCACATGGGGAAAATGCATGGGGAAAATGCAGAGAATACTTCACAAAACAGTGCCCTAAAATTCATACCTGGACTTGTTTCGATTAATGTCTGCAGGAGACTTTGTGGATATTTAAGTTATAATTAGAAAAATCTTAATAAAAGGAAACAGCTTATAAGAAGTAAATAAGGATGCCAGAAACAAGATAAAGGAAGTCTTTTATTTGGTTGTTTGTACTGTTGTAAATTATGCTTGTTGTTTGTTAGGTTTGTGTCTGATGGGGGTGGATTTCTGTGCTGGGGGGTGGGGGGTTTGTGTTATGTTGTAAATAAAATTTCCAGTAAAAAATTATAAAAAAGGGAAAGCATAATGCCAATGGTCAACAAAAGAGGTTTAAAGACTCTCTCAAGGCAATTCTTTAAAAATGTAGTATGAACACCGACAACTGGGAAACACTGGCCTACGAGCGCTCCAGTTGAAGAACAGCCTTTACCAAAGGTGTCATGGGCTTTGAAGACACTTGAACTCAGAGAAACGTGCTAGGAGGAAGGCACACTTGGCAAACCCTCACTGTGATCAACCTACGTCCCCACTGTGGAAGGATGTGTGGATTCAGAATCGGCCTCCACAGTCACTTACAGACTCACTGTTAAAACCATGTTCATGGAAGACAATCTGACTTGGCTACGAGGGATCGCCAAAGAAGAAGAAGACACCCGTCAGCTCAGGACACACAAGCCTTCTGGAGCACGATTTCTGTTCTCATCCTGAAGCAAAATTCTTAACCTGAAGCACTATTTCTGGGTTAGCGGAGTCTGTAACCTGAAGCGTATATAACCTGAAGCGTATGTAATCCAAGGTACCACTGAAATCCAGAATGCAGCAGCTGGACTTGCACTGGGAGCAGCCGCCGGGACCTTATAACACCAGTCCTGAAAGACCTACTTTGGCTCCCAGTACATTTCCACGCACAATTCAAAGTGTTTGAAGCCCTAAACAGCTTCAGCCCAGTATACCTGAAGGAGTGTCTCCACCTCCATCGCTCAGCCTGGACACTGAGGTCCAGCTCCAAGGGCCTTCTGGCAGTTCCCTCCCTGCAAGAAGTGAGGTTACAGGGAACCAGGCAGAGGGCCTTCTCGGTGGTGGCACCCACCCTGTAGAATGACCTCCCACCAGATGTCAAGGAGATAAAGAACTACACAAGTTTTAGAAGACATCTGAAGGCAGCCCTGTTTAGGGAAGTTTTTAGTGTTTGATGTTTTATTATGTTTTTTATATGTGTTGGAAGCTGCCCAGTGTGTGTGTGTGTGTGTGTACACACATGAGTCCCTGCAGAGAATCTTGGGATCTGTAGTTTGCAAAGGGAGCTGTAGCTCTGGGAGGGGTAAATTACTAGCCATGATGAGTCTACTCTGCCTCCACAGTTGGAGGCAGTGAATGTTTCTGAATACCAGTTGTTGGAAACCACAGAAGGAGAGAGAGCGCTGTAGTGGCTGGGGAAACCCAGTCAGATGGGCAGGGTATAAATAAAAAATGATTATTATACTCAGGTCTTGCTTGTGGCTTTCCCATTAGGCCACGCTGAGAACAGGATGCTGGACTAGATGGGCCAGTGGCCTGATCCTGCAGCCTCTTCTTAGCTTCTGAAAGGACATTCCTTTCCCCACCTGGGAACTGTAGCTTGTTCAGGGTTCTGTGCATTTAAGCTCTGTTTTGGGAAAACTACAGTTCCCATCTTAAAAAGCAGAGACATCACCTTGCCAACAAAGGTCAGTATAGTTAAAGCTATGGTTTTCCCAGTAGTGATGTATGGAAGTGAGAGCTGGACCATCAAGAAGGCCGAAGAATTGATGCTTTTGAGTTATGGTGTTGGAGGAGACTCTTGAGAGTCCCATGGACTGCAAGAAGATCAAACCTCTCCATTCTGAAGGAAATCAGCCCTGAGTGCTCACTGGAAGGACAGATCCTGAAGCTGAGGCTCCAATACTTTGGCCACCTCATGAGAAGAGAAGATTCCCAGGAAAAGACTCTGATGTTGGGAAAGATGGAGGGCACAAGGAGAAGGGGAGGACAGAGGACGAGATGGTTGGACAGTGGTCTTGAAGCTACCAGCATGAGTTTGGCCAAACTGCGGGAGGCAGTGGAAGACAGAAGTGCCTGGCATGCTCTGGTCCAGGGGGTCACGAAGAGTTGGACACGACTAAACGACTAAACAACAACAACAACAGTTCCCATAATTATTTTCCTGGTGGGAAAAAATGGACACAGACACAAGCAGAAACACACACACTTTGAATGCTGAGTCTGCTTTCCTGCACCCAAGAATCAGGTGCAAAGGCGACCCCAGAATGCTTTCATGTGCAAATGAAGGCCATTAATCAACCCAGCGTCTCCCTGTCATAGAAGAGTGACCCTGTGTGCGCAGGGGTGCCTTCCAATAATGCATTGCCGCACGCCAGCTGTTGCGCCCTGCCACATCAGGGCTGTCCTGCCAGATCTGGTTGGCACTCCCAGCCTTCCTTTGCTGCACAGCTTGCTTGCCTTCAGTGGAAAAAAGTCAGGAAGTTGAAGATGCTGAAGCAGATGGCAAGCAGGTGGCCACCCGACTTGTCAATCACGCATCCGACCTTGGAGCGAAAAATAAAACTCCAGAGGGAAAATCCCTGGCCTTCCTAAAATCGAAAGCCTAGTGATAATCAACCTGCGCCTGGACTGTGACCGCCTTCACGCTGATGGAATGAGCCTCCAAATGACGACAAATGCCTTGCATTTAGAAATCTAGTATAAATGCATTGCACTTAAAAATCTAATGTAAATGCCTCACATTTAGAAATCTAATATTTCAGGGAGAAGGGTTCAAACTTAGCAGAATCCCTCCGCTGCTATTTACAGTGGTACCTTGGGTTACGTGCGCTTCAGGTTACAGACTCTGCTTACCCAGAAATATTACCTCGGGTTAAGAACTTTGCTTCAGGATGAGAACAGAAATCGTGCTCCGGCAGCGCGGCAGCAGCAGGAGGCCCCATTAGCTAAAGTGGTGCTTCAGGTTAAGAACAGTTTCGGGTTAAGAATGGACCTCCAGAACGAATTAAGTACGTAACCAGAGGTTCCACTGTATTTACTTACGGTGTTGATATACTGTTTCACCATTGGCATTTGCAAGCAGTGTGCATCAGACAAACCATACAGAGTAACACAAGAAGATCACCATGAAACAAACGTTACCTTCAAACACCTACTGGAATACAAAAGCCTTTGTTGTATGCCTGATGTGCAGATAGGAAGATGCCTGCCTAATCTCATGGGGGTGGGCGTTCCGCAGGCTTTGGGCAAAAAACAATGAATGCCCAGCTTCTGGTCATTACGAGCCATGCAACCAAGCCATATGGGACCGCCTGTAGACTTCCCCCAGGATTTCAGTGATAGGGTAGGGATATAAGTTGTTAAAGGTAAAGGTAAAGGGACCCCTGATCATTAGGTCCAGTCGTGGCCAACTCTGGGGTTGCGGCGCTCATCTTGCTTTATTGGCCGAGGGAGCCGGCGTACAGCTTCCGGGTCATGTGGCCAGCATGAGTAAGCCTCTTCTGGCGAACCAGAGCAGCGCACGGAAACGCCGTTTACCTTCCCGCTGGAGCGGTACCTATTTATCTACTTGCACTCTGATATGCTTTCAAACTGCTAGGTTGGCAGGAGCAGGGACCGAGCAATGGGAGCTCACCCCGTCGCGGGGATTCGAACAGCCGACCTTCTGATCAGCAAGTCCTAGGCTCTGTGGTTTAACCCACAGCACCACCCGCATCCCTATAAGTTGTTAAGGGCCTCATAAATTAATGCGAGCATTAGCTTTGGAGCCCTGGAGTTATATGCTCTCAATAGCTTACCCTATCTACAGTCTAGCTGCAGAATTTTGCACAAGCTGGGGCTTCCAGTCTAAGTCCAAGGGCAGCCCCACACAGAACACATTGCAGTAGTCAAGCCTATGTACCTACCTGAACCCTAAGGAGGCCTTTCTCTGTGTTGTTCTCCATCACTCTGAAGTCCAGAGCGAGTTTTGGGTGGCGGCGTCCCTAGCTATGGAATGCCCCACCTAGCGGAGCCCACAGAGACACGAGCGCTGCCAGTTTTAAGACTTTTCTGTCCTCCCAGACCTATTTTTTAAAACGTTAGCCTCTGTTGTACTTCTGGTGGTTTTTCATTCCTGTATTTGATGGTGATTTTTCTCCCGCCTGGTTGCCTAGAGAGGCGTTCTAGTGCACCATAGGCGACCAGCCAAGTTGCAATTTCCCTCGGCTCGAGTTTTTCTGTGAAAATTGACAGATCACAGTGGAAGCAACGCCTTGCCCTGAAAGGAAATTGGGGGGGGGGGGGCGTTGTCAGCCAACACATTAACGGCAGCCAAGTAAATGTTCCAGGATTTCTCCTCCACCAGAAACGACGTGTAAAAAAAAGAAAGAAAGAATCGAAAATGACGGAAACCAGATTGGCATCTGTTACTTCACCAAGGCCAAAGAAACAGAGGAACATTATCAACAGCAAGAAACAAGTTGTATCAGCACACACACCCCGCACGTTCTTCCACAAAGCCCCTTTTCTACAAAGATATATCCGAAGGAAGAATTAGATTCTGTGATGGGCGATCACAGTGGCTGGCTCCATGCCATTGTCTTCCCTGATCATCTCACATGCCTGCAGCAGAAAACTTTGGTGGAATAGCAGCAGGGGCTGGTGCAGGTGCAGATTTGGCCCTCCAGGCCGAACTACTTGGCCCTTCTCACTCCAGGCCACGACACTTGCCAGTCCGGTTTTGAAACCTCCTAGAGCAGAGGTTTTCAACCTTTTTGGGCCCACAGCTCCCTTAACCAACTACATTATTTCTGCGGCACCCTTGTGGTGCTTCAGAAGCCTGGTTATGTCACACCTTGCCTGTTTTTAATTCTGAAAGTTCAATTGTTGTAAGCTGGCCCAGGACCTTTTGGTGAAGCACAGGTAAAAAGGTAAAGGACCCCTGGATGGTTAAGTCCAGTCAAAGGCGACTATGGGGTAGCGGCACTCATCTCACTTTCAGGCCAAGGGAGCTGGTGTTTGTCCACAAACAGCTTTCTGGGTCATGTGGCCAACAGGACTAAACCGCTTCTGGCGCAACAGAACACCATGACGGAAACCAGAGTGCACAGAAATGCCATTTTCCACTGAGCCTCTTGGGCTTGTGGATCAGATGGTCGGTGGTTCGAATCTCTGCGATGGGGTGAGCTTCCGTTGCTCTGTCCCAGCTCCTCCCAACCTAGCAGTTCAAAAGCACACCAGTGCAAGTAGATAAATAGGTACTGCTGCAGAGGAAAGGTAAATGGCAGATAAAAATGTATTATTAGTATTAATAATTTTATTATTTATACCCTGCCCATCTTGTTGGGTTGCCCCAGCCACTCTGGGCAGTTTCCAACACATATTAAGAATATAATAAAACACCAAACATTACAAGCTTCCCTATACAGGGCCGCCTTCAGATATCTTTTAATAGTCAAATAGTTGTTTCTCTCCTTGATGAATCTGATCAGAGGACTTTCCTCAGGGACGGTGCCACTGCTGAGAAGGCCCTCTGCCTGGTTCCCTATAACCTCACTTCTCACAGTGAGGGAACTGCCAGAAGGCCCTTGGAGCTGGATCTCAGTGTCCGGGCCGAACGAGGGGGGTGGAGATGCTCCTTTAGTACTAACACTAATTATAATTAATTCCAATCATAATATAATCTCTAAATTCACCTGCTCCTTTCCCAAGCCAGATCTGAAAACAAGAAAATGTTTTAGAATTCATCTATAATCGGGGAAATTATGCCTAATTCGAGATTTTGACAAGCGCTAGAACTTCCAGGCACTTTTAATATGATTTGGCTCCTTTTCTTACATATACAACGGAACCATCTTTATGAAGCGTCCCATGCCTGTGGCAAATCTGGAGCTATACTTGATAATCCAATAACACCGATAGTCTTTCCTTGGACTTTTGTTACTTTAGCCCACGTGAAACTGCTTAATCATAGAATTATTGAATCACAGAATTGTAAAGTTGGAAGGGGACCCTAAGGATAATCTAGTCCAACCCCCTGCAATGCAGGAATATGCAGCTGCCCCATACGGGGATCAAACCTGCAACCTTGGAGTTCTCAGCACCACACTCTGACCAACTGAGCTATCCAGCCTCTATTTTATACTTTGGGTTTTTCGTCTTTTAATTTTCATCTGTTCTCTCGGTTCTATATACATTTCATAATGAAAAAAAATTTAAAAACTTTTAGCACCACCCACAAATAAAACATAATAATGAATAGCACAACCTCTGGGTCCACCCGCCCTTTCCCCAAGCCGGATCATCAAAGAACCAAGCATGGTTAAAACGGGGCCAGTTGCACCAGCCAAGACTTATTATCCTCCCCCCCTTTAAAAAAATCCCACTGTGGCGTATATATATTTGCACAAAGCCGCTTGGCAATCCATCAAGCGAGTTGGCATTTTCGCCGGGCCGGAGGAACAGGTGCGGCGTCGTGCTGGCTGCGCTTTCTCCACGGCGCTCGGGCGAGGGAAGCTTGCGCGCGTCCTTGGGGAAGCGCATTTGAAAGGCGAGAGGGAGAAAGAGCCAGAGATTGTGCTGAAAAGACACCCCCCCCCCCCCCATTTTTATATTTTCCAAAGCGATGAGAGGAAGGAGTCCACCTCCCTCCTTCCCTCCCAGTCCCCCGGGTCCCCCCATTGCGCGTCCGAGGCGAGCCCCAATGCGCCACCAGCGGGCGCGCCGTCCGTGCCAAAAACTCCAGGCGCGTCAATGGGACTTGGCAGGGGCGCGCCGGATGATGGACGAGCGTCTCGGAAGCGCCCGTCGGGCCCCGCGCGCACCAGCAGCCGGGCGGCAAGAAGGTTCTCGCAGGAAGGCGGCGAGAGCAGGCGAGACGGGGTCCCATTGTGCCGGGCTCAATGCGGCGAGCCTGCCCCGCTGCGCCGGCCTCCATCTGCTCGCTGCGCGCCCGGGCCTGGGAGAGACGGGACATGTTTGGAGAGCTCCCGGGACCCCGCCGAGCGCGCGAGGCCTCGGCGCCCCCAGTCCGCTGGCTTTGCAAACTTCCCAAGAGCAGAGAAGAAAAGCGCCCCCTAAGGATCCATTGGAAGCCCCTCTTCTTCTTCTTCTTTTCTGGGGACTGGTCTATTATATCCCACCCCCGACCGTTTCCTGCGCATTCAGCCCGCTCTGAAAGCCGAGGTCGCCCCCTTTGCTTCAACCAGCCTCTCTGTCTTTTAAATTCCTTGCCAACTCCGGCAATTCGTTCTTCACAAACGGCCCACCAAAGACTCCGGACAAGCGTATATCCTTTCCAACTTGGGGGGCGTCCCCCCCTCCCCAACTTCCCTTTCAAGAACAGAAGAAAAATGCGGCTGGATCAGGCCCACGGCCCATCTAGTCCGGCGTCCTGTTCTCACAGTGGCCAACCTATTTATAATAATAATTTATTATTTATACCCCGCCCTTCTGGCGGGTTTCCCCAGCTACTCTGTGTGGCTATTTCTCCCAATCTGGTCATGAATGTACGGCTGATTCTCCTTTTGTCTTATGTTTTTTATTTCATTTTATTTCATTCCAACTCTTCTCATACCACTTAACACTGCCGTTCCCTTTTGCTTGTATACGGTAATTTTTTCTCTTTTGCCTGTATAATTTTTTATTAATTTTTTCAATCATTTTCACAATAATCTTCATACCCAACGGTTCCATAAATTGACTTTCCACCCCCACTTCTGCAGAGTTTTTCCTGAAACCTTTTCTACTGCATTATATCTCGATCTATTACACAAAGTTTCCCCCAGATAAAGGAAAACAATAGAAATACTTAACTGACCAATCACATCGGTTCTGCCCCCCCAACAAAAACCCTGGCTACGCCCATATTTATTTTTATATTTTACTTTTTATTTCATGTGATTGATATAACTTCCAAGCGGTTTTCAAAGAATACAAAAAGTAACTAGTTAAAAATATCAGTTTAACAGTATAAAAATTAATTAAAACCAACAGTAAAAAAGAAGAGGAGAAAAACACATTGGCAGCTATGTGTCTGGATAAAGGTAAAGGGACCCCTGACCATTAGGTCCAGTCATGACCGACTCTGGGGTTGCAGCACTCATCTTGCTTTATTGGCCGAGGGAGCCGGTGTACAGCTTCCGGATCATGTGGCCAGCAGGACTAAGCCGCTTCTGGCGAACCAGAGCAGTGCACGGAAATGCCGTTTACCTTCCCGCCGGAGCAGTACCTATTTATCTACTTGCACTTTGACGTGCTTTTGAACTGCTAGGTTGGCAGGAGCAGGGACCAAGCAATGGGAGCTCACCCCATCACAGGGATTCGAACCGCCGACCTTCTGATCGGCAAGCCCTAGGCTGTGTGGTTTAACCCACAGCGCCATAGGTGTTCCTAAAGGAAAATGTTTTAAGCCTACAGCAAAAGGATCTGCCTGGTGTCAACAGGCAGGGAGTTCTACAGTTGCCACACTGAAATATCTATTTCTTATAATAGCCGAATGAGTATTACGTGGTACCTGTAAGAGTTCCAGTACTGCAAATCAAAGTGGTCGAGTGGGCAACAGATATAGGGCAACGCATGAAAGTAAACCAGCCCCAATATGTTAAGGGCTTTGTCTACTAATAGGAAGACACTGAACTTGGCTGAGTGCATATCTCTGAGCTGGAAGAGCCTCGCTCCTGTCAGCAACTGGGCTGGGGTGTCTTGCACCAACTGCAGTTTCCCAGCATTGGAATTTAATATCAACCTACTGGAGAGACGAAGGGATGTGGTTGGCGCTGTGAGTTAAACCACAGAGCCTAGGACTTGCCGATCAGAAGGTGGCGGTTCGAATCCCCGCCACGGGGTGAGCTCCTGTTCCTCGGTCCCAGCTCCTGCCAACCTAGCAGTTCGAAAGCACGTCAAAGTGCGAGTAGATAAATAGGTACCGCTCTGGCGGGAAGGTAAACGGCGTTTCCGTGCGCTGCTCTTGTTCGCCATAAACAGCTTAGTCCTGCTGGCCACATGACCTGGAAGCTGTACGCCGGCTCCCTTGGCCAATAAAGCGAGATGAGCGCCGCAACCCCAGAGTCGGCCATGACTGGACCTAATGGTCAGGAGTCCCTTTACCTTTTACTGGAGAGACAAAGCGACTTTGATATGATGACTTCTTCTGGAGAACAAGATTGTGGGTAGATTCAGCTCGAAATGCAATGAAATTGACAAGCTGAACTCAGGTGGATCATGCAAGTCAATTCAAATGAGATAATGTGCAAATGAGAAGAGAAGACTCCCTGGAAAAGACCCTGATGTTGGGAAAGATTGAGGGCACAAGGAGAAGGAGACGACAGAGGACGAGATGGTTGGACAGTGTTCTCGAAACTACCAGCATGAGTCTGACTAAACTGTGGGAGGCAGTGGAAGACAGGAGTGCCTGGCGTGCTCTGGTCCATGGGGTCACGAAGAGTCGGAGACGACTAAACGACTAAACAACAAATGTTCAAATGCGGGAAACCAAGAGGCTGTGTTGCCTGCAATCACGCCTGTTTTCCTATTTTAATAGATCCGTATTATCCACATGTATTTGATGTGCCAATGTCAGGGTGCGGTCATTCATCGTTTGCTCTTCTGCAACATTTGGGGCTGCATTACACACCACACATTTAAAGAACACCCAAACACCCAAGAGTGAATCCTGGGAGATGTAGATTATCCCTTACAGAACTACTTATGCAGCACACTAAATAAACTAGAGTTCCCAGGTGGGAGAAGGAATATGCTTTGAGAACATAAGACGAGCCTGTTGGATCAGGCTAGTGGCCCATTGAATCCAGCATTCTATTCTCACAGAAGCCAACCAGGTGCCTTTAGGAAACTTTCCCAGGCACAACACCACAATTGGCGTGCCACAATGCATTATAGGAAGGCACACCCCAGCCGCCCCTATAAGCAGGGCTGCTCTTCTACGGCAGGAAGATGCTGAGTTGATTAATGGCCTTCATCTGCACATTAAAGCATTCTGGGGCTGCCTTTGCACATTATTCTTGGGTGCAGAAAAGCAGACTCAGCATTCTGCTCCCAGAAAAAGAATTAGGGGAATAATAACAATAACAATAAGAGCAACAATAACTCTAGGTGGCTCCCAACAGAATATTAAAAACATGATAAAACATCAAACATTAAAAACTTATCTAAACAGGGCTGCTTTCAGATGTCTTCTAAAAACCAGATAGTGGATTATTTCCTTGACATCTGATGGGAGGGTGTTCCACAAGGAGGGCACCACTACCGAGAAGGCCCTCTGCCTGGTTCCCTGTAACTTCACCTCTCACAGGGAGGGAACCGCCAGAAGGCCCTCGGCACTGGATCACAGTGTCCGGGCAGAACGATGGAGGTGGAGACGCTCCTTTGGGTATACTGGGCTGAGGCCGTTTAGGGCTTTAAAGGTCAGCACCAACACTTTGAATTGTGCTTGGAAACATACTTTACCCACCCCCCCTCCACAGAGCTACAATGCACAGAACCTTGAACAGTCTGTGGTTCCCAGGTGGGGGAAGGAATGTGATTTTAGAAGCTAAGTAGAGGCTGCTGGATCAGGCCAATGGCCCATCTAGTCCAGCATCCTGTTCTCAGTGTGGCCTAATGGGAAAGCCACAAGCAAGAGCCAAGCACAAGAGTTGTCTCCCTTCCTGTGGGTTCCAGCAACTGGTATTCAGAAGCATTACTGCCTCCGACTATGGTAAGGTGAAGATAAAGGACCCCTGGATAGTTAAGTCCAGTCAAAGGCGACTATGGGGTTGTGGCGCTCATCTCGCTTTCAGGCCGAGGGGGCCGGCGTTTGTCCACAGACAGCTTTCTGGGTCATGTGGCCAGCAGGACTAAACCGTTTCTGGTGCAACAGGACACCGTGACAGAAGCCAGCGCGCACGGAAATGCTGTTTACCTTCCCGTCACAGCTGTACCTATTTATCTACTTGCACTGGTGTGCTTTCGAACTGCTTGATTGGCAGGAGCTGGGACAGAGCAACGGGAGCTCAACCCATCGCGGGGATTCGAACCGCCGACCTTCTGATGGGCAAGCCCAAGAGGCTCAGTGGTTTATACCATAGCGCCACCCATGGAGACCCAGCATAGCCATTGTGGCTAGTAGACATATTGTCCTCCAATAATTTGTCCAGTCCTCTTTTGTAGCCATCAACGTTGGTGGCCATCACGGCCTCTTGGGGGAGCAAGTTGCAATGGGTGAACAAGTCCCTCCACATATGGGAGATGATCAGCCTGGCACCTGAATCTTATCTCAACCCTGGCAATGGAACGAAACCCTTCACCATGCCCAAAGGCAAGCAGGCTAGCTTAGGGGCCTCAGGCCAGGATGTATCACACAACACACAGAGCACTCTGTCCTCCTACAAAGGGGAACAGTTGGCTGGGGGGCCCTTAGGAGTAGGGCTGGGCGATAATCCAGTTTTCAACATTGTGATATATCACCCAGTTAAACATCACAATATACCAAAATACAGTGGTACCTTGGTTATTGCCTGTTGTCTTTGTCCAGCTGGACCATAAAGAAGGCTGATCGCCGAAGAATTGATGTTTTGAATTATGGTGCTGGAGGAGACTCTTGAGAGTCCCATGGACTGCAAGGAGATCAAACCTATCCATTCTGAAGGAAATCAGCCCTGAGTGCTCACTGGAAGGACAGATCCTGAAGCTGAGGCTCCAATACTTTGGCCACCTCATGAGAAGAGAAGACTCCCTGGAAAAGACCCTGATGTTGGGAAAGATGGAGGGCACAAGGAGAAGGGGACGACAGAGGACGAGATGGTGGGACAGTGTTCTCAAAGCTACCAGCATGAGTTTGACCAAACTGCGGGAGGCAGTGGAAGACAGGAGTGCCTGGCGTGCTCTGGTCCAGGGGGTCACGAAGAGTCGGACACGACTAAACAACAACAACCTTGGTTATTGAACTTAATCTGTTCCGGAAGTCCGTTCGACTTCCAAAACCATTTGAAAACCAAGGTGCGGCTTCTGATTGACCGCAGGAACTTCCTGCACTCAAGCGGAATCCGTGTTGGATGTTTGGCTTCCGAAAAAAGTTCAACAACTGGAACACTTACAGGGGGTCACTAGGGGGCGCATTGGAAGATGGCTGACAATAACATCTCTCCGACCCACACGAGGTAATTTGGAGGCTATGATGGTGGTAATTAGCCTCCTTAACCCCCCCCCCCAGGATTGTGGGGGGGACGGCCCTTGCCTGCTGTGCCCTATACCACCCCCAAATTTGTGGGGGTGGGGGCACTAGGCACAAAGCCCTCCTGTGGGATTTCGGCACTCCTGAATGCCGTCCCTGATTCGCCACTAGATGCAGAACTTCAAAGGAAACAATTTGGATGAAAGAATGCACATATTTCAAGAAAGAAGGGGGAGTAAAGACTGCTAACAGAAGAGATCTCTGACAAAACAAGATAAGAATAAAACATGAGAAGATACGCCAAGACAAGGTACGGCAAATGACTGATGGGGGAGGGGGAAAAAACTCTCCCTTCTTTCCCTATGTGATTAAACAAGAATCCCCTCCCCTCACGAGTCAGAAATGTCGTTTTAAGGACTTAAGCTGTGGATTTAAGGCTGTGTGGAGATAAACTTTCGAACCAAAGCACGTTTTAAGAAGAGCATGGAATGTGTAAGAGCTTTGGAATGACGCAGTTAAAAATGCCGTCGCCATATTGGGAAGTTCTGTCGGAGGTCTTGAGTCTGGGAGGAGAAAGAGAGAAATAGAGCTGTTTATATATTGTGGGTTAAACTCCTCAGTGGGACTTAAGAGCGACAGTTTTACGAGACTATGATGGCAAGAGTGATGTTATCTATGAAGGAGATGATATATGGAAACCATCTCGATTTGAGGATTGGAAGAACGGAAAATTCACACAGGACTATTATTACTATTGGTGTTTATCGGCTTAAGGAGACTATCAGAAGAAAAAAGAGAAAATATATGAATAAGATGTGATGTGGAAACAGCAAGATAAGATGGGATAGAACTATGAACTCTGTTTGGACTGATTTGGACTGATTGGGACATTAACGCAGCAGCAAGAAGATGATCAGAATCCCCCTTCGGATCTTGAAATATGGGTCCCCCCAACAAAATTTAAAATTCGGCTTTGTAATTCGGAATTTATGTGATATGATTTAATTTGATGTGATTGGCCAGTTAATAAAAATTATTTTAAAAAAAAACCTGGAACACTTACTTCCGGGTTTTCGGTGTTTGGAAGCCGATTTGTTCAACAACTAAGCCGTTTGAGAACCAAAGTACCACTGTATGTCTAAAATAAGGATGGAGCTCTGAAGAGGCATATGCTGGCTTCATGGTTTTCCCCGCATTGTGATTTTTTGCCATTGTCCGCTCTTATGATTTGCAGGAGGCAAGGGAGAGCTGAGCCAGCAGAGTTAACAAGGGCTGCAGGAGTCAAGAGAGGCTTTGGTTTCCCCCAACATTTGCATAGCATGCAAGTCATGCTTCGCAATACATTGCCAGGCCAAAAATTACGAAACTGATATCATGATATGGACTTCAAACCTGACGCACATCTGATGTCAGGACTCCATGACAATGGAGTTGGGGAACAATGATGGGGAACGGCACACAGAGTCAAATGTGGGTGGGGCGGCAGGGCAGGGCAAGGCGGCAACCCTGGTTCACTTTGAGCAGCAAAATGGGACACGCCAGCCCAGATCTGGAGGTTCCCCATCCCTCTCTAGGACAAGACTGGGAAGGCTGCATCCCTCCAGGACTTACTGTACTGCAACTCCCATCAGCCCTGCCCGTTGGTCGTGCTGGCTGCGTCTGATGGGAGTTGGAGTCCACCGAGTCCTGGAGGACACCAGCTTGGGGAAGCCTGAGTTGAAGAATGGAAAGTTGGTTTGGTATGGCTGGCTGGGCTCTGAAATGTTTGATGCTCACCATCCCTAGACCACACAGTACACTTCCAGTACAGTGTACTAATGCCAGTGTCCTGGAAGAAGCAAAGATCATCAGTGACGAAGCAATGGTTCTTCAACATCAACTTCGTTGGACTGGCCATGTTGTGTGCCTGATTATCGTCTTCCAAAGCTACTACTCTACTCTGAACTTCAAAATGAAAAGCGTAATACTGGTGGTCAACAAAAGAGGTTTAAGACTCTCTCAAGGCAAATCTTAAGAAGTGTAGTATAAACACTGACAACTGGGAAACCCTGGACTGCGAGCGCTCAAGTTGGAGAACAGCCTTTATCAAAGATGTCATGGGCTTTGAAGACGCTCGAACTCAGGACGGAAGTGAGAAACATGCTAAGAGGAAGCTACGCTTGGCAAACCCTCACTGTGATCAACTCCCACCCCGGAAACCTATGTCCCCACTGTGGAAGGATGTGTGGATCCAGAATTGGCGCCCGCAGTCACTTACAGACTCACTGTTAAAAATGTGTTTATGGAAGACAATCTTACTCGGCGACGAGGGATCACCAAAGAAGAAGACGACCACAGAGCAGACCACAGTTAAGCCCCTGGGCCAGGGGTAGGGAACCTTTGGTCCTTTGACTGTTGCTGAACTATAGGCAGGGCTGTCCTAATGTCCTAATGTCCTAAGACATTTTGGCACCTGAGGCTAACCACAGAATACTGCCCACCCACCCCTGCCAGGGAAGAAGTGGTGAGTGAAGATGTACATCAGGACCAAGGAGATAATTAAAATCTACATCAGGGCCAATTGGGAACTAGGGTTGAAGGAGACCAGTAGCGCCCCCTGTTTGCCAAGAGACCGCTGTAGAGGCTGCATTGCAGGGGCAGATCTCACCTCCAAGGATTGTGTCTCAGTTGTCAGCTGAGGAATGCCCCAGAGGCCAAATTTTCTGCCTCTGTGGATGCTGCCACCCAAGGCAGTCGCCTCTCCTTGTCTCATGAGTGACTCTCATAATCCCTGGGCATTGGCCATGCTAGCTGAGGCTGATGGGAGTTGTAGTTCAGCCACATCTGAAGGACCCAAGATTCCCCACACCTGCTCTGAACCATGAATTAATAAACCATGGTTAAGCATTCTGTGTGAACCAAGTCCTTAGCAGGAATCCGTTAAGCCTTAACTATTAAGAATTCCAGAATCTCTGCCGTCTTTCTTTGCAAATTTAATCCGCACCAGTGGAGCACCATGATTCTTTTCTCTCCCTCTTTTTAGTATATCATGCAAGACGGATGTATGCCCAACACAAGATCTCCTCTGGTGGATTTTGCTATCAGTTTCTGACTCCCACTCGTTTTAACAGCTACAGGAAAATGACTTTTCCCACCTCAATTAGGCTGCTGAGATGAAGACAGCCCACCAGGAGGGGGGCTGTGTCTGAAAGGATTGCAAGTTCAGTCCTGAAAATAAATCCCCAGGTTCTGAGTGTGCTCAGAAGCACTCTGATTTGTTTATTTTTTAAATTAAGAGTATGTCTTTTGCACCCCACTCCGGTTGTTAGGTTTTGGGGGTCCCAATATAAACTAGAGTAGATCTGACAAACCTGAAATTGTACCCTTCCTGACCTAAGGAATCCCCATTGACATTTCTTCTTGCATTTCAAATGTCCCTTGTGGCAAAACATTGGGAACATTAATTTTGAATGGTGCATCTTAGTTTTTTTATATTTTTAAATCCTAATAAGATTCATGTGTGGGATTCCCTGATGCCTTTCATTTTATAATTTGGACAATTTTGTACCACTTAATGACAGCTGTCTCTATGTACAGGACACTCAGTGAAACAAACAAACAAAATGAGTTAAAACTCTCATATCAACATTCAATTAAAAAGCCGTATTAGAAGGAGAATCTTGCATTTTTAAGTACTCACCCCTAATATTTTATTTTGTGCAGAGAAAAGTCAACATTTAAAGAAGTGTATTGCTCTGGGTTCAAGGACAATATTTATAATTGGTTTCAACTGGATGTGTGTGTGCATGTAATCTTCTGGATTTTGAAATGTATGGGAGTTAATGAGCAAATTTTTACTCCTTATAGCCCCCTTTTCCTCCAGTCCCCACCCAAAAAGAATCCAACAAGCCCCCAAAAAAGTCTCATCACAAAGATGCAATCATATTTCTAATCAAACCATCTCAACTGGAGATTCTGTGATGAAAGGACTCTTAAACGGAAGAGGCAAGACTCTCGATACGTATAACAGTCACTTCATGTCCGTATCATTAAAAAAAGGGGGGGGGTGTCTTCCAAAGATGGGGTCGCTAATACTTCCCTCCTCTGAAACTGACCTATTGCCACTTTTAGAAGTTCCCGTCTGCAGCATGAAACATTTCATGAACACACACATTTTACTCTCTTTCAAACTGCAGCCGCGCTCAATCTAGGAAACCTTTTTGGCACAAACTCCAGAGATCCAGAATTATCCTTTGGAGACAAATTGGCTCAGGTGAGCAGAAAATGGGGGGGGGGGGGGAGAGAGAAAAAGAGAGAGAAACAGACCTCCTCCCCATGCAAAAGCTCTGAAATGTGTCTTTGTCTCAGTTCTCCAAGGAAATGGGGTGTCCCTGTTCAAGGGGGGGTGGAGCTATTCCAAAAGAAAGGGACTGGATCTTTGCTTTTTCATTTTATTTGACTTGAAAAGTGTCCAGGGTTGGGGATTTGTGGGTGAAGGCGTCTGGCCACGATCCAGGGAGGAAGGGAGGCAACTTCCACCTCGTGCCTTAATTGCTTTATGAAATTATGGGTTGGTAACGGATCCAAGATAAGCAGCCTGTAACCCTGAATTTAAGACTACTATTGGTAACGAGGGTCTTCATCCCCACCAACTCCCGAGGCTCCCCATCTAAAGCAAACCTCATCAAGTTACTTCATATGTCAAGATTTGTTCACCGTCTGTCGTTTTTAAAAATACACACGCGTCCCAGGGAGTTGCACAATAACAAGAAGTGTGCGTTAAAACCTCGTTCACATCCCACACAACATATACGTATGTGCAGTTTGAAGCCAACACAGGAAAAAGTCGAATTTAAATTAAATGAAAACTGGAGCGACTCAAGAGCAAACTGATATGTACAAGGATCTAGGCTGCTAGAATTATAACGTGCAAAAGGGAAGCTGGAGACTTGTTCTGCCTCCGGGGGCTGTTAGATCCTACTCAGAGTAGACCCACTGAACTCCATCAAGATGACGAACTTGAGTCCATTCATGGGTCTGCTCAAAGTGCAACTTGGTGGGCTTACGATCTGTTGGACCTAAGGCAGTGATGCCCATTAATTTCTGTCTACTCTGAGTAGGGCTAGCCTCTGTACCATTCACATGCCCTAGATACACAACATATCAAAAAGCCCCAAATCTCCTATCTATCTATCTATTTATCTATTTATTATATTTATGTGGAGCTCCCGGCACCAAACTCAAAGCGGCTTACGAAAACATTTATTTCATAAAATTTATACACCGCTTGCTCGCTTTAAAAATCCCCAACGACTCCTCACATGTCTAAAATGGGAAGATAATCCGAACACCCTTTAAAATTCGATGCCAGAACCCTCACCTTTTTAAGAATAAAGAACCCAAGGACAGCTTAGGAAAGGCATCCACCCACCAAATATTTCCCATGTTCAATTTTAAAAAATAAAATAAAATATTTTGCTCGGAGGGAAGTCTGGGGAGATAAAGAGTTCCCAGCACGCGCCAGGCTGCCGCGCAGATGCCGCGATAGATGCGCGCGTGCGGAGCTTACCTGCTTGCTGCTAAGCCAGCGCTGGGAGGCAGCTCGGCGGGTCCAACGCGGCGCTGCTTTCTCCTGAATCCCGAAGTGCTGAACGGGAGGGAGAGGGGAAATAGAGGGGAGGGGAGAGAGGGGTTGGGCTTAGGACTATTTCCCCCACCCCCCTTCTAAAAAAAAGTGAGGTGCGGGGGTTTTTCAAGAGCAGGGGAAAAAACTGGGAGGACTTTTTCTAAAGCTCCCAGACTTAGAAAGAAACAGTGTTTGAAAAGGAGCATGCTTAGATGCGGAGAGGGGTGTGGTTTTGTGTGTGTGTGTTGTGTGTGTGTGTACGATTAGGAGGGGGAGTGATGGATTTCTATGAATTGCATAGAGGGGAAGGCGCGTTCCCGTCGCCAGGCGCGCGCGCCCCCGGAGCAGTGCCGGGGAGCTGCTGCTCGGTCTAGAGACAAACGCACACTCACACAAAGGAGACAAAGGGAACTGGTACCCGGTAGCCTAGATGTTTTAAAAAGGCGACAGTCCAGCAATTATATGTAATATTCTCTCTCCCAGGGAGATGACGGGAGTGGGGGAGAATTGGCTTGCTGTGGGGTGGGAGAGAGGGGGGTGGGTCTAGCCTGGCGCTCCTTTCCCTCTGGGTGGTGGTAGGGGGTCGTTTTCTCTCCCCCTCTTCACCTCCATCATCTTCATCCCGCCTTCCTCCTAGAGGATTGTGGGAAACTCCCAAAGGGTAAATTGATGCCTTTGAGGAGGGGAGAGGGGTAATGACAGCGAGACCCAGAGGGTCCTGCTGAGCTGGTTAAAACGATTCTCTCTCCACTTTCCACGCACACTCCCCTACCTCTGCCCAGGAGAATAGAGGGGAGGGGTCTCCACCTGGGTCTCCCGCCTCTAGATCGACTTTATTCATTGTGAAAACTGATGACACCCTTGCTACCAGTTATGTGCATCGGGGGTTTTTTCCTTCGCTGTTCCGTGGTTTTTCAGCTTTGCTAAATCAATTCTAAACCCGCTTAGCATTAAAAAAACAAAATAAAAAATAAGCGAGGTGCAATAGGCAACAAAAAGAAAATATAAATGGTGTTCGCTTTTCCCTGTCCAGCTTTATGACCCCCCACTTTTGTTATAACTAACAATACCCCCCGCAAAAACATAACACTTCTAAACTGCTCCACATTAAAAATATATATAGATTAATCAATATACTGTGTACGATATTCAGCCAGGAGAAACCCCAATACCTGCTATGACAACGCTGATACCAGCGGTGCGTTTTAAATTCGCAGTTTTGTGCAACTGAAATCTGCGGGTGACGAGCAGCTGTTAAAAGCAGAGGTGCGGGCGAAGAGAAGAAAAGTTGGCAACCTTTCTCCGTTCAAAACCATTGCGTGCCAAATTACTCATCTGCCTAGGTTTGCACCATGAGCAGCAGAGGGTCGTAGCCATGGGCTGCCCCCCTAAATAAATAAAAATTATTAAAAATACGTAGCAAACTGAGGTTCTGCACCCCCAAAAAAGGCCTGCCCCCTCCAAATCCTGACTATGCCGATATTCTCGGAGCCCACCATCAGAAATGGACATGACTTACTCTGGCCCGTTAAACTCAGAAGGTCTACTCTGAGTAGGAACTGGAGACCACCCAGGGTGTGGTATCTGGATGCAAACTGGGGCACCCTAAGAATCTCATTTCTAGTCGAACCGAAAGTTGCTACTAGTCCTCAGGGCTAATCTAGGTCCACTGATTTCAATGCGCCTACTCTGAGTAGGACTTAAGTTGGATGCCACCTGTTAGATAGTGGGTAGACATAGCAGACGACGCAGCGATTTCTACAAAGCAGCTCTTTATTTGTAAGCTGGAACAGAACTGAACTGAAGGGTTCAGTCAGCCTGCTTATATAGAGCTCCAGTACAACGTAACTGTAACAATTATCTAAAACTATCCAATCAGTGAACGTCACTTTCGATCCCTTACTTGCATAACTATCTACAGTATCCCCCTGCTGGCCCAGGGTGAGAACTTCAGTACATAACACCACCCATCCAGAATCGTCTCTCTCCCCTTCCTCATCCCAAATATCCAGGGGGTGTGCAAGCGAGTGAGTGAGACAGTGAGATTCATCTGCGAAATTCTTCGGCTCAGGTTTTTTTCTAAAGGCATAGGAGCAGGGCAGGGGGGAGAAGTTGGCAACCTTTAAGCCATGAGCAATTGAGAGGCGGACGAGGAGAGTTTAAAATAAAATAAAATAAAATAAAATAAAATAAAATAGCCCCACTGTTGGAGAGGTGCGCTTAAGTCTCCGCTGGACAGACGGCGCGCCAACGCCACGGAGATGGGCGGCGCGCACGGGTGCCAAAGCGCCCCGGCGCTAAGACCTGCGAGGCGAAGAGAGGAGCGCAGCGAGGACGTCAGGCGGCCGCGTCGTTGGGTCGGCAGCTCCTCCTCCGGCTGCTCCGCCGTCATCAGCCTTCCCGGCGGGGCGGAGGCGCCGTTGTTCCCCGCCGCCGCGAGCTTGGGGTCGGGCGAGAGGGATCCGCGCTGCGCCCTGGAGAGAGGTACGGTGGAACCGGTGGAGAGGCGTTTCGGGGTGCGCTCGTGGCGCACGGAGTGCGCGCGGCTTCGCGGCCCGATCCGGAAGCTCTTTACTCTGGAGTAAACCCAAAGGGTCTCCAGTGAGAGGCTGGCTCCCGAGCAGATGTCTGCCTTGCGTTTTGCAGGGGCTGAAGGTGTTTTTTTTGGGGGGGGGGAGCAACCTTTAATGGTGCGTTTCGATCAGGCATGTTTACGCAGAGAGAAGCCCCACTGGACTTACTCCCGTGTACGCCCACCGGATTCAAGGAGTCTTTGTTCCAGGTATAAGAAGATGCATAGGAACCAACTCCTAAGGGCCAAGGTCCTTTTGGCCCCCCTAAAATATTTGAGAGGGCTGGCTGGGACCCCCCCTCCAAAGTTGATGGGCATTGTCATTCAAATTGTGTATGCCCGCCACGTCTGGGCGGGGCTTACTTGAGCCCCCCCCCATATTTTATTCAAATTGGCTCCTCTGAAAGGCAATCCTATCTATGGAGGAGCAAAGCATGGGCTGGCGGGGGGGGGGGGGCGGGGCGGTGGCAAGGCAAAGCAGCTTGAGGTCTCAGTTGGTTACTTCTGAGCAATCTGCATAAGTTGGTGATGATGATTAGAATTTATATACCGCCCTATACCCAGGGGTTGCAGGGTGGTTCACAAAATAAAATCAAGATATAAAATCACAAAATACATAATAAAAATAAAAACAACAACCCAATACCCCCCCCCATTTACATTGCACTGTAAATCCCACTAGCATGCCTAGTGTTGCAGTCTCTAAATTGGGTTCCTTTCAGGTTAACCTTAGGGGGTGCATCCAATTTAAGTTATGCTCAGAGTAGACCCATTGAAATGAATGGACGTCAGTTATACCTATCTACTGTGACTAGGACTAGCTTTGCATGCGACCCTACCTGCTTTTAAGAAGAAAGTTACTAGTCCTCATGGCTAATTTAAGACTGGGTCTACTTTGAGTAATACTTGGTTGAATACAATCCAGAATCTTCTCCCTTCCCCTCCTCATATCTCCATGCTATCAGTCTTTCAGGTACCGAGACTCCCTTTGTAACCATCTTTAAAAAGTTGCTGCTGTGATGACCACTTTAACCCGACAGGATCTCAACTTCGGACAAGGTACTGGCACGGTTTTTCTCCAAATTTTTCAGAACAGAAACCTACTTTGACTCCCAGCTCTATTAAAAATCAAGGGGAGGGGAACCCACTTATCAGGGCTGCATCCATCTCCCAGTGACCAACCTTCACCAGTATTTTCGGTAGTGCCTTCCAATTGCACCAAAACAAACACCACCCACTTCATTTTTTATTTAATAATTTTATTTAATAATTATATTTTGTCCATCTGAGGACAGTATAAAACCACAAAAGTACATAATATAATAACAAACAACACAATAACCCTCCACCTGTTACATCCATACCCTTCCCTTCCAGTTGTAGCTGATGTCCTTTCTGAGTTCCTGGAAGTAGCCATTCACCTCATCCTTTATGTCCGAGAAGTCTACCCCACCGGGATCTTTCAGAAAAGGAAAAAATACAATGTACCTGTCCAGGTGAGTGATGTGACTGTCTTTCGGGTGGACCACGCAAACATACCTTTTAAGGTTGGCCAGTTACTCATCATATCATTTTACCGTCATCTGATCCCCAATTGTTATTAAACCGCTTTGCTGTTAAATGCTTTGCTGAAATAATTAAAAAATTTTTTTTTTTAAATACTTTTGAGGTTTATACATTTCATTAATTTTACAATCATTTTAACATTTCAAAACTTGACTTCCTTCCCCCTCTTTCTGTGGTTCCTTAAAGTTATTTTCTAATAACTTCTACATATCCAAATTCATTTAATTTGCTCATTTATTTATTTACTTTAAATATATACTCTTATGGAACTGCAGGTTATTACAGAAATCCTGGCAATGTTTTTATCTGTGTGCAATTTGTAGATATTCAAGAAACCATTTTCATTCTTTTATAAAAAGTTTGTTATCTTGATTTCTTATTCTTCCGGTAAGTTTCGCCATTTCTGCATACAGTCAAACCTTGGTTCCTGAATGGCTTAGTTGCCAAACAAATCGGCTCCCAAACGCTGCAAACATGTGTTCCAGTTTGCGGACGTTTTTCAGAAGCCGGACGTCCAACGCAGCTTCTACTTGATGCAGGAAGCTCCTGCAGCCAATCGGAAGCTGCACCTTGGTGTTCGAACAGTTTCGGGAGTGGAATGGACTCCCGGAACAGATTAATAATAATAATAATAATAATAATAATAATATCTTTATTGTCATTGCTCCCTTCGGGGACAACGAAATTACTTGACTGCTCCATAAAAACACTAATTAATCAATACAGTATAATACAGCAAGGGAGATTAGATGACTTTCAAAGTCCGGGCTTCCCATTCAGGGCTGAGATCGCTCTGGAGAAGAAGCTGTTCTTAAGACGGCTCGTTCTTGTCTTCATCGTCCTGTATCTCCGTCCCGACGGCAAAAGCTCGAAGAGACAGTGACCAGGATGCGATGGATCTTTTACTATGTCCAGTGCCTTCCTATGGCACCTTGTGGCATAAATCTGCTCTAAGGTGGAGAGTGGGCAGCCAACAATGCTCTCTGCTGCCTTAACAACCCTGCACAACCCCATCCTGTCCTGGGTAGTACAGCTTCCGTACCACACACATAAGCCATAAGTAAGCACGCTCTCAATGGCACAGTGATAGAAGGCAAGCAGCAGGTTCTGCGGAAGATGGTTTTTCCTTAGTATTCTCAAAAGTACAGTCTCTGCTGCGCCTTCTTCACAAGCCCCCTTGTGTTGACACTCCAGGACAGATCCTCTTGTAATTCAATGCCCAAAAATCTGAACGTTGTTACCCTCTCCACACAGACCCCATCAATCAAAAGTGGCTGGACGTTGCTCTTCTGTCTCCTGAAGTCCACCACAAGCTCCTTTGTCTTCCTTGTATTTATGAGCAAGTTGTTAGCTCTGCACCACTCTGTCAGCCGCTCAAGAACCAAGGTTTTTGTATCCATTCTTCCTAATGCTTTGCTGAAATCAAGTTAAATTATGTCACTCGCATTCCCCCAATCTGCTAATTTGTAACATTTCTTTTAAAAATCAGTCTGGCAGGATTTTTCCCCCCTTGACAAATCCATGCATATTTATATGCAACTTGAGATATTTGTTTGAACAGATGTCCTGCCACCCGGAGCTGAATCAGTACATCCAAGACACACTCCATTGCATCAAACCTTTGCTGGAGAAGGTAAGTTTTTGATGGTCAGCACAAGATCAGGGAATTACTGGAACTCGGTGGTTCATTTTATCCAGCCCCAAGACGTTTTGGTGATGGTAGGTATAATAATATTGGACCAATGTAACTGGGTATGGGTGTACGCAGACTTTGGTGTTGCACAGAGCTCTTCCACAAACAGACTCGAAGTAAGGAAAAAACAAGTTCTTGTGCTCTGCTGCTTTTCAGAATGACGTGGAAAAAGTGGTGGTGGTCATTCTGGACAAGGAGCACCATCCTGTGGAGAGATTTGTCTTTGAAATCACGCAGCCACCCCTGCTGTCTATCAGGTGAGGCCTTTCTGCCCCCAAAAGGCTGTACCAAACTTTGCAGAGGCAGTGTGGTGTAGTGGGTAGAGCTTTGTGGCTTGGTGGTGATTTGAACCTGGATCTCCCCGGCGCTGATCCAATGCTCTAACCACTGCAGCATGTTGTCTCTCATCACATGCCTGTATTGAACTAACCACACACTCTTCCAACATCCTGCTTGTGGACAAAGCACCTAAAGGAAAACCTGAATGGAGCAGTCTTATTAATCTGCCTTTCAGAACACGGGTAACTCCAACTCCCATCCCCACTGGCCATGTTGGAAGAGGCTGAGGGGGCTTTTGAACCAAACAATGTTCTCCCCACTCCTGCCTTTACTGCCCCTGGCTGCCCCCATCACATCTCTGCTTCCTCTTAATGTAGAGATGGGGCAGCTGTGGCCCTCTAGATATTGCAAAACTCCAACTCCCATCATCCCCCACCTTTGGCCATGTTGGCGGAAGCTGTTGAGAGCTTCAGTCCAGCAACGTCCCTGACTTAAGAATCTCCACTGTAGAGCTGTTTTCAGAGTGGAGGCTTCCCCACTGCGGGGGGCAGCACATTTGGAAACTTAAAGAGCTGTTACGCACATTTCACCTTCTCTCCCAATAGGCAAAACATCTACATCTCCAAAAACCAAAACACAGATAAACAACAAAACAACAAAAACAGGCAGTGCTGCTCTGGAAAAAAAAAACCCCCAAAAAACTTGTCTTAAAAAGAATCTTCCCCCAAAGACCCCCTCCCCAAAGGGGGGCGGGCTGAATGGCTGGTGCCAAGGTTGTGTGTTTCTGACAGTTTTGAGATGCCCACAAGAGTTATTTTGAGGACCCCACCTTTTTTCAGATTCCCTGTGGTTTAGTTAATCAAAGTGTCGTATTTTTTGCTCCATAAGACACACCTGACGATAAGACGCACCTAGTTTTTAGAGGAGGAAAACAAGGAAAAAAATATTCTGATCGAAACAGTGGATGTATGATTTTTGTGGTTCATGCTGTGGCCACAGACATGATATGTGATTTGACAGTGAGTTTGGGGTAGCCCAATGCAAAAATCCTGAGAATCCATGTGGATCTGTGCTTTGTAACCACGTTTTTGCGCCATTGCGCCCCCACGAAACAGTGGATGTGTAGTTTTTTTGGTGCAGGCTGTAGCCATGGATATGCTATGCGATCTGATGGTGAAGTTGGGGTGACCCAATACAAAAATCCTGAGGATCTACGTGCTTTTACCTTCCCCCTCCCAGGCAGCCTCCTTTATCGCTAGCCTCCCTTATCTCCCTCCTGATCACTTGCCGATCAGCTGCTCAGCGGCTTTGTTTCAACACCCCCTTCCTTCTTGTTTGCCTTAGCGTCTTTTCCTTAGCTGGCGCAGTTTTTTGTTCCTCCTTTTCTTCCAATTTCTCTCCTCATTGTTTGTTTTAGTATTCCTGTCTCCTCTCCTTGCAAGTTCGCTGTCTTTACCTCCCCCCTCCCAGGCAGCCTCCTTTATTGCTAGCGTCCCTTATCTCCCTCCCGATCGCTTGCCAATCATCTGCTCATCAGCTTCGTTTCAACACCCCCTTCCCTCTTTCTTAAAAAAAAACAAAAAAACCATGATCTTCTTTTTGCCCCTAGGCAGGGACCACGCATTCGCTCCATAAGACGCACAGACACTTCCCCTTACTTTTTAGGAGGAAAAAAGTACGTCTTATGGAGTGAAAAATACGGTAGCTTTTTTTATCTATATAACTACATTTCCACCATGTGATTGAATTCTGCTCCGCCACCTCTTCCTTCCCCAGCTCCGACTCCCTCCTGAACCACGTGGAACAGCTTCTGCGCGCCTTCATTTTGAAAATTAGTGTCTGCGATGCAGTTCTGAACAACAACCCTCCAGGTAGGCCAGCCAACCCTGCTTGTGTTTCCAAGTTAGCTTGTTTAGATTTTTTGAGCCTGTTTTCCTCCTCCTCAAATGCAAGACACAAACCATAGGCATGATTTAAATTCCATAAAACCAGCTGGTGTTGTTTTCTTTCTTGTTACTTACCTGCCCTGCAAGCTGTCTCAACCATTGGCTGGAGCTGCTGTGATGTCACAGCCAAACGATCTTGAGATGGTGAAATATTCTGCTAGGTGAATATTTATTAGAACTAAGCAGTCTGAACATTCTGGCGTGTGCTACCCCAAATTAAACTTTCCTTTTAAAGCAGAGAGATCAAGACAAGAAAATGCCCGTTATCTCCCAGCAATCTTGTTCCAACCCAGAAATTACCCTCAGGTTTTGCTCTTTTAAAGCCGTCAAACAAATCTCTTTTGCATCACACAAATAAACAGATGTTCTTCTTCTGCAGAACCTATTTAATTCCTTAAGGACTAGAATGTTATAGCTTCTTTCCTCCAGTGTGTGCTGAGATAGTCGTTGTTCCTGAACCCAATTCTAATTTACGTTTTTTATTTTTTAAAAAACCCAACCTGATCAGATCTATCGCCTTTCTGTACTATGATCCCCACTTTAATTGGGGGTATACGTTCTCCCTCCTTCAACCAATAAGCCAGTCCCTCAAATTGCTTAGAACCTACGATTCTCTGATGGCTGGGAGAGGGAGAGAGAATATTTTGGAGAATGCCTAGCAATCGTGCACAATGCTCCCTCGCTAATTATGATTTAGTGCAACAGGACAGCAGCTCCTGTGGTTTCTTTCTCCCCTCTCTTCCCAGCTTTTCATGCTCCCACCATAGAACTGGGGAAAAAGCAGCCACTTAATATGGACCAACGGCTAACACTGAGCTGGCTGAGTTTCCGCCCACAGTTCACAGGGTATAGGCACAGCTTTCAGCATTGCTCTGTTGGCGTCCCAGGACTGTGGGCCTGCTGTAGCCTTGGAGGATGGAGCAAGCTTGTGTTCTCCTGCTCCGGCTTCTAGTTACCAGAAAGGAGATTCTCACTAAACACCAGAAAGACCTTTCTGTTTTGACAGTGGAACGGACTCCCCCAGGAGGTGGTGGGCTCTCCTTCCTGGGAGGTTTTTAAGCAGAGGTTGGATGGCCATTTGTCTTGGATGCTTGAGCTGAGATTCCTGCATTGCAGGGGGTTGGACCAGGTTACCCTGGGGTCCCTTCCAATTCTACAACTTCTAAAGAGAAACCCCTGTCTCCCCTTCCTTCTGGCTTCTAAAAATTCCACCCTTTCTTTCTTTCTTTCTTTCTTTCTTTCTTTCTTTCTCTCCTTCCCTTTCTCTCTCTCTCTCTCTCTCTCTCTCTCCCCTCTTTCTCTCCCTCCCTCTCTCTCTCTCCCTGCCTCTTTCTTTCTTTCTTTCTTTCTTTCTCCCTCCCTCTCCCTCTCTCTCTCCCTCCCTCCCTTTCTTTCTTTCTCTCTTTTTCTTTCTTTCTCCCTCTCTCCCTCCCTCCCTTTCTTTCTCTCTCTCTCCCTGCCTCTTTCTTTCTTTCTTTCTTTCTTTCTTTCTTTCTTTCTTTCCTTCCTTTCTTTCTCCCTCCCTCTCCCTCTCCCTCTCTCCCCCTCCCTCCCTCCCTCTCTTTCTTTCTTTCTTTCTTTCTTTCTTTCTCTCTCTCTTTCTTTCTCTCTTTTTCTTTCTTTCTTTCTCTCTCTCTCCCTCCCTCCCTTTCTTTCTTTCTCTCTTTTTCTTTCTTTCTCCCTCTCTCCCTCCCTTTCTTTCTCTCTTTCTCTCTCTCCCTGCCTCTTTCTTTCTTTCTTTCTCCCTCCCTCTCCCTCTCCCTCTCCATCTCCCTCTCCCCCTCCCTCTCTCCCCCTCCCTCTCTTTCTTTCTTTCTTTCTTTCTCTCTCTTTCTTTCTTTCTTTCTTTCTCTCTCTCTCTCCCCCTCTCCCCCTCCCTCCCTCCCTTTCTTTCTTTCTCTTTCTTTCTTTCTTTCTTTCTTTCTTTCTTTCTCTCTCTTTCTCTCTCTCTCTCTTTCTCTCTCTTCCTCCCTCCCTCCCTCCTGGATTCTAAAGCGACATTCCCATCTCTCCTCCTTTTCTAAAGATTCCATCCCACCCACCTGTCTTCCCTTTCTTTCAGGCTGTACTTTTACCGTCTTGGTGCACACCCGAGAAGCTGCCACTCGCAACATGGAGAAGATCCAAGTGATCAGGGTAGGCGGCGATAGAAATCGCGAGTTCTGCAGCAGGGAGGGTGCCGTGAATCACGAGCGCCTCTCTCTTCTGCCAGGAAGCTTCTTGGAACTCCTGAATGCCTCAGATATATTTGGCGAGTCTTCCCATCATTTAAATCTGTGATGGGGAACCCTGGGCAGCTTTCTGTTTTTATTTATTTTTAATTTTTATAATAAATCTTTATTGCGTTGTTTTTTAAAGTTACAAAACAAAAGAATAAATTAATTGCTTCACCCAAATATACGAAAAGAAAAAATGCAAAAAACCCAAAAAAACCTGAGTGGTTTCTTATTAATTCCGTCATTTTGGGCAGCTTTCTGGCTGTTGATGGGACTCCAGCTCCCATCACCACCGGCCAGCATGCCCAGTGGTCAGGGATGATGGGAGTTGGGAGCCCCTTCCTCATTATCTGATTTTTAGAAGACATCTGAAGGCAGCCCTGTTTAGGGAAGTTTCTAATGTCTGTTTGATCACTTTTTAATTATTATTATCATTAATTCTGTTGGGAGCCGCCCAGAGTGGCTGGGAAAACCCAGCCAGATGAGTGGGGTATAAATAATAAAATTATTATTATTATTGCTCACTAGTTATTAGCTAAATAGTTTTGGTTCCAGCTCCTTATCCTACTTTTAAGGCCCCTCCAGCACCCTTTAATACTGCTTTAGAAAGCCGTAGTCTTCCCAAAGAATTCTAGGAGCTGTAGTTTGCAGGTCTCTATGTTTCTGTCCTGATGAGGCCTTTTTTTGTTAACCGTTTTGAGGCTTTTCTCTACATTCTTGTGGTATATAAATTTAGTGAAGTGAAATAAAAATATGAAATAAACAAATAAAGCGAATTATTCGCATCTTTAACCCAAGGATTTCCCCTGGATTCTCGCCGATGAGCAAGATGTCCACATGCGTGACCCTCGACTGATCCCGCTGAAGACCATGACGTCGGACCTTTTAAAGGCAAGTTCAGCAGGGTGCTCTTTCTTAAAATGAAATTTGTTTGAAGAGCGACACTTATCCACCTTCGCCGCATCAAGCAGTTGGTCCCTTACCTTTCCCACCCTGACCTGGCCACAGTGATCCATGCGATGGTCACCTCCAGGCTAGACTACTGTAATTCGCTCTACGCGGGGCTGCCCTTGAAGTTGTCCCAGAAACTCCAGTGGGTGCAGAATGCTGCAGCGAGGCTCCTCACGGGGTCTCTGCCATGGGAGCATATTCACCCAGTGCTTTTCCAGCTGCACTGGCTCCTGGTGGAGTACAGGGTCAGATTTAAGGTGCTGCTTTTGACCTTTAAAGCCCTTCACGGCTTAGGACCCTCGTACCTATGGGACCGCCTCTCCTCGTATGCCCCCCGGAGGACCTTAAGGTCCATATATAGCAACACCCTAGAGGTCTCGGGCCCTAAGGAAGTTAGATTAGCCTCAACCAGAGCCAGGGCCTTTTCAACACTGGCTCCGGCCTGGTGGAACGCTCTGCCTCATGAGACCAGGGCCCTGCGGGATCTGATTTCTTTCCGCAGGTCCTGTAAGACAGAGTTGTTTCACCTGACCTTTGGCTTGGAGCCAATTTGATTCCCTCCCCCTTTTTCTTTTTCTTTTCTCCTATGATGAGATTGCTCCCTAATTGTTTTAATGTTGTATCTTAATCTTTTAAATTGTATTTTAATCAACTTGTTTTTATTATTGGTTGTTACCCGCCCTGAGCCCAGTCTTGGCTGGGGAGGGCGGGGTATAAATAAAAATTTATTTTTATTATTATTACCCCTCTGGGACTGTCAGGCTCCTAGATCTGCCAACAAGGCGACCATCTCAGGGATGTGTACACGTGTGTGTGTGTGTGTGTGCGCGCGCAACAAGCTTCTGAGACCATCTACACTCAGCAAACAGCTGCCCCATCTTTTATAGCACATGGTTGCTTGGGATTGGCTCTCTGGCCTCAGCTGATCTCTGTTGCATATTTAGCAGATTCATTGCACTGCAGAAAGCATGCTGGGGAGACCACACGTTCAGGAAACAATGGAGAAATGCAAAAAATAGCTTTTGCTTGGCTTTAATTACAAAAACAAAAACTCCTCTTACATTAAATCTACAAGTATGACCCATTCACCAGGGTATTGAGAGAGGTACACGCTGCTCTTTATGTACTATGCCCAACTGCTGACACAGCTTAATTAACACAACTTAACTGCACCTGCTATACTGCTTCACAGCTGTAAAACTAGGTCATGATATTTACTCTGGCCTTTAAAGAGATACACATCTTGTGAAACAATAATGAACCTTAATATTTAAATAAACCATGCAACAATATCAAGATCAGATAGGTAATGTTCGCAGGTGTTTCTAATAGAGTGGTACCTTGGGTTACATACGCTTCAGGGTACATACGCTTCAGGTTACAGACTCCACTAACCCAGAAATAGTACCTCAGGTTAAGAACTTTGCTTCAGGATGAGAACAGAAATCGTGCTCTGGCAGCGCGGCAGCAGCAGGAGGCCCCATTAGCTAAAGTGGTGCTTCAGGTTAAGAACAGTTTCAGGTTAAGAACGGACCTCCAGAATGAATTAAGTACTTAACCTGAGGTACCACTGTATATTGGCTCGAACTTCCTGCAGTTCCCCCTTTTGGCCAGTAGGGGGCAGGGTAAGGGACTACACTACAGGATTCTGCATTGTTACCCGCAATATGTGGGTGGAGCTTTGGCACTTGTGGCCACACCCATCTGCAAGGCGATTGGATGGCAGAACGGGCGGGGCTTAGGGGAACCAAAGTTCTCATATAATACATGCTGCTCAGTTGTCAGCCAGCAGTGGGCGGGGCCTGAGCCAGAGGTGGGCGGGGCAAAAGGTTATAATTGTAGTATTTTATATTACTAGACTGGTTTCTGCATATACTCTCTCCCCATCCTCTGTCCAGGCAAGCAAGAGGTTTACTCTCCACGAATTTTCCAATTTTTAATTTATTTTTTTTAAACCTGAAACATTAAGATTCTCCCCTTCTTTCTCCTGCATGTTGTTTGCTCTAAGGCTGTGTCAGTGAGGACTTCGTCCCTTTTTAGTTGCTGAGTAGACCTTAGTTTAAAGGTAAAGGGACCCCTGACCATTAGGTCTAGTCATGGCCTACTCTGGGGTTGCGGCGCTCATCTCGCTTTATTGGCTGAGGGAGCCGGCGTACAGCTTCCGGGTCATGTGGCCAGCATGACTAAGCCGCTTCTGGCGAACCAGAGCAGCGCACGGAAACGCCGTTTACCTTCCCGCCAGAGTGGTACCTATTTATCTACTTGCACTTTGAGGCACTTTCGAACTGCTAGGTTGGCAGGAGCAGAGACCGAGCAACGGGAGCTCACTTTGTCGCGCGGATTCGAACCGTCAACTTTCTGATCGGCAAGTCCTAGGCTCTGTGGTTTAACCCACAGCGCCACCTGCGTCCCATACCTTAGTTTAGTCAATATTAAATAAAATATATAAATATTAAAATATTAAAAATTTAATGAAAGTGCTTTAGAGAGAGTGAGTTTTATTATTACACCCCTATCTCATCTTATCCTCTAAGGAGTTCAAGGTGGCATTTATGGCTCCTCCCACCCTGTTTTACCCTCACAACAACCCTGTGAGGGAGGCCTAGAGGTAGGGACTGGCCCAAGGACACATTTGGCTGAGTGGACAGTCGAACCCTGGTCTCTTCCAGGCCCTCATCCACGACCCTAACCACTACGCAACACTGCCTTCTGTTTAAAAGCTTTTCTCGTCTGCCTCCATTTACAGATGCAGCTCTATGTGGAAGAGAGAGCCCAAAAAGGCACCTGACTCCCAGCACTTCCTCACCGTACCTTGGGACCTCAAATCCTCTCAGGCACAAGGCACCTCTGAGCGGTCGCTCGCTCTGCTGCTGTTAACACTGGTGCTACAAACAGGCGGTCCTTGGTGACTTGGCACACTCTGCCAACCATTCTTCCACAAAATGTGTGCGAGCAAGTTTTTGGTTTTTTTTAAAGCGTTCTTTCTCTTATGTAAGGAGAGAATTGATCCTGGAGGAGCAAACTTTTACCTCCTCTGGCAGGTTTTGTGTGCCTGGGTGCGCGCTCAGACCGCAGTGAGGCCTGCCTTTCCAATTTATTGTGCAGAAGGGGGGCTATGTTTGGAGCTTTGAGAGGGGGCTTGCGGGCGACTCTGTGTTGTCGTTTGTTTGGGAGCCCGTATGTGTGATTTCTGAAGGTGTCCTGAGTGGACCTCTTGTGACTGTCCACTGTGAGATATATATATTTTTCTGTTGATCAATAAATAGGAAGCACTTACGTTGTTTGCCAGCTTCTTGTGGGACTCCTGCAAGGAAACTTGAAGTGGGGTACCCCAAAACGACAACAGCTTCACCCCGGGGCTGGGGGGAAACTTTGACCCTCTAGATGTTGCTGGACTCATCCCCTCCTGCGGCTGGGGGCTCTGGGGTCTTGGAAGTCCTTCTCCTATAAAAGCATCCTCCTGCCTCCTCTATCACAAAAACAGTAAAACAAGAGATCTTTTTGAGATGTCTTCGGTACCTTTAGCTACCCTATTTCCCCGAAAATAAGACATCCCCCCAAAATAAGACCTACTTCCAGTTTTGTCTCTCTGTAATATAAGGCACCCCCCTGAAAATAAAGGGATGCGGGTGGTGCTGTGGGTTAAACCACAGTGCCTAGGACTTGCCGATCAGAAGGTCAGCGGTTCGAATCCCCGCGATGGGGTGAGCTCCCGTTGCTCGGTCCCTGCTCCTGCCAACCTAGCAGTTCGAAAGCACGTCAAAGTGCAAGTAGATAAATAGGTACCACTCTGGCGGGAAGGTAAACGGCGTTTCCGTGCGCTGCTCTGGTTTGCCAGAAGCGGCTTAGTCATGCTGGCCCCATGACCCAGAAGCTGTAGGCCGGCTCGCTGGGCCAATAAAGCAAGATGAGTGCCGCAACCCCAGAGTCATCCGCGACTGGACCTAACGGTCAGGGGTCCCTTTACCTTTACCCGAAAATAAGACCTCCCTGATAATAAGGCCTCCCCCAAACATAGGGCCTCCCCGGAATATAAGGCCCCCGAAGCTACTGTAAGGTGTCTGACTCCTCTGGACCGTAGCGGCGGGCGCCGCCACGCAGCTTACTGATTGGCCGCAGCGCAGCCGGAGCTGTTCAGGCAGTGCAAGGTCTCTTTAAATCAGAGAGCCCGCACCGCCTGCTGCTCGCTGTGCCCTGACGGAGTCTGGCTGACTCACAATTAGACAATAAATGTGTACTGTATTCTTCTTCATGGAAAAATAAGACATCCCCTGAAAATAAGACCTGGTGCATCTTTGGGAGCAAAAATTAATATAAGACACTGTCTTATTTTTGGGAAAACAGGTATCAGAAAGAGAACAAGAAGTAGCTCGTTGGCCACCAAAGGGCAGCAAGATGCATCCAAGAACATTTGTTGCGTATAGATAAGCCAACAATCACCTACCCACAATGCCTTTCTTTTAATACCACAGCCATTTGCAGGAACAGGCAAGCGAGTTCCTTCGATTCAGTTGCTGCTGTCAGGAAGGCAAAGGGACTTCCGGAAAAGGGATGTCTTTGGCGTGGTTGTGTTCAATGCTGCTTTCCCGCATTGCAGGGGGTGGAACAAGATGACCCGGGCGGGGGGTATTTCCAACTCAGTTCTATGATTCTATGGAAGATAACCACCTAGCCGCTGCTTAAATACCGCCAGCAAAGTCTGCCACTTCCCCTATTTCCTCCCTCCCTTTCCCATATCAGAGATGTCATGATTTGCCACTATTATTACACTGGGCAACAATTTTTTACTTTTTGAATGTTGTCTAGATTTCTACAACTGATTTAGGGTATTTTTGCATTGCTGAATCAGGAAACGGCATCCGTTTCTCTCCATCAGGTCAGGTTTTCTGTAAACTGAATGGTGGGCATTGATAAAGGTAAGTACACGTAAATTGCATGTTGCTTCACCATTTTTCAAACTTCAGGGCTTGAACTTCCGTTTCTTGGAACTCCAGGAATGCTCAGCAGCACGGAGGTCTCTCTTCAGAGTCCAACAGTAGTCAGCCATCATGACTACGTCCCAGCGACCCTGATACCTGGTCTCCATCTCTTTCATGTCCTGATGGAATCTCTCCCCCTGCTCGTCACTCATTGAACCCAGGTTCTCAGGAAACCAGTCCATATGTGAAAATAGGTAGTGCATCTTGACGCTCATGTTGCAGCCCAGGTTTCTGAAAGCAGTCAGCATGTTGTTGACAAGTTCTGCGTAGTTTCTGGCCTTATTGTTGCCAAGAAAGTTCTTCACTACCAGAACAAATGCCTTCCACGCTTCCAGTTCCACTTCGTTCATTGAGTTTCCGAACTCTGGATCTCTGATGAGCTGACGGATCTGAGGACCGTCAAAGATGCCAGCTTTCAACTTCTCCATGGTCAATCCTGGAAAAGCCTGGCACAAGTAAGTGAAGCAGTCACCATCCTTGTCCAGAGCCTTGGTGAACTGCTTGATTAAGCCGCGCTTGATGTGCAGCGGTGGGAAGAGTATTCTGTCTCTGTCCACCAGAGGGTCGTTGATGACGTTCCTTTCTTTGCAAGGCACCAATTCCTCCCGCACAGGCCAGTCCTTCTTCGTGTAATGCTGAGCACGGTCCCTACTATCCCACATGCACAGAAAACATGGGTACTTGGTGAAGCCAGACTGTTGTCCCAACAAAAAGTTCACCATCTTCAGGTCAACACAAATAAACCACTTATGCTGATCATAACCAATTTTCTCCAGCACATACTTCACTGCTTCATAGTTCTCCTTCAGTGTACTCGAGTGAGCCAGGGGTATAGAGGCAAACTGGTTGCTGTTGTGTAGCAGAACACATTTCAGTGATCGCTTGCTGCTGTCAATGAACAGTCTCCAATCTTTGGGTTCGTACTGTGGCACTCCAAGCTTGAGCAGAAGCTGCGCAATATCTGCACAGTACACCAAGTCCTCCTCTTCCGAGAAAATACGGAGGTGCTCTTGATGCCTGTTGCGCAAGAAGCTGATGTGAGCACTGTCAGAGAGGAGGTTTTTTTCCTTCAATCTGGATGCCAACAGTTCGGCAGAGTCCTTTGACAAGCTGAGGTCGTGAACTAGATCATTCAACTCCTTTTGGGAAAATGGATGTGGAGCATCATCTTCAAGAACCACTTCTTCTTCTTCATGTCCTTCAACACTGGAGGCATCTTCGTCACTAATGTCAGGAAGTTCTCCGAAGATAGGCACTGGAATTTCATCACAATGAGCTACAGGACGACGTGCTGATTGAAGATCAGGATACTTCGTGGGGCGGCTGCCCCATTAACTTAGTTTTGATCCCCCAACTTTATGCTTTGCTGGACCAATTTATGGAAGATTTCGAGGTTTTATGACTTCAAACTGATCCCTTTTCGACATAATCACCCAGAACTATCGGACCTGAATACTTCTTGTCATTAAAATAATCATTTCCAATCAAAACAATTATTTGACATGGCATTTTACCCCCACCAACTTCTTTTAAAATGCTCCACACAAGCGTACATGTGAACAAAAACATAAAAAAGACATGTGGCCATAGCTCAAAAACTATACCTGATTGAGCAAACCTAATGTGATTTTTGGATTCAGCGCATCAGATTCATCCTAAATCAGCTGAAAAAACGCAGACAACAAATTTGTTGTTGACCAGTGTTATTTGTTGAATTTATATACCTATCTACAACCATCATCTCTTGCCACCCTCTCCTTACTTCCCTCCAGCTTCATTTGCCCCCTGTTCCTACCACACCTTTCTTAGGCTGCTCGTTTTCCCCCCACTGTTCATTTTGCCTTGGGTCACTCTTATTTGCAGCGGTGGCTTCCAACAAAGATTAAAAATACATTAAAATGTCACACTTTAAAAATTTCCCTAAACAGCTGCCTTCAGATGTCTTCTAAATGTCAGGTATTTGTTTATTTCTTTGACATCTGATGGGAGGGCGTTCCACAGGGTGGGCGCCACTACCGAGAAGGCCCTCTGCCTGGTTCCCTGTAGCTTTGCTTCTCGCAGGGAGGGAACAGCCAGAAGGTCCTCGGAGCTGGGCCTCAGTGTCCGGGCTGAACGATGGGGGTGGAGACGCTCCTTTAGGTATACTGGGCCGAGGCTGTTTAGGGCTTTAAAGGTCAGCACCAATACTTTGAATTGTGCTCGGACACGTACTGGGAGCCAATGTAGGTCTTTCAGAACTGGTGTTATATGGTCTCGGCGGCCACTCCCAGTCACCAGTCTAGCTGCCGCATTCTGGATTAGTTGTAGTTTCTGGGTCCCCTTCAAAGGTAGCCCCACATAGAGCGCATTTCAGTAGTCCACGCAGGAGATAACTAGAACATGCACCACTCTGGCGAGACAGTCTGCGGGCAGATAAGGTCTCAGCCTGCATACCAGGTGGAGCTGGTGGGCAGCTGCCCTGGACACAGAATTGACCTGCACCTCCATGGACAGCTGTGAGTCCAGAATGACTCCCAGGCTGCACACCTGGTCCTTCAGGGGCACAGTTACCCCATTCAAGACCAGGGAGTCCTCCACACCATCCCACCCCCTGTCCCCCAAGAACAGTACTTCTGTCTTGTCAGGATTCAACCTCAATCCATTAGCCGCCATCCATCCTCCAACTGCCTCCAGGCACAAACACAGGACCTTCACTGCCTTCACTGGTTCCGATTTAAAGAGAGTAGAGCTGGGTATCATCCGCATATTGATGAACACCCAGCCCAAACCCCCTGATGATCTCTCCCAGCAGCTTCATGTAGATGTTAAAAAGCATGGGGGAGAGGACGGAACCCTGAGGCACCCCACAAGTGAGAGCCCAGGGGTCTGAACACTCATCCTCCAACACTACTTTGTGGACACGGCCCAGGAGGAAGGAATGAAACCACTGTATAACAGTACTCCCAGCTCCTCTAGACGGTCCAGAAGGATGTTATGATCGATTGCATCAAAAGCCGCTGAGAGATCCAGCAGAACTAGGAAACAGCTTTCACCTTTGTCCCTAGCCCGCCGGAGATCATCAAACAGCGCGACCAAGGCAGTTTCAGTCCCATGATGAGGCCTGAATCCCGGATGGAAGGGATCCAAATGGTCCGCATCCTCCAGGCGTGCCTGGAGTTGTTCAGCAACCACCCGCTCAGTCACTATGTCCAAGAATGGACATTTGAGACTGGGCAATAATTGCCCATATTGGCCGGGTCTGAGGATGTTTTTTAAAGAGGCGGTTTAATGACCACCTCTTTCAGAGGGTCTGGGAAGGCTTCCTCAGAGAGGGAAGCATTCACCATCCCGCAGAGCCCATTGCCCAGTCTTTTCCGGCTTGCTTTTATTAGCCAGGAAGGGCAAGGATCAAGGAGACAGGTGGTTGGTTTCACGAGTTCAAGCAGCCTGTCCACATCCCCGGGGGTAACGGATTGAAATTGATTCCATGCAACTCGACCGGGCTCTAGCACTCTCCCGCCCCGGCCCTGATCCCACAGTGGTGTTTTACATCTCCATTATGTCCAAAATTCACCATTAAACTACAAGCCAGTATTTCCAATGCAGATTTTATTGCCATTCTATTATATTTCCTCTGTGCTTGCGTCCTCCTGGTCTTGTGACTCCGGCCCTAAATTGCAAGGCAAAACCATGGGAGATGGGTGCGTGTGTGGAGTCTGCCAGCCTCGAGTCCCTGATTAGATGATGAAATAAATAAATTAAGGTCTTATGTAGATAATAATGGTTCATAAATGTACCAAGCAAACACATACATAGATATATAGGCCACATGTCTGAAGCTGCACAGGAGAGCAGCCATGGAGCCATTTTGACTCCCAGGCTGACCAGGTGTTTTCTCTGCAAGGTCAAATGGAGGAGCCTCCCCATTGTCTTTTCCTTCACAAATCCTGTCTTAAGGGTATGTCTGTGTATGAATGGGGTGAGCCTGTGACTTGACTCGGGAACTAAGTACTTATCATTACAAAAGACTGGCCAGGCTCCCCAGGGTACCAATCCAGTAAACATTAACAGGTAACTTGTCAGACAGGAGGTAAACAACCCACTCAGATTTCTGCTGTAGACCGCCCTTTCTGTGATGTAGGTATGATGTATCTGGAGGTAGTCTTGGACTCCAAGGTGGGCAATTTAAAATGCCTGTATAAGGGCGGACACACCTTTTTTTTTATTATAAGATATTTATTGAGATTTTCCAAATGTTACAATATAAAAATGAAAAAAAGAGGAAAAAAAGAAAAAATACAAAATACAAAATAAAAATGATTAAAAACCACTCAATTTTTCCATTACTTATTTTTCCTTAGCTTGTTTCCCGGACCTCCTCATACCTCCCTTTTTTGTATTCCAGTTCAATTTGTTGGTTCAGCAAATCCTTACCCTCTTTGTTTATCCTAATCTTTGGTCTTAAAATAGTAACATTAGATTTTTACCTATTAACAACCCATTTTTCATATTCCCTTAAAGCATTACAGCTGGAAACCACTTAATTTCTATCCAACATCATTCTAACATTCATTAATTTTACAATATTTCTGTAGATAGTCTTTGAATTTCTTCCAATCTTCTTCCACCGACTCTTCTCCCTGGTCTCAGATTCTGCCAGTCATTTCTGCCAGTTCCATATAGTCCATCAGCTTCATCTGCCATTCTTCCAAGGTGGGTAGATCTTGTGTCTTCCAATACTTTGCAATGAGGATTCTTGCTGCTGTTAAGGGCGGACACACCTTGGTTCCGGGTCCTCCTCCTTTCCTGCGGGTGAGGGGAGCACCCTGTTGCAACAGTTCAATAAAGATCAGGCTTACTAGCTGCTTTGCTTCTCAATATTCTCTGGTTGGCCTCGTTATTTTCTCCCACCAATAGGGAACCTACAAAGGACTCTATAAGGGCTCTTGTGTCCCCCATAAGGGAATAAGGGCAGATTTTTCGTTTATTACATGACATCCTCATCTCCATAGATGACTCCATCGTCCTTATAACAAGATGTTGGGTACGCCTTGAAGCATCGTTGGTCATTTGTCACAGATGCTAACTCTCCTGAGCCAGGAAAAGGCTTGGGATGAGGTGTGTATGGTCCACGCTCGCCGGTAACCCTTATCCATTTGCAATGGTTTTGTTTTACTGGACGGAGCCTCCGGCCACCCCGCTCTTGCCTTTGCAAAGTTGGGTTCGAGATGCGCGTTGGCTCCCTAGAGGCGCGTCATCTGATGCAAATACGCCCTGGCGGGGATTCCCCTCCCGACAAGAGGAATTGATGGCGGTGGGCGGGTCGTTTCTCGGAATTGAGATCCTGGACTAGAATCGCTTTCGGTTTCTCCCTGCTGCCTGGCGGTGGAGCGGGGCGGAGACCAGACTTGCTCTCGGAGGCGCCGCGCGGCTCCTGCGCTCGTCCCAGACCAGGTAAGACTCGGAGGGGATGGGGGAGGGGGAGAGAAGAGCATCCAGGAGAGTGGATCTTTCTTTTTACAGATAACATTTGTATTTAAGCATAATCAATTTTATACATCCCCGGGCTTCCCCCGCCTCCCCATGGCTACCAATATAGATCTTTTTTTCTTACTACTGCATCTAATTAAATTTATCCAATTTTGTTTATATCCACTTTTAACCCTACAAAATCACATTACAAGTGTTTGCCGTGATCTTTAAGGTATTCTATAAACTTTTTCCATTCCTTAAATTTCTTATCATCTTGGTATCTGATTTTCCTGGTAAATTTTGCCATTTCGGCATAGTCACCATCTTGATTATCAATTCTTCTTTGGTTGGAGTTTTCTCTTATTTCCACCCCTGGGCGAAAAGCATCCTCGCAGCTGTCGCATACATAAAGAGTCTTTTCAGGTCCTTTGGTATTTCTTCAAAGGGTGGGTCTTTACAATGGGGCAGGATCTGGGAAGGGCAGCCGACAGGAGTCCATTTGCACTTGGGCTCTCAGATAGAACTCTGCACATGCTCAAAGTGTCCCTCTTCACAAAGAGGCAGGTTCTGTGGAACGACACCCCTGTAAGGTAGACTAGTATGAGTGAAGATCGAACACACACACCACCCTTCAAAAAAAATGTATTGACCCTGACAGGGGTGCCAACTTGAATAAAATGTGGGGGGAGGGGCAGGTAAGCCCTGCCTTGCATAATCAGTTACATGATGCAATACCTCAAGGACCGCCTCTTTCCATATGGACCTACCTGGACCCTGAGATCATCTTCTGAGGCCTCCTCCTCACGATGTCCAGAGGGTGGCAACATGAGAATGGGGCCTTCTCTGCAGTGGCTCCCCGTCTGTGGAATGCTCTCTCCAGTGAAGTTTGCCTGGCACCTTCATTATACACCTTTAGGCGCCAGGCAAAAAGTTCCTTTTTAACCAGGCCTTTGGTTGCCCTGATCAGCATCCCATACCCTTTAAAATGTGGCTCTTTTTAAGGAGGTATTGTTGGGTTATTGCTTTTATTTTTAATTTATATACTGTGATCTTCTTATACGAACTGCCCTGAGACCTCCGGGAATAAGGCAGTGTGAAACTCAAAAAATTAAAATATCATGGAAAATTTCATTTATTTCAGTAATTCAACTTAAAAGGTGAAATGCTAAACCAGATGGATCAATAGGCGTCTGACTAGGTATAAAGCAGCTGAACTGAAGCACTTAACGCTGCAACATTTTGTTGCAGTACCCCGCTTTTCTTTGCCTATGGCCCACTTGCAGATCTAGTACAGTGGTACCTCGGGTTAAGTACTTAATTCGTTCTGGAGGTCCGTACTTAACCTGAAACTTAACCTGAAGCACAACTTTAGCTAATGGGGCCTCCTGCTGCCGCCGTGCCACCAGAGCACGATTTCTGTTCTCATCCTGAAGCAAAGTACTTAACCTTAAGCATTATTTCTGGGTTAGCGGAGTCTGTAAGCTGAAGCGTATGTAACCTGAGGTACCACTGTATGTTTGCTCCTTCCCCTTGCTCCCCTCTTTCATGGCTCATCTCTGCAGGCAGCTGAGACCTCATTGAAGGGAAGATGGCAGCGAACATGGAAAATTTGCCCGAACACATTCTGTTGGATATCTTGTCTCTGGTTCCAGCAAGCGACCTCATTTACAATTGCCGGCTGGTCTGCTCTCAGTGGCGGGACTTGGTAGACCTGCCAGTTCTGTGGAAGCGCAAGTTCCAGAAAAGGGACCACGACTCTTCTCCAAAGCCATTGGCTTTCTACATTTTCTCCCGCCTAAAGAAGAACTTAATCAAGAATCCTGATGGCCAAGGTATGTCCCCATTTATCTGGTAGAATAAAACGCTCCTGGACAGAAATATGAACAATAAAGCCTTTAGGAACATAGGAAGCTGCTGTACACTGAGTCCCAATATTGGTTCATCTTTCACCGTAATGGCTACACTAGGGCTGGGCAATATATCATCCAAGACCGGTTTGAAGTTCACCTGATGATATTTTTTTCATAATATTTGAGCTGGTTTTCAACATCGGGATAACTCACCAGCTAAACACTGCAATGTTATCAGCAGCTAAACCTGACAATATCACCAGCTAAACATTGCAACCTACCACAATGTCTGAAATGAGGATGGAACTATACAGAGGCGAACAGGACAATGTCCTGGCAACTGCTACTACGTAGGGGTTTGAAACAGATAAATGACAATATTATCAATTATCACACATTCTGTTTCATCTGCAGGCAAGCCAAAATGCATCCCAACAGGACTACATCCCAGCGTGGTGTAGTGGTTAAGAATGGTGGACTTGTAATCTGGTGAACCAGGTTCGCGTCTCCACTCCTCCACATGCAGCTGCTGGGTGACCTTGGGCTAGTCACACTTCTCTGATGTCTCTCAGCCTCACTCACCTCACAGACTGTTTGTTGTGGGGGAGGAAGGGAAAGGAGAATGTTAGCTGCTTTGAGACTCCTTCGGGTGGTGATAAAGCGGGATATCAAATCCAAACTCCTCTTCTTCTTCTTTTTTGGCTTTGGGCTTGGCTACCAAATGGTGGTATTCAGGACAATCCAAAGTGCGGTGGTGTGTCATAGTAAATACAGATAATCTGGGACTGCCAGACCGCCAGCAGGCCTCTTAGGAGACAGAAGAAGCAGCAGTGGCAGAAACACCTTGCCATGACTGCGGTATCTATCTGTCTGTCTGCCTGTCTATCTATCTATCTATCTATCTATCTATCTATCTACACACACACACACACACACACACACACACACACTGTACCATATGTATATAAATAATTGCATATTCTAAATAGCCAAGCACCATGTCTTTTCCAGGTGTAAGAACCGAGAGGTTACTGAACTACAGCTCCCATCCACCCCAGCAATCGAGAAATGACCCAGGATGATGGAAATGGTAGTTTAGCAACATCTGGGGGGCCAAAGTTTCCCTACATCTGCTCCTCAGAGTAGACCTGTTGGAATTAATGGACCCAAAGTAATAATGTCAGTTAACTTCAGGGTGTCTACTACTTAATCATGCAACCCAAGGGTGATAATTTAACTACGGTCATTTCTGGACTGCCTGTTTTTTGCCTCTTTATCCTGATTATTTGCCCCACATTTAAGGATACTGGCTATTTATCGAGAAAATTCATTTGTGGGGAGGTTTTATGGCATTGCATCAAGAAGTCTGATTTTGTTGTGATGCGGGTTGCTTGCACACCATCGCCAAACCAGCCTAAATCGGAGACCCTGAACTTGCCATTATGCAATTGAGTCCCTCTTGGAAACAGGGACAGTCTGAAAGTGGCCTAAGTCATTCTTGTTTTCTTTCTAACCCACGGGCTGCTTCCATGCACTCAAAGCCTCTCCCTTCATTTTCTGTCTCCCCGTCACACACGCTGCGTCAGATGGCCTGGACTCCTGGGAAATCCAGACACCTGCCGAGGGCCATTGGGAAACTGAGGAACTGTCCATAGAAGACTCAAAAAGCGTCCGTCAGATGCTCAGCCCTTATAAAATGGGCTATTTTTGGGAGAATGATGAAGATGCTCCTGTTCAGCTCTACAAATGCTTTGCTTCACGTAACAGGTGAGGAACCTATCATTGTACAAACTCAAATCCACTTAAAGATGAGGAAAGGGAGTTTTCATATGCCCCCCTCTCAATAAATATAACCCATTAAAATGCAATGGTCACTAAAGGGTTTAGCAATTTGCATCACCAAATCCTATCAAAGGAGCTGTTTTTTTTTTTGTTCTTTTTTTTTTGTATGGACTAAAGAAGTGTGTGTTGTGGGGAGTGGGGAGAGCCAAATGCTGTGGGTAAAAGGTAAAAGTCAAGGACCCTCGGATGGTTAAGTCCAGTCGCGAACGACTCTGGGGTTGCTGCGCTCCTCTCGCTTTCAGGTTGAGGGAGCCGGCGTTTGTCCACAGCTTTCTGGGTCATGTGGCTAGCAGGACTAGACTGCTTCTGGCGCAACGAAAAATCGTGACCGAAGCCAGAGCGCACGGAAACACTGTTTACCTTCCCGCCGCAGTGGTACCTATTTATCTACTTGCACTGGCGAGCTTTCGAACTGCTAGGTTGGCAGGAGCTGGGACAGAGCAATGGGAGCTCACTCCTTCGTGGGGATTCGAACTGCCGACCTTCTAATGGGCAAACCCAAGAGGCTCAGTGGTTTAGACCACAGTGCCACCCACATTCCCCAATGCTGTGGGGTAGTGATGGTGACGTGGGGGTAGTGATGGTGTTCCTTAATGTCTCAGGCCCTGCAGCAAGTCTCAGCTCATCACCTTGAAGGACGAGGGCTACTGGGATGAACTAATGGATGAAGCCAGACCCACGATGGAGGTGAAGGACTGGTGAGTGAGTGCTGGGGCGCAGGGAAGGTGGACACCCCAAACAAAGTTCTCGGCATCTGTGAGATCCCAAGGATAGAGGTGGTCAGTGAGTTGGAGGCAGAGGGGAGGGTCTGCTTGGACCTAGGCTTCAGCCCCAGGGGCAGTTGTCTAGAGGAATGAAGGCTGCCATTGGCCACCACTTCCATGGCGGCACAGAGAGGGCAGTGGTTCTCAAGGGTTTCAGTCAGGGAGCATTCCCAGTCTTAGCTGGATTGAACAAGAGACCTTCTGTATGCAAAGCAGAAGCTCTAACCACTGATCCACTGCCCATTAGGGATTGCAGTTTGTCTCCGCTTATTTAGAATGGCACCCAGTCTAAATTAGTTAGCAGATGTGTTAATCAGGAAGGCACTGGGACCCATCTTTTAGTTTTATTTTGAATGTTAACGAGACACTTCCTAATATTGAGTCTCTTCACTTCCCTGACCAAAGATACCCAGAAATATAAAAATGCCGGTACCAAGATCCAGTCCTTTTTTACTGGGGGGATGCAGGGGGGCACATATCCCTAAGGTAAACCATTGGATACCAAACCAAGAAACACCAGGACTGGTTTGATGAGAATGACAGTGAGATTGAACGCATGATTGACAAGAAAAGGAAGGCCATTCAGATCTGGCAAAGAGATAGAAACTGTGCCACTAACAATAAACCTATTCCAACGCTAAGGCTGAGGTTCAAAGAAGAACCAGAGAACTAAAAACCACCTGGTGGATAAAAAAAGCTCAAGAGATCCAGCACTTAGCTGACACTCATGATGCACAGAGTTTCTTTAAAGCCACAAAGAACATCTATGGGCCTATGCCCCCTATGCTCAGCAGACGGTACCACACTTCTAAAAGATAAAGAAGCCATTGCACTGCGCTGGAAAGAACGTTACCAACATCTCCTTAACCGCAACTCCCCTGTAGCAGCTGAGGTCCTCTCACAAATTCCACAAAAACAAGTTAGAGATGAGCTTGCAGTATCTTCAAATCTGGAGAGTTGTGTACAGCTATTAACCAAATGAAAAACAACAAAGCCAGTGGACCTGATGGGATACCTGCCGAAATCTTCAAAGTGGGTGGAATTGAACTTACACAACAACTTCACAAGCTCATTGAAAAAAATCTTCTGTATGCTGATGACAACGTAGTGTGTGCACACTCAGAGGATGACCTCAAAATCATGCTAAATATCTTTGCAGAAGCTTACGAAAAGCTTGGCCTATCACTCAACATCCAAAATCCAAAGTGCTGCACCAAGAAGTACAAAATAACCCCTCTGCAGCGCCACAAATCTAACTCAGTGGTGTAATGTTGGAAAATGTTGATCACTTCTCCTACCTAGGCAGTTATCTTTCCACAAGGGCCAACTTTAATGCTGAAATCCAGCATCGCCTGAGCTCTGCAAGTGCGGATTTCTCCCGATTGCAGTGCAGAGTGTTTAAGGACCGGGACATTCGCAGGGAAACCAAAATGCTTGTTTACAAAGCTATTGTACTACCAAGCTATTGTGAAACATAGACCACTTATAAACGCCATCTCCAACTCCTCGAAAGATTCCATCAACGGTGTCTCTGAAAAATTTTACACATCACTTGGGAAGACAGGTGAACTAATATCAGTGTACTGGAAGAAGCAAATATCACCACTGTTGAAGCAATGATTCTTAAACATCAGCTTTGTTGGACTGGTCATGTTGTATGGATGCCTGATTATCGTCTTCCAAAGCAACTACTCTATTCCGAACTTAAAAATGGAAAGTGTAATGCTGGTGGTCAATAAAAGAGGTTTAAAGACTGTCTCAATACAAATCTAAAAAAATGTAGTATAAACACTGACAACCGGGAAACACTGGCCTGCGAGTGCTCCAGTTGGAGAACAGCCTTTAAAAAAGGTGTCATGGGCTTTGAAGACACTCGCACTCAGGACGCAAGGGAGAAACATGCTAAGAGGAAGGCATGCTTGGCAAACCCTCACCGTGATCAACTCCTGCCCGGAAACCTCTGTCCCCACTGTGGAAGGACGTGTGGATCCAGAATTGGCCTCCACAGTCATTTATGGACTCATTGTTAAAACCGTGTTAATGGAAGACAATCTTACTTGGCTACGAGTGATCGCCAAAGAAGAAGAAGAAGAAGAAGATAGAAGAAGATACCCCTAAACATGTGAATCTAACGGGAGAAGTGTTGGGTGTAGTGAAGGGTTAACCTTCTGTGTCTCGAGGCTGAGAGGAGGCGCTTACAAGGGAAGTAAGCCAGGACGTGACGAAAGCAGCTTGGAATGCTGTGAGCTGAGTGAAAAGTGAAAGCAGCTTTGCTACGCAGCTGCCAAGCTGAGAGAGAAGGACGCAAAATGCAACTTGATTCAGATGGTGTTTCTTGATTGTAAATATGCTACTTTTGAGCAAATAAAGTGCTATTAGGAAAGAAGAAATGTGTGGGACTTTTTACTGCCCTTCCAACACGGACGCTGTGCAATTCTGCTAATTGCTTTACGACCTGCAGAGGAGTGCAGGGGAGCGTGCCGGACGCCAAGAATAAAGCAATAAATCTACTTAACAAGAAGAAACTAAAAAAATGTAGCTTCTTCTCTAGCACGGTGAATAGTCAGCTGTGTAATATGAAGTACAGTGGTACCTCGGGTTAAGTACTTAATTCGTTCCTGAGGTCCATACTTAACCCGAAACTGTTCTTAACCTGAAGCACCACTTTACCTAATGGGGCCTCCTGCTGCCGCACCGCCGGAGCACGATTTCTGTTCTCATCCTGAAGCAAAGTTCTTAACCCGAGGTACTATTTCTGGGTTAGCGGAGTCTGTAACCTGAACATAGCTGTCAACTTACAGATTTGAAAATAAGGGACAAGCAGCCAAAATAAGGGACCTGCAGCCTCACCTGTTCCAGGCACTCCAGTCTTCCTGTCCTCCTGCAGTCTGGTCAAACTCACACTGGTAGCTTCGAGAAGACTGTCCAACCAACTTTGTAACTAGAGGTTCAACTGAATAGAATCTGAATCACATGCACCACAAGGCCTATGCAGCCTCAACTTAAGATGGCTCCCCGGCCTGGCTTTGCACTGCAAAGTTTGCAGCAGCACGTGCAACAAAATGGCGTCCAGCATTCAAAAAACCTCTCAGCTTGCATTAACTAGCCACACACAAGGCATGCAAGCTCCACCCCCCAGTCGTTCTTAGACTTCTTATTGGGGGAGCAACACAGCCAAGCAACACGGTTGGAGCCTCCCTCCTCCCTGGCCGGCAGGGAGGGAGGGAGAGGAGCTGCTTCCTTTGAAATTTAAGGGACATCATTTAATAATAATAATAATAATAATAATAATAATAATAATTTATTATTTATACCCCGCCCATCTGGCTGAGTTTCCCCAGCCACTCTGGGCGGCTCCCAATCAGTGTTAAAAACAGTACAGCGTTACATATTAAAAACTGCCCTGAACAGGACTGCCTTAAGATGTCTTCTGAATGTCAGGTAATTATTTATCTTTTTGACATCTGATGGGAGGGCGTTCCACAGGGCAGGCGCCACTACCGAGAAGGCCCTCTGTCTGGTTCCCTGTAGCCTCACTTCTCGCAATGAGGGAACCGCCAGAAGGCCCTCGGCGCTGGATCTCAGTGTCCGGGCTGAACGATGGGGGTGGAGACGCTCCTTCAGGTATACAGGACCGAGGCCGTTTAGGGCTTTAAAGGTCAGCACCAACACTTTGAATCGTGCTCGGAAACGTACTGGGAGCCAATGCAGATCTCTCAGAACCGGTGTTATGTGGTCCCGGCGGCCACTCCCACATAAGGGACATTTAAGGGACATCCATCAATAAGGGACAGCAGGGCACTGGAATAAGGGACTGTCCCTTCAAATAAGGGACACTTTACAGCTATGAACCTGAAGCGTATGTAACTTGAAGCGTATGTAACCCGAGGTATCATGTAATACATGTTCTTTGTACTTTTGTCCATTTACTGTATTTATTTCCCCTGATTTGAACTATAACATGGTGATTTTATTGAGTCAAAATGAGAGTACCCCTAAACATTTTTTAGGAAAAAAGCACTGCCAAGATCTCTCTCAATCACCATGTTGTAGTGGAAGAAAAGTGGTGGTTGACGTGCCCAGCTGGACCTCAATTTGTCCCAGGCTCATATAATTTCTCTCTCTTCCTTCTCCCTACCAAAAACAGCTTTTCAAGTGGGTATGATTCATGCTATACACTCACCGTGAAGCTGTTGTCTGCAGACTCTGAAGTCCTTAAAGAACATCAATACAAAGAACCTTGTGTGTCAACGTGGTATCCGGTAAGCTGAGCCTGAGTAGAAAATGCAATCTTTGTTAAACTAGTGGAGGGTTGTCTATTGGGGTGAAAGGGGTCCCACCAACCTCCGTCTGCTACGATGTGCAGGCCTTCTTGTGTAAATACTTCATAAAAGATATATACCACTAGACTGTAGAAAACCTCAAAGTGTCTTACTGACAAGCAGCTCATCTGGTTGACTACCTGCGAGCTTCCTCCTCTTGTTTAACATCCGGCAAGAGGAGAATGGGGACAAAACTAAGAGGAGAATGGGGACAAAAGTAGTCTGCCTCTGTCTCTCCTTGGCTCTGACTCCCCCTACTGTTGGCTTCCCCCCTTCCGCCCCCTCCAGCCACCGCTGTGGGGAGAGAAGTTCCATCCTGGAACTTCTCCCCCAGACCCAGCAGCCTCCTCCCTTTCTCTCTCCTCTTTAGGTTTCACATACTATTTACGACTGCCCTCAAGGTGTCCGTCATATCCTCTTTGAACACAAAGTGCACCCGAAAGCCTGTCCTCCTGACCTCCTTAAGTACCTCTTCCCAGAGCAAGGCCCAAGTGAAGACAGGGAGCCACCCTGGGGTGAGATGAGGGTATTGCAAAGCAGCATCACACTTCACCCACCACTAGTGGCAGAAGAAGTGGATGACGATTACTACGACTACCACTACAGAGATTACCCCGATTCATCGGAGCATTCCAGCGGTGACGAATTGCCTTATGGGTTTTTTTACAGTGCGTCTGGTTTTGATTCGTGGTACAATTATGACTGATACAATGATGACCGCTCCTCTCCTTAACGCCATCATCCCTTCTCTCATCTGCGCTAAATTTGCACCCAGTTGTAGCTTCAATTTTGGGTGCTCTTTGCTTCTCTCAACCTGTATCTTTTGCAGATGCTCTGTTTCTACATATCTGTGATCTAGAAGCATGTCTGAATATGAAAACAAGGCAAGAGATGGGTGTGGCGTTTGCCTCCTAGGATGGGACATAAGGAAAGGGTTAAATGAGTGTGATGTGTTTGGCCAGTGGGAATGCAAGGGGAGGAGTAAAAGTTAGGAGTGGGAGGTTTTGAAAGTCAGTTGAGTTCTGGGAGTCGGAGAAGGAAGAGGGAGGAATAGGCAGTGGGTTGGTTGAATTGTATTGTGAGAGAGTGAGAGAAATTGTTAGGTGGAGTCAGATAGTTGGAATAATCAGTTTGAAGTTGTTAGAAACGTATAGGACAGCAAAGGAACTAAGATTAATAAACTGACAAGAAAAATTAACTGAAACCATACGCTTGTTCCTGCATTTAAAAGTAAACTTGATTATTTGTTAATGTTAACAACTGTCTGGACTCCATGTGTCCCCGGGAGAAACGGGTGGTGGCAGCAAAGTAAGGAATCACAGTGGTGGCACAGGGTCAGTAGACTGTCATACGTCCAGGGGCCCTGTGTGATCACCACAATGGGCTGGCTAGGAGGCTGGTGAAAACTGACTCTCTATTTTTTATTTTTTAAGTGAGATGGTTTTGGGATAGCAAGGGGTCCTCTTCTCCCACCCCCATTGGATAGGGCACGTCCAACCTGAACTTCTTTACTGCAGATCATGGCATCAGTGACACTGGCATAGATGGATCTAAAAAGAGACCCCCTATTTTAACCCTGTGTGTTGATCCAAAGGTGAACAGTTCCAGAAACTCTGCTAATGCCATCTTAATTGGGAAACACTGACCTGCGAGCTCTCCACTTGGAAATCAGCCTTTACCAAAAGTTTCATGGGCTTTGAAGACACTTGAACTCGGGACGCGAAATATGACCTGGATTCAGGAACTAATTAACCATCAAAAAGAATGGCCAGGCTGCCCGGGTAATCCAGTCAGTGACCATTAATAGGTTTCCTGCAAGACAGGATTCTGCTGTAGACCGCCCCTTCTGTAATGTATGTATGATGTATTGCGGGGTGGTCTTAAGCTTACAGGGTGGCAATTTCAAAAAGTCTATATAAGGGCTTGCATACCATTGTTCTGGGTTCCTCTTCCCTCCTGCGTGTGGTGAGTGGGGACCCTGTTGCAACAGTTGAATAAAGATCAGGCTTACTAGCTGCTTTGCTTCTCAATATTCTCTGGTTGGCCTCTGTTATTTTCTCCTACCGGTAGGGAACCCACTTAAGGACTCTATACGGGCTCTTGGATACCCCATAAGGGAAAAAGGGCAGATTTTGTTTACAACACCAGCACTGCGATGCTAAGTGTGAGATAGATGTGGGACAGAAGCCCCAGTACAATGCATGAACAATGAAAAGGACTTTGTTGGGCTGAAGTTCTTTAAGTTGCAGTTCCTAGCTGGGGGTAGGGGTGGATACTGGGTTTTTATTTTATTTTTTAAAAGCCTCCACATTTGAAGCCTCTGTTATAACAATTTTAAGGCCTCAGATATAGAATAAATGTATATATGGAAGTGAGAGCTGGACCATAAAGAAGGCTGATCACTGAAGAATTGATGCTTTTGAATTATGGTGCTGGAGGAGACTCTTGAGAGTCCCATGGACTGCAAGAAGATCAAACCTATCCATTCTGAAGGAAATCAGCCCTGAGTGCTCACTGGAAGGACAGATCCTGAAGCTGAGGCTCCAATACTTTGGCCACCTCATGAGAAGAGAAGACTCCCTGGAAAAGACCCTGATGTTGGTGTGATAATAATTTTAAGGTCTTGGATATATCTTAAATGTTCATAAATGTACCAACCAAGCACCTACATAGATCAGCACAGGAAACCCGACCTGAAACCATTTTTGATTCCCAAACTGACCAAATCTTTTCTCTGCAACGTCAAAGGAAAATGGAAAAGCCTCCCCATTGTCTTTTCCTTCACAAATCCTGTCTTAAGGATATGTCTGTCTGTGTTTGAATAGGGTGAGCCTGTGACCTTGCTCGGGAACTAAGTACACTGGTACCTCGGGTTAAGTACTTAATTCGTTCTGGAGGTCCGTTCTTAACCTGAAACTGTTCTTAACCTGAAGCACCACTTTAGCTAATGGGGCCTCCTGCTGCTGCTGCACCGCCGGAGCACGATTTCTGTTCTCATCCTGAAGCAAAGTTCTTAACCTGAGGTACTATTTCTGGGTTAGTGGAGTCTGTAACATGAAGCGTCTGTAACCTGAGGTACCACTGTATATGTGTTTGCCTTGTACAGTTATGAATATATATATATATATATATATATATATATATATATATATGACCTTAAAATTCTTATAACAATATAGGAAGATATACAGTGACTTCTGGTGCCCATAGAGAGTGATATGGTGACAGGCACAGAGGTCAGCAGTAGGTGGCACCAGAAGCGGCTATAGGCAGTGTTGACCGATTGCAGTTTTGGTCCCATCATCCTCCCTGATGAGATTTACTAGGAGAAGCATCTAGACCAAGGAGGAGGAAGGCGACAGATAACTCCACCCCCCTGGCCCACTTAAAAGCTAGAAAGCGGGCACACTGAGAGGTTGGGGGTGCCCCACTTCCCCTCATTGACCACCCACCGCTGCTTGTTTGTATGTACTCCTTTTCTCAGGCACCTGCTGTCTCCCCCCACCCCATCATAAAAAACCCCCAGCCCCTGTTTCCACCTCCCTTGCTCTCCCTCCAACACCTTCCTTCTGGGCTGCCTCCGCCTCCTTTCCTTTCATGTTTAGGTGATAAGGTAAAGGTAAAGGGACCCCTGACCATTAGGTCCAGTCGTGACCGACTCTGGGGTTGCAACATTCATCTCGCTTTACTGGCCGAGGGAGCCGGTGTACAGCTTCTGGGTCGTGTGGCCAGCATGACTAAGCCGCTTCTGGCGAACCAGAGCAGCGCACGGAAATGCCGTTTACCTTCCCGCCGGAGCGGTACCTATTTCTCTACTTGCACTGGTGTGCTTTCGAACTGCTAGGTTGGCAGGAGCAGGGACCGAGCAACGGGAGCTCACCCCGTTGCGGGGATTCAAACCGCCGACCTTCTGATTGGCAAGTCGTAGGCTCTGTGGTTTAACCCAGAGCGCCACCCGCGTCCCTGTGCCACCTGTGTCCCTGCGTTTAGGTGATACACCGTTGCTAATCTGAGCAGGAGGTTTCTGGAATCATGCAAATAGGTGTTTGAACAGGTTTTTTTTATTACTTGTATATGCATTCTCCTGCCTCCACTATCACAAAACAGCAAAACAGAGATCTTTTTGAGATGTGCCAAAACAGTCTCTGCATTTCTTTTTCCAGCGAAAGGAGCAAACACAAGACAAGAACAGGCACTTTAAGCAGCAAAGTAGCGAGAAAGGCTGCCCACTGCTGGTGAGGAGGAGGGCATGATTTTAACTGTCTCCACACACCTGTGGAAAAGAAATGTTAGCAGACAGACGTTAAGACCCTGAAAACAGGTTTGCCCCTCCTGGAGAAAAAGCTTTACAATGGGACATGCCGATCTTAATAGAGCCATAAGGGCAGGAGTCTTAGGTTGGGCTGAAGCTAAGGCCTCTCCCCACACAACTGCCCCCTACCCAGGTTGGGGGTACTATTCGTTCTCTAAACAAAAACCAGCACAATTCAGGTACCAGATTCCATTCTTCCCTCTGTGTGGCGCCCGATCAGAGCCTGAAGGCACAAAACTCCTGGTATCAGATGAAAAGTCCATCCAGCTCTAACTTCCCACAGCAGGGAACCAGATTCCTCCCATTTGCTGCTATTTTGGCCCAGCGAGAAGTATTTGGAGGTAGACTGCGTCTAAAGCTGGAGGTTCCATTTGTTTTGTCATTGCAGCTGATGCATCCATTCATAGAATTCACCACCATAAAGTTGGTCTGACTTGCTCTCTAAAGCCAGAGGACATGACCACATCCTTGCAATAACCAGTGATCCGGAAATCCTGGCCCAACCCACCACCTTGTGGAACAAACCCACTACATCGCTGCTTGCAGCCTAGCCAGGAATAGCAGAGAACACCTGAAAGTTGGGTTTGCATACAGACATACAGGGAAATGGAGAGAAGGATCCAGCTTGCCATCTGCCCAGCCACCAATACAAACCGACGACATCACCTTAGGCAGAGTCAGACCACCAGATCCATGCAGCTTGGCGCTGTCTACACTGACTGGCAATGGATCTCCAGGGTCTCGGGCAGGGAGCGCCCCCAGCTCTACCCGGAGGTGCCAGAGATCCCTTCTGCGTACAGAGCAAGGGCTCCCTCAATGAGCAACTGCCTCCCCATAAAAATTAGAAGACGCTAGCCCTCATGATTAGAATAAGGTAAAGGTAAAGGGACCCCTGACCATTAGGTCCAGTCGCGAACGACTCTGGGGTTGTGGCACTCATCTCGCTTTATTGGCCGAGGGAGCCGGCGTACAGCTTCTGGGTCATGTGGCCAGCAGGACTAAGCCATGAACCAGAGCAGCGCACGGAAACGCCGTTTACCTTCCTGCCAGAGCGGTACCTATTTATCTACTTGCACTTTGACGTGCTTTCGAACTGCTAGGTTGGCAGGAGCAGGGACCGAGCAACAGGAGCTCACCCCGTCACGGGGATTCGAACTGCCAACCTTCTGATCGGCAAGTCCTAGGCTCTGTGGTTTAACCCACAGCGCCACCCGTGTCCCTCATGATTAGAATAAAGAACTGGTTTAAACAGGAAGGTGCCTTTTCCTGTTGGTCCATCTAGGTCAGTGCTTCCTACACTGACTGGCAGTGGCTCTCTGGGCTTCAGGCAGGAGTTTTCCCCAGCCTTACCTGAACAGGTGTGCTCCTACAGAACTACTGCATCTCCCTTGCAGGCCTGCCTCCAAATTGATGGGGCTGTTTCCCCTCTTCTCTGCCTACCTCCCCCCACCACTAAAAATCCCCCAACTTTCTTTTAAGCTGGCTGATAACTTTCTTTTTCAAGTGTGGGCATTTATTTGGTCCTCTGGGATATATTTTTAAAATAAAAAAACTGGCTTTATGACCGACATAAACGCCAACTCTGCTCTCAAGACGTAAAGGAACTGCGGACACACAGGCCAGCCAATCAGCGCTGCACACAGCCATGACCGACACAAGGGCTAGCCAATCAGCGCTGCGAGAGCCAGCTTGCTCTAAATAAACTGCCAAAAACAGGTTGTCTTCAAAAAAAGGGATCCTTCTCAAGGGCGGGGATGGAAGAGGATTACCAGCTGTGCAAATTTAAAGGGGAGAGGAAGGGATGCTTCGCCCATCAAGCATGCGAAAGAAAGAAAGTGCGGAAAAGGGAGGTTTTATAGATATATGTATATATGTCTCTCTAAAAAATCCAGCCAAGCCTCTCCACGCCACGAGCTTTCACTCTGCCACCTCTGGCTCAATGGTTATGCTGCTGTTGGTGACTCTGATGCCGTACCAGCCAGCCCAACACTGGGTGTCCCTGCCTCCGTGGTGAAGGATGACGTGGCGGACTCCACGAGGGTAATCGTGAAACGTGTGCGAGACCTGGAGAGAGAGATGGAATAATAATAATAGTAATTTTTTATTTATACCCCGCCCATCTAGCTGAGCTTCCCCAGCCACTCTGGGCGGCTCCCAATCAAGTATTAAAAACAGTACAGCATTAAATATTAAAAACTTCCCTAAACAGGGCTGCCTTCAGATGTCTTTTAAAGATAGGATAGCTGCTTATTTCCTTCACATCTGAAGGGAGGGTGTTCCACAGGGTGGGCGCCACTACCGAGGAGGCCCTCTGTCTGGTTCCCTGTAACCTCACTTCTCGCAATGAGAGAACCGCCAGAAGGCCCTCAGAGCTGGATCTCAGTGTCCGGGCTGAACGATGGGGATGGAGACGCTCCTTCAGGTATACAAGAACGAGGCCATTTAGGGCTTTCAAGGTCAGCAACAACACTTTGAATTGTGCTCAGAAACGTACTGGGAGCCAATGCAGATCTCTCAGGACCGGTGTTATGTGGTCCCGGCGGCCACTCCCAGTCACCAGTCTAACTACCGCATTCTGGATTAATTGCAGTTTCTGGGTCACCTTCAAAGGTAGCCCCACATAGAGCGCATTGCAGTAGTTCAAGCGGGAGATAACTAGAGCATGCACACTCTGGCGAGACAGTTTGCGGGCAAGTAGGGTCTTAGCCTGCATACCAGGTAGAGCTGGTAGACAGCCGCCCTGGACACAGAATCAACCTGCGCCTCCATGGACAGCTGTGAGTCCAAAATGACTTCCAGGCTGCGCAGAGGAAGAGGTTTGGATGCTGTGAAGTTTCTGGGCCTGATCGCATCATAAGGCCACCTTTGCGGGATAAAGAAGCAAAAGGTCCGAACATCCCAGCGTCCTGTTCTCCAGGTAGCCAATCGGATGTCGCGACATCAGGAGCCTCGCAAGGCACAGAGGCAGCAGCCCTCTGCTGATCTTTTAAGGCTGTAGACCTGCTCAGAGTAGACCTACCAAAGTTACCTGACCACTGCAGTCCATGGGCAAGATTACTGCAATGCGCTCTACGTGGGGCTGCCCTTGTGGGTGGTTCGGAAACTCCAGCTGGTGCAGAATGCTGCGGCCAGATTGCTGATGGGTCAAGACCACATGACACCGTTGTTAAAGCATCTCCCCTGCCTGCCTGTCTACTGCCAAGCCAGGTTCAAGTTCCTTGCACTAATTTACAAAGCCTTGAACAACTTTAGGTCCAGGCTACCTCAGGCATCACCTGAACCCTTATCTCCCGGCTCGATCACTGACATCCTCTGCAGGAGCGTTATTTGACAACTCACTTGACAACAAGAAAGCGAGCCTTTCGTGTCATCGGCCCAGTCCTGTGGAACTCTCTGCCACTAGAGGTTTGGCAGGTGCGCCTTTTGTGCCGACGTTTAGACGCCTGCTGAACTTTTCTATTCCTCCAGGCCTATGCAGATTTTAAGAATACATTTTTCCAGAGTTTCTGATTTTAACTACAGTGGTACCTCTGGTTACGGATTTGTTTCGGGGTGCTGTGCGCAACCCAAAAAATCCGTAACTAGAGGCACAGCTTCTGTGCACACACATGGCACGATAGAGCGCTTCTGCGCATGCATGAGCGGCGAAACCTGGAAGTGTTTCCAGGTTTGCGGCAGCCATAACCCAAAGATTCCATAACCTGCAGGTTACACAACACGAGGTACCACTGTATATGGTTTTCTATATGTTTTTAAGCCACTCTGGTGGGGTTTTTTATTTCAAACGAATAGTGGTCTACAAATATATTTCTATAAATAAATCAACTGGTGTACTTGAATATCAGTTAATGGAAATCATAGGTAGGGAGATCGCTGTTTCTGCCCTCGAACTGGCCACTTTGTAGGATGCTGGACTACACGAGCCCCACGAGGACCAGAAACCGGAAAAAAACAAATGCCCAGCTTGCGGTTGTGCTCTGGGGGAAGGCAGAGTCATGCCACGCCCACCCCTTTCCCCTGCCCCACCCTGATGCCTTCACCTCGTGCCATGTTGCATCGCTCCACGGTTCAATGACCACGTCTTCGGGGTGAAATTCTTGCAGGACAATGTAGTCTGCGGAAAGAAGCTCCACCCGGAGCTGGTAGTGACAGCCGCAGTCGTGTCGGGCGGCATACCTAGGATGCGGAACACGAGGAATAGAAGGATGTCACAACTGGACAGGTGGGCGCAGACCCCAGCTCTAACCTTGCGTCTTTGCAGCATCCAGGGCCGGATTTAGGTTTGATGAGGACCTAAGCTACTGAAGGTAATGGGGCCCTTTCTATGTCCAGCTGTCCTTTGTCAACAACAAATTGCCACTGTTTTTTTGTGTTGAATATATGCTATATGGTAATTTATGGACCTAAAGCCATTTGCACATAACAAAAGATGTACATCATAGGAACCTACACAACACAAAACACTGTTGCTGTATGTAGGTTTTATTTTATTTGTTTTTTATCTTATATTTTGGAAATGTACATCCAGGTTTTTTTACTTTAAATTTTTTGGGGGCCCCAAGAGAGTGGGGTCCTAAGCTAGAGCTTGTTTAGCTTATACGTAAATCTGGCACTGGAGGTCGGTAGTGCGGTGTCAAATTTGGAAGTTCTGGGGCCCTTCCTTCAAGGCCACCCTACCTGCTCACAGCCACACACCTGCAATTATCTTATAATTATATAATACTAATAACAAGGGAATGGGACGCAGGTGGCACTGTGGGTTAAACCACAGAGCCTAAGACTTGCTGATCAGAAGGTCGGCGGTTCGAATCCCCGCGACGGGGTGAGCTCCCTTTGCTCGGTCCCTGCTCCTGCCAACCTAGCAGTTCCAAAGCACATCTAAGTGCAAGTAGATAAATAGGTACCGCTCCAGCGGGATGGTAAACGGCGTTTCTGTGCACTGCTCTGGTTCGCCAGAGGCGGCTTAGTCATGCTGGCCACATGACCCGGAAGCTGTACACCGGCTCCCTCGGCTAGTAAAGAGAGATGAGCGCCGCAACCCCAGAGTCGGCCATGACTGGACCTAATGGTCAGGGGTCCCTTTATCTTTATCTTTACCTTTACCTTTAATAACGAGGGATGCATTGCAACTATCAGTGCAGATCTCCACAAGTTGCCTGGATCTACTACTTTCACAGGCAAATGATTGGGAGTGCTGCACTATCAATTTTCAAGGTGACTTTAGAAGTTCCACTGTACGTAATAAAAGCTTGCACACCATACCCTTGAAACCTTGCATTTCAGTGCTCCTAAATGCTGAGCTTTTTTTCTTTTGTAAATTTATTTATTTTCCAGAGTTACATTTCCACAATTAAAAACAAAAGTTAACTCACGTTTCTACCAGATCTGGATTTATACAGATACATTTTCACGAACCTTCTCTTTGAGATTCTTTGAATCTCTAGACTTCCCTGCATACCCTCTTCTGGCTCCTTATATAAACAAAATTCTGCTGCATTTCCATATTTAGGTAAAGGGTAAAGGGCCCTGACCATTAGGTCCCGTCGTGGCCAAATCTGGGGTTGCAGCGCTCATCTCGCTTTATTGGCCGAGGGAGCCGGTGTACAGCTTCCAGGTCATGTGGTCAGCATGACTAAGCCGCTTCTGGCGAACCAGAGCAGCGCACGGAAACGCCCTTTACCTTCCTGCTGGAGCGGTACCTATTTATCTACTTGCAGTTTGACGTGATTTCAAACTGCTAGGTTGGCAGGAGCTGGGACCGAGCAACAGGAGCTCACCCCGTCGCGGGGATTCGAACTGCCGACCTTCTGATCGGCAAGTCCTAGGCTCTGTGGTTTAACCCACAGCGCTACCCGCGTCCCATTTCCATACTTATCCAATTATTATTTCCCTTAATTTTATCTAATCTTCTACTAGTTGCAAGTGTTCACTTAAAATCCTGCCACTGTATCAACCTGTTTACAGTTTATAGCTTGTTTATAGCTTTGAAGCACACAGAACAACTCGTTTCCCACATGCCTTCTCCAGAGGGACCCTAGGAGCCCGTTCTCAGTGGCCGACTTGCCTCTTTTCACTCCAATTGGCTCCCGTTGGCACAAAGGGTTAGAAGACTCCTTCTCAGTGGCTAAAAAGCTCCACTTTTGTGCAGATTGGTTAGCTCTGGGATGCTGGAGGCAGAAACCCCACTGCAGAAATAGTATCTAGCCCCAGGGCCACTACCCCATTGCAGGAGATTAACAGTGAACATACCTTTGCAAATAGTTACCCCTGCAAGGAATTAAGTGTGCCTCATTCTATAGCAAATAAAGTGGGCTTTCAGTGCTGTTACCCCTTCCTGCCGTTTTTGTGCCCTCCTTTCTCTGAGTTCTCTCCTCCCGCCCACCCCAATTTACTTACCAATCCTTCACCACAATAGCTGGCTTGACCTCGTCCATCAGCTCATCCCAGTAGCCATGATTCTTTAAGGTAACAAGCTGGTTTTTGAGGCAGAGCCTGCAAAGGCACATTGGAGGTGTTCAAAAGTACCAGTGGTTCAAAAGGGGGGGCAGGGAGTCCGTGTGGCAGGGAGGAGAGGTTTGCAACAAGCAAACAAACACCTTCAGAGTCACTTTCTTGAGAGGGAGGGAGACCACACCCCTGAGATTCCCGTTGGGCCATTTTGATCTCTTCTCCATGGGGCCATAATAATAATAATAATAATAATAATAATAATAATAATATTTGTACCCTGCCCATCTGGCTGGGTTTCCCCAGCCACTCTGGGCGGCTTCCAGCAAAGATTAAAAATACATCAAAATGTCACACATTAAAAACTTCCCTGAACGGGGCTGCCTTCAGATGTCTTCTAAATGTCAGGTAGTTGTATCTCTTTGACATCTGATGGGAGCGCGTTCTACAGGGCGGGTGCCACCACCGAGAAGACCCTCTGCCTGGTTCCCTGTAACCTCACTTCTCTCAGGGAGGGAACTGCCAGGAGGCCCTCGGCGCTGGACCTCAGTGTCCGGGCAGAACGATGGGGGTAGAGACGCTCCTTCAGGTAGACTGGGCTGAGGCCGTATGCCAATGCTTTTCTTGTAGGGGGAAAAAGTGCCGGTATTCACCAGCAAGTGGGGCAGTGCATGGGGGCGGGGCGTAGCCTGATGCCAAGGCTGGACAGTGAGGGCGGGTTAGCTGCTTGGTGCTCCTGCCCATGGGAAGAGGCCTCCCCTGCCTGGCTTTGGGAAGGAGGCAGCAGGGCTCTAAAATCCTGTCAGAGCATCGTGCTTCCTTCTCAAAGCTGGGCAAGCGCTTCCCCAGGCTTGGAGAAGTATGCATAATACTCTGACAGGAATTTGGAGCCCTCCAGTCTCCCCTGCAAAAGGTGGCAGTACTGCATACCGCCAGAGAAAAAGCTCTTGGAAACAGCTAAGGATTTTCTCCGCATGGTGTCTTCCGGAGCTGAGCCGAAGCACTGGAAACAGCCTCTGGGACTGGAAAGTCTCAGCGCAAATTTAATAATAATAATAATACATTTTTTATTTATACCCCGCCCTTCCCGGTTCAAAAACCGGGCTCAGGGCAGCTAACAACAAATTTAAAACACTTAATTGTAAAAACAGCATAAAATACAGTATAAAAACATGAATAACAATAAAATTCAAAATTCAGAAATCAATTTAGGGGAAATAAGCATTAGATAATCCCCAGGGCTAGCTGGGCCCTACTTGGGCCAGCAAGGAGGCCGGAGGAGAATTAGCTGTGGGGTCTCAGAGCGGGTGATCTTCATAAAAGGGGAGGGGGGGAAAGAAAAGGGAAATAGAAGATCAGGCTGAATTCAAATTAAATTTAAGGGGGGACAGAAGGACTAATGGGGCAAACAAACGCGTCAACCCAATTTTACGGGAGGAATGAGGAAGCTGCGTCGCTCTGGGACACAATTCTCATCATCTCCAGTCATCGGCTCTGCTGGCTGAGGGGGGAGGTCTAAAATATCCTGAAGGCCACAGGTTCACCATATTTGAACTGTTACTTGTCTTTGCTGCCCCTAGCTAACACCGTCAGAACTCTGCTTCCTTTTAATGCTGAGCTGGAGAAGCTCCAGATGTTGTATGACAACATCTCCCATTATCTCATGCTGACTGGGGCTGATGGGAGTCCTGGACGGCTACAGGTTCCTCATCCCTGAACTCCATCACTTGCCTTTACTGCCCCTGGCTACCACCATAACTGTCAGTTTGCATTTCTTAGTGCAAAAAGCATTGCTCTGATATGTAGAGATCTTTCCTATTCTACTTATTCTGGAAGCTTTGTAGTGAACAGGTGGGATTGCTATGAGGAATTATAACAAATATAGAGTAAACCATCTGTGTCAGCAATGAAAGCATTGCGTTGACTGGGTTTAAACTATTTTGATATGATTTTTGATCATTCCAAACCTCTGCATCCCTCTTCCATTTCTCTTTCTTGACCAGTCACATACACTGCCAGTTGCTTTGCCAGGCATGCCTCCTGGGCCATAAAGAAAGTGGGCAAGTTTCTTTGATGCAGCTTTTCTGATATGTTAATCTTAGGATGTTAATCTTAGGGAAGGTGATAATGATCGCTGTCTTCCTGGCCATCCTTCTTATCAAGTGTATTGCTTGTTCATGACCTCAGGAGTTGCCAAATGCACTCCTTTGTAGTTCTGTTTTGTTTACCCCAGAAATATGTGTGCTTAATTAGTTTTGGTAGTTTAACTTTGTCCCCACTTGGGGTTTGTTGAAATGCTCAGAAGATATCTGATTGGTTCTTACGAACATTCTGAAAAAAGTTCTTTTGTGAATAAAACGACCTGGGCTAGAGGGTGGAGACAGAGATTATTATACGCACCCTTCCCAGAGTCTTGCTGGTTCAAGCCTCTGTGTGTATTCTTATTAATCAGAGTTCAATCCTTCCTTTGCTTTGGGTACGCCTCAAGCTTCTCCGTGTGACAGAAACAAGCAGAAGGTTCATGATCTTTGGGTTATTCCTTCAGAGAAGCTGAGTACAGCTGGCTTAAACTGGTTCTGTTATCACTTTCAGTCAAGGTCATGCTGTCTATAAAAGTAGGGCCAGAAGGAGCTTGGGTTTCACTTCCTATTCCGATCTCTTTTCCTTCTGGTGTGGTGTTCTGCACATAGTATGCTTAGTGTTATTCTAAGTTATTGTAAGTTACTTCTGCTACAACTGGATTTCTTATGGACAGTGCCAATCCTGTATGTATTTTATTTGTGACCATTATGCTCATTTGCCTTCAGTAGCAGTAAAGCTCTGCTGGATGAAATACAATTGCCTCTGGTCTATTTTTTGGGAATCTTGCAACGTTTAAGTTTTTACTTTGCTAACTATGTCGGAGTTCTGCTCTGGATCAATATTGAGTAGAATTCCATGACAATAACCACTCTGCCTTCTTTTAACTGAAATAAAAAAATTAAGGTCTTATGTATATAATAAAGGTTCATAAATGTACCAAGCAAACACGTACATAAATATATAAACCACATGTCTGAAGCTGCACAGGAGAACAGCCATGTTGCCATTTTGACTCCCAAACTGGCCAGGTGTTTTTTTTCTGCAAAGTCAAATGGAAAAGCCTCCCCGTTGTCTTTTCCTTCACAAATCCTGTCTTATCTGTATATGAATAGGGTGAGCCTGTGATCTGGCTCAGGAACTAAGTATTTATCATTACAAAAGATTGGCCAGGCTCCCCAGGGAATCAATCCAGTAAGCATTAACAGGTAATCTGCCAGACAGGAGATAAACAACGACAGGAGGTAAACAAAGCACTCAGATTTCTGCTGTAGACCTCCCTTTCCGTGATGTAGGTATGATGTATCTGGGGGGTGGTCTGAAGCTACACCCCTTCTGTGATGTATGTATGATGTTTCTGGGGGTGGTCTTGGACTCCAGGGCTGGCAATTTAAAATGTCTATATAAGGGGGGACACACCTTGGTTCTGGGTCCTCCTCCTTCTCCTGTGTGTGAAGGGGGCACCCTGTTGCAACTGTTCAATAAAGATCAGGCTTACAAGCCGCTTTGCTTCTCAATATTCTCTGGTTGGCCTCTGTTCTTTCCTCTGACCGATGGAGAACCTACAAAGGACTCTATAAGGGCTCTTGTGTCCCCCGTAAGGGAATAAGGGCAGATTTTTGTTTATTACATAACACAGAGATGAGAGACCTGTGGCCCTCTAGGTGTTGCTGGACTCTGACTCCCATCATCCTGGAGCATGGCTACTAGAAGCCCAACAACGTCTCAAAGCCACAGATTCCCCACCAACATCTGACAGGCAGCCACGATGACCCTACCTCCTGCTCTCTTTGGCAACCAGACAACAAGGCCAATCTGATCTCACCTTTCAGCATGGGTTACTTCCAATACTAGTCCTACTCAGAGTAGACCCACTGCAGTCAAGGGACATGACTGACTATGGTCCATTTCCCCCCTCAATGGGTCAATTCTCGAATGGAACATTGTCGGTATCTGGATGAAAACTGGTGCACCCTAGGAATCTCATTTCATTTTAAAAATAAATAAAAAATGGAAGTTACTAGTCCTCGAGACTGATTTAGGTCCAGGAATTTCAGCTGGCCTGTCTCTCAGTAGGACTTGGCTGGAGACAACCCAGAGGGTGGCATCTGGGTGCAAACTGGCATACCCGAAAAGGAAGAAGTTTGTCAGGTACAACGCTAAGATCTTTCACGTAAGACCCACAATCCTCACCCGTAAGATGTCACGAAGTATTTGCGGACGTGCGGGTCAGGAAATTCCCTCCCATGGTGTCCAGGAAGGTCCTCAATCTTCCACTTGTCCCCTCCATTCTGTTCAATTTTCCAGGAGTTGAAGCCCGCTGTAGGGGAAAGCAGAAAGAGAAGATATAATGAAAGCAGAGGACACCATCACTGTCCAATTGGCAGTGACCTTTTCCAAGTCCCTTGACAAGTACACAGAGCTGAAGGAGGAAACTGAAAGAGAGGCACTCATTTCCACTTCCTCTTTCAGCTGGATGTGCTTTTCAAGGCTCTGAATTGCTCTGACCGCTCTTGGCATTTTACCAGATCCTTCCATAGCTCAGTCAGCAGAGCATGAGACTCTTTAACCTCAGGGTTGTGGGTTCGAGCCCCACGTGGGGCGAAAGATTCCCTCATTGCAGCGGGTTTAACAAGATAACCCTTGTGGTCCATAGCTGTCAACTTTCAGATTTGAAAATAAGGGATCAGCAGCCTCGAAAATAAGGGATCAGCAGCCTCACGTGTCCCGGGGACAGTCTACGGGATATCTAACAATCCGGGATAGCAGCGGGAAGCAGCGCTGGAATAAGGGAATTTCCCACAGAAAAAGGGAATGTTGACAGCTATGTCGTGGTCCCTTCCAAGTCTACCATTCTATGATTCCATGACAGTGATCACTACGGCTGTTCTTTTCTCTTTATTTTTCGCCCATTGTTTTTTATTGAGTTTCAAAGGTTTTCAACAATCTGACACCGTGACAGAAACCAGAGCGCACGGAAACGCTGTTTACCTTCCCACCAAAGCGGTACCTATTTATCTACTTGCACTGGCGTGCTTTCGAACTGCTAGGTTGGCAGGAGCTGGGACAGAGCAACAGGAGCTCGCTCCGTCGTGGGGATTCGAACCGCCGATCTTCTGTTCGGCAAGCCCAAGAGGCTCGGTGGTTTAGACCACAGCGCCACCCGCCTCCTTTTTACATCCCATCCAGGGACAAACGCTCAGGTCGGGAAGCAGGGAGGGCGAAGGGTGTGGCTTGTGGAGAAGGGGGCGTGGCTCGCAAAATTCCTGAGGGCCAGACAGAAAGGCCTCGAGGGCCGCATCCCATCCTCCAGATTTTTGAGGCCCAGCTCAACGCCACCCACACCCCACCAACGTTTGAAGGAAGGGTGCTCCAAATCAGCTCGAAATCTGCGCCAAATACTACTACTACTACTACTACTACTACTACTACTACTACTACTAATAATTTATTTATACCCCGCCCATCTGGCTGGGTTTCCCCAGCCACTCTGGGCGGCTTCCAACAAAACACTAAAATACAATAACCTTTTAAACATTAAAAGCTTCCCTAAACAGGGCTGCCTAAAGATGCCTTCTAAAAGTTTGGTAGTTATTTTTCTCTTTGACATCTGATGGGAGGGTGTTCCACGGGGCAGGTGCCACTACCAAAAAGGCCCTCTGCCTGGTTCCCTGTAACTTAGCTTCTTGTAGTGAGGGAACTGGCAGAAGGCCCTCAGAGCTGGACCTCAGGGTCCGGGTAGAACGATGGAGGTGGAGACGCTCCTTCAGATATACTGGACCGAGGCCGTTTAGGGCTTTAAAGGTCAGCACCAACACTTTGAATTGTGCTCGGAAACATACTGGGAGCCAGTGTAGGTCTTTCAAGACCGGTGTTATATGGTCTCGGTGGCCACTCCCAGTCAGCAGTCTTGCTGCCGTATTCTGGATTAGTTGTAGTTTCCGGGTCACCTTCAAATGTAGCCCCACATAGAGCGCATTGCAGTAGTTCAAGTGGGCGATAAACAGAGCATGCACTACTCTGGCGAGACAGTCTGCGGACAGGGAGGGTCTCAGCCTGCGTACCAGATGGAGTTGGTAAACAGCTGCCCTGGACACAGAATTGACCTGCGCCTCCATGGACAGCTGTGAGTCCAAAATGACTCCCAGGCTGCGCACCTGGTCCTTCAGGGGCACAGTTACCCCATTCAGGACCAGGGAGTCCTCCACACCAGCCCACCCCCTGTCCCCCAAGAACAGTACTTCTGTCTTGACAAGACAAGAACAAACCTTCGGCACAAGGGTTCTGAATTAAGTTCTTCCGCAGGGTGGAGAGGAAGTAGAATATCTTCCAGTCGGGAACGTTCCTATCCGGCGCACGGGGGTGGAACCCTTCAAGGTGACACTTTCGCTTCCACAGCGAAGGGAGGTCCACCACGTTGCGCCACAGCAAGCAAACGAGGCGGCAGCGGAGAACCAGCTCCCTGGCGGGGACCAGGCACAGCACATCGATCAGGATGTCTTCCGGCAAATCTCCGATGCTCACCATCTTACTCTGGGGTGTTCTCAGCTGTCTGCAAAAAAGGAAAAAAATAATAAATCGGTAAAAGAGCTGTTGAGGGAAGGGCCACATTTATTTATTTATTTTTGAAATCATTTTTCTTTGAATATAAAATCATAACATACACATACAACCATACACATCAACGATTAAAAGATTCCTCTGAATCTCCGGACTTCACCTCCATGGGCCCTATTGTTAAACCTTTCCTACTGCATCTTTTTCAATAGTCCCACGTTTTAAAGAACTCCATAGTACTTGCTAGGTTACAAGTGTTATCGCAATTCTGCTAATGTTTTCACCTGCTTGCAGTGGACTCCAAGATAAATTATACGTTTCCCCCATTCTTTGTTGAAGTTTTGGTCTTCTTGGTTCCTGAGCTTTCTGGTCAAGCTTTGCCATTTTGGCATAGTCCAACAACAGTTTAATTTGCCATTCTTCTCTATTAGCCATCCCTGGGCTAATAGCATCAGTGCGTCTGTCGTTGCATACATAAAGAGTATTTTCTGCTCCCTTGGGATATCAGCACCTACAAATCCTAATAGAAAAGCCTCTGGCTTTTTAAAAATTAAAGTTAATTTAAACAGCTATCCCCTACTACTCCTACTCAGAGTAAAGGTAAAGAGACCCCTGACCATTAGGTCTAGTCGTGGCCGACTCTGGGGTTGCAGCGCTCATCTCGTTTTATTGGCCGAGGGAGCCAGCGTACAGCTTCCAGGTCATGTGGCCAGCATGACTAAGCCGCTTCTGGCGAACCAGAGCAGCACATGGAAACGCCATTTACCTTCCTGCTGAAGTGGTACCTATTTATCTACTTGCACTTTGACGTGCTTTCGAACTGCTAGATTGGCAGGAGCAGGGACTGAGCAACGGGAGCTCACCCCGTCATGGGGATTCGAACCACCGACCTTCTGATCGGCAAGTCCTAGGCTCTTGGTTTAACCCACAGCGCCACCCACATCCCCCTACTCAGAGTAGACCCATTGAAATTACTGGATACGCCTGAGGTCCAATGGGTCTACTCTATGAGTAAAAGTGAGTTGAATACAACCCATATTGTACAATAATAATTTTAAGCAAACAATAAAACATTGCAAAAAATAAATAAATCCTGGCATAGGGTTAGCATGAAATAATTTATAGACTGCTCCCCCCATCCCTGGCGTTTCAGAAGTGTATTGGTCTCAGCACCTGAACAGAACCTCCATACTCCAAGGCAATATACCTGACACTGTGTTCGGTCAAGAGGGAAGCAGGCCATCTCCTTCATGCCTTCATGCCTTGATGAAGGCTTCTGTGGAAAGCAGATTGTCGAAACTAGAGATATGTGTCCCGTCCCCGCCCCCCCCCCACTGGCTCTTATTATAGCTGATCTGAACCTCCATTTGTCAAGGCAGTATACCTCAGAGGATCATATGGGGGTGGAGTAGGAACAGCAGGGAAGGCCCTGCTTTCTTGTGAACTTCCTTAGAAGCTTCTACCCGGTTGTCACTGGAAACGGAATTATGGGCTAAATGGATTTTTGGAGCCTCCGCAAACCGAGAGTGTCTATCTGAGTGTCAAAATCTGTGGGAAATCTGCTGTGGGGGGGCAGCGCCTGCTCTCCTACTATGCCTGGCAGTTCCCCAACAGTTCTGACAAAATTTCATGGCATAAAAATGGAATTTCCTGGTTCGTTCTTGACGCCATTTTGCCACCCTCACCATCTGCTTGAAGGATAAAACTGATGGCTATTCACAAAAAAAAGTCTGGCATAGTGGTTAGAGGGCCTGGAAGAGACCAGGGTTCAAATCACAATTCAGTCATTAAACTCAGCCCTAACCTCCCTCACAGGGATGTTGTGAGGAAAAAATGATGGGATTGGCAGGGAACCTTGGAAGAAAAGTGGGATATAAATAATAACAGCAATATTTGTAATATGAATTCATTACCATTACTGTTGTCGTTATATTTTATAACCCACCTTCTTTCCAGACCAGGACTGAAAGCTGCTTACAAAAATTATAATAACAGAGATTAAAAACCTAAAAGCTGAGAACATATAAAAGGTAATCATAGTCATTAAGCCACTAATAGAATTGAAACAATATTAAAAAAAATATTAATATACAGATAATAAATACAGCCCTGCAGTATTTAAAAGCCCTTTCTTTAAAAATAAAAATAAATAAATCAGTTCCCGAAGGCCTGTTGGAATAAACCAATCTTTATTTAGCGGTTTTAATACCTATCTATCTTTATGCACATGAAGACTGTTATCAGAGCTGTGAAAGCAGCCCCTATAACCTCTGCCCCAACGAAACAGAAAGGACTAACAACAGGAGTTCCAGTTCCTGATTTATGTAACTCATTTTTCATTTCGGGTGTGGCTTTAAAGGTTAAAAGCATCCCAATGCCATGACAGCCACGTGGTTTGGGAGAGGGAGTGTTATGCCAGTTCAGCAATTTAATTCATTGTTAATAAACTACAGACTTCAACGGCGTTTGGTGTTTGTGTACGACAGAGAGAGAGAGAAGAGAAGAAGAGCAGGTTTATACAACAACCCTGTAGTGTGTACCCCACTATTAACATGAAGATGCCTATGCAACAACCCTGTCATGTAAAGGTAAAGGGACCCCTGACCATTAGGTCCAGTCGTGACCGACTCTAGGGTTGCGGCGCTCATCTCGCTTTAATGGCCAAGGGAGCCGGCGTACAGCTTCTGGGTCATGTGGCCAGCATGACTAAGCCGCTTCTGGCGAACCAAAGCAGCGCACGGAAATGCTGTTTACCTTCCCACTGGAGCGGTACCTATTTATCTACTTGCACTTCGAACCCCGGGGGTTAAACCACAGAGCCTAGAACTTGCTGATCAGAAGGTCAACGGTTCGAATCCCCGCGACGGAGTGAGCTCCCATTGCTTGGTCCCTGCTCCTGCAAGCCTAGCAGTTCGAAAGCACGTCAAAGTGCAAGTAGATAAATAGGTACCACTCCGGTGGGAAGGTAAATGGTGTTTCCGTGTCCTGCTCTGGTTCGTCAGAAGCGGCTTAGTCATGCTGGCCACATGACCTGGAAGCTGAACGCTGGCTCCCTCGGCCAAAAAAGCGAGATGAGCGCCGCAACCCCAGAGTCGGCCGCAACTGGACCTAATGGTCAGGGGTCCCTTTACCTTTATAGCCTACATATAGTAGGGGGTATTTAAAATGAGAGTCATCATAGCGTCCTTTTCAAAATATGACAACTGTTCGTGCCATTCTAAATTATTTGAATGGTCTCTTGCGCAACAAACCTGCTTCCCAAAAAGATTGGGGAGTTTTTTGCAAGGAGGAAAGCGATAAGATAAGAAAATAAAATCGAATGTGTGGACGCAACACTTGCTTTGACGCAACATCAATACAGTGGTACCTCGGGTTAAGCACTTAATTCATTCCGGAGGTCCGTTCTTAACCTGAAACTGTTCTTAACCTGAAGCACCACTTTAGCTAATGGGGCCTCCTCCTGCTGCCGTGCCGCCGGAGCACGATGTCTGTTCTCATCCTGAAGCAAAGTTCTTAACCTGAAGCACTATTTCTGGGTTAGCGGAGTCTGTAACCTGAAGTGTATGTAACCCGAGGTACCACTGTATCACCTCCCTGCAAGCAAATCAGCCCATTTTGTCTAATCTCTTTTTGCAATCAAATGAAGGCAAAGCCAGAGAGAAATGCCCCATGCCTTGGGGCAACTCTTGAGGCGTGGTCCAGTTCCCATTTCCGATTTCTGAGCAAACGAAACTCGCCACAGCCTTGCGGAGCAAACCTGACCTTTTTACGCGGCGAAGAGAACCAAAATACGGCCAATTTTCAGCACCGCTGTTTATTATTCAACACTTTAAAAACAAACAAACAAGCTTTTCATCACAAATCTGGAAGTATACTTTATAATCGGATAACGCTCATATTATTTACCTGGACTTTCTTGTTTTAACCCATCTGCAACTGTTCTGTTTTATATACATCATAAAGTGAAACAAATAATAATAATAATATTTCGCTTGGTTATTTAATGTAAAAACATCGGATCAGCCCAGTATCCTGTTCTCACTGTGGTCAACCAGCTGCCCCAACAGGCTGCTCAAAAGCAAGACCCCCCCAAAGCAGCAACAACTCTGCCCCCCCCGACCCCTGCCCCAAAACTGCACACGGAAGCCTCAAGATCTCCACCCCCCCTCCGCTCTATCTGCCTCTATGCTGGTATCGGTAAGCTTTGCATGGCTTAAGGGGAGATATTTTTTTTGCGGAATGCACCCGGGAGGGGGGGTTTGTCCACCGACTCCATCCTACAGACCCCTTTTGCGTTCTCACGTGCAAAAAACTCTCGCGAAACACACTCGCGCAAAAAAAAAGACACATCCAACAACAACCAACCCACCCCCTTCGCTGCCTTGCACGAGGTCCCCATCCCTTAAAAAACAACAACTGGATTTTTACCTTTCCAGCGGAGCAATGGAAAAGGAGTCTCTGCCCCGAGCAGCACCCAGTTGCAAAACGGAGAGAATGCAAAAAATGTGGGGAGGGGAGAAAGGGAGAAACAGAAAGTATCCAGGAGGAAATATTAAAATGACAAGCCGGGGGAAGTCCCGCCCGGTGCTTCTCCTCCACCAACCAAACGGCCTCTGCTTCTGCTCCCAGAAGAAGGGAAATCCCAGGCGCCACACAGAGCTGAGAAAAGTTTAGAGTAGTGCCACTGTCGTCAGTCACCAGTTGGGGATTTCCAGGTTCGCTTCCAGGAAGCCATTCAGTTCCGTTTGCTGTCTCAACCCGAGCCTCCTGTCGTTGCTATTTTAAAATATATATTTTTAAGGTGGTCTTTATGTTAACGTTTTAAAATAGGAATGCTTCTGTTAAGTTGTGGCATTTCAGCTACGGATCTTTATTTTGACAGTACAGTGGTACCTCGGGTTACATATGCTTCAGGTTACAGACTCCACTAACCCAAAAATATTACCTCGGGTGAAGAACTTTGCTTCAGGATGAGAACAGAAATCGTGTGGCAGCGGCACAGCAGCAGTGGGAGGCCCCATTAGATAAGTGGTACCTCAGGTTAAGAACAGTTTCAGGTTAAGAACGGACCTCCAGAACAAATTACGTTCTTAACCCAAGGTACCACTGTATTTGAGGCCTTAAAATTCTTATAACAGCATCCACCCCTAACAAGGAACTGCAACTTGAGGAACTTCAGACCAACAAACTACAATGGTACCTCGGGTTACAAATGCTTCAGGTTACATACGCTTCAGGTTACAGACTCCGCTAACCCAGAAATAGTGCTTCAGGTTAAGAACTTTGCTTCAGGATGAGAACAGAAATCATGCTCCGTCGGTGCAGCAGCAGCAGGAGGCCCCATTAGCTAAAGTGGTGCTTCAGGTTAAGAACAGTTTCAGGTTAAGTATGGACCTCCAGAACGAATTAAGCACTTAACCCGAGGTATCTGTAAGTCCTTTTCTTTGTTCATGCATAGTACTGGGGCTTCTGTCCCATATGTATCTCACACTTAACATCACAGGGCTGGCTACAATAGAAAAGGATGCTGGGGTTAGGCCTGCAGGAAGGCTGGAGGGACAACAGGAAGAGAGGCGCTCGTGGACAATGCAAGGAGCAGACCAGAAGAGCAAGGGGCAGTTTGCTAAGCAGATACAGGACACAGGCGGGAAAGTCAAGCAGGGTTTGGGTTGGAACATCCGGCAGCTATTTCAAATCACTGGAACCAGGATGCGTCTCAGCAAGCACATGTGAACAACACGTAAGCAGGGATGAGCTCATGTTGGGAAAGGACTATTGATTTATGGTGTGCTGGTCCAACTTACCTGAGGAGAAACACGGCAAGTGAGTGAGCCAATGGGGGGCTGCATTTCAGGCACCCCCACACCCCCCAAATTCTGTCAGATCCAGCTTGGTTGGCTGGAAGTAGAAGAGCATGGGTAGGCTAACTAAGGCCCAGGGGCCGGATCTGGCCCAATCGCCTTTTAAATCCAGCCCGCAGACAGTCTGGGAATCAGCATGTTTTTACATGAGTAGAATGTGTCCTTTTATTTAAAAGGCATCTCTGGGTTATTTGTGGGGCCTGCCTGGTGTTTTTACATGAGTAGAATGTGTCCTTTTATTTAAAAGACATCTCTGAGTTATTTGTGGGGCATAGGAATTAGTTGTTCATCTCCCCCCTATAGTCCGGCCCCCCACAGGGTCTGAAGGACAGTGGACTGGCCCCCTGCTGAAAGACCTTCTGCTCTGTTCATTGCTGCCTAGAAGAGGAAATTTTCACTTTTAGATAGGTAAGCTGTCAGGATATGTGCACCACCCAAGAAGATTAGCATCTTCTACTGGAGTTGAACTGTGTATCTGTTGTGAATATGTGTTTATACCCATAACCTTACACCCACAATAACTTCACACCCCAGAGGATTACAGGTTAGTTTATTACTTGGGATAAAAGTGACAAGACTGCATGCATGCTTTTTCCAAGCAGAAAGGTCACAATATAAGTGGGCAGCAAATCACACACCTTGATCCCGAGAGTAAAAAGGACACCTCCCTATTCTGAAAGCCTGGAGAGATGGCTCAGCCTGAATGAATGACATTTGTAGCTGCCAATCTTTTTCTCCAAGGAGCTCACGGAGGCGTCCGTGATTCTCTCCCTCCTCCTTTTATCCTCACAACCACCTAGATCAGAAGTGAGGATTTCCGTGTATGATTTTGGGCCAAGGTTACCTTATGGAGAAGGGAGAAGTCTTTTGGGCGGGAGTGTGTCATGGCGCCTTTATTCATTTGCCCCATTGTTTATTTCCTGCAAGTTCCGGTCTATTTGTTATTTTGTTCACCTTGGGCTAGTTTCTAGCTAAATGAACATGAACTGCATAAGAAATGACTGATTGTTTATGTTGTTTGTTTCCTGATTCATAGCTTCACTTTTGCAGGAAGATTCATTCACTGTCTGTGCAGAACTCCATTCTTCTCAACAGGAGGCGATAATCAAACTTTGCTGGCACGTGGGGCTAGCGTGATATTAGCCATTAAGAGGCCGGGATCTTTGCTTATGCCTTCCAAGTCATGTTTAAGGTAAAGTCTGGTACCAGGGTGTTTTGAACCGTAGACCCAGAGGAGGGCTCGTGGGAGTGGCTGGGTGCAGGTATGACAAAGAAGGAGGCCAAAGACGCGAGAATGATCCATTCTAGCGCTTTATTAAGAAATGTATAGGCATACAGGAAGCCAGGAAGCCGGATCTCCTGGCCTTCTCTTGCAGAGATGCAGGACAGACACTGCAGCAAGGAGATGGTCTGTCCACACCCAAGCAAAAGTGAATACATTCTGCATATGCAAAGCAGCATACATTTCATTGCCTGGGACATCCCATTGCTTCACCTGCCCAGTTGAGGACTTGGGTGGCCAATACCTAATCTTATAGATAGTTCCTCTTTGTGGACTCAGAGCCCAGCACCCCAAGCCCACAGATAAGGACACCATCAAACTCGGCTAATTAGCTTGTATCAAAGCAAGCAAATATAAGCATATATGAGTTCGTTGCTACAACAGCTAGCCATTAATTGTGGTGTTATCTTGACTACCAAGATGGCATTAGCAGAATTTCCGGAACGATTCACCTTTGGTTCAACACATAGGGTTAAAATGGGGAGTCTTTTTTTAGATCTATGCCAGTGTCACTGATGCCATGATCTGCAGCATTAAGAGTTCAGATTGCCACCCATCGTTGTGATGTACCCTATCCAATGGGGGTGGGGGAAGAGGACACCTTGTTATCCCAAAACCATCTCACTTAAAAAATAAGAAAGAGGTAGTCAGTTTTCACCAACCTCCTTGCCATCCCATCTCTTGCCTTGCTTTCATATTCAGACATGCTTCCAGGTCACAGATTTGTAGAAACAGAGCATCTGCAAAAGATACAAGTTGAGAGAAGCAAAGAGAACGCAAAATCGAGGCCACAACAGGGTGCAAAATTTAGCGCAGATGAGAGAAGGCATGATGGCGTTAAGAAGAGGAGCGGTCATCATTGTACCAGTCATCATTGTACCACGAATCATAATTGGACCAATGCCAAAGCCAATAAGGCATTTCGTCATCGCTGGAATGTGGATCAGGGTAATCCCTGTAGTGGTAGTCGTAGTAATCGTCATCCTCTTCTTCTGCCATTGGTGGTGGGTGAAGTTTGATGCTGCTTTGTAATACCTTCATCCCAGCCCAGGATGGCTCCCTGTCTTCACTTGGGCAGTGCTCCGGGTAGAGGAACTTAAGGAGGCTGATTTTCTTGTCCGCTTTGTGTTCAAAGAGGATATGACGGACACCTTGAGGGTAGTTTTCAAAAGTGTGTGAAACCTGGAGAGGAGAGAAAAAAGGGACGGGGCTGCTGGGGCTGGGGGAGGTTGCAGAGAGGAAACTACCCCTTCCAGGATGGAACTTTTACCCCACAGCAGTGGCTGGAGGGGCAGAAGGGCGGAAGCCAACAGTAGGGTGAGTCAGAGCCCAAGGAGAGGCAGAGGCAGTCAACAAAGTCTAGTTTTGTCCCCATTCTCCTCTTGCCTGATGTTAAGCAAGAGGAAGCTTGCAGGTAGTCAACCAGCTGAGCTGCTTGTCAGTAAGACACTTTAAGGTTTTCTACAATCTAGTGGTATATATCTTTTATGAAATATTTACACAAGAAGGCCTGCATGTTGTAGCAGATGGAGGTTGGTGGGATTACTTTCACCCCCATAGACCACCCTCCACTAATTTTAAAAAGCGTGCATTTTCTACTCAGGCTCAGCTCACCGGAAACCACATTGACACACTAGGTTCTTCATATTGATGTTCTTCAAGGACTTCAGAGTCTGCAGACAACAGCTTCACGATCAGTTTATAGCATGAACCAGGCTCTCTTGAAATGCTGGTTTTGGTGGGGGGGAGAAGGAAGAGAGAGAAATTATATGAGCCTGGGACAAATTGAGATCCAGCTGGGCACATCAACCACCACTATTTCTGCCACTACAACATGGTGATTGACAGAGATCTTGGCAGTGCTTTTTCCCTAAAAAAATGTTTAGGGGTACTCTCATTTTGACACAATAAAATCACCATGTTATACTTCAAATCAGGGGAAATAAATACAGTAAGTGGAAAAAGTACAAAGAAACTTTTTTTCATTTGGATTACTTCATATGACACAGCTGATGATTTACCGTGCTAGAGAAGAAATTACATTTTTAAAGTTTCTTCTCCCATTAGATTCACAAAATGTTTAGGGGTATGTGTACCCCTGCATTTCCCCAGAAAAAAAGCACTGGATCTTGGTGCCGGCATTTTTATATTTCTGGGTATCTTTGGTCAGGGAAGTAAAGAGACTCAATATTAGGAAGTGTCTCATTAACATTCAAAATAAAACTAAAAGATGGGTTCCAGTGCCTTCCTGATGAACACATGTGGTAACTAATTTGGACTGGGTGCCACTCTAAATAAGCGGAGACAAACTGCAATCCCTAATTGTCAGTAGCTCAGTGGTTGGAGCATCTGCTTTGCATACAGAAGGTCTCTTGTTCAATCCTTGGCATCTCCAGATAAGACTGAAACCCTTGAGAACCACTGCCCTCTCTGTGCCGCCATGGAAGTGATGGCCAATGGCAGCCTTCATTCCTCTAGACAACTGCCCCTGGGGCTGAAGCCTAGGTCCAAGCAGACCCTCCCCTCTGCCTCCAGCCCACTGACCTCATCTATCCTTGGACTATCCTCACACATGCCGAGAACTTGGTTTGGGGCGTCCACCCTCCCCACGCCCCAGCCTGGACAGGACACTTGGCACTCACCAGTCCTTCACCTCAATCATGGGTCTGGCTTCATCCATCAGTTCGTCCCAGTAGCCCTCATCCTTCAAGGTGATGAGCTGAGACTTGCTGCAGGGCCTGAGACATTAAGCAACACCATCACTACCCCACAGCATTGGGGGATGTAGGTGGCACTGTGGTCTAAACCACTGAGCCTCTTGGGCATGCCCATCAGAAGGCTGGCGGTTTGAATCCCTATGACAGGGTGAGCTCCCGTTGCTCTGTCCCAGCTCCTGCCAACCTAGCAGTTCGAAAGCACGCCAGTGCAAGTAGATAAATAGGTACCGCTGTGGTGGGAAGGTAAACAGTGTTTCCATGAACTCTGGCTCCCGTCACGGTGTCCCCTTGTGCCAGAAGCGGTCTAGTCCTGCTGACCACATGACCCGGAAAGCTGTCTGTGGACAAACGCCGGCCCCCTCAGCCTGAATGTGAGACGAGTGCCACAACCCCATAGTTGCCTTTGACTGGACTTAACCATCCAAGGGTCCTTGACCTTTACCTTTTATCCACAGCTTTTGGACCACGTGTTCTAAAAGGCTCAGCAACTGGCTATTGTGGGCCACCTCCAGCTCCCTGGAAAGAAAATTTGCCCCCTCCTATGCAGAGGCAAGGAATGATGGTCTGCTAGCAACCTTTTTAAGGGAAAGCCACTGGGGGCCTGGCTCTCACCACTCCCCACAACACAGACTTCTTTTGTCCATACAAAAAAAAAAGAACAGCTCATTTGATAGGATTTGGTGATGCAATTTGCTTCACCTTTTTGTGACTATTGCATTTTTATGGGTTATATTTATTGGGGGCGGCGGCTCTCCTTATGCAGAATACAGTGTGAAGCACAAGAACTCGCACCAGGGCAAATGAAAACTCCCTTTTCTCATCTTTAATTGGATTTCAGTTCGGACAATGATAGGTTCCTCACCCGTTACATGCAGCAAAGCATTTGTAGACCTGAACAGGAGCATCTTCATCATTCTTCCAATAAATGCCGATTATCCTACTGATGATTTTTGAGTCTTCTATGGACAGTTCCTCAGTTTCCCAGTGGCCCTCGGCAGGTGTCTGGATTTCCCAGGAGTCCAGGCCATCTGATGCAGTGTGTGTGGTAGGGAAAATGAAGAGAGATGCTTTGAGTGCATGGAAGCAGCCCATGGGTTAGAAAGAAAACAAGAATGACTTAGGCCACTTTCAGACTGTCACTCTTTCCAAGAGGGACCCAGTTGCATAATGGAAAGTTCAGGGTCTCAGATTTAGGCTGGTCTGATGATTGTGTGCAAGAAACCCGCATCTCAACAAATCAGACTTCTTGACACAATGCCATAAAACCTCCCCACAAATGAATTTGCTCTATAAATAGCCAGTATCCTTAAATGTGGGGCAAATAATCAGGATGAAGGGGCAAAAAACAGGCAGCCTGGAAATGACCGTAGTTAAATTATCACCCTTGGTTTGCATGATTAAGTAGTAGACACCCAGAAGTTAACTGACATTATTACCTAGGGGCAATTAATTCCAATAGATCTACTCTGAGGAGCAGGTGTAGGGAATCTTTGGCCCCCCAGATGTTGCTAAACTACTATTTCCATCATCCTGGGTCATTTCTCGATTGCTGGGGTGGATGGGAGCTGTAGTTCAGTAACCTCTCGGTTCTTACACCTGGAAAAGACACGGTGCTTGGCTATTTAGAATATGCAATTATTTATATACATATGGTACTGTGTGTGTGTGTGTGTGTGTGTGTGTGTGTGTGTGTGTAGATAGATAGATAGACAGGCAGGCAGACAGATAGATACCGCAGTCATGGCAAGGTGTTTCTGCCACTGCTGCTTCTTCTGTCTCCTAGCAGGTCTGCTGGTGGTCTAGCAGTCCAAGGTTATTTGTATTCACTATGACTCACCACCGCACTTTGGATTGTCCTGAATACCACCATATGGTAGCCAAGACCAAGACCAAAAGTCCTGCTGGATTGCATTGTGGCTTGCCTGCTGATGATTGATAATATTGTCATTTATCCGTTTTAGACCCCTGAGTAGTAGCAGTTGCCAGGACATTGTCCTGTTCACCTCTGTATAGTTCCATCCTTATTTCAGACACGATGGTAGATTGCAATGTTTAACTGGTGACAAGACTGCAGTGTTTAGCTGGTGATATTGTGAGCTTTAGCCGCTGATAAGATTGCAGTGTTTAGCTGGTGAGTTATTGTGATATTGAAAACCAGATATTGCATAGCCCTTATACACACTGTGATTTATTATATATTACCAGCTCAAATATTATGAAAAAATTATCATCAGGGGAACTTCAAAACGGTTTTGGACGATATATTGCCCAGCCCGAGTGTAGACATTACTGTGCTAGATGAACCAATATTGGGACTCAGTGTACAGAAGCTTCCTATGTTCCTAAAGGCTTTATTATTCAGATTTCTGTCCAGGAGCGTTTTATTCTCCCAGATAAATGGGGACGTACCTTGACCATCAGGGTTCTTGATTAAGTTCTTTTTTAGGTGGGAGAAAATGTAGAAAGCCAATGGCTTTGGAGAAGAGTCGTGGTCCCTTTTCTGGAACTTGCGCTTCCACAGAACTGGCAGGTCTACCAAGTCCCGCCACTGAGAGCAGACCAGCCGGCAATTGTAAATGAGGTCGCTTGCTGGAACCAGAGACAAGATATCCAACAGAAGGTGTTCGGGCAAATTTTCCATGTTCCCTGCCATCAATGAGGTCTCAGCCACCTGAAGAGATGAACCACGAAAGAGGGGAGCAAAGGGAAGAAGCAAACATACAAGATCTGTGAGTGGGCCATAGGCAAGGAAAAGCGGGGTACTGCAACAAAATGTTGCAGCGTTAAATGCTTCAGTTCAGCTGCTTTATGCCTAGTCAGACTAGATTGATCCATCTAGCTTAGCATTTCCCAACCCTGCTGTCCATTGATTTATGACCTGCTCCCCGAGATGGGTGCAGGAAGTGGAAAGCCATGCCATGCCATTAAGACTTGTATCTCCTGTTCTTGGTTCAGTTGGAGAAATTAATGTACCTCCCTGTTTAATAGTGAGCAGCTAGCACAAATCTCTCTGGCTCCGTGTCCATACTAGGAGCCAACTTCCAGGGGTTGATTGGGCTTCACTTCCCCATAGAATGTTTGAGGGAGGCCCCCCCGCCCACAAAATGTTGATTCGCATTGCCATTCAAATGGTGTGCATGCGCCACATCATTATCGTCATCATCATCATCATCATTAAGAAAAAAAAAGAGATATATATTGGAAACCATGGAGGGGCGGGGGAAGCCTGGGGATTCAGTGAATCCCATAAATGTATAAAATCGATTATGTTTAAATACAAATCTTGTCTGTAAAAATTAAAAAAAAAAGAAAGATCCACCGTCTTGGATGCGCGTCTCCCTCCCCCCCATCTTCCAGGGGTGATGGGGCTTCGCCACCCCATAGAATGTTTGACAGGTGCCCCATCAAGTTGATGGGCATTGCAATTCAAATGGTGTGCATCCGTGCATCATCATCATCATTATTTATTGCATTTATATACCGCCCTATACCCAAAGGTCTCAGGGCAGTTCACATCGAAAGATCACAATATATAAATTAAAAATAAAAGCAAGAGCCCAATAATACCTCCTTAAAAAGAGCCACATTTTAAAAGGGTATGGGATGTTGATCAGGTCAACCAAAGGCCTGGTTAAAAAGGAACTTTTTGGCTGGCGACTAAAGGTGTATAATGAAGGCGCCAGGGGAACTTCCCTGGGGAGCACATTCCACAGACGGGGAGCCACTGCAGAGAAGGCCCCGTTCTCGTGTTGCCACCCTCCGGACCTCTCGAGGAGGAGGCCTCAGAAGATGATCTCAGGGTCTGGGTAGGTCCATATGGAAAGAGACAGTCCTTAAGGCATTGCATCATGTGATTGATTATGCAAGGCAGGGCTTACCTGCCCCTCCCCCCACATTTTATTCAAGTTGGCACCCCTGTCAGGGTCCATACATTTTTTTTGAAGGGCAGGGTGTGTGTTTGATCTTCACAGAACCTGCCTCTTTGTGAAGAGGGACGCTTTGAGCATGTGCAGAGTTCTATCTGAGAGCCCAAGTGCAAATGGACTCCTGTCGGCTGCCCTTCCCAGATCCTGCCCCATTGTAAAAATCCACCCTTTGAAGAAATACCAAAGGAGCTGAAAAGACTCTTTACGTATGTGACAGCTGCTAAGATGCTTTTCGCCCAGGGGTGGAAATAAGAGAAAACTCCAACCAAAGAAGAATGGATAATCAAGATGGTGGACTACGCCGAAATGGCAAAATTGACCGGGAAGATCAGACACCAAGATGATAAGAAATTTAAGGAATGGAAAAAGTTTATAGAATATCTTAAAGAACACTGTAAGCGCTTGAAGATGTTAGCAGGACTTGTAATGTAATTTTGTAGGGTTAAAAGTGGATATAAACCAAATTGGATAAATATAATTAGATACAGTAAGGGGGTATATATATATATATATATATATATATATATATGAAGACATCGGTGGGGGGGAAGCCGGGGGATTCAGGGAATCCCATGATGTATAAAATTGATTATGTTTAAATACAAATGTTATCTGTAAAAAGAAAGATCCACTCTCCTGGATGCTCTTCTCTCCCCCTCCCCCATCCCCTCCAAGTATTACCTGGTCTGGGACGAGCGCAGGAGCCGCGCGGCGCCTCCGAGAGCAAGTCTGGTCTCCGCCCCGCTCCACCGCCAGGTGGCAGGGAGAAACCGAAAGCGATTCTAGTCCAGGATCTCAATTCCGAGAAACGACCCGCCCACCGCCATCAATCCCTCTCGTCGGGAGGAGGGGGCAAGGAGCGGAATCCCCGCCGGGGCGTATTTGCATCAGATGACGCTCTTCTGGCGAGTCAACGCGTGTTTACAAAAATATTGCAAAGAAGTGGACTCATTAGCAGGGTTTGAGTAAACACTTACAATTAAGAAAACAAATATAAAAGTCAAGATGCAACAATCGGGAAAACAACAAAGTGTAAGAGGTAATTTGAAAACATATGGTAGAAAATTGATAAGAATACAACAATATTTAGCTAAATGATTTCAAAACTAAGGTAGAATAAAACAGGCAGGAGAAGCAAATACTTAAAGAACCAGGAAAGGAGGTTGAGGGAAGTTGCGGGTGGGGGTGGGGAGAGATTGGGATTTATATATTCTTTTCGTGATAATGATGATTGTGTTGAATAGAAAATTGCAAAACTTAATAAAAATTACTTTTAAAAAAAATCTAGCCAATGCACATCTCGAACCCAACTTTGCAAAGGCAAGAGCAGCGTGGCCAGAGGCACCGTCTAGTAAAACAAAACCATTGCAAATGGATAAGGGTTAGTGGTGAGTGTGGACCATACAGACCTCTCCCAAGCCTTTCCTTGGCTCAGGAGAGTTGGCATCTGTGACAAATGACCAATAGTACTCAAGGGTTGCCCAGCATCCTGCTATAAGGATGATGGAGATCTATGGAGAAGAGGATGTTATCTAATCAGGGACTGGAGGCTGGCAGACTCCACACACACGCCCATCTCCCATGGATTTGCCTTGCAATTTAGGGGCGGAGTCACAAGACCAGGAGAACGCAAGCACAGAGGAAATATAATAGATTGGCAATAAAATCTGCACTGGAAATACTGCCTGTCTATGCCCCCAGAGCAGAAAGGTCTCCTTGCTTTGGGATCAATATTGCAAAGGGTTCAACGCTGCCAGCCTCTTAATGGGACTAGATAACCCCGATTAACTGTTATCTACGACGTCGAGGCATCAAGCCACAGTCATAGAAAAGTAAGTTATGTAAAACTATGAATATGTACACACACACACATATATTCTGAGAGACAGTGTGGTGGACTGGTTCGTGTTGGATTAGGACCTGGGAGACCAGGGCTGGATCTGGACACACCAAAGAAGCATTTCAGTTAAACGGGTTCTAAACTTTGTATGGGAAAAGCGGAACTCCACAGTGCCATCTGGTGTCACAGTGTTGTAAACAGCGCATATAAAGCGCTTTTTCTTTGCCAGTGTAGCTGAGTCCCAGGGCTAAAGTCCCCACACAGCCATGAAGCTCAATGTGTTTGACAAGTTTTTGTGAGCCAGAGTCAGTCCACTTTTTGAATTATGCTCAGTTAGGAGGCATGTAGGCGCAGGTGAAAAGAATGGGCACAGCAGGTCCTGTGGGCAAACCTTTGGGTAGTAGCCAATGCTGGTCCTACACAGAGTAGACCCACTGAAACCCATGACCAAAATTCAGTTCTCCACATTTCAAGATCAGGATACAGTATGTGTTTGTTTTCCTCATGAAAATTCATCCGCACACAAATTCCAGAGACAAAAGTTCAGCTTTTTTTTTTTTTTTTTTGGCAAAATCTCAAGAATAAACAAAGTTTCATAGAATCATAGAGTTGGAAGAGACCACAAGGGCCATCGAGTCCAACCCCCTGCCAAGCAGGAAACACCATCAGAGCACTCCTGACATATGGTTGTCAAGCCTCTGCTTAAAGACCTCCAAAGAAGGAGACTCCACCACACTCCTTGGCAGCAAATTCCACCGTCGAACAGCTCTTACTGTCAGGAAGTTCTTGCTAATGTTTAGGTGGAATCTTCTTTCTTGTAGTTTGGATCCATTGCTCCGTGTCCGCTTCTCTGGAGCAGCAGAAAACAACCTTTCTCCCTCCTCTGTGTGACATCCTTTTATATATTTGAACATGGCTATCATATCACCCCTTAACCTCCTCTTCTCCAGGCTAAACATGCCCAGCTCCCTTAGCCGTTCCTCATAAGGCATCGTTTCCAGGCCTTTGACCATTTTGGTTGCCCTCCTCTGGACACGTTCCAGTTTGTCAGTGTCCTTCTTGAACTGTGGTGCCCAGAACTGGACACAGTACTCCAGGTGAGGTCTGACCAGAGCAGAATACAGTGGCACTATTACTTCCCTTGATCTAGATGCTATACTCCTATTGATGCAGCCCAGAATTGCATTGGCTTTTTTAGCTGCCGCGTCACACTGTTGGCTCATGTCAAGTTTGTGGTCAACCAAGACTCCTAGATCCTTTTCACATGTACTGCTCTCAAGCCAGGTGTCACCCATCTTGTATTTGTGCCTCTCATTTTTTTGCCCAAGTGCAATACTTTACATTTCTCCCTGTTAAAATTCATCTTGTTTGTTTTTGCCCAGTTCTCTAATCTGTCAAGGTTGTTTTGAAGTGTGATCCTGTCCTCTGGGGTGTTAGCCACCCCTCCCAGTTTGGTGTCATCTGCAAATTTGATCAGGATGCCCTTGAGTCCATCATCCAAGTCGTTGATAAAGATGTTGAATAAGACCGGGCCCAAGACAGAACCCTGTGGCACCCCACTAGTCACTCTTCTCCAGGATGAAGAGGAACCATTGATGAGCACCCTTTGGGTTCGGTCAGTCAGCCAGTTACAAATCCACTGAGTGGTAGCATAGTCAAGACCGCATTTTACCAGCTTCTTTACAAGAATATCATGGGGCACCTTGTCAAATGCCTTGCTGAAATCAAGGTAGGCTACATCCACTGCGTTCCCTTCATTTACCAGGCTTGTAATTCTGTCAAAAAAACGAGATCAGGTTGGTCTGACATGACTTATTTTTCAGAAATCCATGCTGACTATTGGTGATCACAGCATTCCTTTCTAGGTGCTCACAGACTGTTTGCTTAATGATCTGCTCCAGAATCTTCCCTGGTATTGATGTCAGACTGACTGGGCGGTAATTATTTGGGTCCTCTCTTTCCCCCTTTTTGAAAATAGGGACAACATTTGCCATCCTCCAGTCTGCCGGGACTTCGCCTGTTCTCCAGGAATTCTCAAAGATGACTGCCAGTGGTTCTGGGATCACATCTGCCAGTTCTTTTAATACTCTTGGATGCAGTTCATCTGGCCCTGGAGACTTGAATACATCTAAACTAGCCAAGTATTCTTGTACTATCTCCTTAGTTATTCTGGGCTGTGTTTCCTCTGCTGAATCATTTGCTCCAAATTCTTCAGGTCGGGCATTGTTTTCTTTATCGGTGAAGACTGAGGCAAAGAAGGCATTGAGGAGTTCAGCCCTTTCTGTGTCCCCTGTTTGCATTTCACCATCTTCTCCTCTGAGTGACCCCACTGTTTCTTTGTTCTTCCTTTTGCTACGAACATACCCATAAAAGCCTTTTTTGTTGCTTTTAACCTCTCTAGCAAGCCTGAGTTCATTCTGTGCTTTAGCTTTTCTGACTTTGTGTCTACACGTGCTGGCTATTTGTTTGAATTCCTCTTTGGTGGTTTCCCCCTTTTCCATTTTTGTACACATCCTGTTTTAATCTTAACTCAGTTAAAAGTTCTTTAGATAGCCACCCTGGCTTCTTTAGGCACCTTCCATGTTTCCGTCTCATTGGTATTGCCTGAAGTTGTGCTTTTACTATCTCCCTCTTAACAAACTCCCAGCCATCATGAACTCCCTTTCCTTTTAGTATTACTGTCCATGGGATCTCACCCAGCACTTCCCTAAGTTTTATGAAGTCGGCTTTCTTAAAGTCAAGAAATTGAGTCCTAGTATGCTTGGCTGCTCCTTTCCGTTGTATAGTAAACTTCAGAAGAGCATGATCACTCGCGCCTAATGATCCTTCCACTTCTACCCCACTAACCAGGTCATCAACATTGGTTAGGACCAGATCTAAAATGGCTGTTCCTCTTGTTGCTTCTTCCACTTTCTGGACAATGAAGTTGTCTGCAAGGCCAGTGAGGAATCTGTTTGACCTTATGCTCTTGGCTGAGTTTGACATCCAACAAATATCCGGGTAATTGAAGTCCCCATTACTACTATCTCCCTTCCTTTTGCATGCTTGGCCATCTGTTCCAGGAAGGCATCATCTATGTCCTCCGTTTGGCTTGGGGATCTATAGTAAACTCCCACAATGAGGTCACTGTTATTCTTCTCTCCCTTAATTTTGACCCAAATGCTCTCACTTTGGCTTTGAGGTTCTAAATCTTGGATCTCTTCACAGGTATACACATCCCTGACATATAACGCCACTCCTCCTCCTTTCTTGTCTGGTCTGTTTCTCTGAAATAGCTTGTATCCCCCCATTATTACATTCCAATTGTGGGACTTATCCCACCAGGTTTCAGTGATGCCTATTATGTCATATTTAGTTTGCTGTACCAAGAGCTCAAGCTCATCATGTTTATTTCCCATGCTTTGCGCATTAGTGTACAGACATTGAAGTCCATTAATCATTCCCCCGTGTATCTTATTTAAGGATTTTTTCCTCCCACCACTAGGTCTGCATGCTGTTTGCTCCATTTGGTCTATGACATTTGGATGATCATCTTCATCAATTGATAGACTCCTACCTTCAGGAGCACTGTCTCCCTCCCCCACATTAGTCAGTTTAAAGCCCTCCTGATGAGGTTTCTGAGATTTTGGCAAAAACATTTCTCCCAACCGTTGTGAGGTGCAGCCCATCGCTTGCCAGAAGTCCATCTTCAAGAAACTGCAGTCCGTGATCTAAGAATCCAAACCGTTCCTGTTTACACCATTTGCGAAGCCAGCTGTTCACTTCCACTATTTTCCCTCTCTCCCTGGGCCACGTCGTTCAACTGGGAGGACAGATGAGATGACAATTTGTGCATTTAATTGCTTCAATTTCCTGCCCAGAGCCTCGTAGTCTCTTTTGATCTTCTGGAGGCTATTGCTTGCAGTGTCATTGGTTCCCACATGAACCAAGA